AAGGTGGATATCGAGAGTACAACGTCATCAGCGTCAAATCTTCCTCGAAGATAAGTTTGTGGGTTGCTTGTTAATTGCGTAACAAAATGTCATAAGCTAAGAGTACTTGAGCGGTGATTTGTAGTTAGAGATAGTTGACCACGAAATGAAACTTTGTGCTATGTCATACTGATCATTATAATATCCATGTAGTCAAACGTCGCCATCGAAGCTTTAAGTTGTTCCAGATGCATCAGTCACGCACTATTGTGCCCTCACATATTATTGCGATTGAAATTCCTGCAAGAGAAAAGCTTGAACATGTTCACAACCAAAGTCACCTGATCAGTCACGTAATTTTTATTGACTCTATCTTGGCCTATATATTAAGATATTTTACTACTGAAAAAATGAAATTGCCTGGTTAGCTCAATCGGTAGAGCGTGAGACTCTTAATCTCAAGGCTGCGGGTTCGAGCCCCGCATTGGGCTGCTTTTTTTACACAGTAGATGTCTGTCACGCATAGTTCGATCAGTTCATGGTATGCCAGGATTGAGAAGATAATTTTAATTCAGCGAAGTTAATAAAGCTAGATCTGTGGACTGATATGAGTCACGATATTATTGAACGTGTTGATTGATATAGGATTATGGAATCGTTTTACGGATTACTAACATTGGGATTGTGTTGAAGCGGATAACATTCGTCGTTGCACTTCAATTTGAGTGATCCGTGACAAGATAGGCGATCACTCTTGTTGGTCTTAATTTTGCATAGAGTAAAGTGAAATAATAAGTATGGTGGTTATCTTAAACTGGTGATGAGGGAAGTGCGAAGCGAAGATTTAGTTACACTGCTCTGGATGTATTGTAACACAGAATTTGTTATATGAAGTCCTGACGTCAAACTGGGTCGCCCGCCTAACACGTGGTTCAAGCCAAACACACTTCCAACAATTTGGTATGAGCAATTACATTGTCTACGTCAATAGCATGATTTTTGTTGCAAACCAAACGTCAGTATACATGATTATGGCATTTACTAGGAACACACATATAGGTTACCTCATGCGTCGGCAAATACATCATTGGTAAATTGCTTCAGGTTCAACCTCTGCCACCGCTTGTTTAAAAGTTTCTAAAGAGTTCAAAGCAGCGTGTGAACTGATCAGGTCCTTAGCCAACTCCACTCCGTGTTTCCAATCATCTGCGATTCCAGCGACATATGCTAATGCAGCAGAATTCATCAAAATGTAATCCACTAACGGGTGATTATCTTTGTCCTTAATGGTATATTCACTAGAGTCTTGGCGTAAGATGTGGTAAAGAACGTTGGCGTTCTCCTCTGGTGTGCCCAGCCGTACGGTGTCAAGAGAATGCTCTTCAAGTCCAAAGTCCCCAGGAGAAAGAGTGCCACGAGTAATTTCACCATCTTGATCCACCATCCAGTAGTGGGTAATTCCAATTGGTGAGATTTCATCAAGGCACACATCGCCATGGACAACCATGGTTCGATGGTGACACTTATGCTGACGATTAAGCTGAGCTGCAGCTTTGGCGTAAGACTCTCCTAACTCTTTGGAGTAAACTCCAAGAATCCGGGCTTTAATAGGAACTGGATTGATAAGCGGGCCAAGCACATTGAATATAGTAGGTATACTCATTTGAGCTCTAACATTTGCGACTTTTCCCATCACAGGATGAAACGCCGGTGCAAATAAAAAGCAAAACTTAGATTTCTTCACAATTTCAGGAGTAGTTTTCGATGTTACGTGCATCAAAGGCACACCAAGGCACTTAAGGAGATCTCCGGAGCCAGACGTGGATGTCAGAGCTTTACCTCCATGCTTACATACTTGCAAGCCCATTCCGGCAGCCACGATAGCTGACAGAGTCAGAACATTGAAAGTGTTCTGGCCGTCACCACCGGTCCCAACAATGTCAACGTAACCATCTTCGTGAAGCTCCTCAGCGGGTACGATATGGGCGAACTCAAGGACAGTAGCGACAGCGGCGGCAATGTATTCAGCTTGGGTGTTGAGACCCTTCATCGAGAGAGCCGTTAGAAACAGCGCAAGCTCAACATCCGAGCAAACACCTCGAAGAGCGGTTCTGATGACAGTGGATAAGTCTGTAGGAGTGAGATTATCAAGCATAATCAGCTTGACATAGGGAGTCAACACTTTCTGGTACGGCATGGTGTTGAAATTGATGCTCACCTGACTTGTCACGTTTTCAAACTATAAATTATATTCGAGAGTGCATATGACTCATGCGCTTAAATTTGATGAGACGACCATTTGCATTTCTCCAAACTTTCAGCAACCCCCTTCTAAGTCTGATGTAGCACACAAATGAAGTTTCCGGTTCGTACATATAGTTAGCTGAAAGAATATTGCGATTCCTCGTACGATAAGTGTTTTTCAATTTCGCGTGTCTCGTCTGAGGCAATGCCTATTCAAGAATCGGCAGCGTCGAAGAATGGTTAATGATATAAAACGTAAACTCGGGATAGGGTTTCAAACGATTTGGAACTGTTCAACTCTTTGTGATCTAGTCATATTTATTTAGTTTCACCGTGAAAAACTGAACAGGAATTAAGACGACTATCAGATTTTCCTCACGTTATACATGATAATATAGAATGAACATCACCGTTGCGCCTGATTTCAGGCTAATGATTCACCATTGATTCAATTCATTGTCCAAGCTGATTGCCAGCTGTACGCTCTTTGAACATGTTGGTCATGCCTATTCTGACTATGATTCAAGATGGTTACAGAAATTGTCTTTGGGTGAGATGACCCCGAAGATAGTTAGCAAATTCGAAATAGTTATAGTAGATGTTCAACTTTGAGACACCTGCTACAAAAAACTAGAAAATACGTCTTTCTCTACTTGCCGAAGTGAATGCAATGAACTTAATCCGGCCTCTTAAATGATCAAGATAATGACATATGCATTTGAAGTGTGATTCTGCGACTCAAATACCACATTAAGGACCGTGAAACTTCGTGCTATCCCGCTTACAACAATTTCGTCACAGATTCCTGTATATAGCCATTACTCATTTTTGATTGATGATCACTAAGTTATTATTGGCACAATAGTAACCATGCGATATATAATGATCAGATGCCAATCAGACACATCCAAAGAGTGTTAATTACATGACGAAGGAAAGAACTATCGAGAAAGTTGTTGAAGGTATTGAACAAAGTGAAGGTGTGGGAGCCCGGGTTAGGCGGCTGATCGGCAACTTCGAAACACGGGAGTTTAACCCGTTTTTAATGTTTGATCACTTCAAGTCAAATGGCCCAGCTGGGTTCCCAGAACACCCCCACAGTGGTCAGGAAACCATTACGTACTGTTTGCTGGGTCTGATTTGTCACGAAGACTTCACCGGGTCTAAAGGTATGTTGTATCCGGGTGATCTTCAATTCATGACTGCTGGTAAAGGAATCGTGCACCTGGAAATGCCCGTTGAAGGGAAAGATGGGTCATCAGCGCAATTGCTTCAGTTGTGGGTTGATCTTCCTGCCGATTTGAAAAGCTGTCCACCTCGATACCGTGATTTGAGAGAGTGGGAAATTCCCACTTATACAACTGAGGACGGTTTGGTACATGTGAAGGTTATATCGGGGAAGCTGTATGGTGTTGAGTCCATTAAAGAACTAGCATATACTCCCGTCGACTTTTACCACTTCATCTTGAAACCAGGTGCCAAATTTTCACAAGAAGTCAACCCCGAGTTCAACTACTTTTTGTACAATATGAAAGGTCTGGGGTTGAAAATAGGTAACACTCCAGTGAGACAGTATGACAATGTCTTTTTCAATCAAGATGGTGATATCATAAGTGGGAGCTCCACAGGCGAGACTGAGTTCATACTCGTCGGGGGACAAAAGTTGGATCAGCATCTGGTTCATCATGGCCCATTTGTTGCCAATTCTCAGGAAGATATTGTCAAGAAGATTATGGATTATCAGTTTGCTCAAAATGGGTTCGAGAACAAGCGCAATTGGCGTACGCTTATCTCCAATGGTGTTACTGATGAGATGATCAATGGCCCGTTGAATGGGAACCCTGAAGTACGACAAAAGCAAAAGCAAAAGTATTTGCAAGAACACGCTCAGGTAGCGTAGAAAGTGTATCTTTAGTTTGTATAGAAATGAATCTGATCAGTTTTAGTATCTAGAAACTACACTCGAATAAAGAACGAACTTGTACTATCCCGTTCCACCTGTTTCAGTTATCCCAAACGTGTTTTAGATTTTATGCCATTTTTAACTCCGTTTATTGTCTTGTCGAATAGACTAGACATCTATAGCTCATAAAGTCATTATGTACGAAGCTGGTTTAACATTGCCTGAGTTCTTAAATAAATCAGATCTGCATTTCCATCGCCGTCATCTTTATTTGCATCCCTCTTTCGCGTTGTCATGCGCTTCTTTAAAGCATTTACCAGATCGTACTCTTTGTTGGAAGATGTTTGTTCTGATTCTTCCTCATTTTGTGCGGGGAGCCCATAAAATGACATTGCTTTTGAGCGGCGATTCTTAGAGCGACGATCTTTTGCTGCCAGCAGCCCCCTCGGGTTGCTCAGTTTGAGTCGCTCAAGTAAAGTGTCGATAACGTCACTGTTAGTCAGCATTCTCAGCGTATTTGCTTCATCATCGCCGTTGCTTTCTCCCTCATCCTCAGAGTTTTTAGACGTTGACTGAGTAGGCAGTATCTTGACGTCTTCCTCAACTGACTCCTCAGTCTTGCGCTTTTTCAACTTCAGCTCCTCTATCATTCGCTTTCTTGCTTCATACACACGCTGTTCTTCTTCTCTCTGGATATTCTCAACGTGAGCTTTCTTAAAATCATTGATGAACACGACGAATTTGGATAAGAAAGAGTTTCTGGAATTTGCTTCATTAGCATTTTCACCAAAAAGCTCCATTACTCCTTTGAAATCGCTTAGCACCAGCTCCCACCTCGTTTGTAGAATCAGATTTTTGAGTCTTGCCTTTTCCATAGGACCTACGACAGCTTTCAACACCTTATCTTCTGGATGGAAGCGCAGCGGATCCAGCAAATTTCCTTTTGTAATCAGCATCAGTACGTTATTAATGATGCGCTCAAAATCCTTGCAATCCTGATCCATTTGCTCAATCAGTATGTTGTGGACATGTTGAAGCACAGCTAAATCGTCAACGAACAGACCGTATTCAGGAAACTCGTTACGAATGATTTTCTCGATGTAATGCAAAAAGTTCAGCGCATTCTTGTCATCTTTCATGAACTTAAGCCGCTGCAACGTATCTAGTTTGAAGCCCATAGCTTGCTTCAGGGTGTCGTTCATAAAATTTCCCACCAGTCTGATGATTCCAAGAACGTTCTTCAACAGCTGCAGCGATTTCAATTGCATTGTAGCCTTTTCAATGAGATCTAGCTTATTACACAAGTCCAGATAGTCTCGAGAATACGTTTGCGTGAGTAAGAGTGCCCGCGAACGCAGTTTCCAATAGTGACTTAAATTGTAACAGAGCTCAAGGAATAATCGATCAGCACGCTCAAGTTCGTCCGGACTTTGCTTCGGTGGTTTGGGATTACCTCCAGAATAGTCTGTCAGGTAGGGCATGAGTTGTCGTCTAAGCTGATCGGAGAAATCCGTTAGCAGCTCTTGATTGAAAAATTCAAGTACCAGTACATTTTCCAAAACATCTTTGTCGCAATGAAGAACCTTGAGTACCAAATCCATGGGCTCGATCGACGAAAACATATGCATATTGATTCCAAACAGTTGGGCTAGGTCCCTTTGCAAAAACAGCACCTTCTGGGGCTTCGTACCTACCTTCGACGAAACTGGCTCTTTCTTCCGCTTCACCACCAGCAGCTTTGCAACAAATACTTGCTCGACCTCGTTTAAAATGCCCTTTTCTAGTAAGCGATCAGAAAGCTTGCCATGTTCAATGTCGGTCCAGAAAGTCTTTTCGATGTCATCAATTTTGTCCCAATGCATTTGTTTGAGCTTTTGCTTGGGTCTAATTGCCAAAGATTGTAGTGGATCATCCTCAGTAGGGCTCGCTGATCCTGCAGCAGAGGCTTTGGATGAATCGACAGTGGTATCAAAAAGGTTCACAGGCGGTGGAGGCGGAGGTGGAGGCGGAGGTGCCCCATGAGATGTACTTGCTGAAGATGCGTCCAGCAAATTCCCAAGGAAACCAGGCACCGGGGGAGGAGGAGGAGGAGGAGGAGGAGGCGGCGGCGGCGGTGGTGGTGGTATTGAGCCACTCGCGGCTCCTGAACCACCGCCCAAAAATCCTGGAATTGGGGGAGGCGGAGGAGGAGGGGCTGCATTTGATGTGGTACTTGCAGGCGCAGATGGGGGAGGTGGCAGAGATAAATTAGGCAGGTGAAGCTCTGCAAATTTTGAAGACTTGTCGACCTTGGGCAGAGCGTCACGAGTGCGAATAGGTGAAAGCCCAATCTCCATTTTTATAGGCTCCGATAATCTTTCTTTGATAGGCAGTTTAATCAGGCCCCTGTAGGCTGTATGGACTGGCAGAGTCCCTGAGGCAACCGTCTCTCTTATAGGCAGAGTACCTACCGTTATACCTCGCGACTGATCTTTCAAAGGCAGGGTTCCAATTGCTACCGACTTCAGCGATTTCTTCCTGAGTCGAGGGAATTGTCTGGGTTCCTCATTAAACAAAAATGAATCATCGTGGTCGCTGGCAGTTCCGGATGAAGTAACCAAAATCGGTTCATCTGGCAGGACTCCCAATTGACTCGTGGCTTCTTTATCAACAGAATTGAACCGCTGTTGAGCCAATGACAAAGCCAGTGTACGGCGGTTCAGACGCTCTCGACCCAACATGAGCAGAAGTCTCTTCAGAGTTTCATTCGAACGTTGATGAGGAGTTGAGTGATCAACAGTGTCATCCTCATCCAGAACTTCGTAAAACACAATCGGTTCGTTCAAGGCCAGCTGAGACTCCCGGGGCAGTGATGTTTCCATCGGTGCGAGGCCGCTTTCAACAAATTCAGGTACATTATTGGGCGGAATATTGACGTCATCTGGAGAATCGAACTTTTCGTAGAGTCCCAGGTACCGTTCACCACTCCATGGAGGGAGCTCTGGCAGCGCGGATTGTTGAGCTGCTATTCTCGCCGCAGTGCGCAGTGGCGGGTCGCGCAATTGCACTGGCAGTGCCAATCGAGGCGAGCTCTTCGCCGAGGGCAGCGCCAGGGACGCCAGCTGTCCTGACAAACGCGCTGCATCCTCTGCGGCCAATCGTTGCTCGCGTTCCCGGCGCATACGATCGAATGCTGTTTCCCGTCTCCGCAGACGTCTTCCGGATTGGGTGGGCGTTTCTTCCTTCGGCGACAGTAGGCATGGAGAAGTATTCTTACCAGCAAAGCTTGTGTTCACACTAAGCAGAATAGGTGGTGTCGAAGATACTCCCAGTTTTTGGAATACCTTTATCTTCAGCATCAGAAGTCGCTCTTGAATCTTACGTTGCACGTCTGGATCGATGATAAATGCCAGAGACCGGTTCAGTGCTTCAACATCCTCAACACTAAGACGATCAAGTTGAGGCTTGCGGCGTTCACTTCGCAGCGGCAACCGTGGCAGTTCAAGAGTCTCAAGAGGAGCGAACTTAGGTGCCTTTCCAATATTTGGTTCCGAGCCCGATGAAGATGAACGCTCCAAATTGTCCTTGCTACCCTTGTTGAAACGTGACGTCTTGGACTCCTCCTCAAATGAATCAAGTATTGAAGCATTAACTGGTTCCTCCATTACGCCAACAGGACTTTCGGGGTCAGCCCACATAGCTCCACTGTCGTCCACATCAACAAACAGTACTTCAAAGTCTTCAAACGTGGGTACCGCATTGTCCTCGGGAGACAAAGGCGAAAGAATGTCAGGACCAGGCAGAATTTGCGTTCCTTGTGACTCGGTCCAATCATCATAAAGAAATCCTGGTATTGGCGGAGCTGGGGGTGCCGGCAATGGCTTCGTGTTTTCATGCCAGCGTCGGCGACGAGCTGAACGGCGTGCCTCTTCGCTTTGGGTTACACTCCCTGCATCACTTGCCTCCAGCATCAGCGTCGCACCCAGTGCGACCAGAGCCTCCTTGATGGTAGTGTCAAAAACGACTTTGTTCAATTGACGTCCATTTTTGGCACTGCGGGCAGAAAACATACGCTCCAATTCGTTGATAAAATCTGCCAGAACCGCAAACAGCGAATCTCCAACCAGGGATCCGTCGTTTGCCAGGGTCAGTACCAGTACACGGCGCTCAATTTCAGCATCATTCTCAGCCATCCTTTGATACACCTTCGCAATTTTGGGATCACGATCTGTTACTTGAAGTACCACATGATCAAGAACACGAAGTTGACGATTCAATTCCTCCTCATTGTACTGTGCCCGTTGCTTCAAGGTACTAATTTGAGCGAAGATTGCTCTCATGAACTGCTCGCTCACGTCTGGTGCATCCAGCTTAAGTCCATGATAGTACAATTTTAAGATATCTTGAAGAAGTGGGTCGAGTCCCATTTGCTCAGGTACAAGAGATGGCACCAGGGGAGCACTGGTCGGGTTCAGGTAAAAGTGGAGTGACAGCCCACTTTCCAGTTGAGGGACAAGCAGATCAGGTGCCAGCAGTGAAATAGCCAGTGCTTGAGCGCTTGTCAGGTAACTAGTCAGGATGCCACCTTGAGTATATTCATTGTAATCCTCCTCAGCGAAGACCTCATACTTATCAACTTCCTCCAAAATGCGTTCATCACCAAGCTGTTTCAACTTCTCAAATACATCAATAATCTTCAGATCATTGAACTCTCGTCTAAGCGATACACGATGACGAATCAGTGTGGTACCCTCAACAATCAGGTTGATTAATAAAAGCAGTGTGAGGGCGTAATCCTTGAAAACCAGATCCTGATGAAACCGGTCACCCAGTTTAAAGTGTTGTTCAAGAGAATTCAGCAACAGCGCAAGCCATGGTTGAAATCGTACTAAATCACCTTTGAGATCCTGTAATGCATGCATAGCTTCAAGAATATGAGATAGGAATTCATGATCTTTGTAATACAGCAAAAAGATCATTACCTCTGTGACTAGTTTGCGCGTACTAATGCGTGGACTCGTAAGCAGAAATATCATCAGTTTGATCACATGTGGTTTATTGTTGGAAATCCCGAGAGTCAACAGCTCGTCACCCAACTCTTGTATTTCGAGTCTCTCAGCATTAATTATATGCTTCAAACATTTGACAATGACAAACTCCATCTCCAACTCGTCATTCAGCTTGATCAGCTTCTTATTGATTCGCAGTAAAACCACAGACAACGCCAGCTCACCTTGAGCTCCAGTAAAACCTTGCACCCACAGCTGGTGATATTTGGTCAGATACAGGTTTTCCACGAGTTTCTTTTCCAACTTTCTGAATTCTTTGGAAGATAGCTTGTTGCTCATGATTTTTGCAACATACCATTCGGGTGTACCTTCGCGTATTTTGCGCTTCTCTGCTGCTTCCTCTTTCAGAAGGGCTTGCTTTTTGGTGATACGCAGCAACAAATTGTAGCTCAGCGCCTGCTTTTGAAGCTTTCGTTTGTCATCTACCAAGCTTCGATGTTCTGCTGGGGCGATCAGTCGACGTAATTGAGCTAGGTCAAACAGCGGATTTGTTTGGGATTCGCGTACGAGCATATCCCACTTGCGTCTTGTGCCCTGATCACGTAATGTACGCATTGCTTTCTCACTGAATACCCTTACAACTAAAAGGCGTTCAAACATTTGATCAACCGTTTCCAGGTCCGGCATCAGCATTGCGGTGTTTTGAGTTTGTCGCAGTCCTAGCAGCAGTGCCAGTGTGGTCAGCGAATGTCGCAAAACTGGGTCAGGGGGAGGATCAAGTCCGTAACCAGCTAGATGAAGCCCTTTCTCGGCCAAATCGGCTGATGAGCTGAATTTATCATGATCAACCATCTCTGCATTAGCTTGGTATGGGCCGACCAGTCCTAACAGACCTAGGGTCGGACGCCTCGTCATCAACAGCCCCAGCAGAGTCAGTCCCATCAGAGCCCTGTATGGACCTTGCGACAAATGTGGAGGAGAGTCTAATAACCTGTACTCTTCATCACTGATTCGATGTATTGGAAGCGGCTTTGCCAGGGCTTTGGCTGAATCGTATCCGATGGCAGCAAAATGCTCAGTTGTGCCTTCACCAAGCGTCTTATCAAAATTGAGAATCAGGGCCAGCTTGCCGAGCCGCTTGATGCCTTTATGAAACACCAGCTTCCGCAGCCCCCGTTCGTCCATGTGAGCTTCGACCGCAAGTTGAAAGTATGTTACGATATACTAGAATGAGTTGTTATTTGTGCGCGCTAGTGAGGGTGTGACACTCAAACTGACGAATACATCACGAACAACTGAACAAGGTCCAAATCCGTAACACGATTACTTTTACTGTCATTGTTCGATGAATTCAAATTGGTAGGAGGTTGGCAGTCGGTATATGAAACTCTGTTCGTAACGCTAACCTGTCTTTCTGTCCATGTTTACAAGATGTTATCATCACATCATAATGCGTTGAAAGGCATTGTGAATTCATTCAAAGGGACAACCTCAGCTTATTGATATTAGTAAAATGGTCAAATCCTTCGCTTGAATGCCATTAGCCGCATTTTGCTTTAGGTACGCGAAGGGATCGCATTATATGATCTTGGAACAACGCTCAAAATCATTAGCTTTGATCTCGAGTCATTCTGATCCGTCTCCGAAATTGAGATCATACCCTGCACATTGATTACGATTTAGCTATGAAGCATTGATCAGTTTCGAGTAACTCGATATCAACGTGTACATTGCTCTTTTGGGAACTTTACAGAATTCAAAAAATATGTCATGATTTATTCGTTATTAAAACCCATGCTATGTTATGCTGTCTCCTTTTTGGCCTTTAAGCGGCGTTGCGTGCGCTCGAATTCATCATCAGCAGGTTCTGTTCGTTTCTTACCTCTACCCCCACCATATTTGGCTTCCATGTGAGCAATAAAATCTTCAGCCCTGGCTTTATTGCGCAGTTGTATCAACAGCTTGAGATCTGCTTTCCCTTCAATTTGTTTCTTGAGCGTCTCCGCCTCCTTAGCTTCCTTTGCTAGTTTCTTCAACATTCTCTTGACTTTGGTTTTGCGACTTTTGCGATATTTCTCCCATTGATTAAGTATCTCCTTCGAAAGTCCTAATTTGGCAATCTCTGCTTCGACAATGTTAAACACGCGTTCTTCCAGTTCTTCGGTGAACTCAAGATGGGGAATCACCTCGAATAGCCGAAGAAAATCACCTTCGTAGTAAACGAAATTGTCAATGATGTCTCGTGCCTCTTCTTCACTACCAACATAAAGACGTCTGTCTTCTTCAATCGATTCCACAGAAATCTTGGTAGCAACCCCTTGGAAGAAGCTAAGCCAATCGAAGTCATCATTAGTTCCTTCGTCTAACCGACCTAGCTCATCATAGAGCCTGCGTCTTTTCGAATCACTCAAGACTTTGTAAGCAAATTGGACTTTGGCAAAAGCGTCCTTGGGAGCATCTTTATTTTTGTCGGGATGCCACCGCAAACTGAGACGTTTGTATGCTCTCTTAATCTCTATAGGCAGGGCCAGATGCTCTACCTCGAGCGTGGCATATGGGTCCAAGTTTTCCCAGGTCATCGAGGAGATATGCGTTGTGCGGCGGGGAAGTAGTGAGGGTGGCACTAGCTCACAATATCAGTTTTACTTCGAAAAATTACATTCACACCAATACACATGAAATCCACAAAGTCAACCTAAAAAGACAAAGAGATTGACTAAACATGGTTTTTACGTATAACTAAAGGTTCGCCATGATAATCGTGTGATATTTATTTTGTCTTCCCGCTATACGCTATAAACGCCTTGCCTCATAGAACAAAATTAAAGATACCACGCTGAGTTCAGCATGATCGTTATTGCATCATTTAAGTAACGTTTAATGTTACGGAATCATCAATGGAAATTTGGAAACTACTTCTAAATACCGACTCTCAAAACGTTTTGGCCTTGATGTCTGAACTTAATTTGCTCGTAACGCTCCATAACGTATAACGCCCGGTTTAAGGCCTCGTTACTTATCAGACCACGGTCAACAAGATCACGCCGTAACGTAGCAATGTTCGTAGACCATCCCATAGGTAAACGTTTACAAATCTCATCTTGGGCACGCCTGATTTCAGCATTGTCTTTACCACTTGTCCCCAGTCCAACACCTTGTTCAACTGCGTTCATAGTTGACGCGGTAAACAAACGAATTGCTTCTTCAACATGCTCCTCGGTGGCGACAGGACTCAAAGTTAATTTTGCCAACAGTTCGGTTATTCGAATGATTGCCTCCAATTGACGAACTGTAATGGGAATCAGCAGTCGTTCATTTTGTTCCAGTTCACTCACTTGCAATTGATGGCGAATTTGAACGAAGTGAGATGACAATCTCTCCAGAGCTTCTGCTGATAACCGAGGAGCACATTTGAGCTTGCAATATTGAATATAGCGTTTCATTAAATCACCAGGTATTTCACCCTCACTCTCTTGATTCTGTCTTTGATTGCCAGTATGGACGTTCATAACATGTTCAGCAATCAGGATATCTCGCAGCTCATTGTGGACATCCTTAACAATAAAAATCATATCGAAACGAGACAAGATCGTAGTTTGAAAATCAATATTCTCTCCCGGCAGTTTCATGTCGTCATAGCGACCGAATATGGGATTTGCCGCAGCCAACACCAGGGTACGCAGGTTCAAAACCGTTGTAATACCCGCTTTAGCGATCGAAATAGTTTGCTGTTCCATGGCCTCGTGAATTGCCACACGATCTTCATCGCGCATTTTGTCAAATTCATCGATACACACGACCCCACCGTCAGCAAGAACCATAGCCCCTCCTTCGAGGTAAAAATCACGCGTTGTTGGGTCACGCTGAACACTAGCGGTCAAACCCGCCGCCGATGACCCCTTCCCTGAAGTATAAACTGAAATTGGGGCAATCTTTTCGACGAATTTAAGCAACTGAGACTTGGCTGTACCAGGGTCACCCAACAATAAAACATTTATATCCCCTCTGAGGCGCATGCCATCTGGCAAAATTTTCTTCAGACCACCTAAAAGCAAACAAGCGATGGCTCGCTTGATATCTTCATTCCCATAAATTGAAGGTGCAATAGAGTTCGTGAACTCTTGATACAAATTTGGATGACGCAGAAGTTGTATAAACCGCTCTTCCTCTTCTTCTGAAAACACAACTCCTCCACCGAGGGTGCTGTCCACGTCGGTTTGTATACCAAGAATTCGCAAATATGGATTACGGATCGCAACAGCACCGGAACCTTCACGACCCTTCTGTCGCAGTTGGTAAATGCTATAGACACCAACAATGGTGACCCTCGTACCGGGAACAACCTGATTTGTCATATAACGATCGGCTTGGAGCATGATATGCCGAGGCATTTCTCCTACTGGCACCATATCCGGAGCTTCTTGGAGCTTAAGACTCTGTTGGTCAACGAAAGTCAGTTTATCATGGACAATCACGTAAGGGTCTGGAGGGCACTTCTCACGAGCATCGTCGATGTGATTACCTTGACATTTAGTTGGCAATTGAATTGGACCAAACCCAGGTGGTACACGCATACGATAGAGATGCTTGCAATTGCGGCACACAAGTTGTACAACTGTTGCTCTCAGTGAGAGCACCAGTGCGCTAATGATGATTCCCGGGACTCTCACAATTTTCAGAATATGCTCCAGATCTAAATCACGCACTGGAGTATGGTTAGCACGCAGATCAAGAAGAAGTTGGCACGTGGGAAATTCTCGCTCATTCACTGGAGTGTCATTGTCTATCATTGTGAGAGTTTTGGCCACAGTAGTGATTGCTGCTTCAAACAAGGGAATGATATCACCAGGATCATCACTAAGCTTCTTATTGAGCTCCTCATTGTACAAGATTAAATGTTCTGTATTCACTCGAAGGTAATAACTTTTGATTCTGAGATTTTCACGAAGCTGCTCACGATATATGAATGAGTTTGCAATGCGAAATTCAGTGATAAACTTCCGAAACTCAGCGGTGATTTCATTAAACAGAGAGTCATCCGGAGTCTCCCCTGGGAGCACTTGAGCACCAAAGACTTGAGTAGGTTCAAACAGCATGACGTTGTTGGACGCGCAAAAAACGCGTCTGGATTAATTCAAAAAATTTTAATCGCGGCTGATATAAACGAGCTTCAAAGCGTACATTTGAATCCGCATAACGCTTGAGCAGTCAATACTGATATTAGTCAAGACAGAACGGATTTTGCGCTGTCGGTTAAGCAGTTTATTGGGAAGCTTTGAGCACGATCGACCACCTACTTGACCACGTAAGTTTTAGTATTGCACTTCGAGATTCTTTTTTCGACTAGACTAGTGTCTGATGCCACCCTCGTTTAGAGACTTGGTTTTGGGGGCAAATATTCCGCTCTGCTCAAAGCCGCACGCCATCGCGCTGACAGCCAGGTTGGATCTCACTATGCGAATACCTTTTCTATATAAAACCCGCTTCGAGTTCAGACGGCTGATATTCGCCGTTGCTACGAAAAGCAAGAAATCCGTGCCAAGGAAATACAACCGTCAAGTGACAGAAACCTCCGATGACCGGGCGCAGAGAAGTTTACAAGAACTGAAGCGCAAACAATATAATGATGAACGACGCAAGCATCAAGAGCGACTTCATGAATTAAAACTTATGACAGCCGAAGTATCTCGGCAAGTGAAAGAACGAATTGCTATTGGCGAAGAGGAACTGCAGCGAAAGCGATCGCTTCCGACTCATTCTGGTGTCGGTTGTGTGTCCACGACTAGTGTACTCACCAGTCTGGTTGAACTTCCAGACGAAATTGCATCTCGTCTAGGAGACTTGATGAGATTCCTCGTAAACAAGCAACATCAAAACTGGACGATGGTTGTGGGTCATTTGCAGCAATGTGGGGGCTTTGTTGGTGTCAGCAACAAACTGGCCAATCGATTTGTGCAGCTTATCCCTCCTAAAGCTATGAAGTCTTTGATTGGAATTATTGAAGACATGTACAAAGAGGCAGGTCACTCGCCACTGGTTGCAGTACAAACACACTTTCTCAAGGCCCTTGCTATTGGTTCGGTAGTCTCTCCACAAACGATGGGGGTCATTGAGCTGCGCTTGAGCACAATTCGTCAGCATGTGGGAGTTGACAAACCATTGCCAATGAGTGCTTATGAGACCATGGTTGTCGCTTACGGCAAGGCTAGCGAGCTAGATCTGATCAACGCTATTCTTCGTGAGATGAAAAATCACGAGATTGAACCTTCCTCCAAAATTTACACCAATGTGCTCTCCACTTGTGTGTATCGGTTGAAAGATCACAAGCAGGCTGTGGAGATATTTGATACAATGCGTTTTTTTTCAAAAGCCACTAAACCAGGAAGCCGAGAGTATCGAGATATTATTGTGTCTCACGTAAACAATAATGACGTCGAAAAGGCAATCGATCTTTATCATGAAATGATCACTGACAACGTGGAACTCAATCAACCAATTCTTGTAGCACTTGCTCGAGGATGCTCGGGTCGTCCTCAACTTCGGACAAGAGCATGGGAGTTTATGTTTGAGATTTACAATAAAGGCTGGGAACCTACTCTTGAGCTGTACGAGTATATGATATATTTAGCTGCCAAGGATGGGGATTTATCGTTGTCTCGTGCGCTTTACTCCAAGTTGATAAATTCTGAGACAGTAACCGTCAGAAGCTTTGGTTTTTTGTTGTTAGCGTACGCGAAATACCATCAATCGGCGGAATTGCCGTGTGTGTTTGGCGTAAAGAATGGGCGAACCTTCCGAAATAATGTTTTAAAAGACCTGGAGATTACATCAGGTGGTGTTTTGCCGTTTTTGCCCAAATCTGATCTCGTCACTACTGATGAAGTGATGGCCGAATCAAGTGCTATTTGGGCCTACCATTTGATAAAAAGACCCGACGTAATCACTCGCGAAAATGTCACTTCCTATCTTAACATTGCCAGTGAAATTGGTCTGCTTAGAGAATTTATTGACCGCTACAAATCCACCACATATTTGGACAGAAGTGGGGCACCACGCAACCGAATCATTGCTGTTGATGATCAACCAGATAGTGAGAATGATAATACTGCTGTCTTAAATTCGATGGACGAGGTGTCAGAGATGAATCTGTTGGTAAAGTCTCCGGTTTTAGATGAAGTTGATGATATTCAAAGGCAACACAAGGTTTCTCGCAATTCTTTAATCTACGTGATAGCGTTAAAGGCTGCAGGAAAACACAAGAAGTACGACTTTGCTCGTGAAATATGGACAGAAAGAGGTGAGTTCAGGAAGACTGCTGCATTCAAACAACTACCAAGAGATTTTAAGGATTCACAAGACTTTCAATTTGCCAACGCAATGATATACAGTTTGACTCAGATGAATTTGCTTGAAGACGCGTGTGCCATATTGTTGAGCACTGAGTGGCAATTTAAATGGACTTGGGCTGAGTTAATCCATTTGCATCGCGCCTCCGTTGCAGTGGGGAATGATAAAATAGCTCACACAGTACGACTGATTGCCAAGCGAGCTCAAACCAATCATGCCGGGAAAATGAGACGTAGAGACTACAAAAAGTATGTCATGCAAAGGGGTTTTTAATTTTGTATATAGTCAGCATGATGTACTTCCGTAATCGAATATCATTATTTCCGCCACATTCTTTCACTTACAACTGCTAAAGATTTTGCCATGAAATTCTCATTCTCTGGCATCATGCATTACTATACAGTTCAATTGATTCCCTTTGGCGACACCCACTGATGATCAATGTGATCAACGTCACTTACCCACTGCCACACCTTAAAGATTTCACCATGATCCTCGATTACTTTCGAATTTATGTTCGTATTCGCCTCAACTTTTGTGATCACCTTATTCCATAATTGAACTCGCCGCTTGAGATTTTGTTCATTAGCCAAAATAATATCCCTCAATTGCACCAGTCCAATATAGGGAATGACATCGGGGTCGGTTTTGGCACGTTTGGCGTTACCATAAAGACGCTTGAGTACATCTTTATATATGATATCCAACTTTGTTTTCTCTTCTCTGAATTTTACCAACTTCCAATTGATCAACTTCACGAGTATTACAATCGTAACCAAAAATAAGACCTCTACCTTGTGGCGTGCTATCAGTCCAACAACACTGTTTCGTAACTGGCATCCAAGAGAGAGGTTTCGTAAGGACGTCGATCGAAAAACTTTTTCCGTGCGGTTATCGTCCTTGCCTTCGTCAGCGGATCGAGATATTTTAAGTTTTCTGGAAGAATGATTTGCAATTCTTGTCTGTTCAAGGTTAGTAAAATTTGATTGAAAATTGGAGTACTTCTTTGCCTCAGTCCAACATACTTGCCTTACAATGATTTCTTTCTCCTTTTCTAGTTGAATAATTGAGGAATTCCAAAGCTCTTCAAACTCCTCCAACAGAATATATGGAGCTTTCATCTCTAGAAGGAAGTCATGGAGATCCGAAAGTGTGATCCCCGCCTCAATGTCATCAGTACATTTCCCACATTGCCGCCTAGCATTTTTTTCACGCAAAAGATCTTTAGCGTTCTCAATCATGAGCACGATTTTTTCGGCTCTTTTCGTGTCAGAGACACATCTTTTATTGGTAGGGAATAGCCAATTGTTCCACGGGACATATTCTGTAAACTCTTCAAAACAGCCTAGTTCCAAATTGGGAAAGCATCGCGCATGTTGAGGGCAGGGGACACACTGGGGGCGCGCGTTGTTGTCTAGCCATTTCCCAAGATTGCGCAACACAGAATTGGAGCTGCTCCCAAATGTAGTGTGAGATACTGCATGGTCACAATAACCAACCACGAAAATTTGTTGCCGATACCAGACTCCAAAAGCCCATGCCATGATGAAAAGGGTCCAAACAAAGATTGAAAGAAGTCTGGGAATTCCTCTCTTCAAAGGATTCGTATCAGCGTCGTCGTTATCCGTTTCGTAATCCTCATCGCTCAGATCAACAATATCTTGCACAAGATTCCGAGATGGTGTCTTCTTGACAGTGGCGACCTTTTTTGAAGTATTCACTGGTGTAGGATGCAAGATGGATCTGTCATGCTTCAATGTGGTAGACCCGAGTTTCGACATAGGTTCTTCGATTTTTGAGCTTCCTCGTGAATCAGCATACTTCCTCGAGTCATCGCTCTCGAACTCCACTTCATTTTCGGCCTCGAGTGCTTTAATGTAGTTTTCATTTCCCAACCTGTCTTCAACTTCGGCTTCGTTTTCGTCGTTGTCGTCAGAGATTACAGTTGCGCTATGTCCCTTGACTATAGGTCTGCGTGTAAATTTCAATGATCTTTCGTTCAATGCATTTGCGTTGCCTACAGATGGTATCGTCGGCAGTCGCACATTCGGTGTTTCCATCAAATAGGGATTTGAGCTATGGGGTTTCACGGGATCTTTGGTTTTACCTGGAGGAGTTTGGTGAGTAGGGCCAGGCGATGACGCATTAGAAGCACGTGTGGGCAACAGTGATGAAACTATTTCGTTTCGCGCTTTGTCAAATTCAGAAGCTTCTTCCTCGATCAGTTTCGATGGTGTCAGTTTCGATGGTGTCAGTTTCGATGGTGTCAGTGTCAGTTTCGATGGTGTCAGTTTCGATGGTGTCAGTTTCAATGGTGTCAGTTTCTTCGGCGCTGTAATGAATTCCTTAGCCGCGTTTGCGAGCGGTGATTGTGCCGGAGTTCCTTTCACTGTTTTATTTGTAAAGAATGAGTTTTCTTTTTTGACCAGCGAAGGAGTTGTCACGGGTTTAACAATTTGTGTCAAAGATTCGATGAACTCATCATCACTCAGATCATCAAAATTCAAAGACGCATTCAGAACTCTTTGATTATTGGGGGAATTATCGGCTGAGATGCTGGTGTCATGTTTAGATAATTTTGCCACTCGCTTATCAAGGGCATCAGCCTCAGCTCTCCGCTTAAGCTTTTTGGTTTTGACAACTCGCTGTCCACCTGTTGAGGTATCAACGCTCTGGGACTCGTCACTAGTTTGTTGATCATGTTTTTCACGCAATTGTGATAGTTTTGGGGTGACTTGGTCGTTAAATATAGCGACCAATTCCTTCTTCTTAGCATTTGGGGCATGCTTGATTTCAAGTTCCTTCAAAATCTTCCGCAACTCAGACACCCGCAAAGTACCAGGATCAAACCCTATAGTTAGTTTTTGATATTCGTTTTTAGTTTGAAATTACTTACCGTCTTGCAAGTATCTTTTCGGTGCCATATTATTTGTGTGGCGCTAACAAGATGTGATGTTTTGGTGCGCGTCAGTGTCCTCCAGTAACCAAAGAAAAACAAAATAACCTTGCGAGTTTTCATTCTAAATGAGTGCTGGAAGCTGCGGCAGGACTTCTTCAGTTGTCTTAGTGTATTGTGTGCTTCCCAAATAACGTACATATTGATCGTTCAAAATTGTACATAAAGTTAAATTGACAATTCGAGGAATGTCATTGCCTCATCGGTAGGCGGTTTCCGTCTACATGTTGTCTAATGTGGCAATGGTTTCCTCACCCTCGTGGGGTAATTTTGCACCGGGCAGCTAACCAAATCAAACTCCGCCAAACATCACTTCGGTTGCCATGTCATGGTGACATTAGAAAACAGTGAAGATGAATATTGCATGCCAAGACTAACGACAACTTTTTAATCCCCATTATTGGCCGTATCCCCGCCACATCTGTAAGTACCAAATGCTATCTCGCAAGGCACAAAGCCTTTATATCAGGAAGCTGTCACCCTCTAATCTTATATGATGGCAGGACAACGTGGGCCCTGAATGGCCTGCAGGCATGATCGGAAGTTATCTTGACGCTGACGAAGCGAAGCAGCACCCTAAAATGAAGCCGCGAAAATCAGGTATAGCCAGGCAAATGTCAGCACACATTTTAACACTTTGAACTTCGGAGAGACGTTTCCGGCACATGTTATTGAAATGATTTTCTACTAATAGCGTCGATTCCCCCATTTGTCTAACGTCCCTTATCCCCGCTTGCCGCCCAAATTGCTTGCCCGTGTCATCCTGTCACTCTTTGGGGGCACGTGGTGGCCTAGCTCAAGGGAATCCTGCATATGCTTAAATAAGATAAAGGCAACTTAGGATTACCATGCACAACGTACGTATATAATCGCTTTTCACATCCGAACTGTTCTTACATTGGATTCAACTTCACCTTCTCGGTCTGTTGTCCAGAAATCGTGCCCTCATCAATACTCCCCCAGCGTGTGCAGTCACACAAATTCTATCTAGAAAAAAGCGAGTGCTCCCACATCATCCCCCGCTTTACCCTTTGATCTCCGGCAATTTACTTCGCTGAATATACCTGGTTGTGACATAAACCAAATCTCATGAGCTGTGTGCCCTGTTTGATAATATGAGTTTGATCCAAAAATCGACTCCTATACCCTCTCCCAATGATTCGCTTCATAATCGAATGTCGCCGAAAACTTCGCTGACCCTGCTGGCGGCGGGTCTGGGAGGGTTATCGGCTACAATGTGCCAACTGTCCATGCCTAAGGCTCAAACGTTTGATCCCTTCTTGGTTCCATATGTCAAGCAAACATTCATCCATTCAGGTTTCAATCATACTGACGTCGTCTTGAAAACATCACGAGCTCAAGACCATGACTTTTTCTCTAGGTATCTTGTTCAGCCACCAACTCGTGACAAGTTTCTGCGCTTGGCTCTTAAGAAACTGCCTTATAATCGCTATCTTTCTCAAGTGAAGCAATCTCAAGCTCCAGTTCCCAGCGTCTCGCCTCCACGCACTTCGCCGAGGAAAACGGAAGTTATTCAACCACCTACACCGGCTGTTGTCATCCCTCTTCCTCGCAATTTCATGGAATGTCCTCTTGGCGACCTAATTTCGCTTATGGGTCGAATGATGGCCCTGCTTATCAAAGTTAATGATAAACAAGTGCCTGTTGAAATAAGTCATCCACTACCAGAGACGCAAACCACCACTAACCTGCTTCTTACTCGGTATCATCTGAGAAGTCCGCCCAATATTTCCACGACTAAATACTTATCGCGATTGGTAAAGTTCAACAATTTCAATCCTGCGACTCTCTTGACGCTGATATACTACATCGACTTGTTGTCTCATCAATACCAGCCTTACTTTACACTAAACCTGTGGACAGTACATCGATTCCTTCTCGTGGCCACGATGATTGCTCAAAAGCTGATGGAGGATTTCTTTTACACTAATGATCACTATGCTAAGGTCGGTGGTGTGGCGATATCGGAACTAAATTGTTTGGAACTTGACTTTTTGGCACGAGTAGACTGGAGGTGTGTTCCAGTAAAAAGTGTTGATGGATCGTCTAGCATTAAACACGCTCAAGACGTTCTCAGCTTGTACTACAATCAATTAATTGAATTGATGGGTAAGAATACCGCGCTGGAACCTGGTTCAGCTTCTCATTATGTTCAAGCAGATGAAGACAACTTTGTGACCAGTTACGCAGATGACGATGATGAGGTGGACGACGATGACGGCGTTGCTGAAGACGACGAGTTTGATGACTGTGGTGAATGTCCATCACCGATGCTCTACCAACCTGTTGGCAGCAAACACAATAATGACTCACGTGGCTACATATCTGGAACTTTCTCGCCACACTTGAAACGACGGTATCCTGAGGATTAATCAGGTGCATGTATTCATTTTTTATACTTTTTGGGAAAACGGCCAATGGAATAGACGGAAATACACGATACATTAAGCACAGAATTTCTCTCTATCAATTACTCCTTTAAACATCGTGACGTTCGTTGCCCGTATACATCTCGAAAAGCTTCATTAAATCAACATTCGGATTGTCATCGAAGACCAGACCACCCAAGTTGCTAAAATTGAGCAACCCATTTCCGCCTACCGATGAAGACGGCTCATTGATCATTGGAGTGAAGCCGTCAAGGACCAGCAGCACCTGGCTGATATCAACATTAACTTCGTCACCGTGAGGTTGGGCCATCAGGGGGCTAAAACTTGTAGTGCTGGTTGTCTCCAGATTACGACCCAGTCCGATTCCTTGAGGGCTGAAAGGGCCTTGAGTATTCTTTCGGCGATTGGCGACCAGTCCCTTGCCAGCAATCCCTCGAGACTTGGCGTATTCCTCTTTGGCAACTCTGAACTCTTCACATAAATTGCACAACTTCTCAATCTCTTGATTGGTAAACAAATCCAACGTATTACTACCCTGGTGAAAGAATCTCGGGTCTTGAATGCCTTTGAAAAATGCAGTGGGATTGTCAACGCATTGTTTCAAAACCACTGAGCTCATAATAAAAACCTTCCACAGTGATAAATAATTTTTGGATAAGACTCGGAAAGAGCCAATAAATAATTCCAGCTCCATGATTACGACGTTGAAGAAGCGGTCGACAACCTCTAGTCTTTGTGCAAATTTTGGTTCATTGGGGATTTTGAGGGAAAGGTCCATGCGATGGTGCAAAAGCCGAACAAAAAACGAAGTGAGGAAAGCGTGTGTCTTCACCATACAACGCTCATTATTTGCCGTAAGAAAATAGTCATAATTTCTTCCAAAGACACGAACACTGTTGTCCAAGACAAACAGCATAATGTAAACTAATTGTACCACCAGCTTCACGTAAATCTTGAATAGGCCCAATCCAGTTTCTACCAGCAGTTCATTTCCACTTTGGTTCTCGTAGTGAAGGGCAATCATATAATACATGCACAGTAGGTTTGTTCTTAGGTGAACAAAGATGCTGTACTTAACGACTTTGAGAAATGCTTCTTCATGTTCAGCTGTTCCGACTTCTTGAGCAGCTGCCGCTGACAGAGCAGGCTTGCATATCACGTCCTTAAAGAAGTCCTTCCCAAACATTTGAAAAAACAATTTCTCGAGAGCATTCGTCTCTTGGAGCACGTCGACCACTTTTGGTTTATGCGTGACGTCATTAATCATTAAAACGATCTTCCGATAATGGTTCGAAATTTTACGCACCATAAAGGCAACTTCGTTCACCTTACCGGTAGCATCTTTGAATATGGGAGGTTCAACGTCACTCATGCTTAAATCAGGTATACTAGGATATGTTCCACATCCCACCAGGTTGATTGAATCTGTAATAACCAAATAATGCCACAATGCTCGCCACAGTTTTATGAGTGAATGCCGCTTACTGATGGTATCGTGGGCTAGATAGAATGTAGGATCGCGATTGAGACCTATACTCATAGCGTGCCTCACAATAGTTCCGAACAAATTATTGCCATCAGCTGCACCTAACCCAAGACAATCACTGGGGATTACCAGTCGGTAAAAATGCAAAAGCAGTAATCCTTGGACTAGCTTTAGCAGAGAACTCAGCCCCACGAGATGATCTTGGAAGCATGCAAATAAAAGCTTGAGATAGGCACTGTGATTAATTCGACGCATAGATCGAATCATGCTCTTCTCATCTTCATTATACTCGAGGCTATCGTTATGAAGCAACAGCATGTATCCAAGTCTTATTACCACTAGGAAGAGACCCAAAGTAATAAGATCATGATCCAGCTCTATTGAAATGCTCAGATATTTCTCGCGACTGAAGTTTGGAAATGAGTTGAATAAGCCCTCAACATCACTTAACAACTGCTTTTCATCAAGGATTGGGATGAATGCATGCACGTACTTAAAATAACGACAGTAAAGCATGAACAAGTTAAGCTTGTCGGGTAACACTTGAATCACATGTTGCATGATTAACTGATAAACCTCAACACGTGTTGCAATCAGTGATATCGTGTCAAGAGAGGGGAGCTTAGCATCAGCACGAGGATGCTGGGGTGACTGTGCCTTTGTCTGTGATAATGGATCAATTGGTGGGGGTGCTATGGTGCTAGGCCCATCGTCGTCCAACTTTATCTGATCGTCATCGACATCATCGGTCTCTGGTTCGGTTTCTTCTTTGGCAATACGCTGAATGACGAGCAGATCTTCTTGAACTGGATCAAGCAGATCGCAACGAAGCTTTTGAGATGTCAGTTTGTCCAGGGCCACATCAGTATCGATACGAGACTTTTTCACTGTTGTTGGCAGGGCTGAGGCCAGCAGACGTTTTCCTTTGGAAGCTGGTTTGATAAATTTTGCCATTTCTCCAGATTTGAAGAGATGAAGGGCATAATTCCGCAAAACTTTCAAGAAAGGGTCACTTTTCGTGAGGCCGATGTACAGTAACATTCCTTGTTGTGACCACCAAGGGCCCTCTGTATTTAAAGAAAACAGAGCGTTCTGGAAGGTTGTTATTTCGTCCTCGCTGCTGACCAGGAGCGTGGTGGAGGGTCCCAAGGGAATGTTCACATATGATGATGTTACCAGATTTCGGTGGCTTGCATTTTTTGCTGGCGGTGGTATCAGCATTCCCAGAGTAATCAGCAGAGCTCCTGGTGACATTACAAACAGGTCCAGAGGTGGCGGTACACCAAACGTGCCTGGTGGCAGCAGTTGCACTGTGGGGGGCGCTAGTGGTAATTGCGGTCCATTAGAAGGGGCTCCTGGGGAAATCATCAGCATTTCTGGCAGATGATGATGTATGGGTACTCCTTGTGGGTCAAAAGGAGGAAATGAAGATAAGCGTGATGGTTGAGGCATTGGCATGGGTAATGGAGGGCCTTGTGGACCATTTGGAGGAGCTGAAGCAGGCGACAATTCCGTTAGTGGTTGCACGTAGGTAACGTGGCCCAGTGGTTCTTTAGAATCCGCTTCGTAGTAACATAGATGGGAAATTGACTTCTTCTTGCACAGGCCACAGATGGGCTTGACCCGGTCACATTTAGATTTGCGCTTGCGACACACCAGGCACAGCGCCGGCACCCGGTTGCGCTTTTTATAGGGCAACTCCATGGAATGGGCGCTAGTAATTGTGGTGTGTTTAGTGGTTGGGCTAGCACGTTGGTTTGAATATCGTCAGTTCCCCCTCCATGACTATTGCCATGTGATTGTCGACTGACCCTCATGCCCCGGTGCAGGAAGATGTTAAGTCATCGAATACTTACGAAAAACTGCCCAATTAGTGTCGGATTATGACAAGAGGTTACCGGAAGTACGACTCATCAATATAGGGTAGGATCACTTTTCATTATCGACTTCTAAGCCCAATAGTTGTTTAGCATCTAACGTGAGTGGTGGTTGCGTAGCCCTGTGCTTGAAAGTTAAACCACAACGGTCGCACCGTGCCTTCATGTGATTCTCCTCGATCACTTGGAAAAAAATGTGGGGAGCGTGCTTTTTGACTGAAAACGCTCTCAAAGGCAACTAAACCCGCGACTGAACCCATTAATTGACTTACGCTTACGCCTCAGACTTCACTGGTCGTTATACTTGGCTATAAATTCAACACATAATTGACTACTTCGTCACATCTTATGTTTGGTTCTTTGGTTGGGTAAATGGTGGACTTTTACTGCAAAGGATTGCTCTATGTGGCATCCTATCCTACTGTAAGCGCATGCTTATTTCGTAATTGGCCCAAAGCTTTCAACTTTCGTGGTAGCGCCAAAAAGATGGAACGCGTAAGGAGCGAAAAACGCGTCGCTCGCGAGAGAAGCGATCTCGTTTGGTGATCCATGAATGAAAACGATATAGATTTAGCTGACGAGCTTGAAAACGGTTTCATTGTTGACGATGAGCCCCAAGAAGAAGTTCAAGAAGTTCCTCAGAGCGATAACGAGGCTGTGCTGCTGACAAATGCTTGGACTTACCATGATCTTATTAGCGCCCACATTTCAGTACTCACAAGTTCCCTAGGCGGTGTCGAGCCCAATGGTCGATACCGTGCTGGTCATGATGCAATTGCTGTACTTAAAGATATCAAGCGGTGGATAAAAAGTGTTGATGAGGCTAAAGGTACTTTTGATGTTGCGCTAGCATGTGCTCACACGGGATTAGTGACCCAAGAGTTAATGGTTATGCTCTGTCAATGGGACGAAGATTGTCACAGGAAGGTACCTATAACTAACGCTCGAACTACAGAGAGGCTTATGGTGGGATGTCTCGAAATTTTAGTGCTCCTCACTTGGCCCCCACATCTTGCTAAAGACTCAACTGATCCTCTGCGTTTGCAGTATCCCCTTGTGAAAAAAGCACAATTGATTTATAAGAAGTCAATTTTAAGCTACCGCAGAGGACGTACGCTCAAAGCTGTCATTCGTTTAGTCCTTCCAATTATCGCCAAGCCTCGCATCAACCGGGATTCACGTGAAAGTGCCATAGTCAATTTGGTGATCCTATTGATTCGCAATGTACTAGCGATATCTTCGATTTCCCCAACAATTTCGGTGTCGAAGGGAGTCAATGAGACGGACAGTTTGCCTCCTGATGTTCTGGCCGAAGATATCGGTCACACTGCTATCATTGCGACATTTGAGCACAACAGAGTTTTCCAATTTCTCCTAACTATAGCATCAGACGTGGGCAAAGATCTTGATCGCGAAGTTTACGGATCTCCACTACTCAATTGCTTGAACCTTCTAATCAAGGGGCTCGACCCAGCCGGTATTGCAACTGCGGGCACATCGAATGCTCTGGCTCATCTCCCACTGATACTGGCGACCAATCTGATGAATTTAGCTGAACTATTAGCGAAAGAGGCGCAGCTAAAGCGCACTCAACGTCAACATCTTCTGACTCGACATGGTCGCTTTGGCACTATGGTTCAAGTACGTCAACAAAATGCCCTGTACGTCATTAAGGGCACCCGGGCATTACGTGACACTACTACGTCTCTTCATCAAATTGATGCGAGCAAACGATGGCGCACTCCGTCGAATTTCAATTATGATGCGGATGAGTACATCACGCCTGCTTCCGCAATCACCATCAATGATAGTGCTATTGCCTCATTCAAAAAGTTCATTGATCAACTTCTTGCGTCGGGAGGTCTCAACAACGTCATGGAACAAGTGGCTCTGGTATATTCAGGAGCTGTTGACATAGAAGTGGATGAGCACGACAAAGCAGCTTACTTTGTAACTCTCGCATGGTTCTTCGAATACCAACGTACCAGAATTCAATTGGGTTCGGCATCAGACTATGGTCCCATTGGTGCAGGTTTGAGTGAAGTAACATTCATTTTGATGATCGGATTTTTCCGAGAATCATTCGAAAACAAGCGATGGAGTGCACTTCATGCAGCTATGGTTTGTTTCAATGAGTTGGTCATTATAGCAACCGCTATTTTTCTTCAGCCACAGTCTTCTTCGCCGCAAGATGATTTTGATCGAGAGTTAGCTGAGGGTATTATTCGAAAATTGTTCGGATTTCACGACTTCCTTCAAATATTGGTCCACATACCACGAACAGCTGCCAAACACTCCCCTCATTATCTCCGAGTAGCAATTGCAATGGTACACGGTATCTTGAGAGGATTTGAAGCGTTTGCGAATGAAAATGTAAAGTTATATGTTCAGCATAAACGGCAAAAGCGGCATAAGCGAAGAGCTACCAACTTGGATCATGGGACAGAAAATATGATGCGAGACTTGATCGATGCCGAGATTGAGGACGAAAACTTCGATGAAGAGTTAGAGGAGCGTGCTCTGGAGGTTACGCGTGAGCGGCAACTTGACTATACCGCAACTGAACGTCGATTCTTCCATCTGGGAGTCGTACTGGCACATGTGGAATTTCTTCTGCGATTTCAGGAGCTCAAGTTTGACGAAATTAAATGGTGTCTCAAGTACTTCCATCGCATTTTTGTAGGGAAGAAAGACCACGGTGCTTTGTATCGTTTGGATTTGATGCAAATTTTGTACGACATTCAAGAATGGTTGCCAAACTCCCATCCCCTCCGCAATACAGTTGATGAGTTCGTTTATTATTTCATGAAGAAGCTCAAACTGGCATTACTGCGGTTCCCTGTCCCAATCGAGCTTTTATTCAACCGCTTAGAGGACACAGAATCAAAAATCTTTTTGGACTCCGGTAATTTAGATGCACGAGCAACAAAGGGGACTCGCCCACCACAATTAGCGCGACCGCTCGAATTCACGCGAGAATTCGACTTGGAATCTCGTATCCACATTTTGATGGACATTCTTACACAACAGGGTCACGTCGGGTTCTTGGATTGGTTTGCTGAGAAGATCAAAGGGATAATAGGCGTAAGAACTTTTGAAAACGATCCTTATAATGGCATTAATGCTCCGAGCGATACAATGATCGAAGTGGACACAAAGAACCAACGGTTGATCCTTGCTAACAGTCATATCCGTACCCTCGTTGAAGTCGTGGGCATAAGTCCTCCAATGTTTATGGAGGATAAATGCTTATTGCTGTCTGCAATCACTAATGAGCATTTGTCATTGTGTTTGGATTTTTTAAACAAATTCAGACACAGTCTGACCAAATTTGACGACAATCAAGACTCCGCGGTATTCTTGAGAGTGAAAGATGACGAGAACGATGAGGATTATCATGCAGACGGTATCGATGCCGCTCTAGATGCACTGATTCTTAAAGGTGCCAACACGCAAGCTTTTGATTCATTGAGCGAGATGGGGTCACAAAACGACTCACAGGATGGTAAAACTCGCAAGCGTAAGGTTCGGTCATCGGAAAGACCTTTGAAGAAGAAGTCAAAGCGTTTCAACGAACATCGACAATCACGGCATATACCATCAGTGCTTGATGAAGAATCACAGCGTATAAAACTGTCTGAGTTCGTTCGTGATTCTGATGATGACACAGATGATGATTTCTTTGATCGTGAAGATAGCTTGAGACGTATGTTGCACGAAACGGGAGGTATTATTAACCAAGACCAATTACAACAATTCAGGAAAGCTTGGCTGGGATTATTGGAACGTCGCAAGGGGGATAACCGTTTAATGGATGCTGTGGCTTTAGTTGAGAAACATGGATTGAAAGCTAGTGGCCCATTGACATCGCCATCTAAGTCAGACGAAAATATATCCAGTGAAGATAAATCCTTGTCCGATATTAATCATGAGCTTACAGATGACCGGATTAATGACCTCGATTTGCATGCTACCTCCAAGCGTCAAGGCAGACGGAAAAAAGTCATCGTTGATAGCGACGATGATGCATAATGATGTTAGTGTATTATTAGTTATGCGATTTGTGTCAACAGCTAATCAATTACGCAATGTGAGTCATCTGATCCAACGCCAGTCAATGAGCCGGCTGTACTTACGATCATCACCGTAAAACCAAACAACACTATTGCAAATGAAGGCAATGCTTTGTATAGGATGAAGTTCCGATTGAGTTCCTTGCTGAAACGACCCGGCGTAACTGCTTTATCAAGTTCATCATAGCATAATTTTACGTAACATAGGGGTGGGATAATGTATGCCATCAAACTAGCCAGCGTCAGACCAATAAGTTCTAAAATAATGCCCAAATTGCAGGTGAATAACAGGACCAGCATTGAGGAAAACACTAGTAGTGTTGTGACAGTAACATGTTGTCTCCATGACATTTCAACACCACCGGTTCCACCTTCTGCATTTCTTTCTACCACCAAGTCCTTGAAAACGTCGCGAACCACGTATATTTCCAACGGAAACGTCGTGAGCATGTTAAGTCCAAAGCAAAATCTAGCAATGTTGATCCAGAAATCATCGCTGCGAAAGTTGTTAAGTAGGTTCCCCTTTGTTTTGTCCCCGAAATTGACCAACCCATTGATCGCCATGAGTCCACAAAAGAGCATCAGAACAAAGCAGGCAATATGTGTAATCTTTGCAAATTTGTCAATCGTAGCATTACGAAGTGAGTTGTAAATGTAGATTGTGTTGTGATGACAAACAAGAGCGAATGATATTACGGACACGCCTTGAAAAATCAGCGAGTTTATAGTCCATTCTGGTGTTGTGAGTGAACCCCTGAGGTCATTCTCAACTAAAGGAGCCCTGATAACCGCAAGCACCACAATAATTGTCATTCCTATCAAAGCAAATCCCAGGGCTTTGGCCAATTTCGAAATATCGCGATTCAAAGATAAAGGATATGAGATGAACGTTGTAAACACAACTATAATTACTCTCCTGGTAAACAACCAACCCAAAGCAGTTCCTGGGGCTGTTATAGCATTTGGTAAGAGAGCTCGAAGAACATGAGGTATTGTGTCACCAATAATTATACAAAATGCCATGCATCCACCATACGCGAAAAGCAGAATCAGAAGAAGCAATAGCAAACGGCCCCACATGCCGAAACATTTCAGAACTGTGTCTTGGTACAGCTGTGTGTGTGACTTCTCCGCATTAATCACAATTAAGCGAAGCGTCCAATCAATTAGACCTGTGAGCAAAATCATGGACAAGATACCACCCACCAACCCCGTGTTTTTGAAAGCAAATGGCTGGCCAATGATACCAGCACCCAAGATCAGGTTGGCCATATTCATAAATGCCATTTGCATATTCAGTGTGCCCTGCGAGTGATCCACCACAGACTCGGGATCATCAGAAGCCAAGTCCAATGGGAATTCGTGTGATGTATTGGGTTCAATATCATCAAGTTCAATAGCAGAAGTAGTTTCAGCTGAACCTAGCAGTTCTTGCTGTGAAACTGCAGCATATTCGGTTCGAGGCATAGTCGGAAATATTCTGCGCGTGAACGATAGCGAACGTGTCTCCAAGCATTAGAAAATTTAACTACCGATTTGGGGTTCCATCACGGAAAGAATGCACGATGCAAAAATAATACAAATAACTAACCTAAATGCTAACCAAACAGAATAGAATTTGCGTTTTTTTATCTCATATAAGGGCATGACATTACTAAGACGTGGATAGCGTTCAACAAGTCGTATTTCATTAACATTCCAATGCAAAAAAATCTCGTCTTATCGGTAAAGGGTCAAAAACCATGCAGCGAAGCCGTTACAATAAGTTGGCCACAAGTTTCGGTCCATTTAGCAAACGACGTACATCAATAATTTATTAGAAAACTCACAAAGCCTTGTTTGAGATTTTCAATTTCTTTGATTCCCAATTGTTTGATGCGCAGGGTTGAGGGGGTATTGCGTTGGTTTTGCTCACCTTTTTATGATTTCAACGTTGACTAGTGATACATTCTAGGAAACGTGCAATTTTATTGTCGTGTAAAATGCTGACCTTTGGTCTCGGACTTGTGAGGAGCTAACTCCGGAAGTTAATCGAACCTGAAAGAAGGTTTGATAGCACAAAATATGGATAGAGTTCAATCATGTAAACGTTACACGCGAATGAAGCATGCGTGGATTTCCGGCCCCCGTGAGATTCATCGCCTGGAAGGCAGCTTGGGCGCTCTCTACATGAGTCGCCATATACTGCCGGAGAATCTCAAGCTCTTTCATCAAGTGATGCACCTGCTCGGGAACAGGTGACTGACCATTATACTCTGTCCCATTGACAGAATCCTTGTCAATATTCATATTAATTGACATACTTAAAATACTTGATAGGAGACCGGTAAGGAAAATTACATTCCTTCCCAGAATATATATATACATGTGCAGCTAGCCAATGGCGTAGCGTATGGCTGCAAATTCTCATTCCTGCTCTTCATGCGATGAGTTGTGCAGCATCGGCATCGGCCAAGTTCTTCGCCGTGCCAAATCCGAACACGTCGGACAATTCCTCAAGCTTCTCTTTCTCTGTATCTTTGACAAGAGGTCATTCCTTCTCCTGCAACCCGGTCTTCCCGTGAAAACGGGTATCTGACCATATCCTGGTCTGTCTTCGATATTCTGGTAAACGTCCTGCATATATGCTTTTTGTATGCTTTTATCTNTCAGTTCTGGTGTTCCGCCTTTTTTTATTGCCTTTTTTATTTTATCCTTAGTTTTGCATTGATATCTAACTTAATAACTTACATACTCCTTAGAGGATCTCAAGTGTTTGTAAAGCCTTCGTTCTCGATACCCTGCGATCTGAGAAAGCCGACAACGGCGAAAAACTCAGTATATGGAGAGAATGTGGGGAGGCAGTTGTTCAGTAAACAGGTGACCGACGGCCCAAACCACGGTGAATTGAACCACGGTCTCTCCTCTCAGAGTGTACTAGCCAACTATACTATAGTTATAGGCGTCGTTACTTGCTTAGATGATATACTCCCTCTGGTCGAAGAGTTGAAGTAGAGGGCCATAAGTTGCCCGCGGGGCGAGCGATATCTCAGCATTCCATNGAGCCATAGGTCGCCCGCGGGGCGAGCGATATCTCAGCATTCCATTCAGTAATGTGGGGTTGTGTTCAGAATTTATGTTGTCCCTTACCCGTCATGATGTATCTCCGGTTGCGCTGGATCCACGATTGTAAGCTAGCTTCTGTCTGGATGACAGGAGCCGACTCCGATAGTCGTGTTTCCTTGAAGAGGAGGAGTGTCGCCCGCAAATAACGAGCTAACTCACTCAAGGCGTCCGAAGAAAGACGGTTGGGGGGCATCATGTCTGTCACATGTTGGTAGGGGAGGTCGGTTCGGTTAATGAGGCGGTAGATGCGCTTGGACACTGGACAGTCGCAGAGAAGATGTGGTTCCCCTCCGCCGTTGTCGCGGATCAATCTGACGGCTCTGTGGAATTGGCGATCGTGGTCCGTAGAGTATACCGGTGGGAGGGTGGGGGCCCTGTCATGGGTAGTGACCGCACAGAGTGTGCACCCAGGGTAGTAAAAGGACTCATATTGGGACTCGTGGACATGGATATAAGTGCGCCACATCCAGTTTGCAGTATATCCGTGGTAAAACTGCCAGAGGATGGCCAGTTGCCAGGGTTGCAACGAGGTGAACTTCAGAAGGCATTTCCAAAATGTCCGCCAACTGGTCTCAGTGGGTTGTCGTCCACTTGGAAAATGCTTTTTCGGCCACGCCGGGACATCAGTCCAGTCTTCTTTCAAGCAGGCCTTCTTGTGGAGGCTGCGGAAGGAAGCTTCGGAAATGGGAGTCTCAGCGGAATCAAAACGACTTCGAAGAAACCTCTGTGGGTACTCAGAGGTGGGGCCCCGGTTGCCGATGAGGGGGAGTGTTTCCACCTTTGTCTGACGACAGCGAACCAGGCCTTGAGCCACTGCTCTTCGCGGTACTCAAAGTACGACAAGCGACGCAAGCGTTCAAAGATACTGCTATCGAGAAGGAAATCGAAGCATGCAGTGTCGCCGTATAAGTTGGTCCGTAGAGCAACCTGTTGGAGGCGGTTGAGGAGGTCTTGCTTTGCCCACTTCTTGGACGCGTCGGCGCGGAAGAGATCATAGATCATTCTCGCGCGGCGGCCCAAGAGTTGCTGCAGGAAGCGAATGAGACCGTAGCCGCCTCGCTTCGGTGTGCCATAAATTCGGGGTTCCAGGATACCTCCGAAAAACTTCTCACAAAGTAGAGAATCTAGCAATGTGAGGTCCTCCGGTGACATAGGCGAGGTGAGGTCACGGTAGACAACCTTCGGGAGAACATCACCACCTTAGCCCATTAAGCTACAAGTGCGCGCTCCTTTCAACAATTTTCGCTGAAGTCCGGTATGGTGTAATGGCTATCACGGTTCGCTTTCACCGAGCAAATCAGGGTTCGATTCCCTGTACCGGAGTATTTTTGGAATTTTATTAAGTGAAGAAAGAAGTCGTTTGAAGACTCCAGTGGGAAGTATTTGAATCATTTTTATCATTAAGGTGAAATCCCATATATGAGGCGCTACGGTTAATTAATATGCTAATCTGGAAAATTAATTGGTACCTCACATCGGGAAAATTAAATACATAGCGTAGCGGCTACGACGAATCCAGTCCGACGAGCGAAAGACCGACAAATTACATTAAAAGTGTTAGCCTCAGATCCCCGTTTGACATCAACAGCTCAAGCCCACTCCTTTTGCCTTTAGATCTGTACTTCGAAAATTACGAATTTGCTCTATCATGGTATTCTATTTCAGATTCTAATAAATTTGTTGCGAAATGCTATACAGATTTAAGTGCTACAAGTGCGACAAATCGGGAATGTAAAAGTTTCTGAGTGGTTCAACAGGTTTGGCATGTTCACTCATATCATGATCCTCTCTAAAAGAGGAAATGTTCGTGTACAATTTACCTGTGGGATACGTTGCAGGTACGGGTTGCACCAAACCACTTTCGATAATGGCTGCAATGTCATCGGTGCTGTGTTCGAGGTTATCAGCTCTTAACAAGGCAGCAACCTTCTTAGCGATTTCCTGAACATTTGTCGACTTTTTGAGGATGTCGTCAATTTTATCCAGGTCGACGTTAATGTCATTGCGGAACATCCAGTTGATAAGACTCAGATTTATTAGTTTGTCGCGAGAAACCTTCAGTGGATGTTGCGCTTTCAAATGGACGGCCAAACGGGCCAGCTTTCCGGCCCGGTTGAGTACATAGTCCTGGTAGAATTGGATGAATTCTGCCTTGGTTATACTCTCAAGCACCTCGACGTGGCGCTTTCGTGCATCAAAATTGTAGTAACCATCAGTTATTGAATTCCAAAACCGCAGCGTTTCCTCACTCAAATGTTTGAGCTTAGTTAGTTTTAGATCCTCAAGTGCTTGCTTGAACTTTTCGAACTCCTCATTTTCCATGCTCGACACATGCCGGCCAAACTGATGGAGAAATTCATCGATACGGTATTCCAAATAGTCTGTAGTGCGTTCCGATTGAATTAAAACTCGAAAACCAAATGAATTGCGGCAAGGCTTGAGGCCCAGGAAGACAACATACCCTAATTGCTCTCTGGTTCTCAATTGGTTGAAACAAGGTTCACGAATGATAACTCCTAATAAATCGGTAAGTACACGTAATCGATCATTATCTTTGTCTGCACCAATCTGAATGTAGTACTCAATGCAGGAATTGATGTTTTTGCTGTCTTCAAGGGAGACCTCATAACGTGCCACCTCATTCGGTGAAAGAATTGCGTTTCTCAAGCGAATGGCTCTGTAAACGTCTCCGCTGATCGTACCTCTGCCTTCCAATTGCGTCGCCAAACCCTGTTTTATTTCACGAGCTTTGGATATGTCAAAATTCCCATGGATCAACATTTCGCAAAACACGCCTTCCGACCACAACTGCTGTGTCACAAACTCTGTGACATCTTCACAAGAAATGCTTTCGAGTTGTTTCAACTTCTCGGGATACAGATAGGTCTTTTCGTTGATCAACAACATGTGATGAGTGTTGACTTGCGAATAAGGAACATGATATCCAAAATTTTTGAGCTCCTGTGTCATCTTGAATTTGATGGCATCAAAACGAGCTGGGTTGGGTTTGAATCGGATAAACTTCTCTATAACTTGCTCAAAAAGAACGGGAAGTTTGTCATTGTAACCCGAAACTTTAAGCGAAAAGCCATCTCTCCAAAAAGTGAACATGACTTTAAGCCCAACTAAGGATGCGTAGTATGTTATTTGGTTGAGTTCATCGTTGAATAAATCCCCCACTAGTTGTGACATCGTTGCCTGACGGACATCTTTATTCAGCATTGGTAAGTGCAACAGAACTTCAATAGTACCTTTCGGAACCTCAAATCGATCATCTTGTTTGAACCAAACTTGCAAGGCACTCGTGTCCTCTATTAAATAAGGGTGAGATAATGGAGTCTCCAGTTTCGGCAATGAAATTGTGAAATCAGTCGGGATAAAGTCATTGGGGATAGGTAAGTGTAAGTCGGAGATTGGTTCAGCTGACTTTATTTGGGTCATTAGATCACTGGGGATGTCCTCATACAGGTATTCGGTTCCATACCAACGTTCCTTTTTGTCTAATCCGTCTAAAGCTTGAGAAGTCAAGGTGATTCTGAAATTGTCAGGGTTGAGGTAACGACCGTACTGCTTGATTTGCTCTGGGTTGAATTCGCGCATGACCAGCAGTGAAAGTATGTATTCCAGGGGAATTTGGCCATCAGCAGTGAATTGGTATAAACTGTTTGACAACTTCGATACAGTACTTGAAGCATCGGTTTTCTGCTTAAATTTGAAATTGATCTTCGACATGTTCGAAATCTCTTCCCAGATCCACTTGTGCGGTTCCTGAGCCTGCAAATATTGGAGATATTGGAACACTGTGATCACGATAGTTTTCCAGTTTTCGAGCCCTTGTGGAGTCAACTCAAACTCAAGTATAAAAAATGAATTACCCTGGCATACTCTGATGTTGCCAGCACTCAATTCCGACACCCAATTCTTCAGCTTTAAGTAATAAAGCACCAGACCTTCAGACTCGTGGCCCAATAGATGACTATAATAGGCCAGCAGTTTCAGCTTCCATTTGTCATCCAAATCTTCAGGAATCATAAAGACGATTTCCAACTTGTGATTATCCATGACGGGAACGGCGCGAGTGATCTTACCAAGATACTCTTCGGGGAAAATCAACGTTCCGTTGTAGTTCGGCCGTGGTAATCCTTTGTTGGGGACATCGCAAAACAACTCAAGTGCCCAGCTTGTCAAGGTATCCAAATCCTCCTTACCCAAAATAACGAGGCTCATCAAATTAGCCAGATAATGATCCTTATGAAAATTAATGAGGGTTTCCCTTACATCCATTCCCTTTTCTGCTGGTTCCTCCGCAAGAGTGTAAAAATTACCAGTAGCAAAACCATTGTATGGATGCTCGGGATTCAGGTTCAGCTTGTCTAGTTGATACATGCGCCATAAATCATTCTGCAAATTCTTTTTGTTTTCCAGATCAACAGCATTGATTTCACGGTCTTTACAACTATTCGAAAATAGTGGGCTGATGAAAAATTGAGCGAATCGATCAAGAGCGCCTTGGAGATGATTTGCGCTGACTTGGAAGTAATAGTTCGTGTGCTCAGCGGCAGTATATGCATTTGAATAACCCAGATGCTTCGCAAGATACAGCGAATACTCGTTTTCCTCGGGGTATTTCTTGGTGCCCATAAACAACAAGTGTTCACAAAAATGAGCGAGGCCCAGGATTTGGTACTCACGGTCAGCGAACAGCCCGGTGTTCACGTCAAGCGAAGCAGCGGCCTTGTCGGTAGTTGGATCATGAATTAGCAAAACTGATAAGTTATTGTCGTGCAAATTCACCAATCGATACTGACGATCATCAACAACAGGCTTTTCCACCACTGAATTGTCAGCGAGCACAGTAAATCGAGAGGAATCCATAGGAATATGCGGCTTTGTGGTAAACAAACGAAAGAACGAGGTACGGCAACGAATCCACCCTTTGATCATTCACTGACAACTCGACAACAGTGTGGGGTTGCCGGTGGTCCTAAAGCGTTTTTTCTATGCGAGCCGCTATCCGTAGGCCAACACTGCGGTTAACTGGATACAGGAGCTAGTCTGGGAAAAAGAAAATCATTACAAATGAGTAGAAAGTTGGCCCAACGTAGGGTTGTACAAACCAGAAGTACGTGAGTTCCAATGACTTCAGACAATCAATCAGGCTACTTGTATCTCGCAGCAATATCGTACAATGGGATTACGGCTCTTGTTTAGTAGTGTTCCACAAGCAGGCTGCCACAAATGAATAAATTACTTCAACGTCGATGGTAGTGGTTGTCAAGGGTGCTCACCCGCCTCACATTTAGATCGAAAAGTCTAGGCTCACGCCTATTTTCTTGCATCATTGTGCATGAAATTGACTTCTATTTTCATGTGCGAGTATCAGATTTTGCGTAACCACTAATAGTTATGATTTATGTGAATCTAATGTCTATCGCTAAAGTCGTTTCCTTGAATGACTGTTCCCCACCACCACGCATTACAAACTACATTTCAAAACGTATGGCTAGCACGAATCTTGTGTAATATACGATTCATCACCGAAAGCATTGTTCGCGCTTGAAGGTTATGCAAAAATTGATGCAAATACCTAATCAGTTGACATTACCAGTTTTAATCCACGGCAAGAGTTTCGTAGATCCCTAACGCCGTGACGGTGATTTGTGTATAGCTCTATTTAGTGATATTGTTAAGGTTTTCCAAGAAGCGGGTGATGAGGTATTCCATGGAGTCGAGCTTAGTAAATGCTGATACCAACACAGGGTCAGGTGAAGCCACTTCGATTTTCTTGACGATCATGACCACTCCACCTCGATAAGTTACACACTTGGTAACGTAATCTATAGGATCATATTTCGGCTTCATCATGTTGAGCATGTTTGAGAAAAACAGAGACTCTCTGTCGTTTGAAGCCAACTCATGAATTCTTCTGGTGATATAACTGGGGTCCAAAGGCTGACCTTGTTGGATCTCATCTTTGATTATGTCGACGTACGACCGCCCCAGAGGAGCTATATCACCCCATGGCAGTTCAGACACCACATGCAAGTATTTGAGATCAACACATATTTCTGCCTGATTTATGTAAACGTCCATAGCCACCAGTGGAGGAAGATCAGGCTCACAAGATTCACGAGGCATACAATGCTGTGGAAAGATTAGATTAGGATCTGTGGGAAATTGAAGAGCCGTTTTAGCCACTTGGAGATGTCGACACATCAGTTCGAATGCCATCACCAATTGGGTATGAGCATGACACTCGTGGCTTTTGCATTGATCAATCAACTTTATTGCCTCTTCGATTGACTGCTTTGCCGTTATGATTTGCAGAAGAAGAATTGGCTTTTTCAAAGAGACCCTCGATAATGCCTTGTTGAAGTGTTTTTCTTTTATTTGGAACAGTAGATCAGTAATGTAAGCACCATCACGAGTGATAATTCCTTTGAGTGTCTCCAGTTTCAGCAGCAGGATTGGTAGCTTCACTGGTGGTCCGCGCTCAATGTGTTGACTTTCATCAGGGCGTTGTGGTGAGTTGTTCAAAAGCAAGTCTGAACAAATTCGAAGAGCTTCAATTATCTGATCGAATTCAGGAACGATTACTTCCTGAGTAAGCCAATCAAACTCTAGGTTCTCGTTGGTGCTTTGAAGGTTGACAACTATAGATTCCATTGCGAAGGTCACGGATTGTACGTAAAGCGCGAGGTTCGCAAGAGCAACACCATGGATGTAATTAGCATTTGGGTACAATCTCGCAAATATTCATGCTGTTATGTGAATATTTCAAATATCAATTTTTCGATTGTCACACTGGTTCAAAGACAAGGCGACATGTAGGGGCCTCTGAAGTTGTAAATTTTTCAAATTATTGCCAAATTTCGAAACGGTGATTTCGATTCTTAAGAAATCCAATTTGCAACTCAATCATGAAATCATATACCGCTTTAAACGTCTACATTTATGATAGGCTGAGGATGTCCGTGTAGGAGGTATGTCAAAGGTCACGTTACTTCGCCAATAGGGCTGAAGGATAATGATTGTGAGCCCTTAAAGGCGATTCATCCTCAGTAAATTTTGTGACGTCTCGTAGGGGGACGAACAATGATTGGGTGTAAACGGCATCCAGGTAGCCTCAAATAGAGATAAGTAGAGTTGGGGTTGAACTATCGACACCATCAGCTAGACAAGCATTCAGCCCGACACCAGTATCATCATCGTCACTTCAAATTCCTCTACTATTGCTAGGCTAGGTCGTGCACTTACCACCACGTGATAAATTTGAGAAAAAACTTCGATCACAACAACTTTCCTCCATATTAGACGAGGTATCCTACACAGGCCTGCTTCGAAGTGCAACCCGACTGTGCAGGACCCTTACCCCACTGTTCTTTATGTCAGGCCCATCTACCACTGCCGACAGGGGTGCTCAAGACCCATTAGGCACAGAGCACCACCACGTGGATGCCTCGAACCCGAGACCGGATTATGAAAGCGCCACTGCCACTGCCGCCGCCGCTGTGAGCTACGGAGCTCCCCCCGATGAAAGTCTGTACCATCACGGTAACTACACAGCAGCGGCTGCTGCTACTGCTGCTGAACTTCAGCACCGAGCTGAACGCCAACGGATGCAGCAATTACAACAGCAACATGAGTTGCAAAGCCAACAGTTGCAATACCAACAGCAGCACCAGGCTCACTTGTTACAACACCATCACCAAATGCAACAACACCAACAACACCACCCAGCCATGCACGCGCAACCACATCACAACCCCATCCCCCATCAAATGGTCCACCATGCCCCGGTGGCGGAGGACTTTGATAATGGAATTTTACAGCTGCGTTATTGTGAGAACGAAATCATCAAGACGTTTGCCCTGAAAGAAGAGTTAATCGCTTTTGTCAAGCGACTGCTCCTGGCAGATGAACGTTGCAAAATCGTCATCAATTCGTCAAAGCCTAAAGCGGTGTATTTTCAATGCGAACGGTCGGGCACCTTTCGTACTACTGTCAAAGACCCTACCAAGCGTCAGCGGGTAGCGTACACCAAGCGGTCGAAGTGTGGGTACCGTCTAGTTGCCAACCTTTACCCCCCAGAAAAGGAGAAGAAAAAGAATGTCAAAAAAGACCCAGAGTCAATTGATTCGAAGTTAAACGATCAGTTCATTCAAGATCAGTTGAATGGTGAGATGTGGATTTTGAGAATGATAAATCCTCTTCACAATCATGCACCTGAACCCGTCACCACTAAGAAGAAGCGGTCCAAGCTGCTGCGGCAATTGGTTCAAAAGCCCATCCACCGCCAAGCTACTCAACCCAACAACGGTTATATTCCCGAGCAATTGATACCTCAAGCTCCTGGCTTACATCACCCCATGAGCCACATGCATCATGATGAGGCGGTGCCGGATGCGATGATGGCAGCTATGGAGGGCCAGCTTCATGCCCTGACAGTTGATCCTAACATTGACCCTAATGTTGATCCCAGTGTTCAGGCACACGACCATGCGCATCTTAGCCGAGGTCTTTACCGCAGATAGTGGTTTTCTTTTATTGTATTATTGTGTTATAAAGTATATGTTGTAAATTTTGTTTGTATGATCATCGAAACATTGAAAACGAAGTACTTTTAAATCATCTGCGTCATTCACACTCTGACTTACCTTGGTATCAAGTGCTGTGTTAGGGCTCTGGTTTCAAACGTAAATTTGAGCACTGCAGTTCTTAGGTATAAAATGAACCATACATACTGAAACTATTAGCAGCGTACATAAAACCCTTTCATCACCATAGTTAAGAATTGTGTCTAGTCAATTTTTAGTCTTCAAGCTATCTGAGTTTACTTCGTTCTCCAATGATGCTGTTCCAGAGGAGTGATGACCCGTAATCCGTAAAAATCACTTCTCTACAGACGTTTTTTAATATTAGCACTCGTCGTAGTATGTCACATATTGAAGGTCTACAATATATCAAGTCATACAATCAGACTACAGCTCCGAATCATATTCACTACTAAAGAATATCCGAAAAGGACATTATTTTTAACCTCGAAGCGACTGTCTCATTTGAGCCGCTTTCGTAATCCTGTCCGCCATCGCTTCCCTCCCATGGCCACGCGCACGGTACAAATTTTTGCTGATGCTCAAACGTATCCTCCACAGTTCACGAACGATGAGTACCTCAACTGAGTGGCCTGCGGCGAAGGTCCGCCAAGCGTTCTTGGACTACTTCACACAAAAACAAGATCACACATACGTGCCTTCATCGCTGGTGGTTCCTCACAACGACCCCACGTTGTTGTTTGCCAATGCAGGCATGAACCAATACAAGCTGATTTTCTTGGGTACTGTCGACCCCAACCTGGATTTTGCTCTGCTCAAGAGAGCGGCAAATTCACAAAAGTGTATCCGGGCTGGTGGCAAGCACAACGATTTAGAAGATGTTGGGCGCGACTCTTACCACCATACGTTTTTCGAAATGTTGGGTAACTGGTCATTTGGGGACTATTTCAAGAAGGAAGCTATCGCCTGGTCGTGGGAGTTGTTGACTGAAGTGTACGGTTTGGAGAAGGATCGTTTGTACGTCACTTATTTTGAAGGTGACGCTGCTCAAGGTCTTGAACCCGATTTAGAAGCGAAGCAATTGTGGTTAGACCAAGGTGTTGCAGAAGACCACATATTGCCAGGTGATGCTAAAGACAATTTTTGGGAAATGGGCGACCAAGGTCCCTGTGGTCCTTGTTCTGAAATCCACTACGACCGTATTGGTGGACGCAATGCGGCTCTGTTGGTTAATATGGACGACCCTAACGTCATTGAAGTGTGGAATCTTGTCTTTATGCAATATAACCGTGAATCGGACCGCTCGTTGCGCCCGTTACCCGCTAAGCATATCGACACTGGTATGGGATTCGAGAGATTGGTGTCTATTTTGCAAAACAAGTCGTCCAATTACGACACTGACGTATTCGGCCCTATCTTTGCCAAGATTCAAGAGATTACTGGTAAGCGGCCCTACACTGGCAAATTTGGCAGTGATGACACGGACGGTATCGATACCGCTTATCGGGTGATTGCTGATCATGTCCGGACTCTCACCTTTGCCATTTCGGATGGTGGTGTCCCCAATAACGAAGGCCGTGGTTATGTTCTCAGAAGAATTCTCCGTCGTGGGCTGAGATACGTCCGCAAATACATGGACTACCCTATTGGGCTGTTCTTCTCGCAATTAGTGGATGTCGTTATTACTGAGAACAAGAGCATTTTCCCTGAAATTGAAAAGAACGCTGCCGATCTCAAGGAAATCTTGAATGAGGAAGAATTGTCGTTTTCAAAAACCCTTGAAAGGGGTGAAAAGTTGTTCGAACAATACGCTATTGTTGCTCTGAAAACTCCCGAGCAAACTTTGCTGGGAAAGGACGTGTGGCGTTTGTATGACACTTATGGGTTCCCCGTCGATTTGACCCAATTAATGGCTGAGGAAGCTGGTTTGTCAATTGACGAGAAAGGTTTTGAATTGGCCAAAGAGGAAGCTAAGGAAGCCTCCAAGGGCTCCGGTAACAAACAAGCAACCACCTTGGTCAAGTTGGACGTGCACGCGTTGTCCGAGTTAGACTCCAATGAGTCTATCCCTAAAACCGATGATTCTTACAAATATGGCGTCGACAACACCAAATCAACCGTGGTTGCCTTGTACAATGGTTCTTCGTTTGTTGATCAAATCTCTGACCCATCAGTTCAGTATGGTATTCTTTTAGACAAGACTCCATTCTATGCTGAGCAAGGGGGTCAAGAATATGACACTGGTTCGTTGGTTATCGATGGTAAGACTGAATTTGTCGTCACTAACGTTCAAGTATACGGTGGATACGTTCTTCACACTGGTCATCTTGTGGAGGGTTCTTTGGCTGTCAAGGATGATGTCATCGCTCTGTACTCAGAAGAAAGAAGATGGCCAATTCGGAATAATCACACTGGTACCCATGTTCTCAACTTCGCGTTGCGTGAGGTTCTTGGTGACGGCGTCGATCAGAAAGGTTCGCTTGTGGCGCCTGAAAAGTTAAGATTTGACTTCTCGCACAAGCAAGGATTATCGTCAGAGCAATTGGAACAAGTAGAATCCATTTGCACCGAATACATCAGGTCGAACAAGGAAGTTTATGCCAAAGAAGTTAGTCTCGAAGACGCCAAGGCCATCAATGGATTGCGCGCTGTGTTTGGTGAAACTTATCCCGACCCTGTACGGGTTGTATCGGTGGGCGTCTCCGTTGATGACTTGCTCGCCGAACCCACTAAACCTGAATGGCACGAGGTGTCCATTGAGTTCTGTGGTGGCACCCACGTGAAGTCAACTGGTGAAATCAAAGATCTCGTTATCATTGAGGAACTGGGCATTGCTAAAGGTATCCGTCGTATTGTGGCCGTCACTGGCAACGAGGCTCATGCCGTTCAACAAGTTGCTGCTGACTTTGATGCCCAATTGGAAGCCGCTTTCAAGTTGACTGGTACCGAAAAGGAAGCTAAAGCCAAAGAGTTGGGTGTTGCTCTCAAGAAACTCACGCTGTCAGTTTTGGCCAAGCAGAAGCTCAATGCTAAGCATGCTAAGTTAGACAAGCTGATTAGAGAAGAGCTCAAAGCCAAGCAGAAAGAAGAACTGCAGAAGGTGATGGAAGTTGTGAACAAATGGTTGGAAGATGCTGACGCGAAGCCGTATTTTGTAGCTCATATCCCCATCACTGCCAATGCCAAGGCTATTACAGAAGCTTTCAACGCTGTCAAGAAGAAGGATGCTACCAAGCTGATCTACTTGTTGACGGGCACTGAAAAAATTGCCCATGGTTGCTACATCTCCGACGCTGCCATTGCCAAGGGCGCCGACGCCACTGAAGTGGCTAAGGTTGCTACTAAACATATTGGCGGGAAGGCTGGTGGCAAGGGCAACACTGTTCAAGGTATGGGAGACAATCCTGAAGGGATCGACGCCGCGGTTGCTGCCATCGTCGAAGCGTTGGCTAAAGTTTTATAATTACATAGACTTGAACGACAGTTAAAAGTTTGATGGAGAGTCGTTGGTTAGATGGTCTTCCTCGGCCTGACTGATCTGAACAGCATCACCGCCAACGCCAGCTAAAACGTCGTCCACCACGTGTTGAAGATCCTCAACAGATATCTGTGGAATGATGCCTATAATGGAAATAGTATTGACTCGCCATTGTAGATGAGGATAACTGCCAATCTTGACTACACCATCACCGTATCGTTTGTCCAATTGCCGCTGAAGATCGCCAAGAAATGGCGCCAACTCAGACTCACCAGTAGTGGTTTTGACGTAGAGCCGACTCAATTGGTTCAGTTGATCCACCCGTGGGAGAAGTTGGGGAACAAGCGCTTTGAGAAGTTTGACAAATAGCTGTGGAACCCCAGGTAGTATGTAGAGGCGTTGCTCAATTGCAACAATAGGAAACCAAAAATTGGGATCAACAAAAATGTTTTCTACATTGATCTTTGCGGTTCGTTGAGGAACGGTGGCCATCCTATACCACGCTTCAGTTTGAGAGGGAGTAAGCAGGGCGATGTAATCCTTGCGCAACCGATTCATACGTTCGACAACTGTGGGATCACGTTCACAAGGAATTCCATAATACTCGGCAATGGCGTCATAGGTAACATCGTCATGAGTTGATCCTAGCCCTCCGGAGGTTACGATAAAGTCGATGTCATTATCCCGCAAAAGTCCAAGCAGCTTCTTTATATCAGCCTTATCATCAGAACAAACGATGATGCGCTTCACTGGAACACTTAATTGGCTGAAGCAAGTTTTGGCAAATTCGAAAGAATTGGTATCATGGATTTTGCCACTAAGCACTTCGTCCCCAATAATTAGACAACCCGCCAGTCGGATCAGTCGCCACATGGGTCAAAATTTCAAGTGCGGGGACCACACTGCAGGACAATTCAAAATGACAATATAAGTTGCTGATTAAGCAGCTAGGTAATATGATCGTGTTATCATCAATATTGTGGTTACAGGATGTGCACCCCTCCCCCTTCACGATTTCTCGGCATCCGAATAGGTCAACTTCGTGATCACACCCTTAACTTAACCATCCGGTTACTCCCATGCTTTCCACACGTTTGACACGAAAAGGCATAGCCTTAGACATGTACCGTTACAAGGACTCACCTTTTCATGCATCTTTCTAGGCATAAGGTCTCACGAAGAATTGTGGTTTTGCACTACTCAATTTGATAGCAATGCACGCGCCTCTATCCCCTTTTCGTTTTGCGGCGTGAAATTGATAAATCCCTGTCATCTGAAAACCGCAAACTACATTTCAAGCTCATCAAACCCATTATTGCGGCCACACTAAGCCCCTAGATTCTCATTAAATCCACATGGTAACGATGTCATTATTTTTCTTTCTCCCCGATACCGGCCAAGTGTCCATGCGGGTTTCGCGGAGATAGTTGTTTCGCATTCTTATCAGTTACTTCTCACGCGAGCCACGTCGCCATCCATAATGGTAATAATCAGCGTTGGGGAAAAGTTTTACTTGAACCAAAATAACATTTGGTGGCTAGATTAACTCTTGACACTTAGGGACTACGTTTCATTAATCGATGCTAGATGTCACGAAGTGACTCTAACCTCCTCCAACCATTCCCGATGCGGTGCCGAGGCGGCATGAGTCGCAGCAAAACCGATTCTTGCACCGCTCACGTGGGCCATGCCCCTTTTCCATCATTAAAAAACGCCACTTATACAGTGCGAAAAATCCTACGGTCACTTCATCTTTTGTTCCACCACCCTTCCCTGTCGAGTTAAGTCAAGCCAACGGCGTATTTGCTTTTGATAAATGGGAAATAGCCCGTCCAAAGAACCCCTAAATAGTCAGCATACTTCGAATACCTCGCAACCCGGCTCGGGCCTGGGAGTCGCCGAAGCGACCCACGACGCTGATGAAAAGCCAAACCTATCGCGTAAGCGATATTCAAATCCAAAGGCAATAAATATTGGCCCCAGCCAATCTCGCAAATCTACTTCCTCCTATCAAAAACTGGACAAACAACCCACGCCTCCTCGCCGTGGCTCAAGCAATCGCCGCACAGGAAACCTCGACAAGCAAACGATTAATGAACTCGATCTCGAAATCGGTGCCTCCATGGCGCAGCTTCTCAAAAACACCCCCGTGTCAGAGCCTCATTTATATCTGCTGAGCGTTGACACCGTGGCCCTGACGCTGCCCGTATTCACTACCATAGACTCCAAGGATGACGACCTGTTGTCGCTGTTTTCTAATTCTCCGGCTACTGGCAAATTCATAGACCCAGACACTACTGTGACCACGAATGCTGCATCCACCAAGTCAAAGTCTCGTGAAGCCCGCGATGAAGAAACTAAAGACGCTAAAAAGCGACTGACTACGAAAAAAGATTCTCGTCGTGCGGGTCAGAAGCCAACAACTCGCCGAGTTTCAAGTAGTTCGTCAAATCTGCTGGGTTCGGGACTGCCTCCATTGGTTCCTACCTCTCGAAAGTTGGATATCGACATCGACTCAGTTATTGATCGTTTAGTTGATGTAGCTTCCAAAAAGCAACCGTCTCAACTGCAGATGCGTCGGGGCAAGGACAAGCTTCCTGTGACTCATCAAGAAATGAAATACATCTTGGCTAAGCTGCGTCAAATCTTTTTGGATCAGCCAACGCTTTTGCAATTATCTCCGCCAGTCAAGATTGTTGGTGATATTCATGGTCAGTTCCATGACCTTATTCGCATCTTCAACTCTTGTGGATTTCCGCCTCAAACTAACTATCTATTCTTAGGTGATTACGTCGATAGGGGTTATAAATCCTTAGAGCTGATTTTGTTGTTGTTATGCTTCAAGATTAAGTATCCAGAGAATTTCTTCATGTTGCGAGGTAATCATGAACTGGCGAATATCACTAAAATCTATGGGTTCTATGATGAGTGCAAACGAAGATTACCTCCAATCTCGGGAAATCATAAATTGTGGAAGAGTTTCATTGACGTTTTCAATTCTCTTCCAATTGGTGCTACCATCAACAATAAGATTTTTTGCATTCACGGGGGTTTGTCTCCTGATCTTCATGACTTGGCTCAAATCGAGCAAATCAAGAGACCAACTGATATACCTGATAAAGGTTTATTGGCAGACTTACTTTGGCTGGATCCTGATCCTCAAATTAAGAACTACAACTCTACTACGTGGCCGAAGAACGATCGAGGAGTTTCATACTGTTTCGGGAAACGTCACGTCGACCAATTTTGCCAACAATTCAAAATGGACTTGATTGTTAGAGGCCACATGGTTGTTGAGGATGGCTACGAATTTTTCAACAAGAGAAAGTTAGTTACGGTTTTCAGTGCACCTAACTACTGTGGTGAATTTAATAATTTTGGGGCCGTGATGTCGGTTGACAAGAATTTGTATTGTCTGTTCGAACTTATCAAGCCACAATAAAACCTAATTTGATAGATGGAATGTGGATTTGTCAGGCTGGGGCATTGTATGATGAAATGATGCACCTTGATAACGACCCTGATGAATTCAATTCTTTAGCTTGATTTACGAGATTGATTTACGAGATTTTTATATATACTTTTTTATGTTTTAGTAATGTATCCTTTTTTAAAATTAACTCATAGATATGAGATCTCTGTTACGTGAACAAAGCTTTTGAAGTAAGACGAAAAACTATAGACTTTTCTAATCAAACTTCTTCATAGAGCATACTCCAACATCAATTATGGTTAGGTTCTTACTAACATTCGCTCGCTTCTAATCACCGATCACGTGACTAGGGCTAGTTACCCTAAAATGAGGTGCGCGCAGAATTTACATCGTTATCTTTGAGGTGAAATTATTTCTGATCACTACTAAGAATGGCTCCCATTGTAAGTACATTGTTGGATAAGAGGCTTCCCTATGAATAGGGTTTTTTTACAACTGTTTTTAGTTTGATTACCCTGTTTCGGGGCTTTGCTGTCTTTATCATTCCCGTGAAGGGTCGATAATCGTGCGGTAGGCTAACGGAATAGACCTCCAAGAAGTCCAAGGCTGCTAAGAAGTTCGTTGTTGACTGCACCGCCCCCATTGAAAACGGTGTCTTCGACCAAGAAGCCTACATCAAGTACTTGACCGAACGCATCAAGGTTGACAACATTGTTGGTAACTTGGGTGATGACATTACCGTCACTGCCGAAAACAACAAGGTTGTCGTTGTCTCGAACACCAAGTTCTCGGGTAAGTACCTCAAGTACTTGACCAAGAAGTTCTTGAAGAAGAACCAAATCAGAGACTGGATCAGATTCGTCTCGGTCAAGCAAAACCAATACCAATTGCAATTCTACAACGTCGCTGACGATGAAGAAGAAGAAGAAGATGAAGAGTAATTTTTTTAGATTCTAGCTTAATATACTGGTTTTGGGTTAATATTTTATGGGAAATGAAAGCATTCATTGTATGTCTATCTTTTATTCTATTAATGTCTAATCATTCGGCTTTGGCCAATGATGCAGCTGAATCAATGACGTAAGCAGGCTTCATAGAGTCTCGCCCAGCCATCACACGTTTCAATTCTTCTTCTGAAGTACCACCAGTCATTACAAAGAGAGTGCCTCCAAGATTTCCATCGTTACCAAATTTGACGTCGGGTGTACAAGGTATCGCCAATCATTAAAGTCTTTTGGTAGGGGGTGCTCTTCCAAAATAATTTGTAGAAAAGTCGAACAAGGTTTCCCAACATTAATACATTCACGCCCTGATGTGTACATCATTTCATGAACCACGGCACCCCCAGCAGGAAGAACCATACTTTGGTCCTGGCTATGTTCTATCAACATTAGCTCCAATGAAATCAACGTCAGGGTTCAACAAGTATTGAAGAGTCATTGCAACTCTTAGAAAATTAAATTTTTTGCTGGAACCAACCACAACAGCTTTTACGTCTAGGTCAGGTACGAGCAATGGGTCACGCATCAAATGCTTCATCCGACTTGGGATCCTCGCATCCAAGAACAATGTAACCAGCATTTTCCAACTCTTCCCTGATTCCAATTTCACCCAATACCCATACTCTAGATTTGGATGGAAATTTGCAATGATTTTGGAGGTACGACGCAGCAGCATAATACGTAGGGAACATTATCAGCTCTGTTACCAGATCAATTCCAATAGCTTTAAACCGTTCAATATAAGTTTTTCTCAGGGCTGATGAGTTATTCGAAATACGGCCAAACTTCTTGTTCTTTCGAATAAGCCTTTCAATTGTATTATTGATACCGGGAATCAATTTACAGTTCAACCACATCACCCCATCACGATCAAATAAGAAGTTGTCATACTCGTCAACGAGTTTGGTAATTTATTCTGTAGAGGTAGCTTCGATCATTTTGGTGTGAGGAGTTTGACTGGAAAACGGTCGCACGTAATCCGACAGAAAAGCGATTTCATGCATGACAGCTCAGTTCGAAGGACTATGCATTATGCCATTAAACTATATACATGAGATTGTCACTTTCTAGTGATCAAACTAATTACCCCAGGCTTGGTTATGACTTTTTTTATGTCGCCATGAACATGTTTGGAGATTTGCTCTTGTGAAAGAACCAACTTGAGAAGCTCATCGGGTTGCTTTTCCAAAGCTTTGGGTCCTTTCAACGACCCCCGCGCCTTACCATTTATGAAAACATTATAATTGGCGTATGGCAGAGACAAGAGAAGTACTTCAGGAAACTTTTGGTAGAACACCGATTGGTGCTCTTCGTTAAGAGCAAGATGTAAAAGTTCCCATGCCTCTTCGGCCACTGAGGGAGTGACTGGAGCCATGACCACAACAAGTTGTTGGTAACAATGTATCAATATGCGGGGGTCAATGTACTTCTCCGATTTCATCGCCGAGATCAACTCATTGGTGATTTTCATATAATCTGAGATGATAGTATTGAACCCCAACTCTTCATCAATCAGTTTCGAGATTCTATTGATAAAGGTGCTAACCCCATTAATCAAATCAAACTCAGCCTGATTCAACATGGCATCTTCAAGGCAGGTACCATTATACAACTTAATCAATTCTTTTTCGTTGAAACATTCATCACTTGATGGACGCTTCGTATTTTCATTAGCATATTGGCCGATTTGAGAAGCCAATCCTAAAACTTTGTCCAACCATCTCGTAATCCCAGCGATGTGTTCCTCATTCCAATTCAACTGATCGGACAAGGGTGCCAGAAACAACATATGGGCTCGGGTAGCATCAGCACCATACTTCGCGATGCATTCAGCAGGGTCAGCACCATTGTATTTTGACTTTGACATCTTCTCATAACTAATCTTCGGTGTTGCACCCGTCGCTTTGATGAGCTTCCGCTCATCAAGTTCATCAGGCTTCAAAAACCGACCGGTAACAGGGTCAGTATAGGTTTTACCATGAACCATGCCTTGAGTCACCAATTGAAGAAAAGGCTCAAAGTGATTTGCTTTAGCCAACTCAGAATTCCACATCCCTACGTCTGCCAAAAACTTGGCCAAGAATCTTGAATACAACAAGTGAAGAATTGCGTGCTCCACACCACCAATGTACATATCCACCGGAATGTGCTTCGAAGCTAAGTCCTTATCGAAAGGTTCCGAGCTATTGTGAGCATCTAGGTATCGGAAAAAGTACCAGGAGGAATCCATAAAAGTGTCCATAGTATCAGTTTCGCGGCGTGCATTTTCAGAGCCGCAACTAGGACATGTTGTTTTCGTAAATTCTGGAAGCTTAGTCAATGGATTTCCTTTCCCGAAAATTTCACCTTCAATTTCAGGCAAAAGTACGGGTAGTTGATCGTCGGGCACAGGAACTGTTCCACACTCATTGCAATGCACAATAGGGATTGGAGCACCCCAAAAACGCTGCCGCGAGATGAGCCAGTCGCGGATTTTGAATTGTGTCGAAGGCCCACCTGCTTGAAGAGTGGAGAGTACCTCCGTGATTCTCTTACCCGCATCAGTATTCGTCATTCCAGCATAATTACCAAGTGAAAGAGGTCCCAAAGGAAATTGATCCAGCCTAACTTCAAGTGTGCCGGTTTTACCAGTGAAAGGTACCGGGGTTTCCTTGCCAGAAGATACAACCTGTAAGATAGGCTTATCAGCATTATGTAATTTCCAGAAAGCATAATCTCGATCGTCATGCCCTGGACAACCCATGACAGCACCATGGCCATAGCTGCCCAAAACATAGGGCGCAACGTATACTGGAACGTCAAATTTCTGTGATTTCTTGTTAGCGAAGTCTATCGGAATTGATGCCTTTGTTCCTTGCAAGAGATACCCATCCTTGGATTCAGGGTCATCCTTTTCTTTCATTTTATTAATGAATTGTTCGAGTTTAGGGTCATTCCTGGCAATCTCTTGAGCAATTGGGTGATTCAAAGCTATAGCGACAAATTGAACACTAAACAAGGTATCTGGACGAGAAGTATAGACAGTGATGACCCTACCGTTGTTGGTAGGGAATTTGACTTCTGCACCTTTTGAAGTTCCAATCCAATTTTTTTGCATTGCCTTAACTTTCAGTGGCCACCCGTTAAGTAGCTTCAAATCCTTCTCCAAAGCTTCAGCGTATTGTGTTATACCGATGAACCATTGCTTCAAATTTCGCTTCTCGACGAGGGCACCGCTTCTCCATGAGCGCCCTTCAGCATCGACCTGTTCGTTAGCTAATACTGTTTTGTCCACGGGATCCCAGTTGATTTCAGCTTCTTTCCGGTACGCCAAACCACGTTCATATAGTAGTAAAAATATTTTTTGTGTCCATTTATAATAATCAGGAGAGCAAGTGGTCACCTCACGATCCCAATCAAAATCAGCCAACATGAGACGCATTTGATCTTTCATCTTGCTGATATTAGATTTTGTCCATACTGCCGGGTTCACGCCTCGTTCAATGGCGGCGTTCTCAGCTGGAAGCCCAAATGCATCCCAGCCCATGGGATGGATTACATTGAATCCTTTCAAGCGTTTGAAGCGAGCCATAACATCACTGACAGTATAGACCCGCAAATGACCCATATGGAGTGTTCCCAGAGGATAGGGAAACATGGACAAGCAATAGAAGGAAGGTGCATTTGGATCAACATTTTTCTTTCCTGGATGAAAAGACCCAGACTCTTCAAGCCAAATTTTCGCCCATTTCTTATCAAGTTGAGTCAAAGGCGTCTTATTAACAAGTGACGCCGAACTGGCAGCTCGGCGACAAACTTGTCTATTCATTATGGTCACTTAGAAGGTGAATTTTCAAGTTTTGATGTCAGCGCGAGTATCTACTGGTTACCCACTCAGATGCGTGTAGCACTTATCTTCGCATCTATACTATATACAAGACTGTTAAAGGTTTACGGGTAATTCATTTTTCACATCCAACACGTACTTCCTGATGAGATTTTTACGAGTGTGCTTCTTCAAAGCGCTAGCATCTTTGCCCACCTTCGACAAGATCGAAGCCACTATAGAATCATCCAGTAAAACCTTAGCGACGATTGCATCAACATTCTCTTGACGTTCTTTTTGAGCAGAGGCCTTTTCTGTCATTTCATTGATTTCAAGATTAACAATTGGTTGAGTCGTTGGCCACAGCTTTAACCCATATTTCGCTTTGATTTCATCGATGGTTTTAGCAAGGCCAGCGGCATCCTCATCCGAGGCAGTTGATATCTGTTTTGACACGCCATCAAGTAGACGTAAATCTTCAATTTTGCTGATGACGGATTGAAGCCCTTCTTTGTTGGCTTCAAATTCAGCAAGTTTGCGTTTGTGCTCCTCTGCAACTCTCAGCTTCGCCTCGAGTTCGTACTGAGCAAATTGCTGACCTTTATTGACCTTGATTTCAGCAACAGCAAAGTACTTTCGCGGCAGTATCTTAGGGATCAGTTCGATTCTGACGATGTCGCCTTCCTTGCAGATATTACCCTCATCATGGACAAGATAGTGGTTTCGCTTGATAACTTCTTTGTGCACCTTTTTATCGTAAACGTGAGTATTGACACGGACTTTGACAGTCTTGTTCATCTTGCCTTGACTCACGACGAGCCCGACAAAGTTTGTCTTGACAGCCATATCAACTTGAATCCCGCGATGAAAAATTTAAGACGAAAAGATTATACAGCGCGAGGGTTGCGAGCGCGCGATGTTGAGATTGACCTAAAGATATTGATTAAACTATTTACAAGGAATCATTACGCTCAACAACAATATTAAACGCATTGGGATTCTTTTGGTCTTTGCCAGAAAGGCGTCTATTCTTCAAGAAGGTAACAGGCATTACGAGGTCGAGTATCACATTTTGTATCAAAGAGTACACCTGCGATGATAACCAATACAAACACAACGCTACCGGTGCATGGTATGAAATGGCCATGAGAAATACAACCGCTAACCTCAGAATATTACCCATTGCATCAGCTAAGGTAATTCTCATCTTTTGTCGTTGGGAGTTACGAGATAATTGTAATGTTTTGAAAAGCCATTCGATGTTCCCTAGAGCTGTTATTCCAATAAGAATGGGAAACACATGATATGGGTCCAGAACTGCTAAATCCTGAAACCATAATGCCCCTTCGGAATATAACGATTGATCCAATGGCTTATTGACCGCGGAAAACCAGGTAGACCAGCCAGAAAGATCGCGCATGGTTAGTGACATTGCTATCCAAAGGGGTACTTGGAACGTTGGCAATATGAAGTTTTTCCATATGGGAACACCATTGTCTTTGAACAACTTTTTTTGCCGCTTACGCACTTCCTTAGCAGTAAGTACAAGCATTTCCTCGTATTTGATATTCACGAGAGGGTGTTTGGGCATGTAAGTGGTATCTGATTTGGTATTCGTATGAGTCGTCACCGTTGCTGCCTCGGCCTTTGCCTTATTAACCTGCTTGGCAAGATTATGCTTAAAGATTGGGGACATCGCGCTAACGATGGGTCGAAGCCTCAGTTGCTTTGTTATCCGACGCCGTTGAAGAACGGCCAACGGTAATGTCCAAAGTGACCTGAGAGTAAAAGTTGTCAAAGGAATGAGGGCCCACCATGGAAGACCAGTAGATGCATGTACTGCCTCAAGCGACAGCGTCATAGTTTGTATAATGGAGTGAGGATCAAATGACAAACCTCTTCTCCCCATTAAAAACCCCGGATTATTGTAAGCCAAACCATTACCAAACCTTCGACTCAGAAGCTTAAGGAAAAGCATCAGCCTTTTGCACTCGCTAGTAGCACTAGTTTTTTAGATGTTCGTAAACAGTGCTCATAATAAGTGGCGCGCGAAAATTCACCATTAAGAACCCCCAGATAACCACAGCTCAACATGTCATCACGCAGTGAAAGAGCGTGTATGCTTTGTGGTGTCATTCAACCATGGAAGAAATTTGTTGATCAAGGTTGTCCGAACTGTGAAAGCGTGTTACATTTCATTGACAATGAGGATGGACAGGTCAATGACTGCACACTGCCATCATTTGAGGGCTTAGTGGCATTAGGACTGGACAACAAAGGCAGTTGGGTGGCCCGTTGGCTCCGCATTGATTCATTTGTATCAGGCTTATACGCCGTCAAAGTTAACGGAAAGTTACCCCCTCATGTGGTGGCAGATTTAGAGGAGCAGAACATTATTTACCGACCTCGAGATGGCAGTGCCGAAGATTAATATAGTTCACGAAAAAATATGTATTATAGTTACGCTACTTATCCGATTATGTGCTGCCTTGCCCCTTATTCATATCGAGCTGCAGGGATTTGTATGTTGAAACACAATCGCCCGTATGAGAAAGAAACATGTCAACAGAAGCGAAAGTCTTGCTACAATGCTTGCACTTTCCAGCGGAATAACCCTCAGCGAATGAATCGTAATGAGCTGCTTCCATGTGTTCCTCAAATTGAGCCTTGTTCACGACAATCTCCTCCTTACACAAATCCAGTTTCACGTAGGGACAACTATATTTGGCCATCCGTCGCTCAGCATGAAGGTCGAGGTGCATCATTAACATATAATTTTCATTGAAGACCGCACTACAGTGAGGATAAGGGCATCTCCAACCTTCGCAAATATCGATCTCTGACAGCGGAGGACCGATTGAAAAGTCAGCCGTAATTGGGGAAGCCGGTACGTGGACAAGTGATTGCGATGGGTAAACGTTTCTCGTAACCTTTGCATCCTGAGTGGATACCACGTCATAATCATTCTGGTCAGCTACTGGCAGCGAATTGTGAAGCCTGATATCGTAGCTAGGATGATGTGGGGGCGATCTCTGAGTACCAGCCTCTAGTAAAGTAGATTGCCCAATCACCGTTTGTGGACTTGAACTCAATGACGGTTTCAGCTTGCCGTGGCTTCTATGAATGGGCCGTTGGGATCTTGAAGACAGCTGATGACGTTTTGTCAAGCGACCTAGAAAAGTGGAGTGATGCTTACTCTCAGATTTGTCATCCTCACTATCTGTGTCAACTCTGCGCCTCTTATGTATCTTCAAAGGGCTCCTGTTTGCAACAGCAATAATCGAAACCTCCTCAGAATCCGAAGACTCATCGTTGAAACCAGTTTGCAGTGAATTACCAGTTAAAATGCTAGGACAAGTTTCTGCATGCAAAAGGAAATCAGAAGCGCTTTCAACCCGCTGGTCGCAACCGTCGCAATGACCATTCTTGTAGTGATTACCCAAAATATGGGTTTCAACCCCATAATATCTTCGGTTTGAACATCTGAATGGACAGCGTTTGCGTTCCGTCCACTCCTTCATGAATTCTCTACTCTCGATAGTTCCTGGGAAAGGCAACAAGTCAGTTTTAGTGTTCTCACACATTTGAACGTAGCTGAAGTACATGGGTAAAACCATAGGAGTCATGAGTACTGAGGGAGGCTTCCACCCAGAAAGGACGCGGTCCAGTTTAACCAAAGGCGAGTCCTTATATATGGAATGCTTCAAAGGAGGACCTGTATTGCAGATGGCAATTTTGTACATTTTGTACATGAACTCCTTGACGTCCTTGGTAGCCATTTCAACAAAGCGATCGATTGAAATCGGTCGCAAGTTGTACTGGCGCGCCATACACTTTGCAAGTTCGTAATGCTCCCAAGGATAGAAGCGACCGCCATTCAGGCTCCATTTCCTTTCGAGATAGTCATAATTTGTATATGAGACCGCTGGAACCTCATTCAGTTTACCAATTTTCAACAGCTGAGAATTGTGACTTGGCGTAGAGCCGATGCTTTTGAGTGCCTTTAAACTCGGCTTGAATACCAGCGATGGCTTCGTTTGCTGCACTTCTTCTGTTGTGAAGGATGATATTTGTTCTTGGGACGACGGAGACTCTTCCGAATTAGGATTTCCATCATACGAAGGCAGAAGAATCTTCAACCCCAACTCCACATTGTGGCCATGTTTGGTGAGTATTTGTTGACGAGGTTGCGACATGTTTGCATTGGAGCAGGCTTTTATGGAGGGTTGATTCACAGTTGATGAGACTTCGTCGCCACGCATTTGAACTGGAGCAATACCCGAGGACTCACGCTCTTCATGAGCAATTGTCGGGCTCGATGTAGTGTCGGCAGCAAGTGATTCATTAATACCCGATAGCTTTTCATTGCAGGACTTCGAGCTGGTTTCAGCACCTCCCAATCCACAATTGTGTGAAACCCCGACAATTGAGCACTTCATGGAATCCTCAAGACATTCTTTTTCCATGTCTGAGTCATCTGACTCCTCCGACTCCTCTGACTCCTCGTGAGGAGAGGCGTTGTTTAGGGATTGCAGTCCGTGATCACTAAAATGACGAACAGCATCTTCATCAGGGTCCGCACGTTGGTTGACGTCCGTGATAAGTTGCGACTGAGATGAATCATCTGGCTCAATGTCTTCATCGTTGGAATCATTCGTATTACACTCTTTATCATTATCAGCACCGTGATCAACAATGTCAGCACCATCATCGACATTCTCCTTTTCCTCGCCTTCTTTATTCTCTTCAAACTCTTCTCCCTCATCGTTACCTTCCTCGGCATCATCGTTACCTTCCTCGGCATCATCCTTCTCTTCCTCGACATCATCCTTTTCATCATTGTCAATTTCATTGTCGCTTACACGCGTCAGTGGGTCGATAGGAAAGTGTCTTTGAGCAGCGGGTGGGGTCGAATATACTCTCCTGTCGTTGTCTGATGTCACCAGACAAGCGGACTTCTTCGGCCACGGGAATACAAGCCACGGTAGCAGCATTCTAACCCTGTTTCGGCTGAACGCGCCGAATAGATTTTGGGAGACGCGAACGGAACTGAACGATGGATTTGGGAAATTTCCCTAGGTTCCAGGTTAACATGTGTGGGAAAATTTCACAAGTGCTGAGTTTCGGTGTGTAGTGTCTTTATCGCCTTGAGCAAGGGAATTTTGACAGCCTAGTAGTATCTTGAGTTACAGGTTAGACTTAAGCGTTGCATTTCAAATGCTTCTGATTCTCAACATACGAAATTCAACTGATAGCTCACTTAGTATTGCAGAAGTATTGCCTTTCATGACATGAATACTGATTACCAATAAAGATTGAAGTCCATTGCCCTGAGAAATTAAGACTGGGAGACGTGAATCCAAACGCGTAAAATCCACAATGGCATCGCCTGTACCTTTCTGAACAGCAGACGACTAGTTGGGACTTTTTTTTCGAGATCGAATGCGGGTCAAATTACCATTTTGGATCCACAATTCCGATTGACGTTGATATTGTACGCCGTATTGCTAGTGAAGTCGCAGATGTCCTCCATTGCAATCAATTTCCTTATAATCGAGCCAAATTGAAGCGGAATATTGAGAAAGGCACATGGTGATATTTCGTCGTGGATCAAGTAGTTCATCATTGTGAATTGATTGCCTGACAGCCTTCGAATATTTCATTGCCCCACACACGATATGCGAGATATACCGGATTCGTAAGTCAATTCCGTAAATTCCGATGGAAATTCCTTCCCCACGGAAGTTGACTAAAAGAATATATATCCCACAGTAGGTCTTCTATCAAGTAGCCCAGCAAAATGAAAGAGAAAATTAGTCTGCGGACAACTCTGGTTGTCGTAAGTTTCGAAGATGAAAGTGGTTATACCCCAGAACTCACCGTGATCCGCTCACCGCGAACTGGTGAAAAACAAGAAGGGGATATCGCTCTCAAGTATGCCGAACAACGGATTGAAGTCACTCCAGAGGAGGATAAGCGTCTTTTACGGAAGATTGACATGTACATACAACCACCGATGATTTTGATCATTATTCTTCAATTCATCGCCAAGGTTACAACAACAGCTGCTCTTATGCTTGGATTTAGAGAAGCTCTCGGTATGCATGGAGACATGTATCCTTGGGTGGCTTCTTCATTTTACCTTGGTTATCTCGTATTCACTCCGATTGGTGTGCGTTGTTTGCAACGATTCCCTGCCCTGAAAACCCTTGCAATTTTTATTATGCTTTGGGGTGCTGATCTTTGCTTGATGGCTATCCCAGCGTATGCTTCCTTTATCACATGGAGAACCATTTTGGGTATGTTAGAACTGGCTGTGTTGCCAGGTTGTATGATAGTGGTGGGCCAATGGTACAAAGCTGAAGAGCAATTGTTTCGTACAACTTTATTTTATGCTCTGATGGGATTTGGTGGGCTTTTGGGCGATGCAATGGCCTACGGTTTATACAAACATCAGTACTCTTATCTCATCCCTGGGTGGCAGGTGTGTTTCATTATCATGGGTCCCATCACTATTTTGTATGGGGTATTTTACTTTTTCCACATGCCCGACAATCCGTCAAAAGCGTGGTTTTTAAATGAAAGGGAAAAGCAAATGGTCGTGGAAAGAATCAGAGAGAACCAACAAGGGTTTGGCAATCCGAAATGGAAATGGTATCAATTCCGTGAGTGTTTAATGGATGTTCAGGTCTGGCTTTTTTTCCTCTTTGGTGTCTTCAATAATATTGGAAATGGCGGGTTACAAAATTTTTCTGTACTCCTCCTTGAGGGCATGGGTTTCAAAGATGAGATGCAGATTTTGATGGATATGCCTTGCTATGCTTTTCAAATCGTTGCTTGTATGGGTCTTTCCTACTGTGAACGCTACATCAAACTGAGAATGGCTGTTTGTACTTTTGGTGCAGTTATCTATATGATTGCACTTATACTAATTGCGTATGGACCATCAGACAATGCCAAATATGGCGGTTATGTTATCAATACGATCTCTTTATTGCCTGGTGCTTGTCTTCTTTCTTGTTTCGCCTCGAATGTGGCGGGACATACAAAGAAAGTCACGTTCAACTCATTTTTCTTGATCGGTTATTGCGTGGGTAACTTGATTGGTCCACAAACCTTCAAGGAAAGTGAAGAGCCGTTTTACCAAACCGCAAAGACCACCATGATGTGTTCTGCGGTATTGTCGCTTTTCTTCATTATGTGCATATGGGCAGTTTACGTTGTTCGCAACTGGCGTAAAGAGAAACTTGTTGGCACCGAAATATATAATAAGTTCGCCAATATGGAGAACGTCGAATTCGGAGATTTTACTGATATGGAAAATCCTTTGTTCAGATATTCTTGGTAAACTGGAAATACACAAGTGCTTGGGAGTATATTTGATTGATTGGAGAACCAACATTAACTTGCAGCATTCTATTTATTGCTGATATTGTAAAACACTACTACGCGGAAACCTTGACGTTCTCAAATAGAAAACACGGCATTGGGCTTTTGTTGCGAATGATCTCCTTTCAGCTCGAGACGAGTTGGTGCTATGAATTGTTCCAAATAATAGAGACATTACGCATGATTAGAGAGAATATAGAAATAATTCACACAGATTCAAACTGGGGTATACTTGAAGCGACTAGTGAAAACTTAGTATCAAGTATGACGATTCAACATCGTAACATCGAAAACCACAAAAGCTCAATCTCTACCAAATAGTCTTTACCAGTCGTATGTTGTGTAATTTTCAAATAATAATCATCTACAATTCATCATTAGCTTCGTCATCTTCGACAGCTTTCTTGGCTTTCTTAGAGGCCTTCTTACCGGCCTTCTTCGCCTCCTTCTTCGCCTTCTTAGCCTTCTTGTTAACTTCATCCTTGACATCTTCGACTTCTTCAGGTAACTCAGCTTCGTCATCTTCGTCTTCCAAGATGTCAGCACCAGCGTCATCTCTTTCTTGCTTGGTGACGGTACCATCAACGCCAAGAGCCCCCGACGACTTCACAAAATCAATCAAGTCGTCCAATTCTCTGTTGCCATTGAAAGGAACGGGAATTCTCAAACCAGTCTTTTCATCAATTTCACCATTGGCAGGGTACATCAACAAAGTAGGGTAGCCCTCGATTTCGACGGGCACGTCAACGTCATTGGCAGTGTGGTCAATATCGGCAACAATAACTTCAGCACCATCCTTGTTTGATTGATAAATTTCAGCCAATTCTTCCCAAGTGGGAGCCAACTTCTTACAGTGACCACACCAGGGGGCGTAGTACTTAACAAACACATCTTTGGAGGTGTCCTCAAGAATATCGCGGTAATTGTGTCCCACAAGCTTTACCACGGGATTGGCTGCCTTTTCCTCAGCGCTAGGTAATTCTTCCAGTTTAACAATGGGAGTGAGCTTACCCGAAACAAAGTCCTTCACGAATTTCTCGATCACGTCGAATTTAGGACCCTTAGGGTGCTGCACTTGATCGATACCATACTTTTTGTTATTTTCAGAATCTTGGATGGCGAACAAGGGGATAATCTCAGGATCCATATTGAGGACCTCAGCGTGACGGCCGAATTGAGTTGCATCCAAGGCAACAAAGTTGAGCTTGCCCTTGTGCTTTTTGCCAAGAGCTTCAAACTTCTCCTTGAAGGCATCACGCTGTTCAGGCTTGTCGTAAAAGTAATAGGCAAGAGGCGTAGGAGAAGTCATGTACATGAGGTAAGTGTCACGGTCAATTTCGCCAAAGTAAGGGATGGATTCATCCTTGATAAAAGCCTTAAGAGCATCCACGTCAAGCTTGTCACCAGAAATTTCCCTGGCATCGTCAAATTGATCAGGGTGCACCAACAAGAAAGTCGGTTTTTTACCAATCTTGATGTTGGTGATTTTCTTGCCAAGGGCCTTATTCAATGATGAATCAACTGAGATGAACGTGTTGTCCTTGCGACCTTGCTGAGCAACTTCATTAAAGGTTTCGTTGGATTTCGAATCGCCGTTCAATTGAAGAATGAAAGGTTTCGATTGTTCTGAGATTAACTCCTTGAGAGCATCCTCATTATCAACGTGCGAAACGGCAGGGAGAGATGCTCTGATCATGTAATCCATGATACCGTCAGCTTCTCTAGGACCCTCGTAATCTTCGGAAATTTCACCTCTGAAGACCTTCATTGTCGGGTAACCTCTGATGCCATGTTCTTGGCACAATTTTTCATCTTCAGTGCAATCAATTTGAGCCAACTTAATATTGGGGTGAGAATCATTCAAAGTATCGGCAGCCTTGACAAATTCGGGAGCCAAAAGCTTACAATACCCGCACCAAGGGGCAAAGAATTCCGCAAGGACCAAAGGGTTCTCTTCAAGGAATTCCTTGAAAGTCTCGGTAGTCAACTTAACAACGGCCGAGTTAGGGTCGGCAATAGCATTTCCATCCGCAGGACCACTAGCAGAAGCAAGGCTTACCACGGACAATAAGGTTGCCAAAGCATTGGTAGAAAATCTCCAGAATTGCATAACGTAAACTGGTTTATTTTATGAGGTGGGGCGGGTGCTGGATTCGGGCTTTTATATGAGCGCGCTGGCCGGTGCTTGTTGCCACGAAAATGACACGTATACAGGGCCAGGTGATATGCAAAATCTGACTCCAAAATTATCTTTACAACCACAATGGCAATAATGATGGCAAAGTTAGATGGAGAACCGTCATATACGTAGATATCCGTGGCACCTATCGAATCTTTGGTTTTGACTGATCTTTCAGTGTGACACCTACTCATGTGGTGGTAATTGCGACATCTTGGTATATGACGGAAATGTTACATGAATGCATAATTTAATTTGTCTTACATCTCGGCAGGTATTATTTTTCTGCTGTGGCACATGGCCCGGCATCGGTATTCGAAATGTGGCAGCTTCGAAGTTTCCATTGGATTCGATTATGACTAATGGCGCAAATTTGCTTCTACTTTTGATAATCTTTTGAGTTTTGTATGTTACCGTAACACGAGGGCGCAACAGGAGGGCGCAACAGTTCAATTTAACAGTTACGTGAAACGCTGGAACTAGCTATATTCCGAAGAAGGCCTTCCACGTTGGCCAAGAGTCGTTTTCAACATCATAAATATAGGCCATTGAGTGTCTCAAAGATGATTGCAAATACTCAGGATGACAATCGTAAATTAGCATCACCAAGGCCCACGTCAAGATGGCAAAGTACTTCCAACTGCGGTTATATAACTTGACCTTAAGTTTGTGTTGCTGAGGGTTCAGCAACTGGGAGTATAAGATAGGGTCACCTGCATAGTTGGCGAACGACGGTTGATACGCGTCCAAGATCCAATCCAAAGCAATCTTGCCCACCGCTATTAAGACCCTCAGGAAACAATATAAGGTAATTTGGTGGGTGATTCCTTGGTTGAACCAGGGGAACTGGTGTGAGTAAACGAAAAACGATCCGATAGCCCCTGCAAGGAACTTCGTGAGGTATGGATTCGACAGCCCCAACACTTGTTCATTCAGCAAAACTTTTTGGGCCAATTTATAAATTATTGCAAACAGTGCAAGCACCACCGCATGGTTTTTTGTTGCTCTGAACACCAGGTTCATTCGTGGCCGCAACGGTCCCAGTCGATAAAGGAGTGAAATCACCAAAGCATGCGAGAAACGAATCTTTCCGCCGTATACTAACCCATTACGGGCTGATCTGATGATTTCAAGCACCGGACGGTACGCAGGGTTGGTCAAGATATCCATGAAATCGTCGACGCTTGGGTGAATGATTGAATTAAATTGTGTGGGGTGCGACTTAGACACCCGCGGTTGACCTACTTCCGGGCCGCTAACCCCGAGGACTTTTACCTTACCGTTCCTACTAGTTGGCATAGTTCTTTCCCTAGCCCAAAGTGCGCGCTTCAGAAAAAACCACTAGCCCTGTGCACTCTTTCTCTGCTCAGGTAGGTGCGAAAAATTTTATCCACCGAAGCGATCCGCTAGTAACCCCATTCTTATCCATTTGTGGTTAGGAAAGCGAGCCATTCGTCGAAACGTCAGCTATTGTTGTTTTGAGGATTTTTTCAGTGGCCCTTCCTTCGTTGTTTGCTTCGCCACCCTTCAATCATGTCCTACGCTAACGCTGCCAAGGGCACCACCGTTTCTAAAGCCACTTCCAAAGCAGAATCAGGGGAAACTAGTCTCACGACTGACATCTCTCCCTCTGGAGACGCTGCTAGCTTGCCTGTCGTGACCGCTGAAGCCACTAACGGTTCAGTGGACGATTCCACCTCATCGCATGAGCGTGATACGACCCTTGCCCCGAAAAAGAAAACTTTTGCCCCAGCCCCTGTACCCGAAAAGTCGGCTTGGGGTGCTCCAGTCGGTCTGGTGGCCACTTCTGGTCTTATTGACAGTTCCAAATGGCCGACTCCCGATCAAGCGGTTACTGAACCAGTGAAGCCTCTGGGCCCCAAGCTCGCTAAACTGGACTCGCTGACGAAGTGGGTACCAATCCCCGTTAAGGTTACTATGTCGCAGTCTCGAGGACCTTTGGCGAAACCCGCTCGGACTCGGAAAAAGGCTTTGAAGCCGAAGGCGAAAAAGGATGAAGCTAGTCCCAATCCTGAAAATGTGGAGCTTGAGGGTCTGGTGGGTGACGACTCGTCAGCTGATTTGTCGCTGGCTTCTCATTCTACAGATGACGGCCAACTTGGATCTGGTTACAAGTACAACACTAACTTCAAACCTTTCCGAAAATTCAACAATGGGGTGGCCACCAATGGTCAACATTCTTTTCAGAAGCGCTTTCCCAACCAAAACTCTGGCTACTACCACCCTCAATCTTACTACAATGGGCTGAAATCCTCTTATCGGCAAACCACTCTGGCTGGTCGTGGCACTAAACAACCTAACACTCGATACTTTGGCAATGGGGGATTTCGTGGACAAGGTGGTTACATGCCTGCCCCTGCCATGGGCCCCACTATCCCCCCAGTCCTTTCTCCGAAACAGAATCCTCTGGAAGCTCTTCAACGCCAGATTGACTACTACTTCAGTTTAGAAAACTTGATACGTGACATATACCTTCGGAAGAATATGAACTCTGATGGTTGGGTTCCCTTGGATCTCATATTGAAGTTCAAGCGGGTCAAGATCATCGTGTCTCTGTTAGAAGAGGGACTCACGAGTGAGGCTGAATCACAAGACGTCTGCGAAGCTATCGTGGACGCTGTGACTAAGTGTCAAAATTTGGATGTGCAGTTCACTGATGGCACTAACGCCGAAACAGCAAAAATTACCAACGTACAATTGCGTGTCAAAGATAATTGGCAGCAATGGGTGATGCCTGAGGATGCTCCACAAAGATAAAGGTCATCAGCATCAGTGAACTACTACACACCATTACTCATCATCCTACTACCCTTAGCATCGAAAGCATACATGACCACCAGCACTGTTTATGCGTTAAAATCCTTCAAAAAAACTTTTTCGAGAAATCATTGTTTATAGCTTGGTCAACTTCCCGTGGTGTAATACTTGTATAATATATGAAATCCGGGATAATCACTAGAAACTGGATATATCTGATATAGATCAAAATTGCTAAGAGCCCCTGAACTTGTTATTGCCTGGAGCCAACACCCATGGTTATACAAAGACGTTGGTAGGATGCTCGAGAGAGGCATCTCATTCATATGACCAGCATATAGCACTATACAAGTGAGGCATCTGAGATACCCCGGCGGGCAATAGCGTTTACTTCCCAAGCAATAAGCCCTGCCAGTTTAGTACCCACTACAATGCGGCCACCCTCATTGGGAGGGCAGTAGTACTCAAGACCAGCAATGAGCATTTCACCATCCAAGTTATCGGCAGAAGTTGTCGAGTATGATCTCTCGTGGAACACATAACTTGCAAAAAGCTTTTCATCATCTTTCTCCTCGTCCTCCTCCTCGAAAACGTCAGTTTCGAGCAGACTCTGCCATGAAAGACCTTGGTCTTTAGGTGCCACAGCAGGATCATCTACGTGGGCTTGTGTTGTGGATGACCACTGGGGACTTTTGAAACGCGGGGGAACGGAGTGTGGGGCAGGTGGAGGAGGTGGTGGTTGATAATAGTAGTTCTTGAATAATTGGGGGTTCTCATTGATCAAGTAGTCGTAACAATAGACTAACGGCGCAGAAAACAGAGGATAGTTGCGAATTTGATCATTGTAAAGCGTCAAAACATCATGAACTGAAACATCTGCGTTTAATTCGGACATGGCGTCATCATCACCTCGAAGCTTCTCGACTCTTCGCTTATTTTGTACCATAAAATCGGCATACTGCTCCAAGGCACCAGGGAGAACTATGACTTGATGGCTTTCGTGTTTTTCATCAGTGACGTGACGCATATCGACAAGATGGACGCGGCCGGCATGTTCAGAGAGAACCAAGAGGTCATCTTGGGTATTACCGGGTGAAAACTTGCATAACCTTAACGCTCCTGCCAGGATACCAGGGCGAGTACTCCGGATTTCTGCCAACTTGCCCAGCAAATTGCGGATATCATAAATGAGACACAGCCCATCTTGAAACACCAGTGAGAACATAGTTCCCAGATTGTGGTATGCGATACCGAATCCCAGATCGTGCTTGCTATCGATGGTTTTGATGACAGGCTGAGGCAGTGACGGGTCAACCATGAATATCAGCGAGGTATCACCCAGTACTGTAAGCAAACGATGGCACATGGGATTGCGAATGACGTTATTTAGACAGGTGTTGAGCTCACAGTTGATTTTGGCTGTTACGCTAATTTGACTGGAGTTGTTCACGTCCATGCAGTATAAAAACAGGTCATTATTGCAAGCGTATGCTGAGAATTGCGAGGAGTTTGAGTCATAAATCTTAACATCGTTATTGATCATTTCGCCCAACTTGACTGTCGTATGGGCCCCGGTTTCAGGACTGTAATATGAGAATAAGCCTTGATTGGAGCTGCGCGGGCGCTGAATCTTGCAACATTTGCCGGGCTCCAAAGCCGTGGGCATTTCCAATGATTCAAACAGCTGTGACACTGCCAGATTTGGTTGAAGCACTCCTCCGGTTACAGTTACCCCGTTGGATGCCACATTAGAACACTTTGGGAGGTATTTGAGCTCAAAGTGCCGTTCCAGACGTGCTTGATTCTGACAGATTTCGAGACGGCGAATCTCATCAACCTTGGTATAATAGAGTCGGTTTGTTGCGCTTTCGTAATGTAACAAGTCCAATAATTGCCAGTGGTGGACACTAATCTTAGTGTTGCACACAAACTTGGGCGTTGGTCTCAATATCAGCATCAGATAATACGGATTTTTGAAGCACCGGGAGTAGACGTTGTTACGCCGACCAACCCGGCGTTTGCGGGACCATGGGGGTGACAGGTGAGGCTGTTTAAGCCGCAAAGACTGATCCTGGGAGTCGCAAGTCATTTCTGGAGAGGAAAATCAATCGTGGCAAGCTAATTTCGGTGACTACTTTGATGGTTTTGAGCCATTCATAGAGAGGGGACCGCTGAAACCACACTTTAAGCGGCGAAGCACGCAATGACAACACTTCAATGTCGGCTAATACAACTACGTAAGGCTTCTATATATTGCGTGATCGATATGAACAATCTCTGGTTTTATTATTGTAAAATTCGAGGATTTTACACCGAGAGGGGAAAATTTTGTCCCTGCATTCAGTCACGCCTCTCCCCACAATTTTTCTACTAGGTGGGGAATTGAATGTCAGAGTGTCCTTAAAAATCAGCCATCTCTAAATGTTTCTAAAAAGCAATATCTGCCTACCAGTAGAATATGATTCGTGGTGGAGATAGTGACGCAATACGATTGATACCCATGTAGTTGTATTCCATAAATATTCAAATACTTGCTATATCGACGTGAGCTAGCGTAACTTTGCTTCGGATTACATTCACATCTTACCACTTTCCTCTGCGATCAGCGACTCCAACTCAGCAAGTTAATTTGTTGTGCCATAATTCCGCCATCCAGGCGCTTCGCCACTCGGGGTCATGCAAGATTGCCAAATCATTAACGCGTCGTTAGCGTTGGATTAATCACTGTATGCAGCAGCCCTTAGTGCGCATTTGGTGCACTTTCAAAAATTGAAAAAAAAATCACGGAACTTATTAGCCGCAAGGATAAGAACTCGACTCTATGGTCATAAGAGGTGGCCCGATCTCGCCGGTTTCAATTTGGTGGATGAACGTTTTCGTTGGTAATGACACAATTGATTGTCTCCGCGTAAATCTAGAATGTCGTGGGTATTGATTACCATTGTCAACTTTGGTGACGTCTAGATTTGAGACGAGATCGTTAGTAACCAACAACGGATCGTACAGTGCTATGTGAAAAATACTGGGTTTGAGAAGCACATGTGCTTGACTCTTGCGTACAAAACTTCTCTGATTCATAGAAATATTCACCATAACGCGAGCTATTATATTCACCGACCTCTTCTCACATCGTGGAAGATATATGACACTATTGTTGGTATTCCAAGTGGAGGGAACTATTCCTTCCTGCATAGATCACGCTCACTGAATGCGTAAACGTGGCCATGACATCATGAAAACCTAAGACTGAAAAATGGTGCATTTGTGGGGTGTGTGAGTTGTACAGGGAGGCCAATTGCACCTACTGACCAGCTAGCTGAGCCACGAATCCAACACGATGGCCGAAGTCAACTTCATATGAAAAATTCCGTCCCTGAGGTACTCGATAAGTGTGAGCCACTCCGGTGGAATGTCGTAGAATCGCCTATTTTCAATATGTTCCCGGGTCCTATCGGATGCCCGGTATTTTGCGGACGCATCCCGCCCCAATCAGAAGCCCCAGACCGCAACCTGAACGAATGCCAGATTGGCAATAGAATCAGTAATCCGACGTATACGGGTACTCGAGTTACTAGTAATCTGGCAGTATTACAAACTGGAACTTCCCCCTTGAACATTAGGAATTGCGCCATCGCCGGACAATCGTTAGCCGCTGTAACCCACCTAGGCGCATTGTGCAGGCCGAGGGCCACGCTCACCCGGGGAATGTAAGGGATATAAAGACTCGGCAATCCGCCTCAGCAATTTTCTTCTTCACAATTAGTTTCTAATTAAAAATGGCTATCAAGGTTGGTATCAACGGTTTCGGCAGAATTGGTCGTCTCGTTATGAGAGTGGCCTTGCAAAGAAAGGACATTGAAGTCGTTTCTTTCAACGACCCCTTCATTGGTGCTGATTACGCCGCTTACATGTTCAAGTATGACTCCACCCATGGGCGTTTTGAAGGTGATGTGAAGGCTGAAGGCGAATACCTTATTGTCGACGGTCACAAGATTAAGGCCCACTCCGAGAAGGACCCGGCTTCGATCCCTTGGGGTAAGGACGGTGTTGACTACGTCGTCGAATCGACTGGTGTTTTCACCACCAAGGAAGGTGCCCAAAAGCACATCGACGCTGGTGCCAAGAAGGTTGTCATCACTGCTCCTTCGGCCGACGCCCCCATGTTCGTCGTTGGTGTCAACGAAGACAAGTACACCCCCGACCTCACTATCGTGTCGAACGCCTCGTGCACCACCAACTGTTTGGCCCCCTTGGCCAAGGTTGTCAATGACGCCTTTGGTATCGAAGAAGGTTTGATGACCACTGTTCACTCGATGACCGCCACTCAAAAGACCGTTGACGGTCCTTCGCACAAGGACTGGAGAGGTGGTAGAACTGCTTCGGACAACATCATTCCTTCGTCGACTGGTGCTGCTAAGGCTGTTGGTAAGGTCATCCCCGAATTGAACGGTAAGTTGACTGGTATGTCGCTTAGAGTTCCCACTGTTGACGTTTCGGTTGTTGACTTGACTGTGAGACTCAAGAAGCAAGCCACTTACGAAGAAATTACCGAAGCCATCAAGAAGGCCTCGGAAACCAACCTTAAGGGGGTTTTGTCGTGGACCGAAGACGCTGTTGTGTCGACCGATTTCTTGGGTTCGCCTTACTCGTCGATCTTCGACGTTAAGGCCGGTATTTTGTTGTCGCCTACTTTCGTTAAGTTGATTTCGTGGTACGACAATGAATTCGGTTACTCTAACAGAGTTGTTGACTTGTTGGAACACGTTGCCAAGGCTTCGCAATAACTATCCGTGAAGTTGTAACCTCGTATGATAATGAACGAATGGTAAATTGACTCAATCACCACTTCACCAATAGATGAGAGAGTGAACTCATAATTGTATATTAAGCATAGCAAGCCACTGTCAGCTCTCAGATGTTATGTCTGATTGTTCATCTAGCTCTTACCCATAGACGAATTTGAGAGGTTGAACTGAGTCCACTTGTCAAATGGAAGAGCTTCGCCAACTTCATCCTGTTTCGTCCAGTTGACGGACACGTGGCAAAAAGGTAAAGGTAAAGATGGTAAGAATTACCAAACCTGTGTTGAAGAGTTCCCTTTCATATTTGGAATTCTAACACTCTTCTTTGGATGAAGCTGTCAAAATTGCTTCAACGCCGATGCCGCTGGACTATCGGCAATCGGCTCAAAACTAGCTAAGTTTCTACCTTACCCCCTCGTTTCTTTTTTAGCTCGTCTTAATCTATAAATACTGTCAAATAACTTTCAATACGGCAGACTAACAACACTCAACAAAACTAGTGGATGTTTTGACAAAAACAATTGCCTTCAGCCAGATTCGAACTGACGATCTCCTCATTACTAGTGAGGTGCCTTACCACTTGGCCATAAAGGCTCTTTAGTTTTGTCGTGTAAAATGCTGATCTTGAGTGTCGGACTTGTGAAGAGCTAATTCCGGGAGTCAATGGAACCTGAGAGAAGGTTGACGAGAGTCAAGGAGTGTTCGAGATCAAGCATGCAAGGAGTCATGAGCATGACGGGAGCATGCGTGGAAGGTTCCACAGTGGCGTTATGATCGCAGTACTGGCGGTATTGCTGAGGTATAAACAACGCTGAGTTTATAGAGTTTTAGACAAGTGATTTTTAATGAAGACAATTGATATTTAATCTTCACTACTAGTCGTGATCCAGTGACCGTCATAATTTTATACCACAGTTTTTGTTGTATAATATCCTAACGTCACTAATAAAACATTTGCATTCTTTTCTAATCAAATCAGTCCTATTTATACACCAACCTGCAGCTTGCCACTTTGCCACCATGGAAGCTCCAGGTACCTTCTTCTGCATCTGTCACATGTGTATCGAGCCTTCACAAATGNGGCATTTAACATCACGAAACGCACCACCGCCGTCCGACTGGAAGCTATTCTGGAGAGACTTACTGAAATTCACGTTGCTGCAACCTTGGGAACTGTCTATCCTCTGGGAGTTCTATCACGGTTATGTAGCCGCATGGATGTGGACCGCCCACACCACTGTTGATGAATCACAGTATGCTTCATTCTTTACAACTGGCTGCACCCTTTGCCTCGTCGGCGTTTCTCCCGATGAGACAATCGACCTTCCCGCTGTCCGAAATGAAGCGAATCAACCTCTTTTTGCCGCTCAGACGAAGCTCATACGTACCAAGGGTGCCAACGAACGGCACACTTACTGCGAGTGCCCCGTCAGCCAAACCGTCTACCGGCTTGTCAACCAACAACCTACCCCCTACAGAACCGTGTCTGATATGCTCCCCCCTCGACGTCTTAATCTGGTTGCGTTTAAAGAACTAGCCCGTTTTTTGCGGGCTATGTTCCTCCTTTTCAAGGAGTCACGACTATCACATGAGGCCCCTGCTTTTTGGGCAGAGGCTGATTTGAGAACGTGGATTGAACAACACCAGCGGTACATTGAGACAGGCAAGGGGCAGGGTATACACTAACCACCACCACCGAACGAGAAGTTGTTTCTGACCCAACTTTATATGTTTTTGTTTTCAATCAAGGCGTCTCTCAAGTGACTGGCTCGAATCACCCACGGCTATGGTGTAATTGGCTAACATAATCCCAAAAGGAGAGATCAGGGTTCGATACCCTGTGGCTACGGGTCACATTCCCCCTTTTGCTTGAGTACCCTACTTCAGTTATTACTCTCTCAGAGGTTTGCAGTTTGTTCTTGCTTCCTCAACTCGCAGATATCTTATCTGTTTTTTTTCACGGCGGTAGGTGGCTCTTAGAGTCTTCTACAACCGTTTTTTACAGGTAGATATTAATGCATACTTATAGATAAAATGACTTCGTCTGGCTTCTCGAACCTTCCACACCCTTCGACCAGCATCGGAGTCATTCCTCAATAACTCCGATCTGGAAGCTAGCATTTTACACGAAAGTTCTTTTAAGGTAAACATAATATTGTAGCAAGGTATACTTCCGTTTTCACCGGATTGCTCCGTCACCCTGCTCAATTTGGCTAATCTATTGTAAGGGTATGATATTTGCATGTTTTTTTGAATTGATCATAACCTTTTCATTTGCCCTTATTTTGCCCTTATAGGTCGGAAGAAGGTGAAATTCTAAAAACCAAATTCTGCCAAGGACTAGGTGTAACTTCCGCGATTCACATTTGCAGCTTCTAGTATTCTTTTGTTAGATTACAAGTTATTACGATAGATTGATAAAAATGCAAGATTATAAAAAAGAAAAGACAAACACACATAAGAAAAATCGAAGTTTGCCAATTGTTCTTGATTCCTTACCTTGCCTTTGTCGAATTTGTTTCCTTCGTGACAAAAGGCGGTTCTTTAAGTCTTCAATAATGAATTCTTTTGGAGATACTAATGCACATATGCAGGTAAAACCGAATAACGTCCTTGACTCGTCATCAAGGGATAGAAGAAGGCAACCGTTTTCTCACTAACTCTGGGTTTGGCATTTTCCCAAAACTTCCCAATCCACAACTCATCCACCCAGAGAGTGCTCACTTGGTCTACCATGAAGTTCACAAAACTTTCACAAAACTGCAATGGAAAGATGGGATGAATAGAGAAGGTAAGCGGTTCACGACAAACGTTAGACAAATGCAATCGTTTTGTAGATCCAATATAAGTGTTTCTCGCTTCCATACAGTTTAAGACCTCGCTTATTTTATTAGAGAAGTAGACTCCGCCACTGCATGATGACATTCACTTCTTTGAATAGGGGGCTCGCATATAATCGTCCCGACTCGAGGATGAATGCTGAGGAAAAACGATCGCCGCCATTTTCGATCTACAACTCAGAACTTGTCCTCAGTAGTGTTGTCCATCCTTGAGTATTCACGATTGAACCTATCAATCAGGACCTACAATTGGCTGACGTAAACGTTGATACCCGATTTGGATATCTCATACGCTATTTATTTATGTCTTTGTGATTTTTACCAGCTAAAGTAGAATTTTAATCGCCACTGCCACTCCTTATAAACTCCGTACAAATGACCCATCGGCTGAGCCACAGAATCCGATCCGATTCCGCAGCCAAGTAATCGGAATCATTGCAGCCGAAACGTCCAACTATTGAAAATGGACCATGCGCTGGGTTGAATAGTTCATTATTCACAAGTTCTTTGATTGATTCGAGTCTCTACTAGAGGTATGGTCTTGAAATTTCTGGCTTTTATCTATAAATTTCGCTCAGTCCGACAGTCGGCAAGCGGATGCATTTATGTGTAACATACATTGCCTCAGCCCACAGTATAAATAGCGATGAAAACACCAATTCATGCCCATATACCTTTGTAATGTCTGCTAACGATTTCTACAACTCGGGCCCACAAGGCTTTTACAACAATAATCAAGGCCGAGGCCAATACGACAACCAAAACGGAAACCAATACGGAAACCAATACGGCAACCAATATGGGGAGCAAAGTGACCGCGGCCTTTTTGGACACCATGATCATCACCATCACCAAAATGACCACCACGACAGAGAAAGAGGTCTTTTAGCTACTGTCGGCGGTGCCGCTGCCGGTGGTTACGCTGGCAACAAAATGAGCGGTGGGAGCACACTTGGAAAGGTTGTTGGTGCTGTTGGTGGCGCTATTATCGCCAATAAACTTGAACATAAGTGGGAAGACCATCACCACCACAACGAAGGCTATCAAGGCGGTTACCAAGGTAGTTATCAGGGAGGCTACCAAGGTGGATACGATCAAGGTTACAACAACAATCGTTGGTAATTATGTACGATTAAATGAATTCACCATTAACCAAAAATCTTGCGCTTTTACGCCAAACGTCAGTATGCAAATTGCCGAGTCGCATTTCATGCTCCCCTTAAGTCAAAAATCACGCGTCGAGACACTCCGTACCTATGAGTTCGGAGAAACCGTGTCCGTACCGTTCATTTGTCCTGACGCGGATAGATCCAGAGCGTGTTTCTCGAGCCAGCTTTGGGATTCTGGATGTCATTGCTCTCCTCCTTGTTACTTTGGCAACCATAGCTAGTCGATTTTGGCGAATCAACCAGCCAAATGCGGTGGTTCTTGACGAGAGTCATTACGTTGACTTGATACGACAATACATCCTTGGTGTTTTCCATTTGGATGTTCACCCGCCACTTTCAAAATTGATTTTTTACTGGATTGCTCGCTTCGCTGGCTACGATGGTAGCTACTTACCTCCCAAGGCTGGTGAGCGGTACCCCGACGATTTTCCTTACGTGTTGTTGCGTTCCTTCTCAGCTCTGTGCGGAGTTGCTACAGTGATTCTCACCTACCTTACACTACGAAGCAGTGGCTGTCGAACTTTGATAGCTGCTTTAGGATCCTCATTATTGGTGGTAGAAAACTCAATCACCACACGTCTGCGTTTCATATTGCTTGATGCTCCACTATTGCTCGGGTCAGCTCTTGCCATTTATGGCGTGAAAAAGACACAACTTGTGGAGCCCTTTACTAAGAAATGGTATAAGATGTTGTTATCAACTGGTCTTGGTGTTTGGTTTGCACTGAGCACAGCAATTACTGGCGTTTTTATATTGGTTTGGGTGGGGCTTGTTACCGCTTGGCAGTTGTGGCGTTACTACGGTGACTTAAGTATATCAGTTGGTGCAGTGACTCGCCAAGCAGTCGTGAGAACTGGTGCCATCCTTGTGCTCCCAACATTACTTTATTTGGCTGTGTTCACTGTACATTTTACCATTCTCGATCAACCAGGTGTTCATCTCGCAAAGTTCCCCGTGGAATTTCAGGCAACTCTTGACCCAGAAGTATTAGACTCTCCGCTGATGGTGCTGTTCGGGCTGTCAGTTACTTTTAAGCATCAGCAACTTGAATCGTACTTGCACTCACATGACTTTAACTACGTCAGTGATTCGAATTTACAACAAGTTACCCTCTACGATTTCGCAAATGATGTCAACAACGAATGGATTGTGGAAGGTATCCATCATACTCAAGAGGGTAAACTACAACAGTCAATCAAGCCTGTCGCTGACAATTCGATCATTCGCTTATATCACAAGGGCACTGGACGTTACTTGCATGTTCTGGAGGATGTTCGTCCTGCGACAAGTGAGAACGATTATTCAAAGGAAGTCAATTGCAATGAGACTCGTGGCCTTTTGGGGAATGCCGAATACGAATTTCGCATTCGAATAATAGAAACGAGAACAGGAAACCCTGAGGCACGCCATGAATTGAGATCTGGAGAAACTGTCTTCCAGATTGTTCATAAGAAATCGGGATGCGTTCTACTAGGCCATTCCAATCGTCTTCCGAGATGGGGTGGCTACCAAAAGGGAGTAATTTGCATTGACGAACCAACAATACCGGGGACGCTTTGGTATATCGAGTCTAATAACCATCCAATGCTCAATAATAATGCGTCGCACGCCACGATCTCGCCCCCACCATTTGGGTATTTGAAGAAAATGACTTGGTTACATTGGGCCATGAGTCTTTACAGCTCTGGAACTGACAATGATCCCCAAAGCCAAACTCCAGACAAGTGGCCAATGGCATTGAGAGGTGTGAAGTTGTATGCTAAAGTCAATTCAGAAGTGTTCAGCGTTGGCAATATCGTTATCTATTGGTTGGGCACGTTTTTGGTAACGTTCGTTGTAGCAAAGGGGATCATCTACGTCTTGAGCTTCTTGAATCCGTATGCAACTCCCAAATATGCGCCTTACGTTCGAGAGTTCAACGATACTGCCCTTGAGTTCGTGCTTGGGTGGGCGATGAATTACTTCCCATATTACTTTGTTCAACGTGAACTTCAACCCCACCATTACCTCCCAGCACTCTACTTCCTCATATTACTTATAGCTTTGTTTTGCGAATACCTTATCAAGCAACAGCGAGTCGTTGGATACTTTTTAGCTGTTGCGATATTGGCGTCAGCAGGGATGGTTTTCTATAAGCATGCTCCATTGATATATGGGAGTGACTGGACAGAGGACGCTTGTGAAGCTGCCCGTTGGTTTTCTACCTGGCGGTGGACCTGTGACAATTACGTGCTTGAACTTTGAAATTACATAGAATATACATTTATTGTTTTCGAGTCTGAGTGATGCCATTGGCAACGTCAACAATAAGTTCCTCCGTCCATTTGAGCAATGCGTCTTTTTTCGCTATCTTTGCCAATCTTTCTTTTTCAACCTTTCGTAGTTCCTCCACTAGCGATTCAATCAATTGAAGCTGCTCGCTTGGAGGAACGCCAATACCTGGAAGCCCATCTATGAGCATGGATATTTGTCGACTTTTGATTATTATGTCACTGCTCAACTCATTTATAGTCGTATCAAAGTCGGGTTTTACTTCATTCGTTTCCTTTTGATCAGCATGGCCTGGTAGGGGTGCTTGAGCTGCGATGTTTGTAACTGAATTGGGATCCGTATCTAACTTTGCGGGCTCTGCATTCATGTTCACATAATTGATGGTGGCATTGAACTGCTCTATGAGTTGATCCAAACACACTTGGAGCTGTGTCAATCGATCGGCCATGCTCACCTGGGTTCACAGCGTCGCGAAAATCACCTCCGCCGCACAACGCTTGGTTTGTTGATGTGAAATCACTGAACATCACCAAAAGTCTTAGGTTGAAAGAAGCAAAAGTTAAATGGTGAAATACAGGAATGCTTTCAGTCAGATTTGAATCTAATAGAAGTCAGCTGACTTTTGCTCGTACATTCGCGAGGAGCAAAACGATGCTATACCTAATAAATTTTTTTATTCATCTTTTTTTGGATTTCTATAGTCTTGCATCCCTATTTTTTTTCTTTCATCCTTAGTTTTGCATTGATATCACCTTTAGGACGATTACCACGCCTTAGAGTATCCTAAGTGCTTATAAAGCCTTCTGTCGCGATACCATGTGGTCTGAGAAAGCGAACAGCGGCGAAATACTTAGCGGGAGGACAGGATGAGGGACGGCAGTTGTTCAGTAACTGGAGAGCTAACAGCCCAAACCCTTGTTTGCCGAAAATGCACAATTAAAATCGTTGATTTGATGAGTTATTCAAAATTCAAGGAAAAAGTGTAAAAGCGCAAATGGTTTAGTGGTAAAATCCAACGTTGCCATCGTTGGGCCCCCGGTTCGATTCCGGGTTTGCGCACTTCTTTTTCCACCATATGACTGAATTTGAATTACTACCGCTTGTAAGGTTCAGGATCTGTGGCGTCCTTCCATATTAGGTACAAGGGGTCGCAGCCCTGACACTCCTTATCAGACTTAAGCCGTACATTGTGGTTTCATTCAACGAATAATCAAACCGTCTATGTAGGGAGAATTAAAAAAATCAAAAAAACACAGTTGACTGCGTTGTTGTGGTGATGTCGTTTTGTCGTGATTATTGATAAGGCCAAGTGTTTTCGACGAGATTGACACGTTAAACAAAAAAGACCACTGTAATTTCTTCATAATATGTGAGTGGTGTGTGGCCTTTCATAATGCCCGGCAATTGTGAGTTGTGACAAAGACAAACGGCGCGAAGTCCTCAACGTCTTGATATTACCTATCATTCGACTCATACCATGCTTGCCTTTACCATTTTTGCCACGTGTTCGTCTATTGGACGAAACAAAATAAAGTTGGCGAAGCTCTTCTATTTGACAAGTGGACTCAGTTCAACCCCACTTTCAAATTTGTCTATGGGTACGAGCTAGACGATACTCGTCATCTCAAACCCATTACTATATTTCAGGAATACAATTTGTCCAATTCAAGACATTCAATAAAAATAGCAACTGGCGTTGCATGATCGTGAAATCGTTTCATCATGAATAGGGGTCAAATTCCATCCCATAATCTATCCACAGTCCCATACAACTCTCTTTCGCCAAGTGATCCCAAATTGCTGGTTCTGCAATTTTACACTTCATTTTTTCATTCTCATGGTTTGGACAATTTTGATAGGGATCGTGGAAGTAACCAATGTCTCGAAACCAATGAAGTTGAGTTTTATTGGCAAATAAACCCAACCCCAAAGAGCGAACTGGAGCGTCACCCCACCGTTCATAGTAAAAGTTGCCTGTGGAATCCAAAAATTGGAACCACTTCTCGTAAGCCTCGCCGCGGAAGAAATCCATGTCAGCAATTTCGAAATTTGACCAAAAGTGGCACGTCGAATAACCTGCCACCTCATTTTTTTGCGGATTCTGTTGATTTTCTGTGAGCCATTGGAATGCACCATTGGGGTTTACAAACCGGTAGTTGTCTTCCGTATTTAACCAGTTTATGGTGTCAGGCCAGAGCAGCTCAATGGTCTGTTCAATGTCATACAAGTTGATGGTGAAACCATAAATTCGGTTCGTTGCCTCCAAATATTTGAAGACATCGTAATTCACGTCAGTGTAAAACTCAACTTTTGGCTCAATGCGCCAGTACCATTTATACTTCTGCAACTCGGGGACACGGTAGAAATTTCCCAGGTAAAAACGACACATATTGTGATATGATTGTTTTAGCGCATATACCACATTTTGCAGATGTAATTTCCTCATGGCATTGGTTTCGGCTTCGATGTTAATGTTAGACGGTTTATCCCAAAGTTCTGGCGGGATTGTAGCAAACTCACAAGGCGCATTGGTTAATTGATGCATGCGATCTTTAAAATCATCAGTGAAAGGCTTATCATTAACAAAAGTGTATGGGTAGCCAAACTTTCGATTGAATCTATCCTCAAAGCGTCGTATTGTACGTGTGATACCGATTTTCTCCAGATTGCGAACCAAAATCAATATAGTGGCATTGGCTCTGTCTGGATAGTCTTCAGGTGATGGTGGTGGTCGAATTGTGTCCATATCATAATCCTTTGGTTCATTTATCTGCTTGTTCATGAGTTGACGATAAGTCTTCGTATTGAGAGCAGCAATATGGTCGGGGCTTCCGCGTTTTCCTAATGGATTCATATAGGTAAACTTAACGTTGCCCTTTTCAATGATTGCACCATTAGCGGGTAAATTCAAATCTGGAAGTGTTGATGTGTAGTTTGTAAATGGAAATGCCTTCAAAGCCTCGAGCTGCTGGCTCATCAGTTGCGGCAGTGTTATCAGAACAAATACCACAAGTATTATTAGCACCCCCAGTACCCCTAGCACGAGCATTCGTTTTAACCTCCTAGCCATGGCGTTTGAGAGGAAACGGTCGCATCGTAGTAAAAGTGCGCGATCTTTGAAATGCATGGGTACCGACCCCTACCGATTCTTATGAGACTAATCGAAATTGCACTTGAACATAGTTTGCGATTTAGTATTATGTACGTAGGCTAACACATGCCATCAGGTTTTGCGAGCTTTGGCTTGATATGTGCCATAACGCATTGTTGCGCTTTCAATAAACTCGAAGCCCGTGTGGTCAATTATAACAAAATGGAGCCAATGATTCTTCATTCATTCATTAAAGCTATCAGTAGAAATATAATTTTGCCCCAGCTGAAGTGAGCTCTTTGACAGCATCAATAGCTTCTGCTAAATCCCAAATATTTTGCTGCTTCTTGTCCAAATAAGAATTGTCAATAATAACAATCTTAACGTTGTCCTTAGACACTGATAACTCATCCAGTTCGAGAACTTTGAGAATACGCGCCGGGGTCAGACATAATACTCTTGATCGTGTTTTCAGCATAACCGAAATGTCAGCAGATAATTTATTCTTTGTGATCAACTTGACCAGTCCATTCTTGAGATCTTTGGTCGCCCGATGGGTATCGCAGGCTCTAATCGCCAGCAGCAGCAATATGGCAATGTACTTGACTTCATCATCTTGTTTCGGCAGCAACATATTCTTGAATCGACTTGTGATGAACAGCTCTAAGTTTGTCAAATTTCGTTCATCATCAAAGTCCTGAGTCAGTCTCACGTCACTCTTGCTGAAGTACTTCTCAGCCAACTCTAAAGCTGAAAGGTCCGAGTACTTACGTCGTATCTTATCATTGAGGTATTCGGAAATTGTTTCAACATCTTGTTTAGCCAAATTGCGTTTCCGATCGATATCTTGTTCCATCTTCGTCCTCTTTTTGTCCTTCAAGCCACCTTGATTCTTCTTCCGCTTTTTGGAGCTGGAGCCAGTCACGGCGTCGGTCCTTTCAGGGACTTTATTATCAACAGTCTCGGAATCGCTTAACGGAGAGTCACTAAATTCAACATCGTAGGCAAGGCCGTCGTCAAGATCGTCAGCAGCAGTGTTCATCGCGTCCGAGCTTGGTTATGGTGTAGTCGCGATGCGCATCGCACACAACATTTGTGATCCAGAAGTAGGAGTGCCCCAACATGCTTCGCTTTCAGAGAAGGCTGATCTATTTGAATGCTGAGTTAGCTCAAAAGCTTGTCGGGGCTCCTAAACTTTCGGTGGTCGTGGTCGGAGGAGGACACGCAGGGTGTGAGGCAGCCACCGGTCTGGCTCGACTGGGGGCTTCAACGACGTTAATCACTCCCGATATTACCAAGATCGGTACCGCCTCATGTAACCCAAGCATGGGCGGAGTGGGTAAAGGCACACTTTTGCGAGAGGTCGATGCGTTAGATGGGGTGGCAGCCAAAGTGACTGACAAAGCTGGTATTCATTTCAAAATTTTGAATGCATCTAAAGGCCCGGCAGTTCATGGTCCGCGGGCTCAAATTGACCGTAAGATCTATTTGAAGGAAATGCAGGATGTGATCATGAACTACCCCAATTTGCTGGTGCTTGAGGCTTCAGTGGAGGATGTTATTATTGAGAACATGCAACTGAACGATACGGACGGGCGGAATAAGGGTAAAGTTCGTGGTATTCTTCTCGGTAATGGCGATGTCGTGGCTTGTGAACAAGTAGTGCTTACTACAGGAACATTTTTAGGTGGTGAGATACATATTGGGTTGAAGGCGTTTCCTTCAGGGAGAATGGGCGAAGACGCGACGTTTGGCTTGAGCAAAACTTTACGTGAAGCAGGGTTTAGACTTGGACGCCTCAAAACGGGAACACCATGTCGACTTGACGCCAGAACTATTGACTACACCAACTTAGCCCCACAACCATCAGATAACCCACCGCAGCCAATGTCTTACCTCAATGATGAGGTGGCGCTCAAAGATCAACTCGTTCAGTGCCACATGACATATACCACTCCAGCATTTCACAAGCTTATCGCTGACAATTTAGATAAACTGATCCACATTCGTGAAACGGTTAAGGGCCCCCGCTATTGCCCCTCGATCGAATCAAAGATTATCAAGTTTCCGCAAAAAACTTCTCATCATGTGTGGCTTGAGCCTGAGGGGCTAGACACTCATTTAGTCTATCCGAACGGCATTCTGTGTACCATGCCTGAAGACATTCAAGAACAGGTTGTAAGGTTGATGCCCGGTTGTGAGAATGTCATTATGGTACAACCTGGCTATGGCGTTGAATACGATTACGTCGACCCCCGTGAACTTAAACAGTCTCTTGAAACTAAACTTGTTGATGGGCTTTTCTTTGCCGGACAGATCAATGGTACTACTGGTTATGAAGAAGCGGCGTCTCAAGGATGTATAGCTGGGATAAATGCTGGTTTAGCACATCTCAACCGTCCGCAGCTTCACCTCTCGCGAGCCGATGGTTATATCGGCGTACTTATCGATGATCTCATCACTAAAGGTGTGGAGGAACCATATCGAATGTTTACGCTGCGCAGTGAATTTCGCATACTGATTCGTTCGGACAATGCCGACCAGCGGTTGACGGCTAAAGGGTACGAGCATGGCGTGGTTAGCCAGGAGCGTATGGATCGCTATACTCGTGAAATGGACGTCTTCTGCGCTATAAAAGATCATTTGAAGCTGATAAGACTTCTGGGGGCTAAGTGGGCGCCGGCGCTCAATGGACTCTACCTGGACGTAGCGCCTGCCACTACAGTAGACGGATGGAAGCTTCTACTGTACCGTGGTATGTCGTTTGCCAATATGTTGCCTCATATGGAAAAGTTTAGTCAAGGGAATGTTCCTGGTGAGTATCAAGATCTCAACGACAGGTTGATTAACCGCATTAATGTCGAGGCAAGCTACGAGCCGTGGCTCAAAAAAGAAGAAGCCCATTTGAAGGCTTACGCTGCAGATGAAAATTTGCTTTTGCCTATCAACTACAATTACACGAATGAAGGTAATCTTAAAATTTCTTATGAAGTGTGTCACTTGCTCAACACTATTCAGCCGCGAACGATTGGCCACGCTCGCCGGATACAAGGTGTCACCCCAGCTGCAATTTTTGAACTTTTTAAGTTGGTGAAAAATCAGCAGGATTTCTTAAGAAATCAACATGTAAATAGCACTTAAATATAATCTTGTACATTTTTGAATATAGAGTTATAAGTCATTTTCGCCAATGTTAACCTATCACAAGCCTCAATGATCATCCTATGGTGAAAGATTGAGACAATTCAAACATTTCTGCCAATGCCATATATCCATCGTCAACGCTTTCAAGCAAATCGTTGAAATAAAAGCCGATTAGTACGACGATGTATACAAGAATCAAAATGAAACCCTTGAAATAATTGGACTTTCCTTCGGCATAAATGTAAGTGAATAGATAGATCAGAATCAAAGTGGCTATGATGTCCCACCGGGGAAATACCAAACTGAAAATTTGATCCACAGAATCAAAATTTTCGTAAACCAGATACATCACCAAGGCGGGGATTTGAATGAGTACCACTTGTAATGCGTACGCCAGCCCGATTTCCATCAGCAAGGCGACATTTCCACCAACAGCGAAAGATATGGCATTGAGAAATTCGGTAGTGTTAGGGACAAGAGCAAACACAGTTAAGCCTAAAAACTTCGGATCGATAGGGTAATCTGAAAGCACCAGATCAACAGTGTCCACGAGTATCTCAGCAATGATAGCATAAAGTAAGGTGGCCAGTAAAAGTATGACTGTCGACTTAGTCTTGGACCAATTGGGAGCATCATGACCACCTTCACCCTCCTCAATCTCGAGTATCTGACTTGTGTTTGGATCTTCGCTGCTACTTACGACAGCAGTTGTTTGATTGGCCAGAGTAGTGGGAACCCGTTGAGATGAACCCGTGAAAGATGCCAGTGGAGGAAGTTGCTTGTTCACTCGCACCTCACGCGTTGACCCCACTTGCGGCGGCAACATTGGCGTAGCGCCCACATCATCTTTTTTGTCATGTGAAGTGGCCCAGATCAACAGTGCATGCGACTTTAACGTGAAGTAGAGACCGCACACATAGGCAAGAAATAAGGCTGTTGCCACAATAAGCAGAAACGGCCGAAGTACTTTGTAATACAATTTATCAAGTGTGAACAGGGGTTGGATAAAGCGACATTTTTTACAATCAGGACTCTCAGCCATGAACCCAACGCATGATTTACAACGGAGCTCATACGTGCCATAGATCTGGTAGAAAAGTGACGGAGCAAACATAATGACCATGGCGAATAGAAGCATCGTGGACAGGACCCCAGCACTGCGAGGGTTGTACCGTTGAGTCTTTCGCTTAAGAGCCCCCCCACACATTGATAATCCTGGTAACAAACACACACCACCCAATATCAGACCAATCATGGAGCCTTCCACCAATTTACCTTTACCTTGATTGAGGGCCACACAATATAAAAAGATCTCCACAACCGTAGAAAAAAAGGCATTAATAACTGCACCCACTCCCATCAGGGATTGGGCTGAAATTGATGCGACTGCTTGTCCGATGAAGTATGCTAAGGGAATGATGGAGAAAAGACATGCACAAAATATGAAGTTCGCATCGGTGTACCAGGTTTTCCAGTGAAGTTTCTCCTTCAACACGAAAAAGTCCAATATAACAAAGATAACCACGGGAATCAAGTTGATGAAAAAAATGTTGGTACCATCAATAGTGTATTTGTAGTAATGAAGACCACAACACTTATACGTGCACATTAAGAGACGTTGATTTTTGGGCGTCCGATGTTGATAGAATAAGGCTTCCGGTTCGAAATCAAGTGCCAAAGGATGGCGTCTCAAATGATCACAAAGGGTATTAGTGATGTTGGCCATGGGAATGGTGAAAACAACTAACCAACAAATAAGCAGCACCAAGTACAAGCAGGGCTGAAGTATTAAATAGAAGAAAAGATAAAAGGCAAAACGACCCACCAGCCACAGACCGCGCCCGAACCACCGCAGCTTGAAATCGGTTTCGTTGTCCTCATCATCTGAAGTTTGTTGATGATCGGCGTTTTGCTGAGTAGATGGCCCTTGAGCTGAAAACAGTTCCTGAAGGGAGCGACCTTTGTGATCTTTGAGGAGACCATCCGTTTGTCTTCGAGGCGGTGCGTAGAAAAGCCGGCCTTCCTCTTGCAACCGCCATTGATGAAATTCCGAAATCAGGCGACCATCTAATTGATCTTCATCAAGATAATTCTTGTCACGCTTGAGCAACACGAATTTGCCAAATGGCCAAAGAAAATAACCTCCCAACTTAATCAAAAGCGTAACGTAAGGCCAGCACAGACTGGAACCCGCACTACAAAGCAATACAATAAACGCCCCCACAGTGCATAAACCGCCCAAAAGGATACCCACTGTGAACATCCAAATAAAATTAGTAAGTGTAACCATCCAAGTGATACGCCCGGGGCGGTGTTGGTAATCGTGAATGTCTTCATCAGCCCGTTGAGCCACCAGTCGATTCTTTTTATACACTGAAGGCTTCCAAATTTTAATCCCGAATGGGTGAGTTGAATTGATTGCTTGCTGGCGTTGTTGCAAGTTGAGCGACAGCGAATTGGAATGGACCAGGGCGCTATCGGCGTCTTCTGACGCTTCAAGGCCCCCTACTGCGGGGGACTCACTTGGCTCCTCAATGTTGGAGTCTTCGTCAGCGAGCATTTCCCGCAAAGCATCTTGGTATCCCTCAAAATAGTCCTGAGATCCAATGGTGTCGTTGACGTCGTCATCGACCAGGTATACCATCGATCGGCCCCCTTGTGGGCGCTTGTGAAGGTGAGGCCACAGCTTCTTGCGGAGCCGCGTCACCAGATGGTTACGCTGCCCGCCTCCCAGGGAGGTCAGCCCCTCTTCAGGAATACGTGGCGAAGACATGCTGTCGCCGCTGGGGGGTAGTTCAATCAGAGGAGTGGATGAATAGAATTCGCCTAAACGCTTATCGCGTGGTAGCGCACGCCGCTTGCGGTAATGCAGGAAAGACACACCCAACGAGCAATAGCGACCAATGAAATTGAGAGGGTCGCTCAAAATGTCGACAGGAGACAATGGGCGGGTAAGACCACCAAGAGTAATATGCTTTGACAATTACGGGTTACGATGCTGGCCATGCATGAGGCTGTATGCTGTCAGCGGGAGGCCTCGCGCGTCGGGCAACAGCATTTATGTAAACATTACTACAGGTGGAAGGCCCTTTTAAGGCGGCGATGCATGACAACCACGGGCCGGACCCCTAATACGTTGATGCCGTAGTGGGGTCCACAGAGGGACCGCCGGAATATTGCGCGCAGCACCGCCGAAAAGGGCAAGATAATTGGGGGACGTGGATCACTAAGATGAGATCAGGAAAGCTCCGCCCCGTCATTCTCGTTTTTAGAACATAGGAGACGACCAATTTCCGGAGGAGGCGCCACACGATTCATTAGATTAGCAAGCTTTAGCCACGCCAGTAGTTTGATAGTTCTGGAGACCACAACAAAGTCAGTGATTCACGACAACAAGCTATCCTCGCCCTTCACTACCTTTTCACCGTCAACGCAATTTTGTCACTGGGCCCAAAGTAGCTTAATAAATCCAAGGGCGTTCCGGCAGGTGCGGCACCCTGCACATAGACTCTCCTATCGACACATTCGCACGATACCACCACCAGTCAACTTTGCTCAAGGGAAAAAACAGCTCAAGCGAGGTATCCCGCAGTTTCTGTCGTCCTTGCCCGAAGCTTTCGCCACTCGTCAGCTTACTTGTGTGTATCCTTTACCTTATAGGTATCCCTTCCAGTGCATCTGCGGGCTCATTAGCGGGATCCTTCCTTGTCAACGTCTCAAGGATCTGAATCGTCCGGCAAGGCAACATGACCCGTTCCGTCCCCATCAGCGTCAAAGTGGTGGCGGCCGAGAGCTTGTACAAGCGTGACGTTTTCAAACAGCCAGATCCTTTCGCTGTCATTACCATTGATGGTGCTCAAACTAAAACCACCAAGACGGCGAAAAAAACCTTGAATCCATACTGGAACGAACTGTTCACGTTTAACGCCACAGAGAATCTGATACTAGTGATCCAGGTGTTTGATCAGAAAAAGTTCAAAAAGAAGGATCAGGGCTTTTTAGGGGTGGTCAATATCCGCATCGGTGATGCCATAGATTTATCTGTGCCCAATTCTGAAGAAACTATTACCCGTGACTTAAAGAAGAGCAACGAGAACTTGGCAGTGAGTGGCAAAATAATCGTGGTGATTTCCCATAAGGGATCTGCCACCAACGGTCTGGTGGCACCCGCACCGGCACCGGCGCTGTCATCGTCTCGCTCCGAGCCCCCAGCGGCATCAGCAATGTCGGAACGCCTGGCGGCCGCGGCGTCTTCTACCACTGCTGCCACTCCGTCATCGCAACAGACACGACAATTTTCTTCGTTTGAGGACCAATACGGACGGTTACCCCCAGGATGGGAGCGCCGTACCGATAATTTTGGTCGTACATACTACGTCGACCACAATCTGCGCACCACCACTTGGCAGCGGCCGGCACTTGACGAACTGGAAAGCGACCGTGGGATTCAGCGGCAAAATGCAACAGAAGCCGAACGCCGTCAACACCGTGGCCGTACTTTACCGGGAGAATCTCTGAGCCAGGCGCTGACTCCCAACTCCCAAAATGGCCCCACTATCCTGCTGACAACGGGAAATGTCACCGTCAACCTGACCGGAGGGCAAGCACCGGTGCTGCCCGCTGCGGCAATCTCATTAGCAGCCCTGGGAGCCACGACGCTGGGTCTTGGTGAATTGCCGTCGGGATGGGAACAACGGTTCACCAATGAAGGTCGCCCATATTTTGTTGATCACAACACTCGTACCACAACTTGGGTTGACCCTCGTCGTCAACAATACATCAGAACGTTTGGCCCCAATACCACAATCCAGCAACAGCCAGTCTCACAATTGGGCCCGTTACCGTCCGGGTGGGAGATGCGTCTCACGAACACTGCTCGGGTGTACTTTGTTGACCACAACACGAAGACCACGACGTGGGATGACCCGCGATTGCCATCGAGTTTGGATCAAAACGTTCCACAGTACAAGCGTGACTTCCGCCGGAAGGTTATTTACTTCCGTTCGCAACCAGCATTGCGTATTTTACCGGGTCAGTGCCACATTAAAGTTCGACGCGACCATATCTTTGAAGATTCGTACCAGGAAATTATGCGTCAAACGCCGGAAGATCTCAAGAAGCGCTTGATGATCAAGTTCGACGGAGAAGAAGGTTTGGATTATGGTGGGGTTTCTCGAGAATTTTTTTTCTTGTTGTCACATGATATGTTCAACCCATTTTACTGCTTATTCGAGTATTCTTCACACGATAACTATACTCTTCAGATCAACCCGAACTCGGGTATCAACCCTGAGCATTTGAACTATTTCAAGTTCATTGGTCGTGTGGTTGGGTTGGGTGTATTCCACCGTCGTTTCTTGGATGCGTTCTTTGTGGGAGCGTTGTATAAGATGATGTTGCACAAAAAAGTGGTATTGTCCGACATGGAAGGGGTCGATGCCGAGTTTTACCGGTCGCTTAAATGGATTCTCGAAAATGACGTTACTGTATTAGAACTTACCTTCTCGGCTGAAGACGAGCGTTTTGGTGAGGTGGTTGAGGTTGATCTCAAACCTGGCGGCAGAGATATCGAGGTTACTGAGGAAAATAAGCATGAATACGTTGAGCTCATCACCGAGTGGAAAATTTCTAAACGTGTGGAAGAGCAGTTTAAGGCTTTCATTGATGGGTTTAATGAGTTGATTCCACAGGATTTAGTTAATGTGTTTGACGAGCGTGAGCTTGAGTTATTAATCGGTGGGTTGGCTGATATTGATTGTACCGACTGGAAGAAGCATACCGATTATAGAGGATACCAAGAGAACGACCAGGTTATCCAGTGGTTCTGGCGGTGCATTAAAGAGTGGGACTCAGAACAGAAAGCTCGTCTTTTACAATTCACTACCGGTACGTCGCGGATCCCTGTTAATGGATTCAAAGACTTACAAGGTTCCGACGGTCCTAGAAGATTTACTATCGAAAAGGCGGGTGAGCCCAACCAGCTTCCTAAGTCCCATACTTGTTTCAATCGGGTTGACTTGCCTCCGTATACTGATTATGAGACTTTGAAGCAGAAGTTGACTCTCGCAGTGGAGGAGACCGTGGGCTTTGGCCAGGAATAGGCGGGTCTCCGTATATACTATTTTTTTGTATCAAGTTTTTTTCAATGGAGGTTCTCAACATTATGGATTTCCACCTGGCCGCATGATTTTACTAGCATATCTCTTATCGGAAGTAGGCCAGGGCTCAACATTAGAATTCCCCGCCACCCCTTAAAGCAGTGTAGCCATAACATCAAGGCTGCGGGACCGGGCTTTACCCGCCATCCCCATAGGGATAACATATCCTGCCCCTGCAATCAAGGGAAACTACGCTCAAAATCAGCAACTCCCCCGAGCTACTCCAGTTATCAGTTGCCACCTCTCCTTATAAGCCACATAAATTACTAAGCGACCTAGACCTTTTGCGGGTGTGCATATCGAAACATTCTTGCAATAGGAATTCTATTGAATTTTGTCATTGCTCCTGAACTAGCACCCGCCATACAGCCGTGTCAAAAAAAAAAAAAGGTTGACATCATCATCAACGATTAAAGTTACAGGAGACTCAGAAGTACGCGAAAGACCAAGACCATCAATATAATATGCTTTTCTTTCGCTCGATCGTAGTAGACTATCCCTATACGCGGCATTAAGCCGTCCCGGCATATTAGCATGTTCCGCCCGCCGAATATCGCGGGGAGCGTCATGAGTGTCTTTGTCAAACTTTATCTGCAAGCAATGCAGGCTTCCCCTCCCCGTCACACATTAAATCGATTGGCCATGTGGCGAATATAAATTCGATCAAAAAACACTCTCTAAAAATTATACATTCCATCAACAGTATGCCTGACTTATTTGACAACTTTATTGGCAAGATGTCCTCTAGAGTCAACGGGGGTAAGTCTCGTCCTCGTTACGGGATGAACAATCAAGTGAATGCTGGTCGCCACTACAACTACCACTCTTCTGCCACCAACAACACCTACTGGATGGCAGCTGCCAAGAAGGAAGAAGAAGCGCCTACGCCTAAGATCGAATTCGCTGGTGGTGATGAACAGGATCACTGGAAGCCTCGCAAGCAGCTGGTGGCCTCATTGATCTCGCAACCGGAGGCCGCCCGTTCCAGATTCGGCCTGGTGAGCAGCGCTGAAGAGTAAGTATTAAACGACTGTCTTGTTTTAAAGTTGACTTGATTTACTTCCGTCTTAGCTAGTGGAAACTTTCACGATGCTGCATTCAATAGCAGCATTGATATGTAGCTTATGATCTGAATACATATCAAATATTGATCACGAACTAAAATTTATTGGCAGAGTATCTTGAGTTGACCCACTTCCGTAAGAGGTGTCGTCCCAAAACTCATCAAGAGCCTGTAAGTCCATCATGGTCCATGAGAAGTCCTCGAGGTCTGGGACGGCAAAGTCATCTATATCTTGGTGATGATCGTAATTGGCCAGCCCTGGAGTCACCAGCCAATTTGTTTCTTCACAAAATGCAACAAACCCACCGTAATTCAACTTTTGCAAAATGGGCTTGAAATCTCTTACGGCCTTGAGAAGATGGCTCAATTTGCGTCCCCAAACTTTGTTTCCTTTGGACGCAAGCTCATTCATAAAATGGAGTCCCACCTTAAGGTTATCCTCTATCGAATTTATTCTGCTGGTCCGTATATCGAGCATCATTGCGATAAGAAAGCTGACGTTTGTCGCTAGCATATGATCCAAGTCAGTAAAACCAAAAAGGCGAAATACTTTGGCACGATAGACCTGAATAAAGATATTCAATGTAAGTTGGCAAGAGTCTATAAGTTTTTCCACCAATTCGCGTATGTTCTTAGACATCAAGTTTGCCGCTTGTAACACCTTCTTCTCCTTATGAAAAGTCAACAATTGAACCTCAGCGTACTTCATTAAAATTGGAATCAACGCGAGATAAATATGATGAAGATAATTGAGATGCAAGCTGTAGATTACACGATCAGCAGGTTCCACGACTTCTTGATCGCTGCTCACCGATAATTGCAAATAAGGTGGTAAGCTGTCGTGCCAATCAATTAAAGAATGCATTATTTGAGCAACTAACTTGTAGTTGTTGTTTGCTCTTGGATGAATGTCAGACATATTCGAATCATTACCAAATAATTGCCGACATATCCTCTCCAGGATATGGGCAAGTTGCACCTGAGCAGCGAGGCCCGGATCAGGTGGCAACTTACACGTTGACTCAATTGGGAAAACAAGAAGAGGTTTTCCAATACGGATTGCCAAGAAACGATTAAGGCAATACGTTGACCACCACGTTGCCTGATGTTCGAAATTATTGGAAGTGTGAAGCTCAAGAGACACTGCTAATTGAAGAGCATTGTTTGTGAACAAATATGCAGCACATTTTTTGTCGAGGATTCTCAAATAGATTGCCATGATTCCGAATAGCTCAATTGTATCAATCGTGTCGTTGTGATCGGCCTTTATCATCGAGTTCAATCCTTGAAAGTTGCCAAGAACAAATTGAAAACACGTTAATCCCGGAAGGTGAGTTACCTGGGTGGTGATCAGCAGAACATCCATCAGCTGATCGTATACTTCACCAAGCGCTTGCATCATGAGCATCTTGTAAGAAAATTTAACGGGCATCGTTTGACCCTCAAAGTATTGACGACAGCGATCGAGAAAACTGGGCTCGACAGTAAGATAACCCAGACGAATGAAAGTGGTGACGTTTCTGTACGAAAGGTACATCTTTTCCATACTGAGACTGTCAATGGGATTGTAAAGGGGTTTTGTTTCAAACACCCAGTCGTATACCTTTTCCTCGTAAGCCCACGAAAACGACAATGGAGAAAGATCTTTACCCAGGTTAACCCATGCATCCAACTGTTCGCAGATGACCTCAGCCAGAGCACACTCCAATAACTTAAGCGGTTCAGTTTTTGATGAATTATGCGTCCATTCAGACTCCGGGCTTTCATCCACGTTGTACTTCCCCAATAACCGTCGAAGAAGTTTTACCTCATGGTGGTAGCGGTCTCTCTCTCTCACAAGACGTTCATACTCAACGTCGGTTATTTTTATTGGCTTTGCTTTCACTCGATACTCACATGTAGCGTCGTTCTTGACACATTGTACACATGGGTGGTCCCCGGAGCATCGCTGCTTGCGGTCATGACACCGGATACAAGCTGCTGTTGCTCGGCGCATGATGGAATTGACTGGCAATCATACGCCCGGAGCTTCCCCAAACTATCGCGTGTCCATGCTCATAACTGCTGATACGAAAAATTAAACATACGTTCGAGCCCTAATTAAGTAGCTGAACTCTATACGGTAAAAGTACTCATTTATTAGGAGTTCATTTCAGTATTTATGATCTAAAAGCAAAAGAAGAGCCGTCTCAAACAGCCCTTGCGGGGACGCTGATATTCCAGATCCTCCAGATGAACGTCGCCGTCTTCGTGCGAATGAGTATGTTCGCCCACAGCACCGTAGCCCTTATTGGAATTTGATACCTGGTGGTTGTGCAACTGCTGTTGCTGATGGCGCAAATGCTGTTGTGCCATTTTGTAGTTAGAATGGATGTTATTTGCATTTCCCAGCGGCATTCGGCGCTGTCGCCGTGTATCATAGCCATCAATATTGGCTTTTTTGTTGAGTGCAAGATCCCAGCCCCTGCCCCCATTCAAATCCATCCAATCATAATGAGCTTTGGCGTAAAATTCATCCGATTCATCTCCCAGTTGACCGGCATCAGCCTTATCTATGAGTTCAACAAGATAATCATAATCAGGAGTCTCTTCGAACTTGAGGTTGCGAACATAAGTTAAATACTGAGCAAACTGCACCGGGTACTGTTTACACAAGTCCTGGATCAGCGTCAGCTGTTTCTTTAATCCAATCTTTTCATACTTTTGCTTATTCGTAGGAGCCTTAAGCCCTTGCCAAGGTAATTGTCCTCTCAAGAAGTACATGAACACATGTCCTAACAGTTCCAAATCATCACGCCGCAGTTGTTCACGACCCAAGTGGGTGTTGATCAGCATATAACGAGCGGTCCCACTAAGAGCCTTCTTTTCGCGGTAAGGAATGTGAACTTTTGTCTTCGGATTGCGATATTGTTTAGCCATGCCAAAGTCAACAACGTACACAAGATTAGCACCTGGTGTTCCTGGACGTCCAATTAAAAAGTTGTCCGGTTTGATATCACGGTAAATAAGATGATGTTCATGAATGGCTTGTACTCGGCGAATCATTTGCTTCGCCACCAACACTACCGTTGACACCAGAAGTTTGCGATCACACCATCCAAAAAGGTCCTCGAGTGAGGGGCCCAATAAATCGATAATGAGTATATTGTGAACGCCCTCTTGCCCGAAGAAGTATGCTTGGGGAATGCCTTTAGTACCGGCTAATATGCGATAACTGCGATATTCATCTCTCAATTGGGGAGCTTCACATTTCCTTGGCTCGAACTTGATGGCGACTGGCGTCTGAGTGAGAACATTTACACCCTCGAAAAGAATTCCAAACAGTCCTTCGCCGATTTTTTTGCCCACTCGATAGTTAACGCCAACGACATTGCCACCGCCCCCCAGATTGGACCCCGGGACTGCTTTCGCCAATCCGGGCTTGCGAGAAGCTGCCACAGGGGTTCCAACAGTACCAGTCAGCTGGTTAGTCCCCGGAAAACTCATGTATCACTGAATGCCGGCTGACCGTTCAGGTTAGTAACTGGTGGGTGTGAAGTATGGTGTTTGCAAATCGGGTGTATTAAGGTTTGCGACGAAAAAATCTTGACATTGAGGGAAAGAGGGGGTGGCACGCAAAGAAAAAAGCGATTAAGAACACCTTAGACATGAAACTTAATCTACGATTTTGATACCTTCTTCAAATGACCAACCATGTGAAGACTTCAACCAGAAAATGAGTTTCTTCGCGATTGATATGACTCCCGTCTAGTCTCATGATCTGCATATTCGGCGGTTAATGTGTAGCTCGTCAAGTTGAAGTACCTCGCTCGTCTTTCGGCGCCCAAGCGATATCGTTGGTACGTAATCCCTCAGTATACTTTCTATAATTGACACCGATATGGCTAGTGCAATGATATAGACGATTTCTTGTCTTGTAAGATGCTTAAAAATTTTAGTGATGAAATTACAAAATGTTAGGCAACAAAAACATCCATAACAGGTTTGAAGAAAGAACATTCAAAGAAATTGTATATATCGGCTTTCGTCGATGCTAGGGAGTTGATGCCGAGTGTTTAGAAACTTAGCGCGTGCTCATTGACATTTTGAAATTTATCCCCTCGTTATGAACTTGAGTCCGGGTAGCCTTGTGTTCGCCTACCATGGCCCATTGATGTACGAGGCAAAAGTGCTTAAGATTCATCGAGCGGGTCTGAATGTGGTCGAGTTGATGGAAGGAAAGGAGGATGACGTTGACAGATACCCCCGACTCAAGCATCTTCGCGAAATTGATACATACTTCCTTCATTATTCTGGGTGGAACTCTAAGTGGGATGAATGGGTTGGAATCGAACGTATATTGGAGCATAATGATGAGAATAAGCTGAAAAAGAGCCAGTTAGACTCCATCAACAAGCGACCCAAGATTTCCCGGCAAGCCTCACCAGCGCTATCTCCCTTGGTTAGACGACAACAGCCGGGTTCTCAGTCATCAAAGCTTCCTTTGCAACGTCGAAAACGGGCTCAGTTGCTAGTGCTCAAATATGATGACAATATCAAGCACATTCTTGTTGATGATTGGCAATTTGTGACACGCGATCACCAACTTGTGAGTATACCTGCCGAACTGTCGGTGGTGAAAATTTTGCAGGACTACAGCCAGTATCGTCTGCCTCTGTTAGATGAGACCCAAAAAGATGTTTTGAGGGAAGTGCTTAATGGACTCATTCTTTATTTCGATAAGCTGCTCCATTTGATGCTTCTTTATAAGTACGAGAACCAACAATATTTCGAATTGTTGCAGAAGGAAACCATCAATGATCAAACCCCCCCAAGTCAAGTTTATGGCTTGGAGCATTTGCTAAGGCTCATAGTCACTATGCCAGCGATACTTGCCGATTCCACGATTGACGCTGTCTCAATGAATGTGATAATACAGGAACTCGAAAGGATTTTGCAATGGGTTCTGACCCATCTCAATGTTTACATGGGTTCTTATATTAATACCTCACCCCAATATGATGCCCTCTCACGTCAATAAGCCCACAAGAATGCCAGAATCAATGAATATCATGAACTACCGTATTGTTAATTTTAATGAGCAGGACCCTGTGTTACATACGAGCAGTCACAATGGAGACGTGTCGAGCAAGTCGAGGAGAGAAAACTTTTACGCTTTTTCCGATGATTTGAACTCATAATTCATTTATTCGTTATTCATAACTAAACAGTTAAGGCTGTAAAAATCAAAGCCTCAAAAACAAACTTATACCCTTTGAAAAGATCAGAAGACAGCTTCTTCGTCTTCGACAGGCATAGACTTATAATCGACTTCTACCATGGCATTTTCATTGGTGCACGAGATGGCCAAGTCCAATTTCCACTTGCGGTCCAAAGGATCAGCGTCGTCCTCAGAAAACCCGTGATTAGAGTAGTCACGGTAAACCCAGGTGATCTTGTTGGGTGTCTCGATAATTTCAGCTTTCCCAAAGTCCAAGGGGTAACCGCAGCACTTCTCCAAATCCTTGAACAAGTGATTTTTGACGTGGTGGTTCAATTGACGTCTGAACTTGCGGGAGTTTTTGTTCGCGGTGTGCTTGATCTTGTCCAAATTGGATCTGCAAGCCTTCAACACAAACGGCGGGTAGTAGTTGAGCTTAGCGTGAAAGTAATCAAATTCATTGTCCCAAGTCTCATCACGAACAAATTGTTCGAAGGAGGTCAATTCATCAAACTCACGAATCGGAGGCAACATTAAGCGCTCCACCATCGTCACCGATCCATCAGTGTTCGTGGTTTCAATAGAGGTAACGGAAGCCGAACGATTTTTGGGAAGAGGTGGTACCTTTTCCAAAGGAGGGCAGTTGTTCAAGTCCAAGGGAACGGACGTAGACTTGATCTTCTTGGGCATCACGGACTAAAGTTGTTATATAACAGCTCTGGGGTAGAAAGGCAGTTTTCGTATGGCTTGTTCCGTATCAGTTTGACTAAACCAATCCAGTGGTTTCGTTTCAAACTGTAAAATAGGACAAAGCTATTTGGCTTCGATATGATCGGAATTGCCCAATATTTATAGTGGTATTCCAAAGAGGGGAATCGATAACGGAGTATGCTTCGGGTCGCGTGCAGAAATACCACCCCCTTTTTCTTTGCTTGAGTTTTAAAGTGTGTTGCGTGATTACCATGGGAGGTTCCATAAAAATCATGCCACTACAACAACGTAAAGATTCAGACGTCGTTGATATCTTCGTGGCTACGCCTCAATAAACAAGGACACTCTGTCCAAGATTTAGTGGAATTGGTTTGCTGTGTTGATTGTCCTTTCTTTTTATCGTTCCCCTCTCACCCCTTGTTTCTCCACTTTACCAAAGACATTAGCGGGGAAACAAAGTTTACTGGCACTATTTTGACCTGAATAATAGTATTCTACTTGCCTTTCTGAGGAAAATTCTCATACCAGATTTCGTCACTTTGCCGGGAATCTCCATACCTCGTCTGTAGTCCTTTAATCGACTACGGTCAGTAAGACTTTGCGAAATATGGGGTAATGCATATCTATGCGCCAATCCATATGCAGGGAACAATTTGGCCGAGTGGTAGACTACTCTCACACACAGTCACCCGCGTGGACAAAAAGGTTAACGTGGCTTTCTTTTAGTGGGGTAAGCAGTGGGGATTCCAGAAACTAGCTAAGATGCTGCCAATTTTTCTTTTTAAAGCTAACCGAACCCCTCTTGAAATCGCGTGTGGTCATGACTTTTTCTCGTCTGATGTGCGAAATCGGAGTATGTAGAATACACAACAATCTTGACGAAGGCTGAACTCGTCACTGCCACGAATCCACGAATACTATGCTCCTCATGAGTTTTGGGGTCCAACGTGTTCCTACAGGTTAATTTTTTTTTCGATGAAAAATGTCCGCTCGGAGACAATTGATAGACGGGTTCGTCTTCCAGGCCCAAAGTTGAAGGGCCAAATTATGGCGTGAGAATTAGATCTGATGTTCATCAGTGACCAAATATCTTCTTGAAGGTTCTACACACTGTAAAAGTAGGAGTCAAACTTTTGAGCTTTCTTTCAACGAGTTCTGGACTATGTTTGTAGTGCAGCCTCGAGACCAATTCAATTAATATTCAAACGAACCCGGATACTAGATGAATTGGTGGCGAAGCCGTGCGTAATTCAAGTCTCATTGATAAGAGCAACACACTGGCAAGAGGACAATGTCGTACCACATAAACTCCTCTCCTCAATGCAGTAAATTTAGAACAGAGCTCTTGACCGTAGCCTTCAACAGGCCTTATGCGATGCTCCCCTAGAGTGGCCAACGACTCCGATAACAAGTCATCTCTATACAACCAAGTTGATCGTAGTTGATTCGTTATCAAGCAGTTTTCGACTTTCAGAGGGACATTACCGCAGTCCCAAATACTTTAGATAAGCAACAAGGGTACATTGTTTGTTCCAACCACGACATGTTCCTTAATACGCAACGGACACGGAATCGAGACCCACAAATTTTGTGGTACCAGCATGGTCTCATTATGACTATGCGCATGAGGTTATCATCAAGATCGTAGTAAGTGAGTAGCAAAGGTTTCCCACCATATTGAGAGACTCGCTTTGTGAGATAGAATTCATAGTTAGCTCTAATAATACTGATTTCGCGCCGCTGTCTTTTCTTCAACCACGTCCTTGTTGTTAATCGTTTATTAAATGTCTATATAGAATGAATTTGTACGATGGAGAGCATTTAGTATGAATGGAGTGAGTCGTCAATTGAAGACATACTTCACGAACCTTCACGTGCTCAAATTCCACAATGATGCTGTTCGGATGACAGATTGCCTGAGATATTTACTGTAGGCCTTTTTGCGTTGTAACCGAAAATAACTCAGACATCGAGCAGTGATAATTGGGAATAAAAGAGTTCAAACCTATGCTCTTTGCTTGAGATATGAACTCCTCTTCAGTGCGAAACAATCCACTATAGGGCGCCTTTATAAAGACGCGTACTTTTAAAGTATTGCTCGAGCTTGTTGTATTTGACTTACTTTGCACGAATCTCAAAAACCAATCCTGACCACAATATCAATTGACTACGACCGGAATTGATTCTTTTGTGTGTATATAAGTAGTCCATTTGTTCCGCTACATGGCTGACACTCAAGTATGAGATATATCGCTGCAATTGCTCTTGCTTTGGGGGCTACAAAGGCATTGATGCCATACCCTCGGGTTATTGAAGTAACATCCCCAACCGTTGCTTTCATAAGTGATGAAATTGTACCCGAATTCTCTGAAAACCCAATTGACGTTGTTCTTGGCGGCTTCCTGAGATTCAGAAACGTGGTGTTTAATACCAAATGGTACCCAGCCGCAGGTTTGGGAACTACGAATGGTTACGCGAGTAAGCCAGCAGCTGGTGAGGTTTACAATTCTACCACAATTGAAAGAATCGAGTTTCATGTCAGCAATCCTGCAGCCGATCTTCAGTTCGGAGTCAACGAACTGTACACTTTGATATCGGGGGGCGACCTGATCATAATCAACTCCGAGACTCCATGGGGAGCATTGAATGCCTTATCTACACTTCAGCAATTGATAATTTTCGATAATGATAAGTTTTATTTAAATGGGACTTATCGAATTGAAGACAAGCCATATTTTCGCCACCGTGGTATTATGCTCGACACTGCGAGAAACTTCTTAAGCGTCGAAACCATAAAAAACCAAATCGAGGTTATGGCTTTGGCGAAACTAAATGTTCTTCACTGGCATATCATCGACAGTCAATCTTGGCCTTTGGAGGTTATTTTTTACCCCAATATGACAAAGGACGCTTACTCTCGTACCGAAGTGTATACACACTCGGATATCAAACACGTTGTCGCTTTTGCTAGGGCTCGTGGGGTCCGAGTAATACCGGAATTGGACATGCCGGGACACGCTAATGCTGGCTGGCGCCAAGTTGATAGTGACATAGTGGTGGATGGTGATCGTTTTTGGAACGACGAACCACTGGTTGCGGCTGAGCCTCCTCCTGGGCAGTTAGATCCTTCCTTGAACAAAACTTATGAAGTGGTGAGCAACGTGTTCAATGAAGTTGGACCTCTATTCCTGGATAACTTTTACCATGCTGGAATGGATGAAATATTTCCCGCGCTCTACAACGATCTGGAGTCAATTAAAGATTGGTTAAACCAAGGCAACCGCTCCTACAACGACTTGCTCCAGTATTGGGTTGACAAGACCTTGCCAGTATTCAAGGGGCGCACTAACACTACTCGAGTGGTTATGTGGGCCGATGTACTTGTAGGTGATATTCATGCCTACAACCTTTCCCAAGATGTGGTGCTTCAACAATGGCGCGGGGGTGAAAACGTTCTCAATAATTTGATTGCCACAGGTCATGATGTTATCGTGTCCACTTCAGATTTTTTGTATCTTGACTGCGGAAATGGTGGCTTCCTTTTCAATGACCCAATTTATATCGACATTCCACAGAACCAAGCAACACTTCATGGCGCTGGGGGTTCGTGGTGTGGACCTTACAAAACCTGGCAAACCTTATACGACTTCAACATCTTGGTGAATTTGACTGAAAGCGAGGCCAAGCACGTGTTGGGCGCTGAAGCGCCGTTATGGGGCGAGCTAATTGACGACTCTGTGGTGTCGATTAAGTTGTGGCCGCGTGTTGCCGCATTAGCGGAGAATCTATGGAGTGGCAATCGCGATAAAGACGGGTACTTGCGGACAAACACGGTGTCGTCACGGATTCTCAATTTTCGTGAATACGTTCAGCAGGCATACGGTGTTAAGACTCATCCACTTGTACCTCGGTGGTGTTACCGTAACCCTAGTCAGTGTGACATCACTGCGAACCAAACGCTGCTTCGAAAGGGAGGTAAAGGTCAGTATTATGATTTTTAGATTTGATCGTCAACAAATGGAGAAATATCATGCACGTGATGCTGCATCTTGCTTGAGACGATGGTCAAGCCTGTTTTTGTGGTAAATACGCTGGCACACGCAAAAGGATGCGTGTAAAGTAAACGGCGTCAACGCTGAGTATTCGTCGTACATGTAGTAAACATCAGCTCACTCTACCACCGCTAATGCATACTATCAGAAGGGCGACTAATTTGGCGTCGAAAATTGCGGTGCCATCAATTGTGAATTGTTGAGGGGCTTTGAGCGCGGCCGCCTTAGGAGCACGCCAGTTCAGGGCAGTGCAAATATCTGCAAGTGAACGTAAATGATATTGTTCGAGGCAGAAGCAAATGATAACAGCTCCATTCACCAGTGGCCGGCTATGCGTGTAAAACGGAAGTATGAGATAATAATTCCATATGCGGGGTCGACGAAGGAACACCCCCGTGATAGTAAGTATTGAGGGACCAAATGCCCAAAGTTGGTAAAGCATCACTGGTGAAGTCGCTATATCTCCGTCGAAATGACGGGAATAGAGGCGATAAGAAGGTTATACCACGCGTGTGCAGAAGAGGCGACGACCCTGTGGGTATAGGCAAAGATTCCGTCTTGCATACAGGCCCGAACGCACTTAGTCTAGGGATTATATACACACTAATTCTACGGTGATTTTTTTGAATTCAACATCGCACCCACAACGCACAACGTTTCCTACAAAATGAGAAGCATCAAGTCTGTGGTTGTTGGCGACGGTGGTGTCGGGAAAACGTGCTTGCTTATTTCCTACACCACCAACACCTTTCCCAATGACTATATCCCCACCGTATTTGACAACTACTCCGCGCTGGTGATGATTGACGGCGAACCCATTAAGTTAGGGCTCTGGGACACTGCTGGGCAAACTGAATACGATCGGTTGCGTCCGTTATCTTACCCTCAAACGGAAATTTTCCTTTGTTGCTTCTCGGTTGTGTCCCCAGCTTCGTTTAACAACATCAAGCTGAAGTGGATTCCAGAAATCTTGCACCACTCGCCCAAAGACATTTTGATTTTGCTTGTCGGTACTAAGATTGATATGCGTGATGAACCCCATGTCATCGACGAACTTGCCGAGAAAAATCAAAAGCCCATTACTTACGAACAAGGCGTGAAGCTCGCTCGTGAATTGGGTGCAGTGAAATACCTCGAGTGTTCTGCAGCCACTCAAGTTGGGGTGAAGGAAATTTTCGATTACGCTATTCGGGCGGTGTTGGACCCACCCAACTCCAAAACTGAGTACGTTACCACCGCCACCGCCGCTGACGTTAACTCTGGGGCGGCAAATCTGCAAGCCGCTGGCTCTAAGAGCAGTGCTCCTACCAATCAAGCGGTGATCCGCAAAAAGAAGGTCAAGAAGGCCAAAAAGTGCACGATTTTGTGAATGACCCTGGGCGCCCTGGCCTGGAGCAGGGGTAATAATAGAGTAACGATGTGATTTTGATTAATCCAATGAACAAATATTAATATTACGTTTCTTATGTGATCGTAAGGGATCCGAGTCTAGCTCTAATTGATGACATATTATACTAACCGATCATTCGAGCCCGATCCGGGTGAATACCACCAGTAGGTGCCGGCGAAGATTCGGTTGATTTCTCTTTGGCATCCTTCTTGGTTGTGATAGTTTTTCTGATCTTTTCATTACGATCTTGATTCATTTTATCATTCTTGCTTTTGATTTTTTCCAAACGGAATTTCAGATTGCCGCCACCGCCCACTGTCAATTCCACATTGATCTTGCGCTCCCTGAGTGTCAGGTGATGCATTCGTAACGCGACCTCCATCTTCGATTGAATCTCTTGGTTGTCGTTGTCAAACTCCAAAAAGGCGATACCTTTATCAGCCCGCAAGCGGATACGGTCAGGGTTAGCTGCTTTGAAATGACTGACGAGTTCGGCCTGTTGAATGTCATAGGGAAGGTTACCAACGAATAAAATGAACCGCGGGCCGGTTCCGTTATTCACACCCTTGCCCTTTTTGCCTCGCCGGGTCTTACGCTTCTTAGGCGCTTGAGCTGCCTCCTCCTCCTCAAGCTTCCGTTTCCGCTCAACCTTCTCAGCTTTGTCTTCTTTTCTCTCCTCAGCTGTTTTGTTTTTGAACTCAAGCGCCTTACGCTGTTTCTTTGTTAGCTTCTCTTCCGCCATCACTCACAAAGTGTCGTTCTTGGTTGTGGTCTAGGTCATCGCAAGTAATGCGTCGCACTAGGTGAACCTGGCAGCGACCGAGCCCGTTGCCCCAAGGCTAAAATCAAACGAAATTCAAATCGACCAAATAAACCACCTCAAAAAAAGTACCCAATTTTCGTGCTTTTGCCATATTCTGTTCCCAATTTCCCCCCGACGTTCTCATACGCAGTCGTTGGATAAAGTGAGACAGGGGCTTACAAGCCATCAAATACCAGTACCAGCCATTTCAGTATCACTTAAAAAAAAAAAAAATCGTGTCTCACAATGGAAGTCAGTGGTTCCCGCAACTTTCAGGGAAAACCACTGGTAACTAACTCCCGTTCACGGCTGCCTGAACGCGCCATTCCTTCTCCAGCCCGACGGCGCAGTCCTGGCCGCAATTCAATTACCCATGATACTCGTCAACACGCAATCGTAAACGAGCAGCCGCGAGGACGATCTATTGAAAGAGAGGCTAGATCTGACGATTTTGATACGGACAAGACGATATCGCTCATGGGGTTCTCCGCTTATGGGCCAAATGAAGCTACTGGAACTGACAATGGGAAGGGTAATCCAAACCTACGCATGGATTATAGTCAGCATACACACAGATCCAAAGGATCGAATCACAATCCCTTGCATGAGCATCCTAAGAGGTAATGCACTGATGTATCGGTCCAAATCAGAGAATTTTATTTATTAAATGAGCAAAACATACATACTGCCCAATTTACTCAAGCATTTCAGTATACTTTTCAAGCAATTGCTCGTGTTTTTGTTTGAGCTCGCTATACGCTGTGGTAATTTTAGCAAGTTCTTCGCTTTGCGTTGAGGGCTGCGTAGCTACCGACTGTCTCACTGTTGACGACACTGCGCCCATCTGCTTGAAACTCACCTCATCATTGGCAACGGTTTCAATCCAGGTATCAAAACTGGGTTCTGTCTGAGGCTTAGAAGGAATTTCCATGTGAAGCAGATGTTCCAACGGATTTTCCAGAACCATGATCCGTTTAAGTTGAGGAATAAGTCGATGCTTTTTATCGAGAACTAACTGCTTCTCCTTTGAGGGAATCGGGAACACCAGTATCACAGAAATAGGGGAGTTTGCAGCCGGAAAAGCTTTTACCACCTGGCGGGTAACTACATCGGACACAAACACTCGACCCCGCGTATCACCCAGCACAATATTCATGCCATCCATTGAAATCGATAAAGCGGTCACCGCTGCCTCCGCTTCTTGCTGATGTTGAACAAACAGCAGTGTCAAGTTGAAGTCGTCTTCGATCGTAATGATTTTTCCATTTCCCCCAATTGCCTCTAATACCAGCGTATGAGGATCAATATGATATAAGGGCACCGTACGAATGATCCCCAGCTCGAGTCCAACGTAAATTGATCTACCAGCAGGGTCGACAGCAAACGATTCCACTGGCAGCGGTAACACTAAAGTGGTGAGTAACTTGCGCGACGATAAGTCGTAGATACGTAACGTGCCATCACGCGAGCCAGTATACAATCGCTGATCAGGACTCAAGCCTTTACCAATCAATATATCAGTAACCGGCATGGTGTGATCAGTGATAGATTGGTAAGGTTTCACCAGCCGCAAGTCGTCACCAACGCCATAGGAGTTTATAAGTTCTTGTGTACGCCATATAAGTACACGCCCGTCATCGCCTGCCGATACCAAGTACTCCCCACGCAGTGAGAACTGAAGAACCAGCACTGGCTGATAATGAGCATCTTTGACACACAACAAGTTCCCCAGAGCTAATTCCCAAATGTAGATTCTCCCCAGAGCCAGACCACCTGCTAATAGCCACGGGACTCTATACTGTGGTTTCAGCACTGGCAGTTCAATGTCTGGCACTGGGTGATGAAGAACCGTAAGACACTTTAATTGTTCCGGGAGAGGTAACTTCTGGTCGAATCCTTCTTTACCCCATGAGTACACCTCGATTTGATTGCGTTTAGTGACGGTAAAGAGCCGTTCTCCAACGCCAACTCCCGTAGCGCATGCACCGTGACGGGGACAATCAGCTTGACGAAACGACATATAATGATGAGACGTATGTATCGACGAACAATGCGCCATCAGGTCTTTTGAGTGCTTGTCATCACTGGCCCCTTTGGCGAGGTAAATGACACACTCGTCCATGAAGTGATGCCCATCGCGCGCGGAAAGTTATATCTCCCTGGAGTGTCTGCAACCAGCATGCGGCGGGCATAAATGAACAAAATTGCAGTGGCTGAAAATTTCAAAACATTTATTGTTTGTGATGAGTTATCATTATATCTATAACAGTTGAGTTTCAACATCCCCATTTAATCTGAACCAACAATGCGATCCCATAGTGCATTTGTCACTGAATAGTCATTGATACCTGATGGTACCGTCAACACGCTCAGAATATTGGCGACTCGATTGTGGATGACAATTTCATTGTCGCCAGATTCATTGGTTTTTATGCGTACACCCATGCTTTTGAATAACTGGACAATATCAAAATCTTCATGCTCATTCAAAAACAATCGATCCAGAGCATCAAACTGAGCCTCAAGGTTTTCGAGCAGAGGCCGCAGCTGTCTCTCCAGCTCGAGCCGAGCATGCTCGGCTTCTGCTAGAGCTAGTTTCTCCTCAATTTGAGTTTTAAGCTGGCTCACTGTTGATAGTACGTCGTTTAAAGCAGGCTTCGTCGGTTCATGAGAGTGATCTGGATCAATCTTCATGACAATTTCATTAAGCGAGTTGGCAATCTCTTTGAGCTCATCATGTTCGGCCGGTTGTTCCAACCGTGCTAGCTGTTCGCGGGCTTCGTGTAATTGGGCTTCGGCTTCCAGAAGTCGTTGTTGCCAATTATCTTGTCGAAATTGAAGCATTTTCCGAAGACCGTCAACGATCTCTGGCCCAGCGGTCGGTTCTTCAGAGACATATCGGATTGCCTGCCTCAAATGATCGAAGCACGGAATAAGATCCACCATAGTGGTGGTTTGTTAGCGTGACTATTGCGGCTTCTTATTATAAACAAACACGGTGAACCACATGCTATGTGCAGGTCATCGCGCTCTGGTGGTTCAAAGTCATTCAAATACAAGGATAATCGAATTTGAGAATATGCCACGGAAAACGATATGTGATTAATTCCCATTCGTCCAATGAGTTTGCACTCCAGGTCATTCGTAGAACTGATTGGAGCTTTCAAATACTTCGTCCCTTAATGAGGACTATTTCAAGAGCAATTGATTTGACATCCCCTTAAGTAGAGCAAGTGGTCTCCTGGTCTATATATCTGCATCTTGAAAATCAAGAGAATGAAAGCACTGGCCTTTTTGTTTCACGGATTGCGTTCCTTTTGCTGTACGTGCTTTGTAGTGCAGGCCACACCCTCAGCATTTCCGTTCGCACAAATCAGTCAACTTATTGTACATTGGCAAACCCCCCACCATGAGCTACTACAATAAAGATAAGAAGACGTTTAATGATATCGAGTTGCCAACCAACCCCAACATGCCGGCATGGGTTATCACGCCTAAAGAAGAGAAGGCTATCTTTGAGCGCTGGAGAAAGAAAGCATTCGCTCGATGCGATGATTTGATCAAAGCGTACATCGAATGTTCTAATAGCTACAAGAATCCATTAGAGCTGATGAAGAAGTGTGAACAAGCCAATAAAGCATCTTTGGATTGTGTGGCTCAATATCAAAAGCAAGAATATCTCGACATCGAGCGGGATATTTTGATCAAGGAAAAGGCGGAGAAGAAAAAAATTTACAAGCGGTATTTAGAAGAGCAGCAGGCTAAGCTTGCCGAGGAAAAGGGTACCGCCGGATCGGGGCCGTAAGGGTTTTAGTTGTTTAGTTTTCATGTAAATAGTGAGTACATTTATACGTCTATATTTGTCACCTCGCCAAACAAAAACATAAACGGGCTGGGAAAAGCCTTAAAGTTATTAATCATCGTTAGTCCACAGCAGAATAATCAGCTTAACTTCGGCACCCAAACCCCGGCGCATGATTCTCCGGTGCGTCGGTTCAGGCTGACCCAAAGTGTCGACGCCAGTGTTAAGCCAATACAGACCACCAATGAACGAAACAAGCATGATTGCAATCAACACAGCCATGATCCCAAACCACCAATTAAGCAGACCAGTAGCTTCACCAGGAACAGTGACATTCATACCAAATAAGCCGGTAACAAGATTGAGGGGCACAAGGATTGTCCCAATCAAAGTAATTTGAGAGAACAATTCATTAATCCTCTTATTGGCGTTGAATGACATGACTTGCAACTGAGCCAAGTAGTTGGAGTGTGACCGACTGAAGATTTTTTCATACGAGTTAAGGTTTTGGAACATTGTAAGGACATGATCCTGAATATCGCCCAAGTAAAGAGCAATCTCTCCCCGATGCATGGTTAGCTGATCCTGGTGCCAGAAGTGTTGCTTTTCTTGATACCGCTTAGCAAACATCTTGATTACATCGGCCTTGTTAGAGAGTAAGCGCATTAACAACATTACTTTCCGACGCAGCTCCCCAATACGCTCCAACATCTTAGCAAAATCGACATCACGTAATTCAAATACAGCATCTTCGATAGCGTCTGCTTCATACTCAATCGCATCTATAACTGGAACAAAAGCATCGACAATGTCATCAATCAAAGCGTAACAAATCCAGTCCGCCAGTACATTAACATAGTCACTCAATTGACGAATACGACGACGCACCAGTACCGGGTGAGGCGCTGGGCTGTAATGGAACGAAAGCACGCCTTCAGCAAATACTACTATGTAAAAGTTGATAGGTTCCAAATATTCCTGCAGTTCCTGATCTTGGTCAAAAGTGTGGAAACAAACAAAGTAGTAATGGCGGAACAACTCTACCTTTTCGCGCAGTTCTTGAGTACGAATATCCTCAGCAGTCAACGGGTGAATACCGAACGCACGGGCAATCGTTTTCATCTCATCATCATTGGGACAAGAACAGTCCAACCACCAGGGAGCCGAACTACCGGGAGCAAACAACAGTTTGAACAGCTTACCTTCGGGCACGAGGCCGCTAAGGTCGTGCGAGTGAGTGGTGTCATTGTCACCTTGCATGAATGAAAACCGAGTGGGAAGGTTGTTCAGGTGGAGAGACTCGGACAGAGGCAGGTACTTCGAGCTCGTTCTCGATGCAACTGGTTTGACATTGCACTGGCGTTCTTCGGCAATGAATGAGTCGAGAACATTAAAATCAATATGAGGATGTTCTCGAGTAAGTGGGAAGCAAACATCGGCTTCAGTCAGTTGCAGGGTTAAAGATTCACGGGAAATAGTCCTGGCAAGCAGCTGCGTGGTCATCTGGCGCAGAATCTTCCGTTCGACAATCAGTTGTCTTCTGGTGCTCAGGCGCCGACGACCATGGTGCTCAGGCCAGTCGTGTTGACGATGGTCGTCAAGGGACGTCGTGGAGAGACTCGATAAAGATGCCATCTTCCATGGGGATTTGCAAAACTTTGCAGCAGCTTGCGAGATTTTTAACTAAGCCTGGCCACGAGGGGTTGATTGGTGAGGGGGTGATGCTTCTCACGTGACTCTTGATAGTGCGCATCGCAACCATCAAAATTTTTCCGTTGCTGCATATTTACCAGCCTTGAGTTCCTCCAAATTCCCTCAGCGAGATGTCAGGTCGTCAAGGCGGGAAGGCTAAGCCCTTAAAGGCGCCCAAGAAGAAGCAGCAGGATTTGGATGACGAAGATGCTGCGTTCAAGGCTAAGCAAAAGGCCGATGCGCAGGCTCGGAAGGAAATGGCCGCCAAAGCCTCCGGCAAGGGACCCTTGGTGGGAGGTGGTATCAAGAAGAGTGGTAAGAAGTAATAGACGATATTGACTGCGGATGGAGATTTGTAGCACAATTACTTTCGTCCCATTAAGGCCGTTATTGGTCCGTTGCACATTCCCGAAAGACCCGCGACCGTTATCATGGAATTTATCGCCTTGCACCGGTCTCTTGAAATATCGCCACAAACAGCAGATGTCTTAATCGGCAANTAAAAAAAAAAAAAAAAAAAAAAAAAAATAATGTGAGCATCGGTGGTGTCTCTCCTCAATCGATGAGTATATTATATTGAGTTTTAAACCGATTTACTTCATGGCATATTGTAGGCCCAGTCGAAGAATTTGGGAACATCCTCCGCTATAACCGAACAAAGCTTGTGATTAACAAGGAAGTTCGGAACAAATCCCCCTGCACTCAGCGTGGTCATCATTATCCAGCTGAGTTTTTTACTGTCGGCGTCATAAATAAGGCGTTCGACCAGAGCGTACTTCCCTATCGTTTCTGGCCCCTTCGGCTTAGTCAGCGACCACATCTGTTCTTGGATAGGAAGCTGAATAATTTCATGATACTCATTGGTTTTTGAGACGTAAACCAAATTGTAAAACGTTCGGTGTGATAAGAACGCACCGAAATCGTATTTCACCTTACTGAGGTAGGTTGAAGCAGTACTGTCATCTTGACCGGGAACACGACTAAGCTCGGTTTCGGCGTTAACGATGCTGTCCATGTACTGGCGTTCAAATTCGGTATGGCATTTTGCGTGATCTGCAACCAGACCTATAGCGTAATTATCAAGCTTTCGGGCGAATTCCTTCACGACGGCGGCAGGGAGGTGATCAAAGTGAGTCACGCGGACCGCCCAGTAATCATCATTAATATGGGTATGACGTGTTTCAACCCTGAGCTGGACTGGTTCTTCTTGGCAGTTCGCTCGAACGGTGTACGTATGGGTTTTGCTGGGTTTCCACTCATCCACTCTTTCCATAAGGTTATCTGCCTGAGCTCGCATCTCGAGACAGTTGGGATACGTGGAGATGGGCGTGGAGTTCATTTTGATGTCAACTTTAATTGCTCTATACTCGGATTAGTTAAGGGGTCAGATGATGTATAAACACAATTCGATGGTCACGAGCCCCAACAATTGACCGCTTCACCGGGGGGTGCCAAGGCTAGCTAACAGTTTGCTCGAGGCGCAGTCGACTCCGCTACGTGGGAGCCAAGTATTTTGACCTTCGCAATTCCACATACGTCGAAGGTGGTCGTATCGCTATTATAGAGATTCGAATGATGCGGGCAGGTCCATGTCGTTGTTGGTAATAGTGCGACTTCAATTTATGTATTGAGTTGATATCGACTCCACGCTATAATAAATTGCGCTTGTTGGCAATCAGGGCAACACCTTGGTGGCGGCCTCCACATAACTCGAAAGGTTTACCCAGCCATGACTATTCGAACACCGTTTTATACGAGAGAGAAGGGGTGCTGTCTCATGTTACTGGCGCGTGACGATACATCCACGTCTCTCCAATACTCATAAACCGCAAGTGGCCAAAAAACTTTATCACCTCTTACCTAGTTGAGTGTCATTCATCAGGAACTTCTGTTTCCTAGCAACCCACGTGACATCAATTCGCACTCTCGCCTAAACCCATATCGGTCACCTAAACGCACATTATCCAGCCGTCCATGTCGGGAAGAAAGAAGACGTTGCTTAAGGTGATCATTCTTGGCGACTCCGGCGTGGGCAAGACGTCGTTGATGCAACAATTCGTCAACCAGAAATTTTCCCAACAATATAAGGCAACCATTGGTGCCGACTTTCTTACAAAAGAGGTCACCATTCATGGGAAGCCGGTGACGCTCCAAATATGGGATACCGCCGGCCAGGAACGGTTCCAACTGTTAGGGGTAGCGTTTTACCGTGGTGCTGATTGCTGTGTTCTTTGTTTTGATGTCACAAATGAAAAGTCACTCAATAACTTGACATCGTGGCGCGACGAGTTCTTGGTTCAGCTGAACGTCCAAAACCCAGCTGATTTCCCCTTTATGATTATTGGTAATAAGATCGATGTTGATGATAGTAAAAAGATTCAAGGATTGCCGAAGAAGTTGCAACAAGCTGCCCACAACCACCTCGGTGGTTTAGATTACCCTGTGTTCCAAACCCTGGCCAAAGATGGTATCAATGTTGAGCAAGCTTTCGAAGTTGTTGCTGAAATGGCGTTGCAACAAGAAGAGCTCAATGAGACCAACCAAGATGCAAACACTGACTTTAATGATGCCATCAATATAAACATGGATCACGGTGAACTGGGCTGTGCATGCTAAACGTCCTCTTTTCGTATCTGGCCCCGGCGGCCGTTGCTTGTCCACGCTCTATATCATTTTAGTATCAGACGCATTATGTTATTACACCTATATGTATTCATTAAATGTCATTGGAACCAGTTAGAAGGGCCCCAGATCTTCACGAAACCGTCGTCTCCCACCAGACACCAAAGTTTACCGTAGTCACGAGTGAGACCTTCGGCACCTGTCCGCACGAAGCCGTTAGTATTCCAATCAACCATATTGCACGGGCCTTCATGGCCAGCAATGCGCAACATGAGCTGGCCTGTACGTGCTTTCCAGACAAAGATAGCGCCATCATCGGACCCACATAATACTAATTCATCATTTCCAGTGGGTTCTACATTGTAGCCGAAACAAGCACGGAGCAGATCTTTTGCGCAAGAATGTCCGTAAAACTTACGCTCCAAGTAAGGAAGTTGTACTTGAAACGGACCATTGCTCACTTCACCGCCAGAGTCATTAAGGGGATCAATGTTGAATAAGTGGAGCTCACCATCACCAACAGAGACAAGTAACTGACGTCCCAGTGCCAGGATGCAACAAGCATCCGTTCGTTGTGCTATGATAAACAGGCAAACAACTTCAGTCAGTGCCTCAGGCCCAAACAGCTCAGGAATCGAAAAGAATTGTATTTTCTGCAGGGTGTCAGTCGTTACCACGAATCTTTTGTTAGGGGTGACAGCCAATGCATTAATGCGATTAAGCACCCCTGTGAGCTTCTGAGCAAACAGACGAGGTCTGGCTTTGGGATCCGTCACTTCATCGTCCAGACTAAGCCCTAAATCGTCGTCGGCGTCGCCAGAGACATCTTCATCATCATCAGCACCGTCAATATTACCATAGAAGTCAAAAAGCTCTGTTCCTTGTACATCGAATGCTCTTAATGCTTTGCCATCGCTACCAACAATAAACTTGTCCGGTCCAATGAAAGCACATGATGTGGGGTTTATAACCAGCTCGGCCAATCCAACCATCATAAAACACAGCACTAATTTCTGCTCTGTAGTCGGACCTGCGCTTACCATAGAGTCAGATACTGGCCGACGAGGTACTCGGTTGGATGACTCATCAAGAAAGCCAACATTCCACACTCGTACCATACCATCCATATAGCAAGCCACGACATACTTCTCAGATTCATCCCAGCAACATGCCCGCACCAGGCGGAGTTTTCCCACCACAGGACGTAGGGAATTTGAGTCACCAGGCTGACGTAAAGCTTGTGCGTCAAGTGCTTTGGTGGTTTCAAGCGTACGAATCACTTTGAAGTCCCGAAGAACGTCATAAACGATGAGCTTTCCATCACGACTACCAGTGAGGAGCCATTTACCCAGTGGGGAAAACTTGGCAAACCATACCTGGTTCGAATGTTGTCTTAAATCGTATAATAGCAGAAAGGGGGCGCTATTACTGTCGCAAGAGTCGTCATTAGTTGCAATCAATGGATGACGAATAGCAAAATACGGGTCATTATTGTTCAACATGGATGCCTCCAATCGGGTCCTTGGAGGAAGGTAATACGGATTCTGTTGATCTTGCCACAAGTTAGCATACTCCAAAAGAGTTTCGAGATAGTTGGACGGAATGTCCACCGGGGGACCAGCAAGGACACGACGATGGGGTTGATTGAATGCTCGAGCAAGCAATGTATCCACTAGTAACTGTGCCATAAGCTCACGACTGGTGAGTTCGGTGCTTGATTGAATGCCAAATCCAAAGGAATACTTTGCCAGTTTCACTGCTTCTCGAACAGCGCCTTCATCAAACGGCAGGTCCAATATAAGTGCTGTTAATATCTTCAGCTCTGCATCACGGTTTAAGTTCATCAACACGTTACGGTCAAATATTTCGGTGACACGAGTAGAAGAACCATTGGGGTTGCGAAGAACTTCTTCAAGCGAGGGCTGAAGACAATCGAGGGTATCAAATAATACCGTGTCAACAAATTTCATCAACTCAGACGACGAGCTCGGAGAGCCAAACAAAATATGATCGACGAACTGAAACCGCTGTACCAAATAAAGGATGATCATTGCCACCAAACCCGGCTCGCGTGTAGGCGCCACAAGCTGACTCAACTCATTATTGGAGTGAGCCTTGATTTGCTTGGTAAGGAAATCAGCTACCTCCGAGTATCGACAATTATATAATTGGGAGCAAAGGCTATGCACAGTCTTTGTCAGACTATCATCAGGATTCGACTCCCATAACAGAGGCGATTGGGGTTGATAAGCTTGTTGATACAATTGAGCCAGCAATTCAGGGTATCCGAGATCATCTAGGGTCCTTTCGATCAACTTGGTGACGAACTTGACGTTGGACGGGGTATGCTTCTGCTTGGAATGCTGCATGTACGGAACAAGATGCAGCACACTGCAATTGGGTTAGGTGAGGGTGTTGCAATCAAGCGTTATCGGAGGTTATGTACTCGACGGAGCGTTCACACAGTTGACAATGATGAGTGGTTTGCTGACGAGATTTGAGCTTGGGGGCGGTAAGCGTTAAGGGCACGGAGACGCGAAAACAAAAGGGGTGGCGGTGAATAGTGAGTGTAAGATATAGTACAGTTTGAACGATGGAGTCTAAGGGAAAACACAATACTTGTGAGAAATTGTATATGTAACAGAGACTTGAGTTGTGCGCTCGCTGATAACTTCTCTCTATATACGCTGGCATGGGTGCTCATTACTAGCTACACTTGATTGAGAAATTATCAACATTGTTTAAACCAGAGCTTAGCTGATTTCAGTAGGATGATTCGAACAAATCAAAGCATTGAAATCCAATAATCACGTAGATCCTCTGGAAATGGAAACTCCCTGCAGTGATGACAAATCTTTAGGGTCACTTCAATCAGGCAGTCGCGTAGCGTGTAAAAACGGTCTGTGAATTTATACTCTCAAAAGTAGTGGAGATTAGTCTACATTACTCTTGAAAGTAAACGGAAATTAAAGCAGAAGGGAAGGTGTTTGTGAGATCGTTGGTTGGCTCATGGTAACAATCGAGTCTGTTTTTAAACTACTCAAATTTTTTTCAATCGTCGATTTTGTTCGATAAGATGTTAACCATCTACAGGTAATGAAAGTGCGTAGCCGTCAGTGATGGAAGAGTTGTCAGATGAGCCGACTTGCTAGGCAAGGCCCTAGGTAACGATAAGTGGTGACGTGGTTATCTATAAAACCGAAGAGTCTTAAGTCACACCTTATGAACTGTATGACGTCAACTATGGATGACCTTAACCAACTAAATTCTTATACTTCATAATAGGCTTTCGAAGCGATGAGAGATGACCGGCAAATGAAATGCATCTGTCACAATCGTTTCAGTCGCCGATATAACCCGGTGCAGTGACATAGATTTCAGCCATATGAGGGGTAAACACGTCAGCAAAACGTAATACGTCGGCGGTTATAGAGCCCTGTTCCGACTCTCAACACCACCAAATTTAACCTTAGGAATCAAGCACATCGGCGACGACAAGCAAGTCGTCCATGCACGTGGTTTTCGCTTCGGCGTCGATGGAGCCCAGTTTCGTTGATGCTTAGAATATCTACCATATCTGGTAAACTATGGCATGACTAAATTTCACTACAAATAGAACATTCGCAATTGGTGTTATCTTGAGCACAGACACATCAAGTTGCTGGTCACGTCTATTGTTATAGTCTGGCTGTTGTAAATCACGCATCTGGGCCACGAGCAAGCCCCAGCGTTAACCATGGCTGTATCCCGCTTGTTGACATCATCTAATAGCTTCGATGGAAATTGTTTCTTGTCAATTTTAATTTCTTATTTCCCCTGGACCGGTATTCTCCCATCAACCGAACAAATTATTTTTATATAATGTAAAAGAAACGCCATTATATCACAGTGTTCAGAGCGGTGGTTGTGAGCAAAATACCGAACCCCAGCTTTTTCCCCTATTTCGGTAAAATGCCGGCGACCGCCGTCGACTCTTGACCACTGTTCCCTACACAACACCCTTCATCAATTGAATGCTGGACCAAGGAGCTGGAGTTTCAGCCACTTATTATTCAAATTCCGCGTTGACTAGACATCTGCAAAAGAATTTTGGATAGAAAGAAATCCATTGAGGGGAGGGAAGGGCAAAATCATAGTGCAGAAGCATACTTTTTTTCTAGAGTTTAACTAGGCCCACTACGGCAGAACGAGTACAGACTAAACTCAAAAGATTGCGAAACTCCTTATTTAAGTTACAACCCAACTCCATGGTTTCGCTGTATTTCGTAGACCATTTCTTTGCTCATCCATACTCAATGAGTTGGAGCCAATTCCTCAACTGGGTAAAGACGTGTGGGGGGAAAAAGAGTATGTACGGTACGGAGATAGCTACTGAACGGCCACGGTTACGCCACGGGCTCGCGACCCCTGAGTGACCCCCCGGGCCAATTGTGGGGTACAGGATAAAGGCTAAGTAGAAACGGTACCGGTGGCCCCAGCGCTGACATAGAAAGTTGGACTTTTTTTTTGCCGTCTCTGTGCATGGAAATGAGCTTCCTCGGATTTTTTTGGCGTACGTTGGTCGCATTGTTCGCCGACAGCAGCGACGTTATCTTGACCGAGCACTAACAACCACCACCACGTCGATGATAGCCCCACTACGTTGATCACCGCCGCTCAACGAAACCTCGGATCGTAAATTAACGTCGGCTACCTGGGTTGCGGGATCCCGCTTTGCTACCCCAGGGTGACTGCCCCTCCGAGCCCCACTCCCCAACATTGACATGTGATTACTCCCCCACCTTCTCCTTTCGTCACTTTCTCAAGTGGAGCTTGTAACCCGCTCCGCGCTTAGTTAAAAAATTTCATGTGCCTTTTTTCGGGGACGCCCCTATATATTGGTGCCAATCTCGCCTAACCCGGATTCACCACGTTGACCACTTCACTGCGGATCGGGATGTACATCAAGAAGCCGTCATACCTGCTGGGCCTGCTGCCCCTCCGCATCCCCCTGTTCCGTCTGAAACTGAGACTGAGACGTGAAGAAGGTGCGGCTCCAGGCGAATCTCAATCGGTGGGTCTGGGGCAAATCTACCACACTACCAGCCACGACGACCGTCGTTCCGAGCGCCGCCGCGTCTCGCTGAGACTGAATGGCGATGACACCTCCATGCGCCGCCTGCGCTCCCAAGGTCGTTCCCGTCACGATGACGATGAAGAGCGTCGTGAACGTCGTGAACGCCGCCTGTCGCGTTACGCCGACGACGAAGAACGTCGTGAACGCCGCGATCGCCGTCATTCCCGCTCCCACCGCGATCGTGACCGTGACGAAGATGACCGCCGGGAACGTCGTCGGTCGGAACGTGGCCTGGACCGCCATGCTGACCGCCGTAAGCTGACGTCGTCGCGTAAGCCAGCGTCGAAGTCGCTGCGCTCTGGTGGTGGCGCTGCGGCCGCTGCCCCGTCGAAACCCAAAGTGGTGTTGCCTACTAATGTCGAATACCGTCCTGGCCGTATCCAGCTGTTGACCGCGGAACAAGAGCGTATCCACAAGCAGTACTGGGCCTACTTCCTCGCTTACTGGGGGTACGACTTTGGCTTTGATCCTCATGAAGTTAAATACCTGGACGTGTTTGTCGCCCTGACGGGCCGCCCTGAAGCCGGTGGTGGCGCTGGGTTGTCGCGTACGGCTACTCACAACTCCCTTCAACTGGGAAACACTCTGGCGCTGAAGAAAAAGAAGGGTTGGTTGGGTGGTAGTGGTGGTAGCACCCTGGCGGCGCCGGCGTCGCAACACCACGAGAACCACGCCCCGGCGAACTCGCCCCGGATGCAGGATATTCAAACCAAGCTGTCACAAGAACAGTTTATTCCCACCGACGTCCCCTCGCCCGATGTCGTAAATGTCTTCGTCAACCACTACAAATTGGTGCTGCCGGAATACTACAAGGAAACTGAAGACGACGGTGCTTCGAGTGACGTCAGCGACGCCGCCCTGTTGGAATCGTTTGTCACCGCTGACACTACCATCACCAACCCCGACGACTTCCCCACCGAACTGTACTCTAAGCGCGGCGGCGGCGGTGGTACTCTGAATGGGGCAATGTTGTCGGCGCCGGCTGCTTCCAATAAACCCGTCAAGCTGGTCAATGTCAATCCAGACTTGGCTGGTATCACTCCTGCCCAATGGCAACAGATGTTCATGAGCGCCTGCCGTAATGACTTGCCCGACAACTTCCTTTTGCGGTTCATGAGAGCTAGAAAATGGAATACTGAGAACGCTCTTAAGATGCTTTCTAAGCTGATCAAGTGGCGTATGGACTTTCCCGCTGATCAATGGGTATTGGAGTCCGACGGCCCGCTGTACCTCACCGGTAAGAACGCGGGGTTCATTAAGAATTTGACCACGGAAAAACTGTGGATCAAGGGTCTGGATTTCCAAAAGAGTCCCATTTTCTGGTTCCAAGCAAAGAAGCACTTCGGTTCTGACCTGCCTTCGGATGAAACCCAAAGATACGCTGTCACCACTATTGAATGGGTGCGCCTTTTCTTGCGTGAGGTCTCCGAATCTGTGGACACTGTCTCGATTGTGTTTGACTTGACCGGGTTTACTTTGAAGAACGCCGATTACACCACCATTAAGTTCTTAGCTGAGGTTTTCGAAGCCCACTACCCCGAATGTTTGGGAAGAATTTACGTCCACAACGCTCCCTGGATTTTCTCCACGGTGTGGAACATTATCAAAAACTGGTTGGACCCAGTGGTGGCGTCTAAAATTGTCTTCACGAAGAACTTTAAGGATTTGAGCGGTTACATTGCTCCGGAATTTATCCCTACCGATCTCGGCGGTATCGACACCTCTGGTCCTCACTACCCTATCCCTAAGGCTGGTGATGACCGGCCGCTGAAGGCTAAGGATGCCACGTACGTGCGCTTGAGAAAGGAACGGGACATCTTGTTTATGAGATTCCTCGACTGCACTGCTAAGTGGGTGGCCTCAACTAATCCTGATGTTTCTGCCAAATACCTTGAGGAAAAGACCATTATCAACGTCGAATTGCTGAACAACTGGATTGCCCTTCAAGGATACATCCGGAATCCTTCTCCTTACGACCGGATCGGGAACCTTCACATCACCAACTGATTTATATGATGATATAGTTATAGACATGATCAACATTAGCTACTCGTGCTGTAGAGTTTAATTTATACAAGAATCACTTGAAGTTGGTTTTCAGGATTTGCATTACCACTCGGTGCATTATTACACCTTTCACTACGAAAGAGTGGGGTTAAATTAAGATCGATCAACGCCGCAATAGAAGTCGGGGGTCAAAGGTGAACTAGGAAGCATTAAAGCCGCCTACTGTTCCAGGTCTGAGAACTTCATGCGTGAGGAGTAGCATTGACGATATCCCATCGTTTCGACCTCTTCAACCGTACATTACAACAATTAATAAGCACAGGTGGTTTCAAGGGATATAGATCAAAAATATATTCATTTTTTGATTACCTAACTGTACATGATCAAAGGTCGGTCGATTTAGGGCTCATATCAACTCGTCAATAGAACTTCTGAATCCCTCTCTGGTTCGAAGAGTCTCCTCAGACAAATTAATCTTAACAATGTGCAGGTTGCGCACTCTCATCGATACTCGTCGGGTAAATTACCTAAAATGGATATAGTGCTCTAGGTCAGATTGTTGAAGCCCAAAGCATCCATATACCTATTCTTCAAGATACCGCTTTCCTTAACAATTTTATGCTAAAATTTCGTCACAATCCAGTCTCAATGTGATCAGACCAGATATCTCATCTTTGGCCGTATGCTCATAACGCCTCCCTTTTTCTTCGGTGCCAGTGCCGCGCATCCCACCTTAATGGTTATCGAAACCATCAGTAGAATTCATTAGTGAAAAGGACTCAAATTAAGGGCAGGTTGCAATCCGATGTGCTCTCCTTAGTTCTTCAATACTCTCTCAATTTCATAGCGAAGTAGCTGCTTTCAATAGTGCAGATTTCGCTCGCACCTGCACTTTGTAGAAGATCAAAAAGCCGTACGGCGTTATGGAGATAGCTCAAATACCATGAGCAATCTGCCTTGGCACCCATGTCTCGGCCAAACCAAATTACTGAGCTGATTACTTTGGAAACGTTCGTTGGTGTCAACCCCTTTCAAACCCCAACTGCTGAAGGAACTCTGATCCAAGCCCATGAAAATGAATTAAGATCCAGAGCGACGAAGACCAAAGATGAAGTTGTCGAAACGACTAACTTGATGTATGGCAGCGAAAAGGATCCCGACAACTTTCCGGATGGTGGTACGCAAGCATACCTTGTGTTGATCGGAGCTTTTTGCGGTCTCTTCACTGCCTTTGGCATCTCCAACTCGGCAGGGGCAATTGAATCGTACGTGAAGAATAACCAACTTAAGGGAGTTGATCAGACTCTGGTCTCATGGGTATTCTCTCTTCACTTGGCCATTTTATATTTTGGCGGGGTGTTTTTCGGTCCTGTTTTCGATAAGTTTGGTGCCAAGAAGCCTTTGCTCGTGGGAACTATTCTCTCAACTGTGGGATTAATTGTTGTGGCCCAACTGACCAAACTTGTGCACTTCGTTCTCTCGTTCGGTTTACTTACAGCGTTAGGATGCCTGATCATGATGCTGCCAAGTGTGGGTGCTATTTCTCATTGGTTCCTTCGCAAAAGAGCGTTAGCATCCTCAATTGCGACTATGGGAGGATTGGTTGCTGGTTCCGTATTTGGTGCTGTACTCCCGAAACTCTACGAATCGATTGGCTTCGATTGGGCTATCAGAACAATGGCTCTTATCTGTTTCGTTTGCCTGCTGATCTCAGTCGTGCTTGTAAAAGGTAGAGACGCGATGAAACCCGCGCAGCATGAAGACATTCCATGGACCACAGAATTGTCGGCTTTCTTTCGTGGATTATTGGATTTGTCTCTTCTTGCAAACAAGCAATTTTTGTTATTGGCAGGGGCGTCAGGATTGGCAGAAATCGTGTGCATGTCAACACTTACGTACTTGTCATCCTATGCTATTAATCATGGCGTTCCTTTCAATCAAGCGAATTTGTTGATTACAGTGGTCAACGTTTGTGGTATCCCTGCACGAATCCTTTCGGGTTGGATGGCTGACCGTTGGGGCCGTTTCAATATCATGTTTGCCACTTCAATTTTATCCACAATTGTGATTTTTGCTCTCTGGTTTCCCGCAAAAGGTTCAGTTGCTTTCCTTTACGTGTTTGGTGTGCTTTTCGGTATCTTTACCTCTGCGATCGTGCTGTTGATTCCAGCCTGTGCGGGGCAAATTTGCAGTGCTGATCAATTTGGCAAGGTTTATGGCACTTTGTATTTCGTTTTGGCTTTTGTCATGATGATTGGGATGTACTTAGCTTCCGTGGTCATCAGTAAAGGAAGTCATGTAGACTACAGTCATTTGGTATTGTACGAAGGTGGTTTGGGTGCTGGCTCAGCAGTAGCATGGTTACTCGCTAGATGGCTGGTTGTCGGTTGGAAGTGGTGTAAGTTTTGATTAGAACGTCTCATTTCCCATGATGAGGACAATGGATTAATATAAACTCAAGTCTAATCGTTAATGCAGACTCCATTGTGAAGTATTTTATATTATTTAGAATGACTATATGCTTTAATCGTTTAATGCAAAATTGTTAATGCAAGAGCTTCATAAGAATTCCCATACCCTGTACAGACTTTGCCAATTCGTCGTGGGGTACATTGATTTTGATCTGGCGGTTGCTCATCTCCGCCAGTTTACCCCTAACTGAGAGATTTACAACAGCCATAGCTTCCAAAGCGGATACCACCTCCAAAAATTCACTTTTCTTTAAAGTACCCATAACACCCTCAGCTCGATCACTCATAATGTGTCTATAGGTAACGTAGAATTCGTGGATAGTGATATTTGCGGCGCAATGAGTAAGACAGCACAAGACCATCTTCTGCAGCATGTTGAGAGCAGTTAACTTCAGAGACAGTGGGGTTCCAAATGCCAGAGCGCAAATGCGAGCCATGTGGGATATCGAGACCAACAATAGCGGTGGCGGATCGACGAAAGGCGAGAGGTTCCGATTATACTCGAGCTCGACCGTTTCGACAGCTTTATAACAAACGTCCAAGGCTTTTCGTAAGTCTCCCGTCAACAGCAGTGCTTTCTTGCAGCATAACTGGATGGCCATGGGATGAAACAATTGAACCGGCAATTGTTGAAGTTTGTGAGTGACCACCTGTTTGATTTGCTCCCAAGTGTAGGGCATGAAGGATAAGTTTTTGGGGTTTTGACCTGTTCTTTTGAGTCTCGGTAAGAATTTGTCAGTGAAGTCCAAAGCGTTGGCAATACCGACAATGATGACCTGAGTAGGGTATGATTGGGCCATTTTTGCCAAGTTGAAAACGTCAAAAAGTACCTGCTGATCGCGAGTGAGTAACGCATCCATTTCATCCAAAACAATAAGAAGATGACCCGCATCACACTTGCCTTGTCTAAGATATTCTCCGAGATGCTCGCATGTTTGTCTCTTTCCAAAATGCACCTTCTTCACTAACTTTCCCATAATCTCCTGGAAAATTAGTTCGGGAGATTGTACAATCATACAATTAATGTTGACCACACATGCAGTCTTTCCTGCCATTTGCAAGTAGTCATCACGGAAGGGGTGGCGATAAAATTCGAGGGTTCGAGTCAATTGAGCGGTTTTGCCAGTGCCAGGAGGCCCTGAAATGTATAGTGATCCGGATGTGTTCGCAGTAAGATGCTCAGTAAAGAATTGCTTTAAATGCTGAGCTTCTTCATGTCGACCCACCAAGTGATCAATTTTCATATTCTGCGCAGAACCCCGCTGGAATAATGACTTAGCTTGACGGTATACTGACGCCGGCACAGGTATTTCTAACGATGAAGGAACATTCTTTTTGGGAGTAGCCTCCGGGCTAAGGATCGAAGGGCAAATTTTCTTGTTTGGAGTCAGTTGCTCTTGGGGTAGGGGTGTATTAGGATCCTCTTGTAACCTCCGCTTAGTGGGAGTCTTCGTAGGTGTGGGAGGGAGCACATTTGAGGTATCTTTGAGAACCCCCATTTCTCAACAATGGTTTTCGATATGCGGCGGCATCTGTACTCTATTTAACCTGAAACCGCCTTGAGATCAGACGCGACGCGTCTGCTTCGATTGCTCGTTATGTGCAGTCCGGTGGTTTGAAAGATGGCTGGTACAAATTGTATATATCAACAAACAAATGGCTTGCGACAAGCAATTATTTAATTGTCAAACTATAAGACTTTCAAGGTTTCCTTCACAGTGCTAGCTCCTCCTACTTATATGCACCGTCCGTTTGACGACGACGAGCAACTGATGCCATTAGTTTTACAGTGTGATCCTCCCATGTTGAATAGGCTACACTGTCTGTGAATTTGAGTGAACTCCGTCGGTGGTTGTAAGATCGTAGCCCATTTGCTGAATTCGGCTTCGACCAATGCGTTGACTTACGTCGCCTTCCTCAGGTTTTCAAAATCGTGTAGCGCCTTAGTCAACACGGGGTTCTTCCGAGTAACCATATAAACATCTGACTTCTCAATTTCTGTCCTGCTGGCGTGACGGGCAAACATCTCGAGATCCATTCCCAAAGCCATCACTTGATTGTAAACAAGCTCCACAAGTGCGGCGACAAACGTGGGTGTGGGCTTCACTCCTGGCATTTGCCGAAATTTTTGCTCGACAATCTCAGCGACCATTAGATAGACCACCAGTTTTACCTGCTCAGAACTCATGATGAACGAACAGTGTTAGTCGCACATAAAACCTCACTTTGTGGATGTGAGTGAGCAAACAGTAATTTAAACATCAGCGATATGCTTACACTATACGCGATTTCTATGAGATTCTGAAAGTACTCAATGAATATTTTACACTCTAAAACACTCACGGTAAAAACTACTTCTATGTCAAGCTTCTTTATAATTGTGTAGAGATGTCAATTTTACAGCTCAATGCTGATAGATTAAATTCGGACAACCCCGAGAGTACAGCCACAAAGATCACATCGACCGTCGATTATGCCAACGCTAAGTTCGTAAATTTTGTTTACAGGATTGCGGCCTGTGCCTTGGATAGAATAACTTGTAGTGTCACAAACCGAACACTGTGCCCCACTTTCAGTTCCGCGGTGTATTACTTCCACGATCCCCTCACTCATAACCCGTGAGACATTAGGCTGAAACCGCCCACTTTTCGCTTTCAAAAGAGTCGCCAGACTAACTTCTTGGTCACGGTTAATCCGCCATCACAAACAATTCGTTATTCCGTAGAGTTTGTCACTTAGATTGTTGGCACTGCAATCAGAAGCCGCTAACAGTACATTGAGGTTTTTTCGACGCACTCGCTTACCTCCGCTATCCGACCGAATTGAACAAACTCCAAATTGAACAAGAAACCACCGGTGTCATGAAATCACGAGTGGGTCTCTCGTACTCACTAGGCGATACGCTGGCGTGGGGGAACCACATCTTGCCAATTTCAGCATTGGTGTGTACCTCAGATCGAGTGATAACCGGCGGCCGTGACGGGGTTGTTAAAATATGGCATACCAGTGAATTCCCTAAAGCTACAACAGTGCACGGCACTAATGGGGTCATTGACGAAGATTTAGATACGCTGCTCTTAAAATTAGAGCAAGCGATATCTGGTCAACCGCTACCATACTCACTGCATCCCCGCTATCCCCTTGAGGTGGGCCAACTGTTTCCAATTCATTTCGACTGGGTAAACGATGTCGTGCTGGTTAATTTTGGTCGTCTGATTGTACTGTGTTCTCTGGACTTACTGATCAAAGTTGTGGATTGTGAACTGGGACAAGTCGACAAGTTTGCGAATGCCCACACAGACTACATTAAAAAGTTGCTGGTGCTGGCAGCCCGTGACGATGTTATTTATCTGGCTGGTTTAGATGGAAACATCATTGAGTGGGACCTTCCCACGCTCACTCCGCTCGTTCTGATGCGTAATGTTACTACGACTCAGCCTTCACCACTGCTGGTGTACCTGATTGCCAATTGGGATCGACTAGTTGCTGCCGGGGGACCATCAAACACAATCAACTTATTTGATCCTCGTCTTCCGCAGCCATTTCTCCGCAAACTTATCGGACACCAAGATGTGATTCGCACTCTTGCTATGAATGAGACACATGTGGTTCTGGGGTCATCTGACACAACCATCAAAGTTTGGGATTTGCGCACTTTCAAACTGGACCGTACTATCGATGTACATGATCACCCTGTGTGGTCACTTACAACCCATTCTCCTCATGATTTCAGATATCTCTACTCGGGCGACCGTGAGGGACGTATAGTGAAAACCGACTTGAGTCAATGGGCGTCATATCAACTGGCTCCTGCCCCTGAGTTTGCAACCTTGACCACCTCTGAGTCGTCGTCATACGACGACGGTGTTGGTGTATCTGTGGTGGTAGCCGAGAACGCGTCTCTGATCCTTGCATTAGGCGTTGCAAATGGCACAATCCATGCTCTGACATCTCATTCCCTTGTACAATACGCAGATCCAGACACCCGTCAAGTTCTGCGTTACCAGTACTTACGAAGTGGGCTTGATCATTTGATTGATAAAGAGTATGACAATAATGATCCTGCTATTGGCCATGTCCCCGACGACATCCAACTGGAATTTTACGACTTAATTTCGCATTTACTGATAGAGACCGGCCCTGCGCCCGTTATGGACGCCCAGCTGCTTTTAAGTGGGGCGGGTTTGACAGCTTTGAATCATGAGCCGCTACCAGAAACCGATACCGAAGATGAGGAGAGCGTGGCGACCATGTTCTTGGAACCCAATGGAGGTACACTGCAGTTGTACGTCAATGCCTATATGGATCACGCCTTCCTGGAGAACAAAGTGGTCAATCCGTTTGAGCGCTCAACCTCCGATGAACAATTTATAGATCAAACACCCGTTGAGATTGTGCAGCTGGCTTCAACGCTGCTTTTTATCATCCCATTTAACTCGAAACCGCTGGTCGTGACTCCCATTGTGCCAATGAGTGTAATATCCAAACGGATTCTTAACAATAAGCGCCAGGTTCTTGTTCTCTACTCAAATGGTGACATTGTTACGTGGGATCTACTCACCTGTCGTCAACTACCAGATAAATGGCGAATGCCAGATGCTTCAATCGCTGGTCTCGATGACAAACAAGTTGAACAGCGGTCTAAGGACATGGATGCGCTTTTCAACAAGATGCAAACACACGAAGCGCTTAGCAATTGGTGTGAAGTTGAAATCAAAGCCGGTAAGTTGTTCGTTACTATAAAAGAGCTGTCATTTTGTAATGTTGAGATTTACCATGATGATTTATGCCACAGTTATCCATTTTTGCAAGCCGACTCGTTGGGTTTGCCAGATGACCGCTATATCGTGGGCCAGATTTTGATCAACTCATTGTTTCATGAGTACGCTGTGTTTGAATGGGGTTTTGACCGCCAGGTGCGAGAAGAACTTCGTGCACAAGATGGAATACCACAACCAGCGGCACCTGTTAACGGAGCAACGCTACCAGCAGATCTGGCCGGAGGATTCAAGAAGTTTTTTGGGAAAAAGCGTAAGGAAGGAGCCGCAGAGAATACTCACAGTTTGGAAATGCAGGAATGCTTGAGTGTGTGTTCCCAACGCATGCTGAGTGAGCGTTTTTTGAATGAAGAATTGCCAGCAAAGCGTTCTCCCCATTTTGAGGAGCTGGTTTACATGCTTATTCATACCAACAAGCAGATCTACATGGAGAATTATAAGTCTTCCAACTATAAACCCGGTACTTTGGTGGATCTGGCGCTTAGAGTTGATCATATTGACCCAAGGTATCGAGATCCCTCGAGAGAAGACAGATTTCCATATGTTCCTTTTATCGATCCTCGTACTCAGCTTCCGCCTGACTTGCAAATCATGATATTTGAATATCTGAGTGAGTTAGGTAATTATCGTGAATTGCGCCGATTTTCACTCAACGATATCAACCTGAATGATCATGTACCTGAAGTTCGACAGAGCTTGCCGCGATGGATAGGCAGACCCATCTTGTATAACAAAATGCCTCAACGAGAACAAATCAAGTTGGCATTTTCACTTGCGGAGATTGATTATGAGAAACTTGCTCCACACAAAAAGATCGGTGGCAAGCTGCAAAAGAAAATCAAGAAGCTCCCTTTACTTGAGCCAAACATAAAATTGGCTTCACATAACATGTTACGTGTCTCGAAGATTCTTCAGTACTTAACCGAGAAATTTGAGCCTAAAACTCTGGAAATGAAACTGGGAAAATTGGCCTGGGAGTGGTTGGTTCTTGAATGCAGAGGCATCGAGCTTGATCCTAATATGACGTTGCAAACTATCAAAGCGAGAATCTGGAAATCTAGCTCAGATATTGAACTATATTTTCGTCGGCGGTTTGATTGAGCTTCGAACGCGAAAACTACGAAAACGTGTATGTAAATACAATCACATGCTTTACGTCAGGTGGACTTGCTAATCCGTAGTAGATTGTACGCTGACACCGGCTTTTGAAGAACAAGGGTCATCTTTTCTCGTGATGGCGCCAACAAATAAAGCAATGCATGCCACATGAAATTGGGTTGTATCAGGGGTGTTTACTGGAAATAAGGTAGGTTGCTGCACCTCGCATTTTGAGCTCTGTCGAGGGCGAACTTCGAGCACTGTTTGCCGTATCAAGAATAAACGTCATGACGCCGCGCCTCTCGTCCATATCTGATCCTTGATTAATTCTGTAGCAACATGTTCCTAATTGAACATGTTTCCTAAGCAACAAATTGAAACTGATGTTTCGGTGCAATCTCTGGAGGAGCTCAGTGACACCACCACCTTATTGTTTGATGATCATGACGCAAACCCTGTATACCTAGCCAAACAAAAGCTCGTGGTTGAGGCTATTGACAGTATGGGTTGGGGCCGCTATCAATGGGGAATATTTATTGTCGCAGGGTTCGGATGGTTCGCCGACAATGCCTGGCCCATTGTCACTTCACTGATGTGGCCCCGATTGATCGAAGTAGATGGTGCTCACCCTCCTAAATCTTTTCAAGGTCCATTTATCACCTTGGCCCAAAACTTGGGATTGTTAGCTGGCGCAATAGTTTGGTCATTATCGCTGGACATAATCGGACGAAAATGGGCGTTCAACTTCACATTCCTATTCACAGGTATCTTTGGGTTGGTGGCTGGTTCCCTGCCCAACTTTGCTTCGGTCGGTGTTTTTGCTGCGTTGTGGTCATTTGGAGTGGGAGGGAACTTGCCCGTGGATCTGGCGATTTTTCTCGAGGCTATCCCCACCAGCGAACAATGGCTCTTGACGGTGATGTCAGCTTGGTGGGCCTTAGGCCAGGTTGTTACAACATTGATCGCGTGGGGCCTCATTAGTAACTTCTCTTGTGACCCAAAGGAGAAAGAATGTTTGAAGAAGGATAACTGGGGTTGGAGATACTTTGCATTCACAATGGGAGGATTGACCTTGATCATGTTTGTGATCAGATTCTTGTTTCCCGTATATGAGTCAGCTAAGTACTACGTTGGGAAAGGTGACGATGCAGCGGCCATCGCTTCTCTCGACAAGATTGCTCGATTTAATCGCAAGATGAATCCCCTAACGCTAGCGAAGTTACAAGAGATTGATGAAATGTATGGTGTGGAGAAAAATCAGACAAAATCCGAAAATCAATTAGTGAAAGAACGACTCAAACGATTTCTGCTCTCGCATATCAGACAGTGTTTTGGGAGTAAAAAGCTTGCCTGGCTGACCTCTTTGGTGGTGTTTACTTGGGGCCTTATTGGGTTAGCATTTCCATTGTACAATGCTTTCATTCCTTTTTACCTTCAGACCAAGGGAGCAAGTGGCGATAATCTTTCTGTTCGGGAAACTTATCGAAACAATTTGATTGTAGCAGTGCTTGGCGTCCCAGGGTCAATAATTGGTGGATTTCTTACAGAATTGAGGACTGGGCGAAAAGGTGTTTTGGTGGTTTCACTTCTACTCACCGGGGTGGCGTTATTTGGAAGCACATCATCGACAACATCCATGATCTTCTTCGGGTGGACGTGTTTATTCTCGTTTTGGTCGACGATGATGTACGGTGTTCTTTATGCTTACACTCCAGAGGTTTTCTACACCCAAATCCGAGGAACGGGCGTGGGGCTTGCAGCTAGCTTCAATCGTGTTATGGGTGTTTTCGCCCCCATAATCGGTATGTACGCCGATTTAACGACATCCGCACCCATTTATGTAAGCGGGGCTTTATTTCTTGCGCTGGGTTTATTGGTGTTATTGTTTCCATATGAACCACGAGGAAAACTGGCTCTTTAACATATCATTAGGATGCGACTTAACTGTACTTATATTGCGTTTCTCGCTTCAAATCCTTGTATTTCAATGTAGAGAAGACTTATAGATCACATTGTTAAAGTAATTTGTATTTCACTGTTCGAAGCGCAATTTACGAAAAGGTAAACCATGTGGGGTAAATATGGTAGCGCACCTACAAAAGGGATTCTCACTTCAAATTCACCACTCTCCAAAATGCATTTTGAAACTCAAGCGGAAATTGCTCAATTTGGTGGCAAGTTACTCAAGGTAACCCACTATGCCAAGACAACTAGATCCACAATGGATGTGAATATCTTCTTCCCTCATGAAGATTCCACGAAGGTTCCAGTGTTGATATATCTCAGTGGGTTGACTTGCACCCCGAACAATGCTACTGAAAAGCTGTTTTTTCAATATTTTGCAAAGAAGCACGGTTTTGCCATCGTCTTTCCCGATACCTCTCCCCGTGGTGCTGGCATTGAGGGAGAAGACGACTCATGGGATTTTGGTACGGGGGCAGGGTTCTACGTTGACGCCACAGAGGCGCCTTGGGATAGACACTACAACATGTATTCATACGTTCACCATGAACTCCAAGAAAGACTTGCTGAGCAATTCAAAAATTTGGACTTTGATAACGTTGCTATCACTGGCCACTCAATGGGTGGTTACGGGGCGCTCACGGGCTTTCTCAAAAATCCCGGGAAATACCGATCGGTGAGTGCATTCGCTCCTATAGCGAATCCCACTGAGTGTCCATGGGGTGAAAAGTGCTTTGGAAACTATTTGGGTGATGATAAACAGTTCTGGTTGGAGTATGACCCTTGCTATCTCATCGGTGAGTATAAAGATGAGAATCAACCTCCAATCCTTATTCACCAGGGCTCTAAGGATGGGTTTTACTGCAATGAGCCTAAGCAATTGAAACCGGAGAATTTTGTGGAAGCTGCCAAAAAGGCAAACTACAAGGGTGGTGTCGACTTGAAGGTAGTGGATGGCTATGACCATCTGTATTTCTTTATTTCGTCGTTCGTGGAGGATCACGCCAACCATCATGCTCGTTATTTAGGTTTGTAATGAATCCCTTAGTTAGGCTTCGTCGTACTTCACTTTCCATGTAATGTACCACTTGGCCTTCTTCTCATTATGTATGCCGATAGCGATATTAACCAATTTATAACAGTCCGCCGATACAACATCCGAATGCTTCTTAAGTTCGTCATCAATTGCTCCTTCAAGCATAAGATCGCTGATAAACTTATCAATAGCCCCACCAAGATGATGCTGAAGTTGATATATCTCATTAACAGTAGACGCTTTCGTTGCTTTTGGAACCAGCTTCTTAAATGAGGCGATAAGAAGTCTGACTAACTCTAGCTTCTTTGCCCACTTTTTGGCGTAAACTCTCAATTCGTCTTGCTTTGCTTCATCCATGGCGGGCACAGGTGCAGCCTCATCATCACCTGAGTCATCAGAGTCGAATTCGTCAAACATGTCATCTAACTCCACAGTATGTGGATTCTCTGCCCACTCTTTGAAGTCTTCAAATCCATCATCAAAAATGAGTAAGCTTTGATTAATCTTGGTAGCGAGTAATGCAAGTTCACCTCCTAAAATGAGCGCAACCAACTCATCACAAATTTCCCACACCTTGCCGACAGATATTAATCGTAACTGGGCTTCGTCGGCGAGATTGTCGTCAACAATACTCTTACATTCGTTGACAAGAAATTTGACTGCCTGAAAAAGCTGGCTTGCCAAGTAGGTGACTTCATTGACGAAGAACTCTGGCACCAGGTTGCGCAGAGTAAGCTGAGCAAGAACAGTGACTAGCATGCTGGTAGATCGCATCAACTGCTCACTTGTAGTATATTGGGCATTGAGATCATCCGATTTGAGATTGGCTGGGTTGTACAAGATGCCCACCTTAGTGGTATGAGCTTTAATCAATTTCGACAATTTGACAAGTTCATCTAGAGGCTTGTCAACAGTTGCGGGAGATATATCTGCGAACTGCGGTGCCAGCTTTCCCCAATATTCAAGAGCCTCTGTGAATGTGGCAAAAAACTTTGCAAGGTCAGCCTTACTCTTCATTACTCTTCGCGAATGATCGAGTGAGACGATCTCATTTGAATGTCCGAAAATTCGAGCATCTCACATAACCGAGCGGCGATACACACCGTCAATAATTGAGCGTCAGCAGCGAGGTGGTACAGCGAAGCAGGATTTAAAATTGAAGATAATATCTGATGTTGCAAAGTCTTTGCAGAGTCTCAGTTTTTGTGTAGGACTTCTCAATGATACTGCACCACTTTACTAACCGCGAGTGCCCGCTCAAGATCTGCTCTACTAGGTCGATTTAGGCATACAAAAGAGATCTTCAAAGTTTCACGTTGTTGTAACTCCATACAAACTCGAATTTTGAAGGAGGGCTAACGTAAAACTATTTATAGTGCGATTTTTACCCCTTCCGATCACAAAACTAAAGGCAAGTGTATACTTAAGATCATGATAAATACTGAAGCGCGCTTCAGATGTAACCACGAATTGGGGTTTTGGTGAAGGAGAGGGGCATTATTCGCCGTTATATACGTCGCACTGAATTTTTCAACGCGTATTATCAACTTTGTTCATGTGTGAAGGGTCGGACACGAGGTCGCGATCGCACTGCCTTCGGAAGTGCGCACATTGAAATTCAAACTTCTTGTCAGCTTATTCGTTGCACTGCCTACCTCAAACAACTGTCATGGTGAGCTGTGCTTCCTTTGCTATAGTAGCATCCCTTATGATAGGGATGTCGCAAGCATTCTTTTTGGATACCAATAACAAAACGAATGTCATTGAAAATCTCAATATCGTTGCTAAAGGTTTGATGGACTATTACCAAGGTGACGATTATGGCGGGGTCGTTGGTATGTTTCACAGTCCATACTACTGGTGGGAAGCCGGTGGTGCCTGGGGCAGTCTTATCGATTATGTCTACTACACCCAAAACGACACACTTAAACCTACGATCATGGCTGCGTTGAATCATCAAACTGGTGACGACAACAATTATATTCCCCTCAATCAAAGTACTACAGAAGGTAATGATGACCAGGGCTTCTGGGGGATTGCCGTTATGGCGGCTGCAGAGAAAAACTTTGGGACCCCCGATGATGATAAAAAGGCTTACCTTGCATTGGCTCAAGGGGTGTTCAATACGATGGCCCTGAGATGGGATGAACTGGCCTGTGGTGGTGGATTGCGTTGGCAAATTTTCCAATGGAACTCCGGTTATGATTACAAGAATTCAGTATCTAACGGTTGTTTGTTCCATATCGCGGCCCGGTTGGCTCGATACACAGGTAATACATCATACAGTGACTGGGCTGAGAAAGTTTATGATTGGATGACCGATATCCAATTGTTGAATAACACCCCTGACTTCCCTGACCATTGGTTTGTGTACGATGGGATCCACGCTGACACTGGTGGGGAGGACGTTTGTCATAATATGACCAAGTATCAATGGACTTACAATCAGGGTTTATTCTTGTCAGGCTGTGCATACATGTACAATTTCACCGGGGAGGAGAAGTGGAGAAACCGAACTCTTAACTTGCTTACAGGTGCTGAGGTATTCTTCAACACTACCGCTTGGAAGGGCTCTTGGGTGATGCAGGAAGCTGCATGTCAGAGGGTCGACAACTGCAACAATGACCAAAGATCCTTCAAAGCATACTTCGCGCGGTTTTTGGGTCTCACTCTGTTAATGATGCCTGAAACCTCAGACAAGATCAGAAAGTGGTTGGTTGATCTGGCCAATGCTGCGGCGGGTTCATGTCTGGGTGGTACTGATGGCGTTACATGCGGATTGGATTGGACCTTGGGTCATTGGGATGGAAAATACGGTTTAGGTGAGCAGATGTGTGCTTTGGAAGTCATGAACAATTTGTTGATTCATGAAATGCCCCCTCCTTATACTGCTGACAACGGCGGCACTTCAGTGGGCAACCCCGCTGGTGGTTTTGGTACCAAGATGCTTGGAACTGATCCATTGAAGTTAAACGGGGGTGACACAGCCGGTGCCAGTATTATCACTGCATTGGTGGGAGTTTCAATTATTGGTGCGGGCATATGGTTGCTTGTGTAATGAAAACGGAAATATTATACTGTGCTCGATGAAAGGTGCAGGGTAAATGGAAAATGGACTGGTTATATTTATCTTCGACGTCTCACATTTTTGAGATTAAGTAGTGTAGAACACTTGTGTGTTTCTAACTTTGACTATATCAGGCTAGATTCCAAACGCATGAGATGAACCAGAAAGCTTCTCTCCATTTTATGAGTGTTGGTCCAGTTCATTAAGTAGACGACTCCCTGAATTTACGCGCGCGTGACTACGCTCGCGCCACCTAACAGAATCCTGAATACCACCACTCAAAGCTTAGGGTACTCCACAATATTGATTCAATTCAATTGAATGAACTTACTGGACCAATTCACTTCAATACAGCTTGATCGCGATGACGACGATAATCGGCAACTGGAGACACGAGAGGAGGCGATTGAGGAAGAAAGCGGCAGTGTTGCTGCCAGCGATAAACTGAAAGACGAAGATGGCAGAGATTCAGAGGATGGCGATAGCGATGGTGATTTGTTGATACCGGCCACCACCAAAGACGCACCGCCGCAATATGAACCCGTTGATCCCGCCCCAACGCTGCCCGAGCTTTTATCAAAGTCCGCATCTCCTCCTCACCTGTCGGAGGTCGCCGAACCAACCGCAACTAAAAACGATATTCCCAAAATATCGCCTTCTCCCGAACTCGCAGTTCAACAGGAAGAGCTGCCAGTCCCACCCGCCACCGACTTTTCGAAATATCATGAGTTGTATACTTTGGAATCTTCAGTACAACAACCAATCAAGGACATGGATTCTCTGCTGAAGCCGTTTATGAACTACCTCATTGTTACCAAGACCAATAATCCTCTCGTGCTCAAGCTTAATCATCTTCCAGTGCCAGAAGAATCTGATGGCAACCAAGTGCCGGACGTGGTCGAACTCTCCACACGTCGACGTTATGGAGACTTTCGTTATTTACACGATTCATTATCGAAAGATTACCCTACGTTGGTTATCCCGCCTTTACCACTGAAGCTGAATTTGAAGTATTTGACAGGAGACACGTTCAGCAATGCTTTTATCAAGAAAAGGCTACATCTGCTCAATACTTTCATTCGATTCATTACTAACCACAAGATTTTGTCGCAACTGTCGGTATTCCATTTGTTTATCCTGGATTTGAGCGACTGGAATACGTTTACGAAGCTGTTGAAGCTTAAGGATGTGGAGGAACAACTGGGGTTTGGTCGAATGAATGAAGAGTTAGCCGATACATTTATGAATTTCATGACGCCGTCGAAGTACAAGCAGGAAAATAACAAAGAGATTTTGGATATTAGCGAGAAACTAAAGAGATTATATGAGAACCTTGTGCGGCTCAACCGTCTATTCACCAAACTCAACAAAAAGCATAATGATTTGAGTTTTGACTATAGCCAATTCTCGAAGCAAATCAACAAGCTCTCGCAAGTTGCTGCATCTCTGGACAGTAATGGTGCAGGCACCGCTGCAGCCGATCTGGCCATGGTGAATAACTTCCAAGTTTTCGCTGAGGCTCTAGAGTACTTTGCCGATCTGTGGAAAAATTTGCACGCTTATTTTGACGAACTGTTTTTGGTAAGTCTCAAGAATTGCGCTAAGTACATTGTGAGTCTCACTAACTTGATCAATCTCCAACATAATAAGCGCATTGATCTTCAAGTATTGCAAGATTACCACAACAAAGCTCAAGCTGAATTAATTGCTATGGGAGGCACTACGTCAGCTGCATCCGGTGCTCAAGGGTACCAAAGCCAAGGACTCGTAGGGAACACTGCTCAACTTATTCGTGACACCTTGTCGACGCTGGCCCTGGGTCTGATTGGTCTGGCGCTGACTGACAACAAAATGGCCAAGGTTCAAAGTCGCATTAATCAGTTGCAGCATGAGATCGATATTCAAACCAAATTAGTCAACGAGCTCACCAACAACATCGTTTGCGAAGAATACCCAAATTGGGATCGCTTCAACAAGAATGAGGTGAAAGAAGCTATGGTTGGAATGTGTGATCAACAGATTCTGTTTTATCAGGGCCTTATCGATAACTGGACAGACGCCGAGTTTAAGCTCTTGAAAAGGCTTGATGAACTTAATTGAAATGCAAGTATATATGATCCGTTTTTAATACATTCTATGCTCGTTCATCAACCAAAACGGAGGAATTGACACTAGTGGCAGGTTCCTGATGGACGTTGTAAATGTTTTCAAAAACATCGACGTCGTCTGCAACGATAGGCAATGTAGGATCAAATTTTGGGTGAGGAAGGTCCCAGTCTGAGCCCAAATGCTGACATAAGAACGTGGCCACGTCGTCACAATTACCAGTCAATGTGAGATCAAAGTTGCGATCCACGATGGGATCGCGATTGATTAAAATGCGCTTAACCTTTCGTGAAGTTTTGGAAACCATATCCAGAACGGGCAGCACTTTTAGCAGCGTACCTATAGCAATGAATAAATCGCATTCTTGTAAGTCAGTCTTGCAATTCTCGAAGAATCGCTTAGGCAACAGCTCACCAAAAAAAGTGATGTCGGGTTTTACCACACCATACGAAACGTCGGTAGTTTGATTGAACTGTGGCTTACCCCAGCAAGCGTTGCATCTGGGTACTTGCTGTTTTCGAATATGCTCATGGATTTTCTCCCCTTTAAACCTTGCCTTACATGAAATACATCTTGCACAATGAAACAGACCATGACACTGAATCAATTTTGCTTTGTCAATACCCGCCAGTACCTCGAGATCGTCGATGTTCTGGGTATAATTCCGGAGAAGTTTGCCCTTGTCCTGCAAAAGCCTGATGAAGGAATGTAAAACCAGGAATTGATGCTCGTCCGCCGGTAACAACTTATAGGCGATGTTGTAAAATAGTGTCGGGTCTTCATTGAACACTCTGATGTCAAACACGTCCTGCGGGTCTTCAAGCTTTAAGTGCTCAACCTGCTTATAAATACCTTGAATTGATCGGAAGTCAGGAATCCCCAAACTTGTCAGAATACCTGCTCCCGTCACCACGACTATCTTCTTTGCCACTCGTAAATCATCAAGGAACCTATCCACCGTATACCGCGGCTTGGAGCTCATCCATAGGCTCGGGTTTTGAATGGTGATATCCAAGTCCTTGTCGAGCACTAAATGCAGCGAAAGTGCCTCAATGATTTCGCGAAGAGGCAGGGTGTCGAGTGGTGGAAAGCTAGACAAAGGATACCCCAACTTCCCGATGACTCGACGTAAATCTTGCTTTGAAAGGGGATCGGGCAAGTACAGGTAGATGAACAGAAGTACACCGCGTTCTTTTATGTATTGACGGTAGTCGACTTCGGGGCGCGGGGACATCGTTGGCAGCGGAATTTTAACCACCATCCGTTTAGATGTCGGGGTGTCTCCCAAGGTTGCTGAGAACCGTTTGCGGGTGATACTGCCGGAATGGGCTCCCAGTATGTCCGATCGCCCCCGGGTGTCTTGGGTCATCATAGACGGTGATGGCAGCTAGCGGTGGGGAGACAAAAGATGAGATGAGAAAAAACCGCGTGAAGCTGGCTTCGCTTAACACGGCGTTCCCAAACACTTCAAATCAAGGTCTTTTTCTTACTTTATAGAGATATGTCTTCGGATTCTACGTTTTATGTTATCACTGGATTAAGTGGTCAACTCATGTTGAGAACGAAATGTTCATGGAAGTCGGTGGGCAACAAGACGCGTTGGTTCAATTGGCGCAAAGTTTGAAAGTGTTTTTCAGTCCACCGTGGTAAAACCAAAGAATTCAAAGTGAGAGAAAAACAAAATTCTTCATTGGGTGTTTTACTTTCCAGTCATTCGGATGGGGAGGTTCAAATATTACACATCTATGCTAACTTGACTACAGCGGAAGCTGAATGCTCAAATGAGGTAAGTGGTGGTTGTAAGGTATCATGTCAATTTCTTCATCATTCCAGCAACTGATTTTTGATCGTTTTTTGGTGAACGTGCAACACTCACACCAATATTTCTACAAATTTGCGTAAATGTAAACAAACTGCAAAAACTCCAAACGAACGCGCCTCATATGCCAGATACTCGAACATCTTTGATGCGATGCAAGCCAGAGGAATTGGTGTCACGTTACATATAAGTCTAAACTAATAGGAGTTCTCCAGAGAGTAATGGATCCATTGATTTCGAGAGCAATGAATATATTGCTTTCCGACTTCCAAGCTCTCCAAATTGTACAATGGTAAGAACCGATCAACTGGATATAGAAGTCGTAACGGGGAAGCTAGCTGATATCTTGATCACAGTTTCAAAATGAAATCAAACAATTCATCAACTAAGATTTGGGCATCATCATCTAAGACTTCCTTGAGTTCTTTGACTAAATTAGCGCTACCTCGAGTGCCAGTTTTCTTTAAATTAGACGTGATAATTTCAATCAAGGTTTCGTCAACTAATCCAACATACGTTTCAGAGAGCTCAGCAATTTTTGCGCTCAATTTTTCGTCGAAAATAACTTCGCGATCAGTAAACTTTGAAACGTGGGGCCGCTTCGTTTCTGGAGTTTCATCAACCTCAAGCTTCACCTGCAAAGAATTGGCTTCGTCTTTGCGGTCTTCTTCATCCCACGCTTGTTCACGAGCCCGCTTTTCCGCTCTCTTTTTTTGGTAATAAGGGTAATTAGCCCCATGATAGCTCAATATATCAGGAAGCAGCAGCCATTTGGAGGAAGGTTCGCCCATGGCCATCTTCGACAATTCCTCGAGGAACCTGTCCTTCGAAGCATTAATATCTTCTTCGTATCGGCTTAATCTCAACAATTGCTCCTCAAGATTTAAACGTTCTATATGCTCTTTATTCTTGACAGCGGTGAGCATCGCAGCATAACGCTTAATGTTTAGCTTCTTCTTTTCATCCTTGATATGTTGAGAGTACTGATTATCGTCCATATTGTTCTGTTCATCTCTCACGTTAGAAGGTGAAGCTTCATATTCCATCGACACCACACCCGTAGAATCCACATCCAGAGTGATACGCTCATACATTTCCTTGAGCTTTTGTTTAGCTCTATTCTGCTCTAATTCTGCTTCCTGAGCTCGTCGCCGCGCTTCATCACGAACAACCTTGAGACGAAATTCCACAATTTCGTCAATTATGGAAGATTTCATATGACTTGGTACATCGATAAGTTCCGAATTGTCAATGGTGTATTCTTTTGCAGCATCCAAAGGCAATTGTGCCTCTTGGCCTTTCGGTTGTTGAAGGAGCTTTGTCACATTAGATACGAGCAGTGCAAAATTAGGACCAGCCTCAGCAGATTCAACATCACCAAATACGTCAGACAAAAAGCTCACATCAAAGACAGAACGAGCAATACTGATAAAGGCTTTGGTAGAGGCCAAAGACGGTAACTTCACAAAGACATATCTTTTAGTCACACGAGTATGCAGAAATGCCCATCGAAATTGTCCCTGTCCAGTTAGTATCAAAAGAATTCTCTCGATTACCAACGGCTTCACTACAGGCATCGTCAACACCACAAGGGTCGCAAGATCGTGCTTCGATCGAGGGGCTAGATCGCTTGCTTCAACGAGATGGAGAGGTTTCTCATGGTCAAAATTGATGTCATGAACGCTTTTAGAGCCCACACGTCCATCAGTATCAGCTGTATTGTCCAAGCTGTCACTGAAAATCACGTCCTTACTTCTGAGTTCAGCAGTCGTCTCGTTTACCACCAGCTCGTAATCGATCAGAGCCAACACTGGGATGTGGATATTGGCGCCACCATCAGCAAGGGAGCGTACATGATTGCTCCGAAGTCTAGCTAGCACTTGGTTTGTTCGGCGTAGACGATATGGCGTAGTAGTCTTTATCGATGACATCGAATGGCCACTAAAGCCGCACCACGCGCGCTTGAATAGCGTAGTTCAATGATACTTCCAGGCGAGTTAACTCTCGGGAAATGTATACCACACACTGCCAAAGATATTAAAGAATGTGTTGCTGACAAGAAGATTGGTATCAGTGAAGTGGTCGAAGTTTTTCCGCTTTGGGAGGAATACTGGCTTATGGAGATCGATAGTCAAGTGCTGAGTCCATTGAAGAAGGCGTCGTACGAAAAAGCCACTGGAGCTTTTCCAAATCTGTTGCGTTTGTGGTGTGATTACATACGCTTTCTTATAGCGGAGAATGCTGATCGTGACATCATTAGGCTGGCTTACACTTCAGCCCTACACTATTGTGGGCATCATTTCAACGCAGACTCTTTATGGGATATCGTCCTTGAATTTGAGAAGTTGGACCGCTCTGTTTTGTTGAAGTTGTACTTACAATTGATTGCCATTCCTTTGTACGAATACAACAGATTCTACACGCAGTTTATCGAAATTGGTAAGAGTTATGAGTTAAGCGATATTATCGATGAAACTACCCTTGAGTCGTATGCCGAGGGATTCGGTCACAAGCTGGTTGATGGTCTTACTCTAGTTGAGCGTCATCAAGCGTTTGATGACTTTGCATATAAAAGACATCAGAAGACCCAGTCTCAAGTGGTGGCCAAATGGGAGTATGAAGAGAAATTAGTTGATCAGAAGTTCACGTTAAAGCCAGTGGATGCATCCAGGTGGTGGGATTATATAGCTTGGTCTCGATCACACGATGCCGTCGCTGATGCCATTTCCGTATATGAGCGAGCTCTCATCGTGCTTGGCCTCCTGCCCAAAATCTGGCTATCATATATAGCATTTCTCAACCAAAGTGGGGCCAGCAAAGAGACCCAAGAGAAGGTTTTCGAACGAGCGTCTGCCACTGCTCTTTGGGATGATGTTGACGACTTAGGTCCGCGTTTGCGAATTTTATGGTGCCAACTCAGTCAAAAAAACGACTTACTCGGGCAATGGTTAGATACTCTAGCAACTACATCGCCACGGCCACAACTGGCAATTTTTCAACTTACACAAGCGCTTATTCCGGGAATCTCAAATCTTGAAGAGGCTATCAAGGATCCTAAGTTCCCAACTGAGTCTTTAGCCGTACTTATCGTTGCCTACTTGAAAACATTGGATACTGCCGCTGTTCGCAAATTTTATAATGACCATATTTGTACCACGTCGAAACTAACAAGTATGTTAAAGCGAAGTGAGTTATTTTGGAAGTTTATTGTTGAGTATGAGGGTTTTAGGCACTATAATATGCAGAACCTAACGGTTGTGGTTCTGGCGATTACCGCCACCCGTCAGCTCCCCAAAGGTTCCCGCCAAGCAATTTTAGCCACAGCCGAGCTGATGTGTCGAGCTAATAACGGTTGTACTGTGCTCATGGAACCTGCTGCCCTTCCGGAGATAGCCCGGAGACATGTCGCACATCCTGGTATAATTAGAGAACATATCCCCGAGATCGCTAACCCTCAATTCGGGCATACGCGGCTTAGCGCGGATTTTGACGTAATCTCCGCCGCACCTCCGCTTCCTCAGTTCAAAAACGTCGAGAAACTGCTGACACAGATTGTGCCGCAGCAATAACAGCCCGACGCGCATAGCATTGAGCGGACAATTATGTGACCACCAAACCCTCCACAAAGCTGTCGTAAGGTCTGACAAAATAACGCATGGGTGCAATTTCGAGAGCCACGGCCAACCAAACACCAGCTCACGGCTAGCCCACACAGCTAACCGCCACGGCGTATCTCGCCATCTGTTTACATGAGGCTCAATCCGGGGTAGCACGGCATCGTTTGCTGACTTTTATCGCTAAGTAAAAGAAATACATTCAAAATCTGTAAGCGTGTACGGAAAGTATTTCCGTTTAGGTATGCGGCGGAACATTTGAGCACAAGAACTACGATGAGAGTAAGGGGTGGACGATCCTTAGCCTCACCAGATATTACCCGAAAGCAAGAACACCAGGCTTCAGTACCATTGATGTCATTGTCAATGGCTTAACGATCTTTGCAGACTTCGCCTCGTCGTTGCTCCGAAAGATTAGGCGTCTTCCTTGACGTGCAGGTATAATCAGCCTGAGGGAATATAAAGAGCGCATTTGGTCGCAATTCGTGATCTGCACAACTATTCGAGTACCACGATGGTTTTCACCAGCGATGACGAGAAACACATCTCGCCGCCGTCAACATCACACCACACAGTGGAAGATTTTGGCCCTGACGACAGTTTGCAATTGAGCGCTACCCGACTGCTACTGAGGACGCTGACCAGGTACGCTGTCAACGAGATATATGGCGAAAAGGACGAAAACCGCCTCCACATGCGGCGTACCAAGACCAGAGAGACAATACTATCGAATTTGGAGGATCGCGCTAACGCTGTGGCCAATCTACCCGCTGATGGTGATCTTGACGATGCCCAAAAGCAGATTGAGCAGCGTTACCAAAATACCTACGAAAACAGATTGCCGGAGGATGGCGAGGAGTTCGCCGACTGCGACCCCGAGCTTGTCACATGGGACGGCGACGATGATCCCAAAAACCCGCGGAATTGGTCGAAATTCCAAAAGTGTTTGCAGACGTTTTTTGTCGCTGCGTATACGTTTATCTCGCCAATGTCATCAACGATGCCCTCTCCCGCCATTCACCGCATTGCCCCACACATGGGGTTGGACTCAGACTTTCTCCAATCGTTTTCCGTTTCGTTCATGGTGCTTGCGTGGGCGTTGGGCCCCTTGTTAATTGCCCCACTTTCGGAATCACCACGAATTGGCCGTGCGCCAGTGCTCCAAGTATCGATTTGGATCGCATTTGCATTTAACATGGGTTGCGCATGGGCTCCCAACGCTGCAGCATTCTGCATCTTTCGCTTCCTCGGGGGCTTAGGTGGGTGCTCTCCACTTAACGTCGGAGCCGGTTGTCTTGCCGACTACTGGGCCGATACCGAAAGAAGTGTCGCCATCGGGGTGTACTCTTTGGCGCCGTCATTGGGACCAGTGCTTGCTCCCGTGATTTCATCATTCATTACTGACTACGCCGATGACTACCGGTGGGTTTTCTGGGTATTATGCATTTTAAACTTCGCCGTAGCCGTGGTTGGTGCTTTCTTTCTCAAGGAGTCGTATGCTCCCAAGATTTTGGGTGACAAAGCAAGAAAGCTTAGAAAAGAAACTGGCAACGAACACTACCGTACCATCTACGAAATGTCGGAAGTGACAGGCCAGTACAAGTGGGAAAAGTGGGTTGACAATTTGACGAGACCGATTATCCTTTTGACAACGAACATCTTAGTGTTGTTGCTCGGGTTGTTCATGCTGCTCGTGTATGGTCTCATGTACTTAATGATCGTTACGTTCCCCGGCGTGTTCCAAGGCACCTATGGTTGGCGTATCGCAAATTCGGGGTTGGCATACTTGTCTATGGGGGTTGGGTTCATAATAGGAGTGGTATTTTGGACATGGGCGGTCAATAAAATATACTCGCATAAGACCACTCAAAACGGTGGCGTGGGTAAAGCCGAGTACCGCTTGCCATGTCTTATCGCAGCTGGCATTGGCGTTCCCGTGGGCCAAATCTGGTATGGATTCTCAGCTGCTCACCATGTGCATTGGATTATGCCCATGATTGGCGCCGCCATTTTCGGGTTTTTCCTTCAAGCTGTGTTCTTATCTGTTCAACAATTTTTGATCCAAATGAATAACAGATATGCTGCACTGTCTATTGCGGCTGCTGCAGTTTTTCGCTCTTTATTCGGCTTTGCATTCCCGTTATTCGCAAAAGATATGTACAAAGGTTTAGGTTATGATTGGGGATCATTTCTTTTTGCCATGATTTGTTTAGCGGCGGGCGTGCCGTTCCCGCTTTACGTTCTCTTCCGAGGAGAAAAACTCGTTGAGATGTCAAATAGACGTATGGATAGAAGGCAAGCGAAGAAGGATGCGAAATACCTTGAGAGAGCAAGAAGAAAGGGCTTGATTAGCGACGAGGAGTACACCTCTTCATCGAACGGAAAAACATAATGCGCGCATCGCGCTCGGACCGGTAATGCGCTATGCATCCGGCTGCTTGAATTTTGACCTGCAAGCATTAATTGGTGTACCGATTGGTCACCTATGTCGACGTAGGAAATTATATGTACAGCTCATTGCAAGTAAACTACAAAGCTTTATTACACGCTCCGCCGTTTACTCGTTCGATAATCGAGCAGCTGGCCTCTGTAGAGCATTCACACCTGCTCTGCCTTTCCGTTAAACTCCATTCAAGTCCGCCACTCGTTCCGCGGTTTGGTGAGGCATTCACCGCGAAATTGCGTCCGCGAGATGATCCGCGCACCAAGAGGATGTGAGTGGCAGATGCTGAGGTTTTGTGTTGTAGTTTGACATCCCTTCTTCACGATGACCCGCGCACGCATCAAGTCCAGAATTGATTTCGCTTAATCAACGGAAACCTCACATGTAGTACTAATGTTTCCTCTGTCACCTATGGTGTGTGGAAAAGATCGATTGCTTCTTATTGACTCACGATATACTCTTTATATATACTCTCTCGAAATTATAATACATTCCATCAGTGATTGGAGTTTTCACTTCGCAAATACACCACAAAACATTCAGCTATCTTCAACATCATATCTTGAATAACCGATGGGCTTACCAAAAAATCACAATTAAGCTTAATGATAGGCTGTGCCTCACGGGAAACTTTCATCTCATTAATCAGTCGAAATATAAGCTCAAATAAGCGCTTGTATCTCAAATTTTCAGGGTTGATGTTGTCCTTCAATGATATTTTGATCAAGTTGGTAGGGCACCGGGCAAACTTATTCGTTTTGAACAGTAAATTAATGATTATTTTGTCTTTGGTCAATTTTGACTTAGTCGACGGTCCGATCCACTGATTGATCTGAAAGACAAACAGAATAATGTCAAGTGTGGAGATTTTGATGTCGAAAAGGAGTCGAGGCACACGTGAGGGTCCCAAGAGAGTGTCCGAAACATTATGCACCATTTGACGTACTTGTTGCACCAGTAGCAAAATAGGCGTGACCTCCTTGATATAGCGAACCACTCCCAACATCAGATCGGGGCTTGCAGATGCCAGGATATACAGGTTGAGATAGTCTAGGATGAGCGTGATTTCAGGGCTGCTTCGTTCGCTCCCATCAACAGGTAAAAACTTTACAGCTTCGAGTGGATTATTCGGCATTCTGATTTGAATGTTCTGCCCAAGTGACAGGTCCGTTTTGACGATTATCTTATCCAACTTATTCTCCACGACTTCCATCCCATTCTTTTCCAACTGTTGAAAGATTTTGATCAATTGGTTGAGTTTATTGAGTCTGTTGAAGACTGGCTCTAACAATGGCGTCAATGGGTGGTTTGCCAGAGTCTCATTGTTAATTCGATTCGTCAAATTGATGTCCTCGAATATTTCAAATGTGGAATCACGGATGCGCAAATTAAGCGAATCCACATTGCCGGGGGCAAAATTCATATTAAGCTTAAGCGAGCCCATCAACTTCAAATTCATCAGTGTGACTCCACCAACACTAACGAGTTTAACTTTCAAAAACAAACAGTTCGTCGATACCTCAATTGGCAATAAATCACCAAGATTGTGTATGACCACAACCAGTTCATATGTGGTGGGACGATCGTTACTTCCAAGCTCCAATTCTTGTTCCAGAAGTGCACTTTCGGAAATACCCAACTTAGTCATCAACTCAGCCGTGTTTGCTCCAGTGACATAACGTATTTGACGCGTGCGTAACTCTTCAAGTAACATATGATCAATAATCATATTTATACAAGCGGTAGACAAGTCGCTGAACCATCTATACGTCAAGTGATAAGGCTCGACGCCTTTATTGACACTCCCGTGGTTTTCAGACACCTCGGATTCCATTTTCTCGCTCGGTCCGCCATTATCCACAGTGTCATTGGCACCTTCGTCGAATCGAAGCCTCTCAATCCATTGTAGCTTCCAATCACCTTTGATCAGCTTGATACGAGCTACCCACCAGTAGGTTTTGCTCAGAAAGCCAGTAAGCATACTAATTAGGAACCACAGCAGTGGCCAATTCTTTCGGCGGTAAAATTGGGTCATGGTGCGTGACTTAGTGCTTGTGGCATCGCTCGTGAGAAGCTTTGTGTGCTCAAAATCGTTCAACTTTATAATTTCATTGCAAATCCACCCAGTTGTCAACAACTTTGTGTTCACTTCAGCACGATGCAGCTCAAGTCGCAATTGAATAAGATGGTCGACAATTTTCGCTACCATAACTTCTTCACTTACAAATTTTAACCTTGAAGAAGGTACCAATGTTGGGGTTGAATTAATTTTGACCGTAATATTTTCCTCCATTGGTGTGGGGTCCACAAAGTAATACCAGCCTGTTAATGGATTGATAGCAAATATCGTCAGTTTGTGTGGCAGCAATTGAAGACGAATTTGGTGAGGCGTAACCCACAGCACTGGAGTATCTTCTGATGATGACCTTGAGAAAAGTTCGACCAACGCATCATAAATCAGAAGCATCAACATTTCACTGTGCTTATTGACGATGGTGTTCAAAATTAAATCCACAGAAATGTCCCCAGGGTCCTCGTTATCCTCAGGAACGGCGGAGTCCATTTGAACCATCAGCAGCAGCATCAGATCCAGCCTGGTAATAGCTAAAGGCACAGAGCTATCCTCAGTCTGCTCCTTGAAAAACAATCCCAGGATCCCGTGGTTTTCAATATACTGTCCATCCTTAAACCACCTAAAGTTAAGCATGTAACTGCGATCAACCCCCAATTCGATGAACAGACGCCAATTTCGACTAAGTGTTTGACTGCACCAATAATTAATGATTATGTGAGCGCTACCGTGTTGGTAGTTGAACTGGATGTTACCGCGCCACTTCAGATTGATCAGAAGCTCCCGTAGCTGTTTCGCAATCAAGTACAATTTGAATGAGATCAGATACTTGTGCAACAAATCGTACAACCCAGGAAGACCCAGCAGGTATAATACTTGATTCGCCACTTTTTCGAGGCGCTCTTGCAGCAGGCGAGGAAGATTTGTGACTATTTTGTTATCGTGGTGAGTGATCAACAGTGTTTCTGGGTTAAGGCCAAATAAAAACTTGAAATCGACAAAGTAGAATGGCAGTTGATGGTAATCGGCATCCAGGGTCAACATTTCGTCATTAGCAACCGTTACTGCAACTTGGAATTCGTTAGCTATGGTGAAATATATCCGCCCATCACGGACTTCGTAAGAATTGAGAAATCTTTGAGGAATATTTTCCAAAAGGGCCATTCTGGTCGTCAACACTAAGTTGAGATCACGAAGCACCTGAAGAATCTTCTTCGGCGTCACTTGAGGTGTAGGAATGTAGTTGTACAGTGGGAGCTGCGGTCGTCCTTGTATGAGAACTTCCAAAGCGGTGTCAATGTCCAGATTGGGCAACTTCGCCCCTCCAAACGAGTTTAGCGAGTTCGTTTGAAATGCCAACTGTTCAAAGTGGAAGTCTTGCATGCGGAACCAGTTGAGCAAATCGATCAACATGCTAACATCGTTGGCGTTGGCTGCCCACTTCACCAAAGTATATAGCTTGACGAAATCTTCCCTAATCAGGGTGATCTTTTGCAAAAATCTTAACTTTTGTTCAACGTCTGTTTCCAGATTCTTTGTCAGTGCTAAGGTCTCAATGATGGTTGTTAGCTGATTGTATGCCTCGGTCGTATAGTACTTGAGGACGGTATGCAACAGCACAATATTGTTGGTGATATGAGGGATATCGGGCGGCTCACTAGTCATGCTACCATTGGAATGACCGTTGGTCAAGGCCTGACCATTGGCTACCTCGGTCATGGTGCAACCCAGTGTTCCAAAAATGTGTTCACGCAGCCGGTGCGGTAGATGGTGGAAATTTTGGAACGTTTCGCGAACACTAATGTAGTGCGACTGCCATTACGAAGACGATACAAATTATATTGATACATTTTGAGGTCCAGCTCATGAAACCCGTGCTTGTTTCATTAAGATACTTGTGTTTAGAGTTTATACAAGATATGTTGATGATAAAAAGAGTACCAAACGAGAGAATATAGATCTTTCAACGATAAAGCGATTACGACGCATGACTTATCCACGATATGTGGTACTAAACAAGAACTCACTCTCTGCTTGAAAACACTGGACTCCCCTGACGGCATGTATGAAGCTGAATTGCTCACTTACTCGAATACCTAACCATCCGTCGTTGTCTAAATTCATTAATCATGATTAAATTACAAATGCTAGTTCATAAACCCCTGCGGAATAACTGAAAAGTCAACTAATTGAGATACGTGACACCGCTTTTCTTTCCTGACCAATAACACGTTCACCGCTTTCTGCAAACTCTCAATGATGCGACGAACCTCATTGGACAACTGCTCATCCTCAACCATATCTGTAACATGATTCCAATGCCAATCAATCATAGCAATGCGATGACTAGGGTTATTTTTGGCTTGACGTCGACGAATAACTGATGGAGACACGCCAGCCTTCGCTAACGCTTCCGTGGGCGGCGCATCAAACGGCAAACGGCGTTCTAGTAAAGAGTATAGAACCACACCAACAGACCACAGGTCGGTTAAGCGGCCGTCATACTTCAATCCCATCAAAACTTCAGGTGGTACGTAGTCAGTCAGTCCACATCGCGTCTGAAGCAATTCATTAGAAGAACCCAACCGTTTGGATAACCCAAAATCTGTAAGGTTTATTAAGGCAGTTGTACCAAATCCATGAGAACTCGTTGCTAAGTGGATCATGTCGCCGATCTCATAATTAAGCAAGACGTTCTCGAGCTTGATGTCGCGGTGAACGATATTGTGAGAATGCATGTAGCTTACGGCAGCCATAAGTTCATGCGCAATTCGCTGAAGAATTCTCCAATATACATCAGCATCGGGCAGAGCTAAAGGTGGTGGGTGGGCGATTATAAATTGATATAAGTTCCCACCTTGACAATAGTTCAAGAAAATAAGCTGGTCCCGACACTTGTCAATAGCGTCAAAGTCTGCTTGATTCATTTGTTGATTTGTCGTAGTGAGGTCCACCTGCAGATCGGCTTTAAAAATGGCCGTGTCCACCAAATCTTGAGGGTCAATGCTGAGGCTGGTAGAAAAATCTACCAATTGAACAATACACGGATGGTTCAAATGAGAAAGCACATTAAGCTCTCTGACAAGAAATGATTTAAAGTTTGTGATCTTGTCGCGAATTGGAGGGATTCGAATAATTTTCACAGCCACCATTCTACCTAATCCCAGAACTGCACTGACAACCGTAGAAAAGTTTCCCCGACCTATCTGATGGGTCACGTTATACTCGGTACCCGTCTTGGGCGCGACAAATACTCGCCCCAAGTAATTGGGTGATGAATGAGTCTCTAGCTCCTGTGCTTTGATAGGTGGCAGAGGCAGTTTCATCGACAGCGCCCGGGCAAGACCGGCTACTGGGGGCTGCGATGACACTCTTTTCGAACCCACCAGGTTCAGCCGGTCTAGCAGCAACGCAGGACGATAATCCAGAATCACCCGTGGTGGCAGGGACCCCAGCGGGTTTGCCCTTGGTTTATTGAATACGAGCTCACCGGTGAATGCGAACGACCCGTTGTTCACCACTGGCGTCGGGAGCTCCCGGATACGCTCATATTCCACGGGGTCACAAGGCGGCTGGGGTTGCTGAGGCGATTTTGATGGCAGCGGTACCTCTGCTTGTGGAGAAGGTGGTGTCAGAGGCACCTGAATCCATAGGTCAGGTTTGGGTTCGACTTCCATGAGCAACCAGGTGGGATTACCACACGCGACTCTTCGTGTGGTTGAAAGAGGGAGCTAGTGGTAGCACCCTGCGCGACCCTTCTCAAGGCTTTAGCTTTTGAGCGGCCATATGCAGGATTATTTATGCAATGTTCATGGTACGTCATCCCAAGTTGGCTTACCAAACCCAGAAACGTGGGGCTGAAATGTGACGGAGTGAAGCAATTGCTTATTTCCGTTGCTACCTTGTGTGGGTCCACATAAATTCGAGCTTAGAAAAAGGAATTGCAGGATGTGACGGTCATGTTTTCTTGTTGCATTGAAAAAAAAAGGGTTACATCGTGAGGTTGCCACTTAGGGTCCGGGCGGGCTGTAACGAAGACAACTGTCGGGAGAATTGTGAAAAATGCAGGGTTCCACAATGCCCCTCGAGTTGTGAGGACAATTGAGTTAAAACGTACGCTAATGTGGGTGATGTATCTAGCCCGGGGATACACGGAAGTGGTGCAAAGCTTTTCTCGATGAGGGAGGGCGCTCTTATCTTAAACGCGCGGTCATCGATATTCCCCCACAATACGTCATTGTGCAGGGACCACGTTGGATACTATAGTACTACTGAGGTGCAAATTGTTCAATGCTATGCTCTGATATATTCCAAACACACTACATGAAACCTTCCAAAGCTCGCAAAGCCTTTTCCAAACGCTTAATGCCCACATCATATCTTTGTTCATCGATGACCATATCCAGAGTTAAGCGCAGTAACAGATCAATAATTTTCTCGATAAGTTGTTTCTCCCTGACAGGTAAATTAAGTTTGGCAAACTCCTCTCCAATAATTGTCCCATTGACACTTTCGAGGAGGTTTACAAGAGTCGTGTAGCTGAATGGTTTAAGCTCATTCTTTTTCTTGGACTTCTTACCCCGCGTACTCTTGCGCTGAGGCTTCGGGTTGTGAATGAATACAGGCTCCCCAATGTCGTAGTATTCATCGTCATCATCAGCATCAGCAGCGGCAGTATTCACGGGAGGTTGCGGGGCACGCAGTTGAGGAACTGGGGTTCTACTGGTTACGGGCTTGACACGGGTCTGAGACAGTACTTGCTGTATACGCTCACTGGTTTCACTGGGAATTATGGGCGGAGCAACAAACTCGTCCTTATTCCCACCAGTATCAATCAGGGCATTGTCATCCTCATCCCGGTTGCTCAGACTGAAATCGGTAATCTCCTCAATGCCAAATGAGTCAGTTTTAGAAAATCGTTGCAGTTCATCCCGTGCTCTTTCAACTTGCTCCGCCAGAGGACGTGGTGGTAAAGATCCAGTCAGGGGAACTGACCGGTGCTTGGTTTGCCGACGGTGTTCCAAAGTAGCTTCTGTGTCGGTAGCCAGTCGGCCAAGGTTTACCGATTGGGGGTGAGTTGAAGATGATACCACCTGTGGATGAGTTTTGACAACATTTGCCGGTCTCTGAGGCAGGCGCAACGCTTTCCCACGTCGAGGAGAAGGGGTATCGCTTTCCACCTCGGCACGAGCAGTTGCCATCACTTTGTCAAGATCCTCCGTCATTGTACGTCGGTGACTGGGTGGGGGAGGGCCTCGATCCATGTCGTCCGTGTTGGTACGACGGTGTCCTTTAGTTCGTGTCTGTCCAGCCACGGATGGTGGAGTTGATGAAGCCGGAGGGGCACCTTGCGACCCTTGGAATCGGTCCAACTCATAGGCTAAGTCGCTCAGGTAAGCCTGACTTATCTCTGAGCGAGGTCTTCGGGGCAGTCTGGGTGGGACTGTTCCTCCCAAGTTTGTACTATAACTGTAGTCGGCCTCCCGACTGCTATCATGATTGCCTCTCTGAACGTCCAACGGAGCTGGTCCTGCTACCAGTGACACTTCCAGTCCTGCTATCAGGCCCTGGTCCAGCAAGTTCTTTGGAACCACCACTGATATAGCCATGTCGTCAACCGTGTCGATTTTCCCCAGATACTCGCTATAGTTCAGCACAAACAGGTGTACCTTGCCTGCGGCATATTGTGGAGCAGCAAAGTTGTCGGAGGATTGGTCGGGATTTCGCCTAGGGGAATGGCGATACTGGTGTGGGTCGTCCTCCATTGCTAGCGGAAAAGTTGGTTGATCGAGAGTTAAAAAGGTCGCGCCGCATTTCCCCCCTACCCCTTTGTTATTAATTTCGCCAAATGCGATATATCGTATGCAAAGCGATAGTAGACTGCACCGCGAGGCTAATACCTATGAAGGTGCAAACGTAACACTTCAATATCAGCATTCCTTGTATTTGATCATTTTATGGACTTTGCTAGAGTGCATGTGAGAATCTGCCCTAACATCTTCAAGTTACTGCCGCTCCCTGTGACTCTTGCGTTCGGCTTGATAACTGCAATCAGTTAGCGATAAGTGGACAGGATCCCCCTATTGCAATAGGGGCGAACTGCAATTTGCCAACGAGAGCCGAATGTGACATTTTGACTTTACAGGCCGGTCAAGTGCGGAGCCACTCCACGCTGGCAATGAAGTGACCCGAGAATGATCTGCAAATTACAAATGGCCTATTCAAATCCATCGAATCTCCAACAGGTTGTCAAACTTAACACGATGCATCTATATATGAAGCGCTAACAACGATAGAGGTAAAACAGAATGATTTAGCCTCGAAATATCGCCTCTCTTTTTTATATCAACATGTTTGCATTGAATTTAAGCTGCAGAAACATTGAAGGTGTCCACCTTAGATGGTACTCAAGTATTCCACCATCTTGAAAACAAAAAACAAACAAGATTGTGCGAAGTGAATTAGCAGGTGTTTTACCGTCTCATAACTATAATGATATGTTGCGGTAAGAGGTCTTTATCCAAAATTGTACAAAAATTATTAAATCTAGCAGCTTAAATACGCCTTCGAGTATTTTAGATGTTTATAAAACTATCTAGCTTAATACCATGCAGACTAAAAAGCAAAACTTAACTTTTCCGCAATGACAGGATCACCTTTTGTATTTGTGTAAAGTGCACAAATCAAAAGTTGGGGCGTGTAGCTCAGTTGGTAGAGCGTTCGCTTAGCATGCGAAAGGTCTTGGGTTCGATTCCCAACTCGTCCAAATTTGCTTTTTGGCATTTTAAAGTCAACATCAGTGAAACGAAATTTTTGTTCTTCCTAATTAAACCTAGACATCAATAGATGAGCTTGTTATTTCACCACTAAGGATGGCCCCAAGACTAATAGACTACTGACGTTTGCAAAAGCCAAACAAAGAAACACATCCAGCAACTTTGTATCAAACCTCCATTCCTTGAAGTACTACCAGAAACTAAACCGACAGTACAACAGGCAACTCTTCGATACTCAATGCTGGTATAGTGAAATGGTGGAATTGATAGCATTTCTCAACTATTACGCTCGTAAAGACGAACCCATCGCTGTGAGTAAAATACTCACACATCACGAGGGACACGACGAGATATACATACTTGGTGTTCACATAATTAGAGTTAGCACATTAACTGAAGAGATGGAGTGTGATGTTGAGGGTGTCACATCGTTTGAGCTATCAAAAGATACTTTCCAGCTCTTCGTGATGAATTCTGCGTCAGTCAGCGATATCCAAATTGATTCGATGATGGTGAAGTTTCGACTTTAACATGGAAGAAACTTCGAGTTGGTGGAACCATGCCAAGGCCCCCCAGAGTTGAGCACACTCATATTGAAGCTCATGTTCGATTCTAGCAGCAACGGTAAGGACTCTAATTTTCCATTCGAAGTGTATAAAACTGATGTGGAGCTCGTGCGTTTAAAAATTACCCCAGCGCGTGAGTGTAAACACATGACGATAAACCATGTTCAACGAATTACCATTGGATCTTGATACAGTCTTGGATCTCCTTTTGGATGGTACTCAACTATACGTGGCCTGTCGCAATAATCGTTTATTTGTTTACGATGTTGGTATGCCCACCGCACTACCTGTCGAGATAGTACTTCAATCCATCCCCGTATCACTCGCGACAAGTCCACAGGGATGCTTAGTGGGCTGTAGTGATGGGTCTGTTCGTATAGTGGATTCTGAAAACTTCAAAGCTGATGAAGTCTTGTGCGTTGGTGAAGGGGTGGTTAACTTTGTTCGTTACATGAAAAATGAACAACGTGTCTTAGCTACAACAATTGCTGGAGATATCATTACGTCAAGCATTCGTACCGGCGAAACTCATAAGCTTCGAACTAGTTCAAAAATATTTTGTGCTGACGCCACTGATGAAGTTGTTGTTTTAGGTTTGGCTGGCGCCAGAATTCAAATTTACAATTCATATGATCTTTCCCAACCTCGAGAGACCAAAGAATTGGGCACTATTCACCAAGTTAGAAGCATTCGATGCTTACCAAACTCTTTGGGGTATTCGTTGGCAACACTTGATGGAAGAGTACTGCTCGAGTATTTTCAAGACCCTCTCGCCAATTTTACGTTCAAATGTCATCGAGTCATTGATCGCGCTACCAAAACGGATGAGGTTTTCCTGATAAATGCTCTTGTTTTTGCTGATGATAGTGAAACCCTATACACGGGGGGAGGAGATGGCACTGTTTGTGTTTGGAATTGTCAGAAACGAAAGCGAACGCGCATATACCCACAATTTTCGACCAAAAACAATAGAGCTGTATCGGTAGCGAAGATATTTATTGCTGGGGATGTGTTGGCTGTGGCGGTGTCGGATGATCTGTACATACGGGCAACTGACACTCAGCCATGGGCTCCCCAATATCCTAGTAAAGTTTACACGAGAAATCTACGCGATCTTTGATCAACAGAAATACTTCCATCTAGCAATTAAAAACTTTCGCATAATCATGGAGCATGTATCGTATTACTCTGTTTCCTTCGATCAATTTTCCGCGCTCTATGTCCTTTAGTGGATTTAAGGTCAAAATCAAGAGAAAAATCAATTCATTAGGTTTGAAAACCACCTAGTGCTCACATGAAATTTATCCTGAAATATGGACAATGTAATTGTGAGTGTGATTTTGACGGCATCTTAAGATTGTATAATGTCGGCTCTCATATGGAACAAACAAGTAACTTCGCAAAAGTGTGTTTTCATTTGCCACTCTGTAATCTCATATTGGGAACATTTGAAACAATAAGTGCAATATTTGTTCTGTAAAACTCTGGCGATGTACGTGTGTGCTTATACGTATTGTGCCTAACTTGAATCCTGCCTCACCCGGTGGGAGGGCATCGGAGTTGTGAGCGCGTCAGATGCGTCATCTCATCATAATGGACGCTCGAACAGAGAGGTTCAAGGACTGGCTCAGGTCCTCGACGATTGATGTTAGTCCAAATATTGAGATTGAAAATCTCTCAGAGCAGCACATGGGTCGAGGAGTGGTCGCTATTAAACCTATAGCATCGGGTGAGACGCTTTTCACCATTCCCCGGCCGATGATATTGAATGTGGCCACATCACAATTGGTGATTGACAAACCTGATATTCTTGAGAAGTTGTTGAACTTGGGGCAATGGCCAGCACTTATAATTGTTCTTTTATATGAATTACTGGTTGTGAAGGAGAAGTCATCATGGTGGGATTATCTTCAAGTACTTCCATTTACCGAGAACGAGGTAAAATTAAATCAGCTCATATTTTGGGAACCTGAGGAATTGGAGTTATTGTTACCATCTCTCGTGAATGAAAGGGTGGACCGTGCGTCTAGTGAAAAGATGTATAAAGACGTCAAGCATTTGGTGAAAGAATGGAATCTCGGATTCGAAGTCGACTCTGAATTGTTTCATCGCGTTGCAACTACTATCATGTCATACTCATTTGATGTTGAGCGTCCTGATGCTGATGATGAATCTCTAGAGCTGGATTCGATGCCAGAGATTCAAGCTGATGGATACTACAAATCATTAGTTCCGCTAGCTGATACTTTAAATGCGGATACTGAATTCCACAATGCCCATTTAGAGTACAATGAGGGAACTCTCGTAATGAAAGCTACTAAAGATATTGAGGTGGGGGAGCAGATTTTCAACACATACGCCGAGCACTCTAACTCTGAGTTGTTAAGACGCTATGGATACGTTCAAGTTCATGGCTCCCAGTATGATTTTGGAGAAGTTCCATTCACTAAAGTATACGATCAATTCAAAGACCATGTCGATTTTGAAGTCATCAAAGAAGCCTTATCTTTAATTGCTGATGAGGACGATGATGATGAGGACAATCAGGGTATTTGTCACGAAAGCTACGATTGTTTTGCCACAGGTGAAGTTGAGATTGAATTAATTTTGCTTGTTCAAGTGCTCTCGATTGCAGCGCAAATTGAAAACGTCGATATCGCCATGGTTAAAAGAATTTATCACAAATGTTACCAATTAGTTGAGCTGAAGCGAGTCACCAAAAAAATGGCAGAAAATTTCTCGAACATAATTGCGAGTCGTCTTTCAGATTACGAAAATGTCGTGGAGAATCCTGAAATCGCTATCACTCGCAAACAAATGGCCGAAATTGTTAAAATTGGAGAGAAGCGTGCCCTTGTTGCAGCTTCAAACCCTGCAAATTCCCTTATTCTTCAAGGGGATCCTCTCAGCAGCATTGATGATGCCAAGCTTATCCGCAACATTACGAAGAAACGCATGAATGATGGAACAGAGTCCGCCACTAAAAGACTCAAGTAGATGTTAGAATATATACCGATAATTAGATAATACTTTGTATAATAACTACAGTTGAGACTCCTCGCGCACCAAATCTAAGGTTTTTATGACCAAAGGACGGGGCCGCAGCACCTGAAATCCTTTGACATTAGAGGCATGAGTCTTTTGGCGTCGATGAATTAGGGAACCTGCCCGTTTCAACATGGTTTGTGGGTTTGTGGGTTTGCTGCAGTTCTCGTTAGCTTCAAATCGAGCATCCCAGAGTGCTTGAACTTCGAAATCTATAATAGAGTCAACCAGGTATTTCTCGTAAACGCGGTCACCCTCACGTATCCTGTAATCTTGAGATTGCTTACGCATATTGGAAAACCGTTGAAGTTTGGCAAACGATAAATGTTCGTTAAGAGTGTCTTCCAGAGGCAGCGTGCTTTTGCGTATTTCCACAACTTGTGGCCAACTTTTAGTACCTCGAAAATAAGATTCGTCATTCAAGTCAACTTCGTCGTCTTCAATCTCTGTCGTCAGAGATTCGGCCATAGCTGAAAGCTCACTCGAAAGTTTGCTTACTCTACGCCAATGGGCATATGCTGACAGTGGTCGTGACAGTCGTGCTGATGGTCTCCCAATCGAAGACTCTGCTGCCGATTTCAATTTTATGTTGCTCTCGACAACTGGCTGATAAACGTACTCTTTCAGTAAATCACCCTCCTTGAAGCTCACAACTTCATCATCATCTAACTTTCGAGATTCAATGATGGACACAATTGTAGTACCAAGACACCACATGAGATTTAAAATGAAGCAAATTGCAACAACCATGTGAATCAAAAGTTGAGCATAAGCCACACAAGTCCGATTTGCTTCGCTGATATCCAATTCCTTGATGAAAGCTATATTCAACACGGTCACCAAAAACCGCGCTACAGGTAACATCCACCTGGTGGAGTACCACATTATCGGTGCGTAGTAGGGACGGATTGCAAACAATGCGCATAAATCAATTACCTCCAAGACAACGAGCACAATCACCTGTATCTTACCATTATTTTGGACAGCTCCAATGATGCACAGCTTGATGACGACAAGTCCAATTTCAATCGCAACAAAGTAAACTGTGTCCGGACGATAATGATGATAGTAGAATGCCCAAAGCAAGATCAGTCTTAACAGCATATAGAGCCTTTGCATGCGATCATTTATGACTAGTCGCCAACGCTTGACAGTGATTAAGTAGCGAAATATAAACCAACAAGTAGTCATGATCCATGCCACAAAAAGAATCGAAGCTAATATTATAATGACCTCCGTTCCATTGTGAGAAGAGTTTCGCGATGTGTTGTTTGAATGGCGTCTGGAATCACTTCTGCATGATCCAATATCAACATCTGGCAATAGTGTACCATTGGGATAACGTGGCAATTCACTGCAGAGCATTGGATTCAAAAGATTGTACGATCCATTGCTAGCAAACGCCTGCTCGTAAATTTGGTCCATACTGGGCAACAAGAAGTTGTGTGGTCGATTACTCTGACCCCAAAGATAGAACAAATAGGTGGTGAGGGTTAGAAATGGAACACCAAACAAAGCCAATACGGAATGGAAGAACTGTCCCACCAAAAAGTATAAATTCTTTTTCAAAGTGAAATGATAGCCCTGCTCCACATCATGTAGCACCAGTAACAGTTTGGGGTGAAACCTGTGAAAAGTTTTGTCAATCAAATACTTAAGGCCCAAAAATGACTCCTCGACAACCACCGTGATTGCTACCCAAATAGCAAGAATTATCATGAAATTAGGCCAAATATCAAATGACAGCAACCCCCACAGAAAGGACGTGAGCGAGCCCAAACCCCCCGCGTTGTAAGTGATGTATACGTTATCGGATTTGAGTTCACGATTCGTTGGAACAATCTCACCGCCATGACCGTGAGTATTGTGACGCAGGTGGTATAGTCTGGCATCTATTAAAGCACACCAGCGAATCTGCGAAATGAAAGGTTGAAAAAATCCTGGATATCTTAGATCCAATCCTCCCAAAAACAAAGCAAACTGAAGGTACACGATTATTCTTGTGCTGTCAGCATCCAACTGCTTGAGTAGTCTCAGATTACAAATGGTGGATGCACGATATAAGAAAGGATTCAGTGACTCTTGATAGCTCGAGTTCACGATTGTGAAGATATTGACCAATCCAGTGATCACGAGTAATGCGATGGTACCATATAATATTAGGTCACTGATTGCTTTGGGTTGAATGGGTGTCACATAAATTCGCAGGCATCCAATTATGCCATTATTGGGAAAATTAGGAGCAATGACGTAAAATTTGACCTGGTATGACCCCAACTTGTGACGCAGCTCACCAATATCAATGTCGTAATAAAAGAATATTGAATCTCCAGGATATACAGGACATTGCACAATATCACCAGTGATATTGTGGAAATAATCCGGAAGTGACACGTTGCGGTCTAATAAGTTTGTAGGAAATTTGTCACCCAAACCATATGTAGCTGGTGGCGGTGGTGACAGCGGTGGCAATTGTGCGTCCCGCTCTGATTCATCCCGAAACGCCAGTCGCTTGGAATTTGCCAGAATTGATGCATTAGAAGCCGGTACAGGAAGCTCAATATGAGGTATATACCCTGGTAGTCTTGGGTCAGTTGTGACATCGGTAGTATTTTTCACTGCCAACAAATCACAAAATCGTTCGGTCTTATTGAAGAAGGTTTTTCCCATAAAGTCTACCTCGATAAATAAAGTCGTGTAGGTATTGGTTTGATAATCCACATCAGTGAACAACAGTCCATCGGGACGCAACAAGCCGGGGTTGGTATAAGGATTTGCCCTGGTATTGATGAGGAACTTCATTCTTTGGAGGTCATCGTCAATGGCCACATTGATGACAAATTTGTCTAGTATCTGCTGTTCACCTCGAGGGAAGCACGGCTGAGTCTGCACAAATGCAGCCACAGCGATCCCCAAGGCGAACAACATCGATAGTAGAAACATCAATGGCTACTGTGGTTCGTAAGACGCCACGGTAACCGGGTATCGTAGAGGGCTATGACTCTTAGAATTAGGCGTGTTAGCCTCAAGGTGCAGTTTGCATATAATAACTAGGGAAGGCGCAGTAGGACGTGTGGACTTTTAAGAGCGCAATGGTTATCTAAGACAAGCCATGTTGAAGTATTGTCAACAATTGTGTTTTACTGTGACATTGAAGGAGCAATAATCCAAAAAGTTCCTTAATCTTTTAAAGTTTCGATTAGAACTCGTTGCATTTCTTGTTTGATCGGTTTTAATACCGGATGTAGAGGTTCTCAAGCAGATCGAGCGATTTTTAGGTAGCAGAGTACATCGTGAGGAAGGAGAGCTTCCTCGGCCTAAACTTGGCATTTGGTTGGACAAAACTCCCATATATCGTTGAACCAGAAAACCAGAGACAATGAATAGAAAGGCTTTGTGGAACTATAATGTGAGCCAAATCTAAGTAACCTTCCTGGTTTAGATATTTTGAGTCTCTGTGAACGATGTTAGAGTAAAACACGTAAATGTGCAATTGTGAGCCCACGTGAGTGCCGTCTTATATGCAGACAAATGTGAATCAAAATTCGAAGGTCCCAGGAAAACATCGATATCAGGGGACTGGAATGAAAATTGCCAAAATCCGTAGCATCATATAACTCCTCAATGCTTGTCCTGTAGATACCGATGAAGGCACTACTACAGATAACATCATATCATTGTGCTCATCTCGCGTAAAATTTTTCACTGCGTTTTCGTAGGTAAAATTTGGTCGCAGGAAATTTTCATTCTAAATCATCATCATGTCCAAGCCTACCTTGTTCATCCTTGAACAATCGCCCAAGTCCCAATTCCTTGTGGCTCTTGCCCAATACTTCGAGTTGGACATTGAAGTCAGCACTGACCTTCAGAACCCTCTCTTCACCAAGTCGTTCCCTTTGGGTTTGACTCCCGCTTTCATCGGTGAGAAGGGCTACAAGTTGACTGAACTCCACGCTATCTACCAATACTTTGTGTCTTTGATCTCTCAAGACGTTTCCAGCTTGTTGGGTAAGAACGCTAAGGAAGCTGCTCAAGTGACCCGCGTGTTCTCCCTTGCTAACGACGATGTTGTGTACTCCGGTTTCCCCGCCGTGTTCATGATCACTGGCAAGGCGCCTTACAACAAGAAGCTTGTGGACGAAAAGTTGGCCAAGTTGAACAAGATTGCCGATGTTCTCGAAGCTCGTTTAACTACCCACACCTTCCTTGCCACTGAACGTATTACCTTCGGTGACATCTCGATGGCCTTCTGCTTCGCTCCTTTCTTGGCCACCGTGTTGGCTCAACCTTTCGTGAAGTCGCACCCCAACTTCCACAGATGGTTCAAGACTGTCACTGCCCACCCCATTTTCGGTGGTAAGATGGACAAGTTTGAAATCCCTGCCCAACCGTTGGCCTACCAACCCCCTAAGAAGGAAAAGAAGGAAGCTGCCCCCAAGGCTGCCGCTGCTCCTAAGGCTGCTCCTAAGGAAGCCGCTCCCGCTGCTGAAGAAGCTCCCAAGAAGCCTAAGCACCCTCTTGAAGCTTTGGGTAAGGCTTCTGCTCCCTTGGACGAATGGAAGAGAACCTACTCCAACGAGGAAACCAGAGAAGTGGCCATCCCCTGGTTCTGGAAGAACCAATGGAACCCTGAAGAATGGTCGTTGTGGAAGGTTGACTACAAGTACAACGACGAGTTGACTTTGACCTTCATGTCGAACAACTTGGTTGGCGGTTTCTTCAACCGTTTGTCGGCTTCGACTAAGTACATGTTCGGTTGCATGGTTGTCTACGGTGAAAACAACAACAACGGTATCACCGGTGCCTTCTTGGTCAGAGGTAAGGACTACGCCCCCGCTTTTGACGTTGCTCCTGACTGGGAATCTTACTCGTACTCCCCCTTGGACCCTTCGAAGGAAGAAGACAAGGCCTTCATCGACAACATGTTCGCTTGGGACCAACCCGTCATTGTCAACGGTGAAAAGAGAGAAATTGCCGATGGTAAGGTGTTGAAGTAAATAGTTTAGTGTCCAGTGGCAATAAATACTCATAGTGTTTAAGATTAATCATGCGTAATATTTTTGTATGTACAGGATGCTTTAGCTCATTAATCGTTAACCTTACCTCTCAACTTAGGGTACAACCGTTGAGCGTGATAGTTGATCGACGATAATCTCTCCGGTTGGGGCTTGAAGGTTTCCATACAAGACTTCAAATCATTTTCCAAAGCCTTGCACAGGGACGAACCTTCTCCGTTAGACGCCCAACAATTCAACAAATTCAGCATAAGTACGTAACATTGGTTCGTGGTCTTCGCAACGGTTGGCTTACGAAGTTTCAACCGAGGCAACGGTGGTAAACTTTTAGGAGGAGGTCCAACCTTCTTGTATGCCATCTCGGAACCGTGGTGGTGGTGAAAAGTTTTTGGATGGACTTATGCGCACGCGCGCTACCATCAAAGTGAATTTGAACGGACCATGTATGTTATAAATTATAAATAGATTTAAATCGTTAAAATTGCGCTGGCGCTATTCGTAATATGGAGTATGGGCTAGCCAAAGTTATTCAACGTAATTTTCGAAATTTCCCCAATTGCATTTCACACCTACTCGGCGCACTGGACGGAACTCCCGATCAAGCTTCCAGCGATTCAACCAGTGGAGGCGCTTGAAGTGTGGGTTGCTATTTTGATAGGGTTCAAACATCAAAGCGTCTATGTCACAAGGTATTTTGATAGGCTTAAAGTGATGCATCAACTTGTATTTGATGACATTATTGATGTTCTGAACCAACTTTTGCAAGAACTTTTCAATAGCTTTATCATCCAAGTACTTTATTCTGGTCAAGATGTCAACTTGGTCTTCGACATTTATCAAAAACAATTTGACTAAGTGGGCCTTCAATTGTCGACGATGCTTTACGGATCGCATGATATTGGCAAAGTTGGGCACGAGATTAAACTCTTTTTCGACATTCCGGTACTCATACATGGAATCTGTATTGCGCAGGCGCGATTCACAGAGTTTCCATTGATTTGTTTTGAGGTCCTTAAACAGAAATTCAACATGGCGTGTCAGTGGAGAGCCAGCCTTAAGCACACCAGATATCTCGTTTACTAGCATCTTGCGCATCAACAATATCTCATTTTCAATGCGCACGGATATGTCAGGGTTTTGAGGAAGCTGATGATATCTAGTAATATCGGGAATTACAATCAGATTCGGTGGCATATCCACGTGTTTTCGATAGCCGTCCATTTTGTTCCGATAGTGCTTTGTAATCTTTTTTGGGTCGACCAAAACGGAATGTTCTGGGTCAATAAAATCAAGATCTCTCTTATGCAAAGAAACTTTGGTACTGAACCATGGAAGGTCTTCAACGAACTCTTGGGGTAAGCATTTTTCGATGGGCTCCTTACGAAGTGGAAGACCCAGAAACAGGCGATCAAAACCAACAACATTGTAGGGAAGATTGAATAAGTTTTCAAGATACAAATAAGCACCTGGAGCAAGACTCAACGAATCGATTTCCATTCGACGTAAAAGTTTGAACTTTTTATCTATGCCGTTGAACCCCTGTATAAGTGTTTGCACCGGATCGTCATAGTCATTCAAATAACGCTTGTAGTACTTTAAATGAACCAGTTTATCATTGTCCAACTCTGAGAGTTTTTTGTAAATCTCGTCGACTTGTTCCATTTGTTTTGAGTCTTGCAAGTTTATTTCGTCAGGAAGATTGGCAATGATAGATTTGCGGTCAAGGAAATGATCGGATGGCACGGAGAAGAGTTGTCTACCTTGATCGCAATTCTGTTGTATGATAAGGTCATCTTCGGACATATGGGAGATGATGTCGTAGTAATATGAAAGGATATTCTGATGATGCAGCGGGGGTTGGCGTATAGTTGCCACTGGTTTCAGTCGACTTGAAGGTTCCTCTATCTCGCGAGCGTGACCTTGGTCTTCGTCATGGTTGATTTGGCCCTTCTGAAGCTGCATTCCCAACTTCTTTAGCATTTGCTTCAGTTTCTCATCTTTATAAACCACCCTCAGCCCATGAAGGAACCGACGAGATAGTAGCATTCGACCGGCCATGGTGGAGTGTACCTGACAACTTGATCACCAGTAGAAAAAAGGAGTGGGGGTGCACGTGAGCGCGACAAGCCGAGTCGGAATCATTCCTAGTAGCACCATTAGTATCGCAAGAGCAATATCCAAGTGCGAGAACAGCGGTAAGCGAGTGGGCGTAGTCACCAGTTTTCACTCAGGCGCCCATTGTTGATTGTTCAGTTTTGTTGCATCGAGGATGCACATGTGTTTGGTTGAGCTATTCCAAACACAGAAGAAATTGTCGAGAAAAAAGAAACGACAATGTGGCTCGAGTTGTAACGGTGAAGGTAGCGCCCAGTATCGTTAGTCGAGCAGTGTAATCGTTTTGTTTTGGTGATGTAATTCAAATTCTGCTTCACCCGCAGTTCCGGGCTATTATGAAATATGCAGGTGCCAATGCATTCTGCGAGTCTAGACCTTCCGTTGCTGAAATCTAATGTACATTTCAAAATCCCATCCCATAATAAACGCTAACCAAGAAATAAAATATAGATGCTAAGAGTCTAGTCATTGTAGCTAGTTTTCAAGCTGTTCAACAACTGCTGAAGTTGATGCTCCTCCTTCAATGCTGTTATTTCAATGAGGGGATCGACATCCACCTCGATCAGCAGTACCAGAGACACCAGACCATGTCTGTAAATGCCAGTCGGCAGGGACATGGGTGAAGGCGACCGCAGCAGCAGTACCAGCAGGGGCGACAGCAAGTCGTAACAATCGTCTTGAGCGACTGATAAGTGCACGCGGATTGGAGCTAAGAACAGCTCGAGTTCCACAATCAATTGTTCTGACGACACGCGCAAGTCCCAGTTTAATAAACAGTAGAGCTGACGTTCCATCAAGTTAACGTCGGCAGAGGAGAAAAGGCCGTCGGTGTAGTGAGCCCAGTGACAGTTTTTGGGCAGGGAATCGTTATGAAACTTCGAGGCCACAATGATGCACAGGAGTAAGATGCGATGACGAGTGCACGGTAAACCCTGTGCATTGGCTGGAAGACGAGCTTTGAGTCGCTGCAAATACACAAGAGTCGTCATTAAGGTACCGGTGTAGATGTTGGTATATTTCACCAAACGGGTCAAAAAGGTCATCAACAGGGGCAACGGTTGGCCGTCGGGTTGTACCGATTTAGTGTTCTTGCAAGGTAAAATTTGGAGGGTAGCCACGACGAGTTTGTGAACCATGTCTCTATTGACTGGTTGTTGCAAAAACAACTCAAGAGCTTGGTGGTCGACGGACATGTGTAAGGAATCGAAAGGATGGACTAGGGTGAGCGATAGCTGAGAAGATCGAGGAACAAATCGACGGGTTTTAAGTAATTCTCCAGTTGACAACGCGTTGGAGTATTACGCCTACAATGCGCGCGCCTCAAAATCTACAAGGGGTTGAATGCGCGAGTAAATTGATTGCATGCGTGTACGCCCTCCTCTGATTGTTATTTACAAATCTGTAACCTGCAAACACCGTGTTTTTCGCCCTATACGGCGGCGCTCGCTTTCCGCACTGAGCGGTTATTATTTAAGGCTGTGCATCACATTTGGGTACTGGGCGATGATGCGTTAAGGTATCCTAGCTGAGCCTTAATGACGCCCGCTTTCTGTAAGGAAAGCACACTTACATGCTGCTGGCGAAGCCCACATGTCGCTGATTGGAGGAGACCAATCCCCCTTTTACCATTCACCAAATATTTGAGTAAATAACGATATTGGACTTGGTAACGAACCTTTGAAAAAAAAAAAAGGAAAAAGCAACGCGTGGACCTAATCGGAACGGTCCTACAATAAAAAAAGAACTTCAGGGGCAACGATGGGGCAATATCGTAGATCTGATTTTTCCTGTCTAGGAGTAATCAAGGAGGTGGCGTAAGACTAGTTGGGAGTAATTGGTGATACATGTACTTTGAATCACGTTAAGGAGTTAGCGACAAGAAGTTATTCCCACGAACCCGAAGACCAATCATAACGGTTAGGCGATTATTCCTCTTCGAGTTGTGTGAAAAATTTTACCTTTTACATGGCGAATGCTGGAGGCAAACCAATCGACTGGTCTCCATAATGACACATCGTCTGATAAATAATGACAGAGCATTTGACGTAGTCTAAGAACTCGCTTTCGCTTTGAAACTGGGGAAAGAGCTACAATATTTCAGCGAGTTTTGGATCTAAAATGCCATCGACGTCACTTTACATGACACTTCATTAGCCACCCTCGTCGATTGAATTTTTCAAATTGAAATGCAATGTTGACGCTGAGATTTGGCTTACAAAGTGATGAAGTGTAAAGCACCCGAGGCACTCGTTGGTAAAGGCTGTTGGTATGTTCTGTATGGTTAGTATCAGTCAACAATTTGGGTATAACTATGGTCGATCATGTAATGAGTACTCTGACTGGTGCACAGCTTTTTGTCATCATCCTGATTACTTACATTTCCAAGAGTTGAATATTGTATAAATGAAACGCGATGAGTCTGAAATATTTATAGCGAATTGCTAGTATGCAGTCTCGAAATTTAGGTTACCCGGATAGTGCGAATTGATACCCTAAACCCTAGTTATGTGAGACAATGAGGTCTGAAAAACAAGCAATTGAATTCCTAAATGGTATTGTTACATATGCTATTAAAATTAATTTGTTAGTTCACACTAACCCGAAAGGTCCACTTAGGTTGTCAGCGTATGGAAGATCACCAGGTTCAGGAACGTCAAGACTGACTCCATAAAGGCCGTCTTGCTTGATCTGAAGCATTTGCAACCACATTTGATCAATGGAAGCATCATTTTGAAGGTTAAGCTCTTCCAAGTCAGATTGGTCAAATTGCGACGAGCCAGCGCCCATACTATGTGGTGTGGAATTAGACGGTTTTTCTTGAATATTGTCTGGTTCCAATTCATCGGCAAGATTCACAGGATGCTTTTTCTGCACCAAATAATCAAGGGCATTTTCACATATCAAGGTCAATTCCTTGACCTGGTCTGCATTGTAGTGTAAATTCGATCGCTCAGGACCGTTAGATTTACAATATGCATGAAAATCGTCGCTACGACAGATCTTCAAAATGTGAGAATGACTCTTGGAGAATTTCCATGCAGCGTAATACCGTTGAGATACTCGCAGCATTGTGGCAATAAAGAATCGTACAATTTTCGTGACGGCACGACATAAACGATGTAGCAGGTCTACCTGAACCGCGAAAGCACGATCAAGTTTCATTTTTTCCGCAAATCGTTGATCTTGTTTTAGTTGCCACAATTGATTTGATGCTCTCGTAACAATGGAGAAAGTCATATTTGTGATCAGATGACAAACGTACACCAAAGTCCCGAGAATAAACAGATCAGCCTTTTCACCAAAACATTCCTCACTCCCAAAAAGAAGTACGTGAATTTGTGGAATAAAATGATAGCAAAAGATGGCAAGCATCTTCATTTGATAGAAGTACATGTGATCGTAAAACCCATGCTTCTCATTGATATTCATAACGAAAAACATGACCTTGCACAAACTGATTCTGGCTATGAGGGATGTTCGACAAAAAAGCACCTTGTAACAAGGGAACACAAACTTGGATTTGTCAAATGGTTTCAAGAATTCATTCACGTCTCCATAGAAGCTGATTAACTCATGTTCAAGGCGGGACAAATCAGCTAACACCTTTGATTGTTTTGGCAGTTATCGCATATTCGTAACTTCCTCGTGAAACCTCACAAAATCTTGATAGATTTTCTGAAGCTGATTATATGGATTGGCGATATCCTTCTCAAGCCACTCGAGGCGACTATTGCCAGCTCCCGCAGTGTAGAAAGGCATTCTAACATCGTATTGATCAACGAACACATTGCGAGGCACCCCAAGCTGAATCGATAACTCCATATCCATACCAATAAGCACAAACCATAGTTTCCTCGCCAAATGAGCTTTTCTCAAGTCACTTCGTGTTTCTGTACTATTTGTGGGCTCTCGATTCAAGCCAACCAGAATTGCCATTCGAATTAAAGTAGCGTCCATAACCATCTGGCTATTGCCATTTTCCATCAATAAATCGGGACTGTACAACTGAAGAAATCGAATAAGAATTCCTAGTTGGACTACTTCCACACAATCAACATTAATTCTATCGAATTGTTCGAAGCACAATTGAGCCATGTCAGATACCTCAATAGGCACAGGATTGTTCATCAAATAAGACACATCTGTGTCTTCTGTAAGCAGTTCCATCACCGGGTCATTCAATTGATTAAGCATTGTTTCATTTTCTTTGATCTGATTGGAAAACAACAGAATATACGTTGCACGAAGTAAAATGAGGAAGATTCCAATGGACGCAAAATCTGACCATTGCTTCACAGCTACGGACACAGGCGCATCGCTATCCATACTTTGCGGTCCTATGATACGCTCAACATCCTCATAGAGTTGCCATTCATCGATGAAAGGCATGTAAGGGTAAACCCTATCAAAAAACCGACGAATATACATCCATATAGCCTTTCGATTCGGTAAAAGCATGCTGATTTTTTCGGCAAGTTGCAACTTTGGGTCAATCACGCCTTCATACACTGTGAGTCCAAGCAGAAGAGTGTGCTTATTTACTTGTCGCTTCAACTCCCTGAGTTCATTATCTGGACGCTCAACCTTATTGGTGTAAAGTTCTGTAAATGCCTGGATTTCTTGTTCTGATCGCATGGGGATGCCCTGAATGGGGTTTTTGCTGGCATCAACACAATCTTTAATATACAGAGTGACCATGTTTAAGCAGGAGTCTGATCGAACCATTCCAACCCAGGTGTAAATCTGATAATTAATTATGCGGGATCCCATACGCCAAATGGGATCGACTCCTTGGTGGATGTTGAGCACATCCAATGGGGAGCAAGGATTTACTCCTATGAATTCAGGGTTGGCATCAGGATGATAATGGGGAAGATCCATCATTGCCCCAGGAGGGAATGAATGCTCGATATACTGGTTTGAGGAGTTATGTGCATCCCATGGTCCACCTGGTTGGGATGTCTTCAATGCGATATGGTCCGGTGGTGTCGCCCCTGGGTGCAACGGAGGTGGTGGTGGAAGATGCTTTACATTGGACTGAACGTTGAAGCTTGGTGGAAAACTCGTTGGTGCATTCACAGACTTGCCATTGAATGGAGGCGCCATCGGAGCTTGTAGCAGTTGCATATCTTGGTAAGGATGGCTCTCCCCACCATTAACAACAGGTGTAGCATAGTGGTTGATTTGCTGGTTAGTTTGGTTAGGAGAGCTTCCCTGGCCATGACTGCGCTGTGATGTTGGCGAAAATTCGGAAGATCGCTGGCCTGACCCAAGTGTTGCCTCTATCTCGCTGATTTTTGACCTTAGTTGTATCAACTCCAGTAATACCTCCGCTTGGCCACCGTTTTCATATCCTGTTGTGGTCCCATAAGGTTGCATTGGTGGCATTGTCGGATTTGGAGGTATCGAAGGACCATTAGCAGGAAATACGGAAGTTGGTACTTGCAGGCTAGGTATTGGCGGTGGCATCAAATGTTGTGGAGGTTGCTGGGGTCCGCCGTTGATTATATTAGTCTGTGACTCTCTTGAGTGCAGAGGTTGCTGAGAAGGGTTTGGGGGTATAGTGCTCTGATGTGGTGGCAGTGTCTGTAGTGCTGGTCCCGGCTGAGGTATATCATGTTGTGCAGGGGGTGGTAAGGATTTCGCATTTGAGGGCTGTCGCTGTTGTGAAGGTTGTTGCCGTAGTGGTTCATTCTGTTTAGTTGTCTCCAGGGTCGCTGGTGGTTCATCCGAAAACGTTTGGAATCTTTGCACATTGAACTCGCCTGTCTGGATGGGGAGCAGTAGAACGGGATCTGTCCATGTTGGGTCCGTGTAAGCGCAAAGGGGAGCCACGTTGTATTTGATACACAGTGAGCACGGTCGACCCCGATCACATTTGACTTTGCGGCGCTTGCAATAGTTACACAGTAACAGCATGCGGTTCCGTTTCCTGGGAGATTCCATGGTGGTAGGTGGGGTATGGAACTTCGAAGTCAGGGAAATGGCAGGCGTTTGTTTTTCCTTTTGGGCGTATAGTTTGAGGGCGACTTATGAGTTTAACGAACGATACGCACTCACCGCAGGGTATCAAGACGATGGGATATCAGAAACGATCGGGAAATTCCCCAAAATTGGCAATACTAAAGGATAACGGTACCGTAGGATTAACAAGCGAGAATAATTGAAGGAGTAGAGAGAGTTGCCTGTGAAGTTATCGGCTTAGCTGCGTTTTGAATTGAGCCTTGACTAGCATGTACGCCTCTTTCGATCATCAAAAATCACAATACGCTATTAGATGGGGCCTAGAGATGACACTGAGAGAGACTTCATAAAAACGACACCGACCAATTCTTAGGATAATCCTGTGACTCGAAAGACTATCTTGTTTATTCGACCTTTATTGGTCAAGAACATCTTAGCCGCAGATGAATTTCAGATGATGTCAGCCTAACGCACGCAAGCGCGAACTACCATTGCTTTCATTGCAAACCTGATCAATCTCTTTCATCATGCTTCATAATATTCGAAAGATTTCACATCGGGTGATTCGTGAAAGGCGTGCTTCTAAGGAGAGTCTTATTTAATTACCATTACACTCTATTTCATCTACCGCGTTCGAAAGCGCAATTCTTGATGAGGAAATACATGACCTACGCGCATATTCGGTACATTTCCTAAAAAAATCGTTGGTGCATCGATTAGCGATCAGAGTTTAAGATTTGACTGGACAGAACGCGAAGTGGAAGCTTTTGTGAAACATTCAAAGATTGTCTTTATATCTCTTGGTCTTTCGCTACTGTCTCATACTGTTACCGAGGTCATGTGAGATGTGGAATACATACAACCATAAGGATGCAGAAATTAAGGCATGGGTATGGTTCGAAGCAAGGAAAATAATAAGCCTCGTTTTGCATCACATGTATCTTTAATTTTGAAATCTGAGAAATTTTGCGAAAATACTATCAAAGTTGAATATTATCTGTTTACAAGAATTTAATGTTCCCCAGGTTACCGCAATTGTCATTGTCAAAAGTGTAAACAAAGGATCACGCGGGTCATTGCTGAATGCCTAGAAATCAAAATCGCTATCGTCTTGTTGATCAGCGTCATCCACCTTCTCCTTGACAAAAACGGGAATACTGACGCTATCCGATGTTTTTACAAAAATACTTTCAATGCTATTAGCTTCGGCAAGCCCACCAACAGGACGAAACTTTTGATTGGTCAAATAGTCGATAATTGCCCGAATGTTGGCTATAATGTGATCAGCTGGCATGTTCGAGTGGCCTGCTTTCACCACCATACAATTGCCTTGGGCGGGTGGTATGAAGTACGTGTTCTCGGCGATAAGCTTGATCTGGTGTCGAACATACTTCGGTTCACATCGCAGATCTTTGAACTTGTTGGTTTTATCCTTTGTAAGAGCAGCCGTTGGCAGGGGCCGGGCCATTTGAATCTTGAAAGGAATTTTCTTGTTTTTGACGTAGAAAACTTCACCTAGCACCAGAGGAAGAAATTTGTGGATCCGGAAATCAGCAACCACGATGTCGTACTCTTTAAATAGCTTCACCAAGTTGCTATGTCTTTTGGCTTCACTGCGAAGACGTTTGAAAGAATAAATGGCGTTGAAAACATCTTCTGTAGGTTGCCCTCGATCATTTAGATGGGCATAGGGTGTGCTGGGGTCCTTGGTTATTAACAATATAGATCGGTCTTCAAGTTTGGCGATAGCGTGAGGAACAGCTATGATTCTTGGGGTATAATCTTTGCTAGGCAATAGCGGGCTGACAAGATTGAAGACCACATAGATAGGTGTGTTTCCAGGGAATTTCTTCTTCAATGCTTTGATCCCTGTTATCCCCTTAGTTTCCAAGGATGGGTCAAATATCGACATTTCGTGGTCAAGCGCGATGAGCTTCGTGTGCGGCGTTCAAGTATTCGCGTCTTGGCCATGTCTACGATGTGCGAGTGCTGTAAATTAAGCTACGCTTTCAATACAAAAATTTCCTGTTCTATTAATACCCGATAAGCTCTCTCATTAATCTCCACGTAAAGCCCTAACAACTGCAGGCCGACGCATCATGTGCTTCGTCCATTTGTAGACCTCTGGGAACTCAGTCTTAAGATTTATCCCAATCCGATCAACGACGTTGTTCCATGGGACGAACGACAAATCGGCAACAGTTGCCAGATCGCCCACAAGCCACACGGGATAGTCAAAGTACCTGCTTTGGCTTAACGGCGTTGTCCCCGCCAGGTATGCTGCAGCATTTTCCACATCCATTTCCATGATTAAGGCTTCTCGGCGTTCCGCAAGAGCCATTTCAATCACGCCATACACCCTACGTACTTCGTCGGTGTACCGCTCCACCGCCAGCGGCACACTACAAGAGTGGAAGTAGCGGAAATGAAGTGCTTGGCCAATCATAGGCGCATGTCCCAGAGTTTGGAAAAACAACCACAGAGAAATTTGAGTTTGCTCATTGAGGTTACTGCTCCAAAGAGGGCATTCGCCATTCTCTTTCAAATATTTTTGAACAAGGTACAAGATAATTGCTCCGGACTCCCAGATAGCGGTGTTATCATTATAATGGTCAATAAGAGCCGGCACCCGAGCATTTGGGTTGATCGTAACAAATTCTGGTGCCCGCTGCTCACCGTGATTAAAATCAAGGAAAATAGTATTGAATTGCAATCCCAACTCACTCAATATTATCGCGACTTTGAATCCGTTGGGAGCTGAGCGATGCGAGAATAGGGTGTAACCCTCGGTAGGTTGATTGAGAAAGAACCTGGTAATTCGCAGTTGTTGCCCTCCGGTGGCCTCCAGCTGGATTTGTTGCTGCAACAAATTGAGGTTGGGGTTATCATCCTTTGAGAGATGGACACTTTTGAGCCCAGCGCTAAGATTCAGAATGGTGTTGTTTGACACACTCATAGCTCCCAGTAATTTGTTAAGAAAGTTTGTTTGCACAGTTTTCAGTCAGAGTCTCCAGGAATTTGGTTCGAAACAGTACTAACAAGCCCCTCTTTGGTTTTCGATTAGGACAAAAGAATTTGATTGAAGGTTTTTCGCACTTTCAAGTAGTGGCGGCAAGCGGGGATTTACAATTTAAAAAGCGATTAAAAAAATTCTATGGTGGATATCAACCAAAGTGCCCGTTTATAAAGTTCCCCAAATGTTCGGTAGCCCTATTAGATAGTTGTGGCCTACGTCTAGAGTGCTGGCCACTGTTTTTGTCGATCGGGAAACGCTCTCCGCTAGCGCGGCACCGAAAAGGGTTTATCACTTCCGTGTCTGACGACCGGATTGCCGCGATTAGTGACAATGACACTCACGCACGAAACTCAATTATATATCGTCTACAGTCTGTGCATTTATCGCTATTCGCTGCCCTGGTTCTTTAAACATGGATTATCATGGGTAGTTGTCTTAAGATGACTATTCACATGCCTTTTTGTGGCTGTTCGTGCTAACGGTCAAAGTTGATAACGCGATTTGTAGATAAGGAAATTGGACATGTTCGACTACCTCCACTGTCGACAAAATACTGGGCGCGCTCATTTATAGGGGTGAAACGCTTCATATTGATGAAAGTAGGAAGATGCTTGTGATTTTAGTTTGCGATACACAAATCCCCGATTTGGAGGGCTGGGGAAATTTTGGTACTCAAACTCGTCGTCTCCTCGAACAAGCCAACTACTTAGGGGACATAAGCGAGTATGTCATTTGTGACAAACAATATGACGCTGTCTATGCACATCTTGATAGTCGTCAAGACATTGATGCCATAGTTTTGACTGGGTCACGAAGTGATTCTTTTGGTGATGACGAATGGATCGAAGCATTGGTGCAGTTCATTAATCCCTATTGTGGTAAGATTCCTTTGATTGGAATCTGCTTTGGCCATCAAATCATTGGAAGAATGATGGGTTTGAAGTCAATACGTAACCCTCTCGGATGGGAGCTCGGTCGACCCAACTTCAAACGCAACGAAGAGTTGGATCCATCGATATTCGAGTCTTTACCTTCTACAATTTCAATGACAGAATTTCACCAGGATGTTGTCCAGCTGCCGGATGATCCAGAAATACAAATAATTGGCTCCACAACTCTCTGCTCGAATCAAGGAATGTACCATTCCAGCAAAATGATTTTCACCGTGCAAGGACATCCCGAATTTACCGATGACTTTTCTCGGTCATTACTATTGATTATGGTTCATGAAGGTAAAATCAGCCACGATAAATATATCAAAGCGTTAAAGCTGTTCTCGAAAACAACTAACCACGGGGAAATAATTGGGCAAGCGATGGCTAGATTTCTTGCTCGACACAAACCTACAACATTTAGAGCAAGTTTGAACTAAGTTCGTAAACCAATGAGTAAACAGCAATGATAGATTGGTTGACTAAATGGTCTCCAATTGCTGAGTTAGTTTGCTACTCCACCAAACAGAACAGCTCCTCAAAGCTCTTAGGCTCGGATCTGTTGGAGTCGTGGTCATTGAATGTAGGGGACAGCTATTTAATCACTTCTCTTCGCATTATATTCTCTGGTAAGCAAAAAAATCGCTAATAACACAGATGATAACCATCATGAAGTAGGATGCTCACATATTGTATTGCTGCCAGCCGACCACCTCGTCACGACTGATAAAACAAAGCTTACTGCTGTTTGACGAGTTAAGTGGTCATTCTTCCCTGAAAGCCATGATCATGGCAGTTTTTCTTGTTACGAAGTGTCACCACCAATTTCCGGTTGTCAATTAGCTTCTCGAGAAAAAGCTTCCCCGCAACCAAACTGCATGCACTGACACAACGCAGGCACCACAAGTTACAATGAGCAAGGGGTAGGGCGAACTTCAGCAGGTATGTTCAGGCATTGGCGCCGACTTGAGCTCAGCCCTCATATGCAATAGGCTTACGTGAAATGCTCGCTTGATTTGCGTTCGTTTTCAAAGCATAGGTTCGTCAACGCAAAACTATTTCTCGCACACTAAATGAAATCAATTTCGTTACATGGGGAGTCGGGTTGACAACTGACTCAGTGCACAAATATATACCGAGAATGCGGCCATCAGAATCCATCGTCAATGATTCCCATCTCGTTTTGTATTTGCTGTGCTACCCGACCTGCCGAGGTTGAGAAGCGTCTTGACGGATTCCGATTACTACTCTGTAAGGAATGCAGTGAGCTCGTCGGCGAACAACCACCATATTCTCTGGATTTGCTGAACACCGATAACTTCACCATCAATTACAAGCATTGAATTTTTCAACGTTTCTAGAGATTTGAAATCGATCTTGAGGTTATTGAATAACCTTCACCCATTAATTTGCCCTATGTACACATAACTTTAATCAACATCCTAAGATCGATCGAACAACCGGTTCGGCAGCACGATCGCTAAACCGGGTAACTTTCCCAGCTTCCCGTGGCCACGACGCTCTTGTCTGTCACTCAAACCACTCAACTTCTGATTGACTTGTTTATACTCTTCCATTTTCGCTTCCAATTGACGATTCCGTTCTTGCACTTGCCTTAATTCTTGCTTGTGGCTTTGAGTCAAATTGGTCACAACCTCGCGCAATTCCTCACGTTGTTTTTTAAGAGTAACAATCTCGTCCCCAACATCATGCTGACCGCTTCCAACAAGCAGCAATTGCTTGGTGAGAGTGTTGATTTTCCTTTGTTCAGCATCCTTGAACTTGCGCTCGAGTTCAGGAATGACTCGAAACTTGAGATCAGTATTTTCCTGCAAGATTTCGTTGTATTTGTCAAGCAACAGCTGATCGTTATGCCCTTTGGACTCCTCGAGCTCAGCCACACGATCCTCTAATTGTTGTACTAAATCCTGCTTCACCAACAATTCACGGTACATTTCCAGCTTTTCGTAACTCAATTTGAGAGCACTAGGTTGTTGACCATGCTCATAGAGCATTGCATGCTCCTCCGCCAAAAATCTCATACGCCGCTCTTGGTTGAGCTTCTCTTGCAATTCAGCGATTATCCTTGATTGATCAACCTGGATGTTAGGGTGAGTTGAACTTACTCCACTTTCCATAGCAAGTTCACGTTTTATCGACAGCGCTAATTCAGTGGTCACAAGCTCTAATTCAGTGAGTAAATCGTTATTGCACGTCATGATGGCCATTTCCTCTTTGCTGAAATGAATTTCGCGGTGTGGGACTATCGGTACCGAAGGCACTGATGGCATAGGCTGGTCATGTTGACGCAAAGTAGACGAAATAGAAGATCGCTCAAATTGAGGACTCAGTGGTTGCGTCAGATATGGCAGCTTAGACGCCATCAGTATACGACGAGTAGCCGAATCATCATCGGGACCCGTGGATTTTCTGCTCAGTTTAGAAAGTCTCTTCAAGAAATTTTTTGACTTCGTAAAACCAAAATTCTTTGACGATCGAGAGCCACGCTTTTCATCGTCGTGCACATCGCTAGTCACAGATGCCGCTGCTCCCAATCCAACTTCTTCTGCGCCCCCAATTCTGGAAGCATCTCTATGGCTAGAGCCCTCGAATGGCCCTGCCAGTAGACGTTGATCCATTGAAGATGCTCGATTGTTGAGTTCTGATGGTGAGCCCACGGCCAGACCAGAAGAGGCTTGATACAGGATCGATTCACGAGTCGACTCTCGCTGAAGTGAGTTATCATGCTCTGGAATATCCTCAACAACAGACTTCTGCAATTGATCAGACGTTGTACCCTTTTGCAAAGATTGTTGAGATACAAAGCGGTACGCGTCCGTGGGTACTTTTTGAACCAGATCGCTATTCAGTGGAGCATATGACAGACTCAGGACCAGTTCTTTGCGATAGTCATAGCCATTTCCGACGCCATCATATTGATTGGACTGGTCATCCCCCTCAAATGCAGAGTCCAGTTGGGAAGCTGACCGAAAATTTGAAAATGCTGTGTTTGCCACCACCAGCTTTTTTAACTGGCCCAGTGAGCTCAGGAGCTGACGCTGTACATCCAAGTCCTGCGTTGCTGAGGCATTTGCTGCTCTGGTGGGAGATGAACGAATAAAGTTGTAATGCGATTTCTCGTCTTCGGTGTCATCGTTTGCGTCTTCAGTAACTTTAGCAAGTTTTTTGCGAGGGCACGTTCCAGAGGCCTTTTGAGGTGAACTGACAAGATCCGAGGCTGTCACGAAGACTTCTTTGGTGGTGTCCGCCAGACCATCAATCGCGGTGGCACCTAAATTGCGGAACTTGTCACTATTATCATCAGCATTATAGTCATCGTAAGTTGAGTACCGCATGTTGTAGGAATCTTCTGGAACAGCGTTGAATGAAGGCAGGGAAGGCTCCTCCAGATCTTCATAATCAGAGCCGTCATCATAGGTGGGCTGTTGAAATTGAAGCAGCAGCGTATCACTATAATTGTCAGGCTCTGCTTTTGATAATGCCGTAGGAGGAGCAGATGGCAATCCATTTTGATTACCAAACAAATTAAGCTTTTTCAACTTCATTGAGTTCGTGGGTTTTAGCAGCGTTTGTTGACTTGACGGGTCCGTATAAGTTTTGTTCGCTTCTTGCTCGGGCTCACTATCAGAAGAGGGCTCGTCTGGATACTCCTCATTCAAATCAACACCTTCATCAACGGAAGCTTTCTCAGCAGGAGTAGGTCCCAGGTTTCGATTATCAGGGATAGCAGGTAAGGCTTTTTTGTTTCTATCCAATTCCTCCTCATCGTCTTCATCGATGTGACCTAGCAGATCCTGTGAAGCTTTTGCAGGGAAGGAGGGTTTTGAAAAATCAGCTTGAGGTTGTCCTAAAGATGTGGATGCATTAGACAGGCCAGAAAATTGTGGGAACAAATTGTTGTCATCCATTTGTTTTATCCCTTGGAAGTTTTGATTATTTTGTTCCATGTTTGTAGTTGAGCTCGAAGTATTCCCCGAATCCTGTCCCACAGTGCCTTGATTCACGTTTGGCTGCATATTCTGATTCATACCCTGGTTTGGCATCATTCCTTGATTTGACATCGTACCTTGATTTGACATCGTACCTTGGGTTGGCATCATTCCCTGATTTTGCATCATACCTTGGTTTTGCATCATTCCGTGATTTTGCATCATTCCCTGATTTTGCATCATTCCCTGATTTTGCATCATACCTTGGTTTGGCATCATACCTTGGTTTGGCATTATACCTTGGTTTTGCATCATTCCATGATTTTGCATTCCCTGATTTTGCATCATACCTTGATTTTGCATCATACCTTGGTTCATACCCTGATTTTGCATCATACCCTGATTTTGCATCATACCTTGGTTTTGCATCATACCTTGGTTTGGCAGCATATTCTGGTTCATGCCCTGGTTCATCATGCCCTGGTTCATCATACCCTGATTGTTGAACCCTGATTGTGGATTCATAGGACTTAATGGATGCGAATTGAACCCGCGGCCAGGCATGCCTCCCTGATTAGGGCCGTTCATCAGCATGGTGCGTGGCCCATTTTGCATCGAGTTTGCTCGGGATCCATAAGGAGAATTGAAACCGGGAGCACCGGGTCGATTGTTCAAAGACATCGTTCGTGGCCCCCCAGGAGGCGCCCCGCCGCTCATCAACAGCATGGTACGAGGGTTGCCGTAAGAATTGAAACTCATAGTGCGAGGATCGTTCGAGCTTGCATTATTGTTGGGTTGGTTGGCAAGACTCATGGCACGAGCACTGTTAGCGTACGCCATTTTCATTTGCAGGTTCATTTGTTTCCGGTATTGAATGTTGGACATTTTATTTGGGTTGGGGTTAACTGGAGTAATCACCCCTGATGGACCAATAGTAGGAATGATTGGCGTCAGGTCCTCGAGAGTTCGCAGACCCTTAGTGCTTTGGTATGGGCCTCGATCGCGCATATGAGTAATGTCTTCCATCGAAACGTGGTGGTTGGCCAAGTTGCCGATCTCCAAATCGCCCAAATCGGCGCCCATGTCTTCGTTGAACTCGCCGTCAACGACCCCTTTCCCTCGGCGAAAGAAGCGGTTGATGCCCAGCTGAGACGTGATCAGCCCTTTCCGAGAGTCGCCTGCGTTCACCACTGGGGCACCATATTCGTCAAACTGGTTGCGCATCTTCCCGGTACGGGTCAGCGCCATTGCCGCGTCCATGTTGGTTTGGTAGCGTACGGTGTCGGCGGAGCGTGGGTTGATGAAAATGTCTAACTTTGTCCTCGCGTCCCGGGCCCGTGGTTGCTAAGAATGCGCGCGTGAGAAGGGTACGTGGGGATAAAAAAGTAACTTGACGCATCGCGTCGAAGGCTGGGGGAGGGGGTTGCTACATCGTCACGGGGCTGGCCCGTATCCACCAGGGGTAAGTCGAAGTTGACAACCACGCTTAGACGGTAACAAGTCGATTTAAATTAGGCAAACATAAGTAAACATCTACTAAGAAGAAAAGAACAACGAGGCTACCGCCCATGGCCACGCTTTCGCTTAACCTCGGCCGCGCCTCCATTTCACCTGGCTGCAGGCGTCCCGCGTCGTGACAACCACACGTCTGCTATCTGTCATTACTGGTAGCATCAACGAGCACTTTTACAATGGGATAACGTTTGCGAAAATACTCTTCCCACTTGTTGACGGCATTGTGTTCCTTTTCGCCAAAGTCGTCAGTGTAGAACGTGCTATGCTCGGGGTAGCCGGGGTCGGCGGAGCGTCCACAAGCGTCATAGCGGGCGGCACCGTTTCCGAGTCGCAACTTATTGAGGCCAAGTAGCCTGGTCAGGTCCTTGCCAACAAACACATGGTAGGGCTTTTCGGGCCCGTATTTGTCGCGGTTCTCCAGCACGTCGTAAACAAGCCCGCGAATGGCGACGTAAATGTTGCCACCATCACTACCGGTGTAGTGGCTCAACTGCTCACGGGTAATCGGCTCAAGCGTTTGCCAATCTAGCTGTTCATTGTACCGCTCTACCGCCTCATTCGCCGCCGGCATCATCATCGCACTTTATCTTAGTGGGAGTGGGCGGCGGCGCGAAACCAGATATATGACTGAGCGATTTCCTCAAAGCATTCAGCAGCTCTTTGCCCCCAAACCCCCACTTCTATATGTGCCACCAGCCGACTACCCCTCAAAGCTGAGGCGATCGAGGGCGGTCGCCCCGGTTCTGTCGTTGAAGCATCGCTATCAAGCGCACCTTGACGACCTTAAAGCCACAACCACAACCAGCACCCCCACGCTATCAGCTCATCAACAGCAAATTGCTTTGGGGCAGAAACGCCGGCTACAACAACAACAGTCATATAAGCGACAGTTGGATGAGTGGCACTCGTACAGTCATGCCGACGTCGACATTAGTGATCCCCATCGCACCGTGTTTGTCCTGAGGCTCGACTACCTGATCACAGAGCTCGACTTGTCCAAGGCCTTAACCAACTACGGTGTCATCGAGTCAGTGAAAATTATCCGAAATCGAGCTGATAACAGCAGTCGCGGTTACGGATTCATCGTCTTCGAGCGAGATACTGACGCCGCCGCTTGTGTGCTGGAACTCCTGCGTACTGGTATACGTTTAGGATCTCGAACTGCATTGATTGACTTTGAGCGAGGTCACACCCAGCGCAATTGGTTGCCGCGACGTCTTGGAGGGGGGCTTGGTGGCCGCGGGCAGGCTGCTAAAGGTTTGTTTGCATCAGCAGCAGCAAATCAGCGGCGACACCAACCTACACGAGGTTTCAACCAGCTGTATCTGCTGCGATCATTCACATCTCAATCAAGAGCACCTCGTTCGAAAGAGTTCGCCAGAGAGTCTCGTGAAACCGCACTTCCGCCCCGACAAGACACTCGCTCCGTGCGAGACAAATATGCCAACTACCTGACAATGAAATACTGATGAGTCTACTTGAGACGCTACTAACCAATCTCTGCTTGCAGCGCCTAATTATGATTTACAAGCGCGAAATGTAGTAATACTTATTCATTTACAAGTAATATTGCATTCGAGGGTAGCTATCATGCAATCCATTATTTAATTAGCTAGTCATATATCACCGGTATAAGTTTTCACCCCATTAAATGTACGATATTTCCCTAGATATTTTTTGGTGTCAACAGAGTTCGCCGCATCTCACCCCTCATCTTGCACATCTAAATTCGGACGTGCGACAGAAATCTTACAAACTCGTTCACAACTGTACTAAAGACAATGGCAAGCACCACCAAGAGAAAGGGCGAAGATGCAATTCCAGAAGAACCAAGAAAGAGACCACTCATGAAGTCCTCTGATGGGGGCGACGATGGCGCCGACACCTCCTCTGTCAGTGCGGAAGCTTCTGAAGATCAAGTTGCTAAGATCAAGCACGAGATCAACGACCTCAAGCAGCGAGTGAAATCTTTGAAGATGGGCACCAACGGTTCATGCAGTGGTTCTGTGACCTCCTCCGAGTCTAAACTGTCCGAGAGTCGCAATGAATCTGACAACACCGAAACGTCTCAAACTGCCAAGTCAAATGCTACTACCGACGCGGAGGGTACCGAAGAAGTCATTGAAACTCTTACAAAGGAGATTCAAAAACTAGAGAAGAAATTACTGGATCTTGTCTCAAATGATAACGCTTCGATACTGTCGGCTACTGTTGACAAGGGCACGAATACTAAGAGCGCTACGCTGAAAGCGGCTCTTGCGACCAAATTTGGTGCTCCGTCGTTTGGCACTCCTTCCTTTGGGTCCAAAAACTTTGGCGCTTCCTCATTCGGGTCGCCCGCATTTGGTGCACTGTCATTTGACTTAATGAAGGCAGAGGTAGCTCTAGTGGACGACAAACCCGAGACTTCTAACGAGCCTACCTCATCAGAATCCTCAAAATCTACTTCTAATCCTGTCGCTGCAGCTAAGACGGCAGCTACTAAAACCACCAATGCCGGATCTCTGTTTGGGGCTAACTCTCGGTTTGGCAATGCATTTCAAGAGCTGTTGAAGAAGAAATCATTTTTAGACGACCTGGAGTCACTAGCAAATGAGTCAAGCAATGACGAACTGCGGCAACCCAAACCCCAATTTAAGCAAGTGGACTTAGCACCAGTTGAGGTTAAAACGGGCGAGGAAAACGAAAATCAATTGCTTAAGATCAATTCAAAACTTTATGAACTTGACATCACTCATATCGATTCCGGTTGGAAGGAGAGAGGCGAGGGTGCTCTTCATATCAATGAAGCGAAAGACAAACTGTCAAAACGGATGGTCATGCGGCTGGTCGGTGTGCATAAAGTGATTTTGAATTACCGTATCACCCCACAAACTGAATTTATTAAGGGGTATTCGGCCAGCATAGTACCAGGAAAATTCGTGCGCTTTAATCTGGTGAATTCGGATGGAAAGCCTGTCCAGTATATGCTCAAATTCAAAGACGAAAAGACTCGTGACATGGTGGTGGACTTGATGCTGTCAAAGAGCTCGTGAAACTACCGTATATTACAAATTATTAGCATTAATTAGTCAGGAAAGACTGAATACTACACTACAAATTGTAGCACCTTTCACGCCGCCAAACTCGAAACTGGGATAATCGATTTTTCCCCATACCCTCAAGTTGGTCTTCTGAGTTATCACTTTAATCAACTCGGACTCGGTAAAGTTGCAACTGGTGATCAAAAGTTTAGAGTCAGCGTTCATCATTTGCACAATTTGTTCCGCGTAAACTTCCATGCCTGTTCTACCATCAAATTCCACTAGAGGCTCTTGATTAAGTGCAATGGCATCTAAGGTGCCCTTATCGACCAACAAATTGAACTTATTACTGAGAAATGACTGATCGGGTTTTAATAAATCAACTTGCTTGAACTCGAAACCTTGTAAATCCCTGGTTTCAGCAATCTTTTGACAAAAGGCGACCGAATCAGGTGAGTAATCGATTCCAGTAAAGTGAAATTTTTGAGAGCCCTCGTACTCCTCTTCGAGATCACTATTGAGTTGAAACAAAAAGTGTCCGTTGCCAGTACCCAAGTCCAATACTGTTATATCGCTGTCTTTAAAATTTAGATCCCCACCATTTAACTGGTCGATAATATACTGGATCATCTTGTTCTCAGCGTCAGAGTCATCAAACCAGCATTCACCAGTATCTTCCTCATTATTCTCGAAGTTTTCGATCTCTTTCTGATAAAAGTTGTTCCAGCTGAAGTTAGTATTGAAAAACAAACCGTTCTTGGATCGTGAACTTACTATTCTTGAGTGCCCAACTTCAGGGAATTCAATTTGATATCCTCCATCGCAGCGATCGCAAAGTGAACACTACCTAAAAGTGGTTAAGTGTGCGCGTAACATTTGAAGAAATCGAGAGTTTTAATTACATGCATTTGATTGCAACCAGATATATTGTGTTCGACTGAACTATCAAATCCAGAGCTGTTGTTTGAACTAGCCGTATTTTCTGAGTGCAGCTTTTGAATTCGTAAGTCTCTCACCTTCGTTATTAGCGGATCAAACGCGTTGCGCGTTCGAAAATTAATACCAACAACCTTACGAGACAAATGACTACGGAGATTGAAAAAATCCCACCAGCGTCCCCAATATATGTGGATACTGTTGAGGATGAAGACACATCGGTTGATTTGAATACAGAGGTGCGCTATCGAACTTGGAAGAAGAATGCACCATATTTGTATGATTATTGCTCCACTGTGGGTCTTGTGTGGCCATCACTTACTATTGAGTTTCTACCTGACGTTAGAACACTTCCAGAGGGTACCTATCAACGTCTTCTTTACGGTACTTTTACAAATCACGCAGCTCAAGACCAGATGATCCTTGGACAAGCATTTTTACCTACTGCAAACCCAACCGCCGACAATATCGTCTATAACCCGGACAAGCAAGAGTATGAGATGAAGCTCTCACAGTCTTCAGCTTTCAAAACGATTCATCATATCAACCACTTCGGTGACGTGAACCGGGCGCGATATATGCCTCAAAACCCTGATGTTATTGCAAGTGCCAACCACCTTGGACAGATATCTATTTTTGAAAGAACGAAGCTTCCCATGCGTCAAGCCGAGGGCGAAATCAGAAGTCATGCGCTGTTCATCCCCACCAATGCCGTTGAGGGGGAGATATTTGCGATCGATTGGAATGCGGCCAAAGAGGGTGAGCTCATATCTGGTGATGCTAATGGAAATCTCTATCTCTATGATATTACTAGCTTCACCTCAGAAAAATCCATAATCAGTGAAAAGCAATCGAACTATATGAATATTGGAATTAATGACATTCAATTCATGCCTCAACATCATTCGTTAATTGTGATTGCCGATGAAGGTGGAACAGTTTCGATTTATGATACTCGTCAAAAAAAAATCGTTCTAGCGCATCAATACGAAACCCTGGGAATCAACCTGGTGTCCGCAAATCCGTCAATTGCACATTGCATCGCTGGGGGGTCATCTGATGGTGCCGTTGCCGTATATGACTTAAGACGCTTTGGGCAACTGGATCCACCTTTATACAAGAGCCAACATCATGCTGATTCCATCACCCAACTCAAATGGCATCCACATCATCTGAATGTTGTGGGATCGAGCTCTCGTGATCGGCTGGTCCGGTTGTTTGATGTTGCTTCAAAAAGTCTTTTGTTCAGCCATGAAGGTCATATGTATGGTGTCAATGACTTTGATTGGTCTTATCATGATGAGTGGCTCTTAGCCCTGGTTGGTGATGACAACGCTCTCCAAATATGGCGTCCAAGTCTATCAAAATTGTGATTCTAATTCGTGCATTTGTATAAATATGACAAAAACCTTTTTAGTTCTTAGCGAACAACTTTTCAACTTCCGAGACGGCTTCAGCCAACACCTTGTCTTGGAACTTAGGGTTCTCAACTTCCGACTTGACCTTTTCAGTAACTTGCTTGATCAATTGCTCTTGTTCCAATTGTCTTTGAGCCTGTTCAAATCTGACCCACGAGTCCAAGGTCGACTTGGCTTCGTTAACAACGGCAATTTGTTGCTTCAATTCGAAGGCCTTGGCTTCCAATTCAGCAGTTTGCTTCGAGATGGCAAACAAGTCCTTGGTCAAGGGAACAACATCCTTCAATTGCGAGACAGAGTCAATTCTACCTTGAACAGCGTTGACGTGCTTGTTTCTGGCGTCGTTCAACAAACCGTTAACCTTAGTGATTTCACCGTTAGCCCATTCAGTGAACAAGGGGGCAACAAACTTGGCGACAAGGGTGGCGAAAGCAGTGAAGGTGACGACCAAGATGGTTTCGTCGTGGATGATGAGGAAGTTGTTGGCAATACCGTAGATAGCGGCACCGGCAGCGGTAGCCAAGGTGGCAGTCTTGGTCATGAAGTTGTTACCGGGGAGAGCCTCAACAATGGAGTTGGCCTTTTGCTCAGGAGTGGGGTTCTGAGTCGCCATGTATCTGACACCAATACTATAATAGTTAGTACTCATGATTATCGAATTGGGGGGAATGAGCACATATCCTTGTGAAATCCATTCGGAATATGTGGGCACCGTGGCTGCCGACTATGCAATGTGTTTGACACAATTGAAGGTTTCAAGAAAGGTCAATTCACATTCCAATCGGCGGGGCCTGACGGATGCAACGTAGTTTGCTCACACCAATCTGAAACAATCTACTTACGGAGCCGATCTGAGGCCGACGGTCATGGGGCGAGCCGCTCTGAGGGCAATTCTGCTGATCATAGACATCGTTGGAGTTAGATGAAAAATCCATGGAGTGGATTTTTTTCTTTTGGGTGCGTGGTGCGAACGCAGCAAAGCGATCTGATTGGAGGAAATATATGCGTGAGTCCGAGACGAAGTTGGTAGCGCAAGTCTGAGGTATCGACCAAACAGTCTCGCGACATTTACCGGTAGATGATTCATTTATTGTCATTAACGTAAAGATGTTTCTCTTGAACATACTCAGCTAGCTTTTTTGTTGTATCTCGTTCCAGCCGTTGAAGGAAGGGGTCTAAATCCTCACGGTATCTCTGTGAGATAGTACTCGGAGTCACTGTTTCGTTGGCAGTCTGAGATCTATTTTCAATTTGCTGTGCAATTGTATCAAGTGTCGTTCTTGTGTCACTTGGTGATGGTTGTTCAGGTGTGTCGTTACTGACGCTGGCCAGATTCCCAAGGCGCTTCGCTCGAAGCTCCGCTACCTTGTCTTTTCTTCGGGACATGAATAGGTGTATAGTGCGCACAAACACAAATATCAATGATTGATGTATGTTTTCGCAATGTGATGGATCATGTCTTCAGGTATACGCATGTGTTCATCATCAATCTCTAGCATGATAACCTTACCCGCTTGATCCAATTTGCGCAAGCCAATGAGGTCATCTCTGTATAGTCTGGTGTCACGCCAATTGATTTCATTTCCGAAGTAATCCATGTCACCAAACATACTACTTTGTTTGGGGACCACTGTAGTGTCTTGGAGAAATGACACCAATACTAACTTGTTGATTTCAGAGAATCTCTCGGTATAAGTCGAATTGATGTCCTCACGCTCGTTGTTGATGTCAACCAAAAGGTTCGAGTGTTCAAGGTATTTATCATATTGTCTGGGATCTCGAAAGTACTGTGCCGGAATGACACGTTTTTGAACACTGTCATACCATATTTGCTTTTTCAATAGAGCGTTTCGGCGTTTACAGAGCCAATCTTTGTCATCACAAAGCGGAAGTTCACTAACACCCATATGAGGAGAACCAAACGAAATGAAGTTTATCACCTTGACTGAGGCACAACGCTCAATCAATGCTCGCATGAGTACACCTCCTTGAGAAAAGCCAACGGCATCGAACCCGTTCGAAAGATAGTCAATATTGGTTAGCGTGTCACAAACCTGTTCAATGTCGATGTTGGCATCACCAAACATCGACCTTTGTTGATCCTTCAGTGGATCATCGTTTAGTGAAATTGAGTGAACTCTGATCCCAGGATAATATGAGGCAAAGATCTCCTCAACTCGATGTATTCCTGAGGAATTCCAGTTATCGCCGAGTCCATGCCAAATCACCACAGGTCTTGCGGTCTCTGCTATAGGGTATTGATCAATCGGAAAGCCGATGGTGAGACGAAAGAGGAATAGCGATACAATAAGTATACAACGCATGCCTAATCGGCTGCGGTTACGTTGAGAAAAATGAGACAAAAAGTAACGACCTCGGGGAGGATTGAACTCCCGATCTTGCGATGCCAATTCGTAACAGTCGCACGCCTTAACCACTGGGCCACGAAGTCCACAAATTTTTTAACCGCATATTTTGCTACGATAGCCTAGGATGATGATACGCCTTTGCCGCAAATATCCCCAAATTTCAACACATCATATAAATCAGAGCAACCAGATATGGTTTTTTTTATATTAAGAAAATAAACTTCGCAAGTAGTACTTTTTCAGTTTTCTGGAATCAGTATTTATGCTTCCAGGTACACGTCAAGTCTTTCTTTATAGGAACCACCATCAAGGATACAGGATTCTACAGAATATCATGAATGATAATCAGAGACATGAATCTGTATGTTCATCGTAAACCAGAAGTATCTGCGTAAATCATGAATTTACTGCACTATATTGCCACCTTCGAGGGATTCGATAGTTATATCTTCTTCAAGACTGTTCGTGCAAACCCCACTTGATGAGTACATGATCGAGAACTTCCGACCATGTTGTTTTGTTTGTTACTGTGTCGCTATACTATTGATGCGCTTGCCACTTTGAAGCCATCTGATAATTTCAATTTACGATGCCTGATATGTTTGGTAATCAGTAGGTTCAGAAACTCGGTGTCACTATCAACCCGAGTGCACATATTATGATAATGATGGCGGTGGTTTGAATTGGCTGATGCCAATGTATACGTTTTCCATAATTGAGACACGTTTATCATCTTCGCCGACGCTATCGCATTTACGTCAATATGCGTATCTCACTAGATACTTTTTCTCGCGGGTGGTTAAACTGTGGTGTTACACAACAATCTATATTCATCAATGAAGCTTTACCTAAATGAACGTCCACGGGCATTCATAGTCGTGTCTGGGAATATGGCATTGGTGCTTCGACATCCCTTCCCAAAATACGTGAACAAATCATATCGCAATCAACGTGATAACACTCCAGCTGACCCCAATCACATTGACTCCAACGTATCGAAGGTAATTGTCGAGTTCGTCAATCGAGAGTTCATTGATCTTTCCAAATATAAGGATATTACTCCCCGAAATGGTAAGCTCCTTGGGTTCTTGGGTTTGTTGAACATTAAGAAGCATGTGTTCATTGGGTTCATCACTCAGGAGAAGTTTGTTGCACTGCCAGTTCTTGATGAACACGTCAATCAAATCCAAGGGGTGGAGTTCTTTTGCCTCAATTCAGATGCCTTTGACCACGAAAACTTCAATATGATTCATCAAGATGAATTCGGACAACCCATACAACCCCAATACCGAGACAAGGCTGGGAGTGTACGAAAGTTGCTCAGTGATGGCTCATTCTACTATTCCCGTCAGTTTGATATTACCCTGAATTTACAAGAACGAGGTATCGATGCTAAACCATCTTTCACACTATACGCCGACACTGCTAATTGCCGGAATTTTTGGTGGAACAAATTCATGAATCGCGAGCTTGTAGAGTTTCGCAACAAGTTAAGTTCGGACGAACAGCATCTATTCGACCTGCTAGGTTTTTTGGTGACCGTAACAAGGGGTTATGCACGTTCACTCAATACAGTGATAGGTGATCAGCAAGCTCTCATCACATTAATATCTAAACAGGGTTGCTCAAAGAAAGGTCCAATTTTTGGTTCCTGGGGTTGTGATGATGATGGCAATGTTGCCAACTATTTGGAGAGTGAAATTATTGTATACACCGAGAAGTTCATACTAGCATGGGTTGTTATCAGGGGGAATGTGCCATTATTTTACCTGATCGAAACAAGCACTATGAAACGAAACTTGATCACCACGCAGCGAATCAAGAAACTCAACTTAGATCGCCTGTTTGACGTTTGCCACCATGCCTGTCTGCGTCACTTTGAAAAGTTGAGCAATACTTTTGGAGAGGTTCACGTGCTCAATGTTATCTCCCCAAGTACGCAAAAGTCCTATAAACTAGAATTGCGTGATGAATTTAAACAACATGTTGGGTACCTCAATCACGATAAACTTCGTGAGTTTGGTGCGGCCACAGAGTTGACTAAGCAAGGATCAACAGACATAGAGGTGGATGCTCTTAAAACCCATGCACCTTATGTGGTGAATTACACAGAAATACCGGTGTCGTCTTCGATTATTCGAAAGTATGGTTACTCAACAAGTACGCCTTTTGAGTTGGTTCCACTTTTTGAACGTGACATGATTGACTTTGGAGCCTTATTCTATAGTCAACCATCACAAGAATTCATAGGGAAGCAATTAGGTGTGTTTCGTGTGACTTCATACAACTCCATGGATAAGTCGAACTTCGTGGAGAAGATGCTAGGTCAATCCGTCCTAGAACTCGCGTTTGAAGATTTGGGTATCACAATTGATCTGGACATCTTGATTAAACATGCTCAGTTGTGGCAGGAACACAATGAGTACATCGACAAAATTATAACAAGTTTCTCGCTGGGAACGGACAAAATTCATCACCAGAGCCACAAACATATACTGTCCGTTAAGTCCCATTTCAAGAAAAAGTTACCAATAAGCACCAAGACAATGAGCTCCAATGAGTTAGCAATGTTGAAACTATTGGGGCGACTACAAGAACAAGTAACGGTTACATTACATAACCCGATTCATGACTATGTTGACAAAGAATTAAAAAGGTATCAATCGCGCTACAGTTATTACAAGGATATCTATTTGTTTTGCTCAACATTTAATGTCAATGGGACATGTTATGATGGACCACTTGATGAATGGTTATTTCCACCCAAATACCATATTGATCGTAGCTACGATATCGTGTTCATTGGTATTCAGGAAATCATTGAATTGAGTGCAGGTAAGATGGTGAACGTGGATGCTCGCAACAAAAGGTTCTGGGAAAAACACATAAAGAAAACTCTTGACAAGTGCAATCCTGAGAACTGCACATATGTGTCGCTTTGGTCGGGGCAAATGGGTGGGATTGCGTTGTTTCTTTTTGTCAAGAATTCAGAAGTTAAAAACATTCACAATGTGGAGGGATGTTTCAAGAAAACTGGTCTTGGAGGCATGAGCGCAAATAAAGGCGGCGTTGGCATCTCCTTCAATTTTTCGAACACACATGTATGCTTTGTGAGTGCACATTTGGCTGCAGGACATAGTAATGTCGTTGAAAGACATCACAACTATAAGACATTAGCAAAGGGGATCCAATTCTCAAAGAATCGCAAAGTTCGAGATCATGACGTTGTTGTTTGGTTAGGAGACTTCAACTACAGAATCAACTTGAGTAATGAGGACACAAAGCGTCTCATTAAAAAGATGGATTACTCTAAGTTGTTCGAGTTCGATCAACTCAATCAAGAAATGGCCAATGGTGAAAGTTTCCCATTCTATAACGAGATGGAGATAAAGTTTCCTCCCACATATAAATTTGACAATGGTACCAATCGATATGATACCAGTGAAAAAAATCGGATTCCAGCCTGGACGGATAGAATTGTGTCGCTTTCGAAAGAGTTGCGAGTAAAACAATTGGCATACGATTGCGACCCCGAACTCATGTTCAGTGATCACAGACCTGTCTATGCGTTGTTTAACCTTTCAGTCAATGTCATCAACGAAACGACAAAGAAAGCAATTTACAAGGAGCTTCTCGACAGTTTCCGTCAAAAGCATGGGGGTATCGAAGACATTTTGACTGATACCAATATGATGTATCTTTTCGAGGACTCGTTACCTCCCCCTTCCTCTGAAAAAACGAAATGGTGGCTTGAAGGACATAAAGCCGTCAAGATTGTTATACCTGAGTTGCAAAATCCTAACATGGTGATGAATCCATCGCACCCAATTAACCCTTTCGAGGCTGCGGTAGAGCCGGAATTTATAGATAAGTTTTTACTTTAATAATTAAGAACGACCTTCGTCTAAATACACTATTCCCTCGTCCCCAGAACTCTCTGAAGTAGGGTGATGTGACGGTGTGGCCGTTATGCTTATGGGCATACCTGAGGAGCCTGTAATCTTGCCTGAGGCAATTGAGGAGGATTTGCGAGGAGATGGGTATTTCACAGGTGATTCGCTTAGCAGGTCATGCGCTTGCCCCATTCGAGTGGTGTATTCAGTTATTGCATTGGGTTGAGTGGGCATGTATACACACCACCGCAGGTCACTGAGTTCAGGAAATCTTAAGTACGGTTTACTCAGTTCGGCGCTCAAAGCCAACATCTCCCACAAGAACTTTAGCGACACAACGGGAATTTGGTTGCTTTTCGCAAACTTTATTTTGTTGGTAGTTGAAAGTTTCGAAACCAGAATGGAATAAGGACATTTTATAATTTCTTTGGGTGTTTGAGATAAGAGCTCTTTACTCAAAGCGTTCGAATTTTCGAATACATTGACATTCACAATTAGTAGATCTCGGCTTTTCGTAAGTGACTCTTCGAATTCAAAGTTAAGTTTGCGCAATAAACTTCCAACGTGCAATAATTCAATTCCTGTGAATCCAGAAATGCAAACTTTCAAACGACGCCCTAAGATTTCGGCATTGAGCTTTTTCATGCCTTGCAAAGGTTCGCTCCAACAGTCGTATTGTAATTGCTTGTTGTAAATGCTTCTTTCAAGAAACCAATCCGAGACAACTTTTACTTCACCTGAGGTGATACGCTGTTGCAACTCATTGGGTAGAAGTTTCAAAGCCAAGGCCGCTTGAGACCCATCCTCCCATGGAACAACGACGTGGGTTGTTTGAGCATCTTTTGGTGTGACTAAACGGCCGTCATTAGCTGCGAGTACCTTAGAAAGCATCTTCTTTTTATCATTGGTGAATCCTAAAGAAGCAAATGCCAAATCTTGAAAAAGCCTTGATTTGGTGGATGTTTGCCTTCGTTTGGGTGCTGGTGTAATGATATCTGATGATGGTTCCTCCTCGGCGAGTTCCGAAAAAGCTTCGTTGGAATCACCCCAAACATTTGGCTCGGCGTCTGGCGCCAAATTCGGAATAGATGATTTCGAAATCATTAACAGCTTCCATACGGTATCCGATCCCGCTCGTTTGACAGCTGTTGAAACCTTATTGTTCGTTCTATTTCTTTTCACCACCAGTGACCATACATTGCAACCTTTTGTGTAGTCATTGTCTGGGTTCAAGTTATAATATATGAAAGGTATGGCGAGTCCACGTACAACGCAATCGTGGACCCAAATTGGATGCACCACAGGAATCTTCCATTCTCGGGCCATCTCTACGCGCTTGCCTCTGGTTTCAGTTGTGATAACTGCGGTCAAATCTTGACTTAGTACGTCGCTGAACTCACCCCCATTTTTCCTCAACATCGTTTGTATAACGTTCTTCTCGAACGGGGTCTCATGGAGAGTATTCCTCCAACATTTATCTGGCCCTATGAATTCTTTTCGATTAAGCTTTTCATCAATACGTGCCACACAAAGTTTCATCTGATCAAAAATCGGTAGTCGATAAAGCCCCGGGTCTAATCTCTCTTTAGGTTCACCTTCGAGCCATAACTTATACACGGTATCAATGGCGTCAGGTGCTAGGCAGATGACATCGTATCGGTTCTTGACAACGAACCGAAACTTATCGCTGTCGCGACGACCCACTATTAGGTACCGAATATCTGTCATCAAGTCAGCCAGGTAAAAGCCGCCCATGGCGACAATCTTCTTGGCCACAACCTTGCGTCTCTCAGCTGGTATTCCCGTGCAACAAAAGTTCTTTCCCTCCAACGGTCGTACTGATTGAGCTGCCATGAAGTGATGCTCGCAGACGCGATTGCATTACGCGTAAGATGCTTGATTGACGGAAGCCACCTATATAGACAGCGCGATTAGAAAAAAGACATATACAAGGTCTGAAACCTGACTAGCTGGTCGTGTTTAATGTATTAACTAATTCTTGCTATGCTTTCCAGGCTATCTAAAATGAGGATTCAATATTTTATGATCGTAAGATTGTGTTGAAATTTAGTGGCACCACATTTGCTCGATTTACCGATAGCCGATCGCTACATATCCGGCACACTACCCCACACCAAATTTGGGGTAAGCGGGTCCCCTCACATGTCAGTGACACAATCAACTACACATCATGGTATTGGAGGACAACTGGCTCCATAGCTCGGTCTGGAAACAGGGGATTTTTGCAGGGAAAGTGGTCTTCGTAACGGGTGGGGCAGGCACCATATGTAAGGACCAAACTGAAGCTATGATTCGCCTAGGAGCTGATGCCGCAATTGTCGGTAGAAATCAACAAAAGACGGATGTGGCTGCTGAAGAACTCAGAAAAGTTAGAAATGGAGCAAAAGTGGTATCTTGTCCTAATGTTGATGTTAGAGATGTGCACCTGATTGCAGAGGCAGTTCGGAAAACCGTGGGGGAATTAGGACGCATTGACTTTGTTATCGCTGGAGCAGCAGGAAACTTTTTGGCTGATTTCAATCATTTGTCTTCAAATGCGTTCAAGCTGGTTGTTGATATAGACTTATTAGGGTCCTTCAACACGGTGAAGGCATGTTTCGATCAATTAAGATCAAATAGAGGTGCAGTTTTGTTTGTGTCGGCTACTCTCCACTATTACGGTGTTCCCTTCCAAATTCATGTGGGAGCAGCGAAAGCCGGTGTTGATGCATTGTCGAATGCGTTAGCGGTTGAATTAGGTCCCTTAGGTATCAGGGTCAACGCCCTCGCTCCAGGACCAATCGCCAATACTGAAGGAATTCGGCGGTTGGCTGGAAAGAACAAAACTTTGGGTTCACTGATTCCAATCGGCAGATTGGGCACCACTACAGACATTGCAAACTCCACTGTCTACTTGTTCTCCTCAGCTGCTGCGTACGTCACTGGTACCGTTCAAGTTGTTGATGGTGGAAACTGGCATATGGGCTATCGTAAAGGTGAATACCCAGTGAAGATTCTCGAAATGAACCAAGAAAAGGTTACGAAATTGTAGGTGTGTATGATTTGTACTCTAATGAATTCTGCTATATTCTTTTTCTTCAGTTGTGAGCCCGCTTATGCAAGTCGATCACTAGCCCTAAGCGCGCGGGCGATGAGGTAAATTTGTCAGCTGGGAAGTGGCGACAGTGATCATGGGCTCCGACGTGGCATTCCAAGAACTCCTCCAACCGGAGTTTCGAGGGAAGAAGCTCACAGATGAAATCAATACGGCCCAAGACAAGTGGAATCTCTTACCCGCCTTCCTCAAAGTAAAGGGTTTGGTGAAACAACATCTCGACTCGTACAACTACTTTGTGGATGTTGATCTCAAAAAGATCATCAAGGCAAACGAGTTGGTTCTTTCCGATGTTGACCCTGACTTTTACTTGAAGTACTTGGACATCAGAATTGGTCACCGTCTGACATCTGCACCAGGGACTAAGGAAGTAATCTTGCCACCTCATGAGTGTCGGTTGAGAGACTTAACGTACTCTGCACCTATCTACGTTGATGTCGAATATACACGGGGTAAGAAGATCGTTATCAACAGAGACTTAGAAATTGGACGTATGCCTGTTATGTTGCGACTGAATAAGTGTATCTTGGATGGTTTGAGTGAAGAAAAAATGGCTCGATTTGACGAATGTCCACTTGACCCTGGTGGGTATTTCATTGTCAACGGTACGGAAAAGGTGATTCTTGTCCAAGAGCAACTTTCCAAGAATAGAATTATCGTCGAAGCAGATGAAAAGAAAGGAATCGTTCAAGCCTCAGTCACTTCTTCAACCCACGAGCGTAAATCTAAAACATACGTCGTGACTAAGAATGACAAGATTTACTTGAAGCACAACTCGATCGCCGAAGACATTCCGATCGTCATTATTTTGAAGGCTGCCGGTATCACAAGTGATTTGGAAATAATGCAGCTTGTTTGTGGTAGCAACCCCGCATATCAGGACATTTTCATGGTGAACTTTGAGGAAGCAGCAAAACTCGAGGTTTTCACTCAACATCAAGCACTTTTGTATGTCGGTAAGAGAGTGAAGACGATGAGACGTGCCGGTGCACCTAAGCTTACGCAATTACAAGAGGGTATTGAAGCTGTAGCAACCACTATCGTTGCTCATTTGACTGTTCTGGATTTGCAATTCCGAGAAAAGGCTTTATATATTGCAACAATGGCTAGAAGAGTTGTTATGGCTATTGACAATCCAAAAATGGTTGATGATAGAGATTACGTTGGTAATAAGCGGTTGGAATTGGCTGGGCAGCTCGTGTCATTGTTGTTCGAAGATTTGTTCAAGAAGTTCAACTCAGACTTCAAGCTTAATATTGATAAAGTTCTCAAGCGACCACTGAGGGCACTGGAATTCGATGCGTTGCTTTCCATCAATATTCATAGTAATAACATTACTCAAGGGCTCAACAGAGCCATATCCACAGGGAATTGGTCGCTTAAACGGTTCAAAATGGAACGTGCTGGTGTGACTCACGTTCTTTCGCGATTGTCGTATATTTCTGCCTTGGGTATGATGACTCGTATTTCATCTCAATTCGAAAAATCAAGAAAAGTGTCGGGTCCGAGAGCATTGCAGCCCTCGCAGTTCGGGATGTTGTGTACTGCTGATACGCCAGAAGGTGAAGCTTGTGGTTTGGTGAAGAACCTTGCGCTTATGACCCACATCACCACAGATGACGAAGAGGATCCCATCCGGAAGTTATGTTTTGTGCTTGGCTGTGAATCAATTCTTACTGCCGATTCAGCGACTATGCATGCAGATGGTAACTTTGGGGTATATCTCAATGGTACTCTTTTGGGGATCATTCGTTACCCCAACAAGTTTGTGGCTAGTTTCCGTCAATTACGTCGATTGGGGAAAGTATCCGCTTTTGTGTCAATTTTTACGAACACTCATCAATCTGCAGTTCACATTGCTACAGATGGTGGCCGTATCTGTCGTCCATTGATTATTGTTGAAAACAATAAGCTGCGCGTAAACAAGGAGCATCTTCGCAAATTATTGGTTGGTGAATGGCAATTTGATGACTTCTTGAAGCATGGATTGGTTGAATATTTGGATGTCAATGAAGAAAATGACTCACTCATTGCCCTTTACGAAAAGAATTTGTCAGATAATGCGGGTCAGCAGTTTACTCATCTTGAAATCGAACCTTTCACGGTGTTGGGTGCCGTCGCTGGTTTGATCCCCTATCCTCATCACAACCAGTCACCGCGTAATACCTATCAATGCGCTATGGGTAAGCAAGCGATTGGTGCAATTGCATACAATCAATTCCGTAGAATTGATACTCTTCTTTACTTCATGGTATACCCGCAACAGCCCATGGTAAAGACGAAAACTATTGAACTCATCAACTACGACAAATTGCCCGCTGGTCAGAATGCTACTGTCGCTGTCATGTCGTACTCGGGTTATGATATTGAAGATGCTTTAGTGTTGAACAAGCTGAGTATTGATCGAGGTTTCGGTCGCTGTCAGGTTGTGCGTAAAAACACTGTACACCTCAAAAACTACCCTAATCACACAAAGGACATTTTAAGTGGTAAGAGAGTGGATGAGAATGGCGCAGCAATCTTCCAACACGAAGCTATTGGTACTGATGGGTTGGGTGAAGTTGGCGCCAAGGTGACGAATGGTCAGATCTTCGTCAATAAGCATGTTCCTACTAATACTGGTGACGTGGTTATGAATCATAACCCTGCGGATCAGCCAATGGAACTGTACAGGGAAACCCCTGCTCTCTACAAAGGACCGGAGCCTCTGTACGTTGATCAAGTAATGATGTCCGTGACTGATAATGATCAGGCTCTCATCAAAGTGTTATTGCGTCAAACTAGAAGACCCGAATTGGGTGATAAGTTTTCGTCTCGGCATGGTCAAAAGGGTGTGTGCGGTATCATTGTACAGCAGGAAGATTTGCCATTCAATGATCAAGGCATCTCTCCTGATATTATCATGAACCCACATGGTTTCCCCTCGCGGATGACGGTAGGGAAAATGATTGAGTTAATTTCGGGTAAAGCCGGGGTGCTTAATGGTTCTTTGGAATATGGCACTTGTTTTGGTGGTTCCCAACTTGAGGACATGTCCAAGATTCTTGTGGAGAAGGGTTTCAACTACTCAGGTAAAGATCAGTTGTATTCAGGTATTACGGGTGAATGTTTGCAAGCATACATCTTCTTCGGGCCGATTTACTATCAGAAGTTGAAGCACATGGTTCTTGACAAGATGCACGCCCGTGCTAGAGGGCCCCGTGCTGTGTTGACTAGACAACCCACCGAAGGTAGATCCAGAGATGGTGGTTTGCGGTTGGGTGAAATGGAGCGTGATTGTGTGATTGCGTATGGGGCTTCGCAACTCTTGTTAGAGCGGTTGATGATTTCCTCTGATGCATTCGAAGTCGACGTGTGCAATACTTGTGGTTTGATGGGCTACAATTCTTGGTGCACGACTTGTAAGCTGCTGGAAAACGTGGTCAAAATGACCATCCCCTACGCCGCTAAATTGTTATTCCAGGAGCTTATTTCCATGAATATTGCCCCGAGATTAAAGTTGGGCGATGTATTTTAGCATGTAAGTAGCGTATTAAACGATGGTTATGTATTCAAACTATGAATTGCTTAATGAGCACCCGAGATGAAGAACCACTTGTCAATCGACTTGTCAATGGGAGCAGCAGCTTGAGCCGAAGCAGCAGGGATTTCCGAGGCAGCAGCGGGGGCGAAACCAGGAGTGCCTTCGAGGGTAGTGTTAGTCAAGTCAATACCCTTCGAGTCGGCAGCTTCGCCCTTGATCAACTTTTGCCAAGCTTCCGAACATTCAGTGATAACTTCTTCAGCATACTTCTTGTTCTTGCATTCACCAGAGAAGGCGAATTGGTTTTCGGGCTTGCCATCGGGAATCTTGTAAATTCTAAACCATTCGTTGGTGGCTCTCAACAAACCAGGCAAGTGGGTTTCGACATCCTCGATGTCGTTCAACTTGGGAGCGAGAGGGTCATTGACGTCAATGACAATAACCTTCCAGTCAGTTTCACCTTCGTCAAGAAGAGCCATCACACCCAACACCTTAACTTGCTTGACTTCACCAACGGTGGCAACCTTTTCACCGATTTCACAAACATCAAGAGGGTCATTGTCACCCTTGGCTTTGGTTTCGGGGTGAGCAACATTGGGGTCTTCCCAAGTTTGAGGGAAGGCACCATAGTTGTGGATGTAACCGTGGTGAGGGAAACAGTTTCTCACGAATCTAAGCTTACCCTTCTTGGTGTCTTGGATGATAGGGTTGAGCTTTTGTTCCTTAGAAATTTCCAACTTGGCGTTGGTCCAACGAGGAACCTCAACGACCATGTTGAGAATGGTCTTTTCCTCATTGGCGTACAAGGGGATGTCGTGGAAGGCGGAAACGGGCTTGCCGTCCTTTTCGAGGTAAACCTTGTAGTCCAAGGTGTTGGCAGCGCCAATTTGACGAGTGGTGTAAGACATGGTCAATTGGTGAAAAATTGCGACCCCTTTATTATATTTATACTCCGGTGCCGAATTGATTCCGCACCCAACCTTCTAGATCTATGCTGGCCAATTATGTTGGAATTTTCAGTCACGTGAGATTGTGTGCAGCCGTTCCCCCACGGGCAACTTGAAGTGCCTGTTCGATAGTTTGAGTAATGTATGTCAAGCCGTCAATGCCATCAATCAAATTGAGTTCAGCCTTCTTGTTGACAATCCACCCTCGTTGAAGTTCGCGGCGTTTTATTTCGTCTTTCACATTTGCCATGAAATTAGCCGCCAACATTCGTTCTCGATTATTTGTGTCAACCCATCCTCTTTTATATGATATGATCTCTACACCCGCGTAGGCAGCACCAGCGTAACATTGAGAGATCATCAATCCATAAACATCCAGATCCACAAACACTATCTGGGGTATACCTTGAGCTTGAGCTATATGGGAAAGGTTTTGGGTTACCTTGTCCGGAAAGCCTTTGCCAGAGACGTAGAGAATATTAGACGGCAATGCAAGATTTCGAGAGTGATAGAGAAACTTGCTAAGAATTGCATCCTTTTCGAAAGCCACAATTAGGTTAACATTGTCAAGTCGTACAATATTGGAGGGGATCAATTGCACACCTCTACCATTGTCTACTTGTACCGAGCCATTTGTGGTGATGATATTACCTGCACCACCCATCAATCCTTTTTGAGATGCCATAACTCCAAATGTTATGGGGTCGACGCCAACAAGTTTTGAGAATTGCTGTATGACGGCAGTAGCTCGTGCTTGCGATTGATAGAGCCGAACGTCCTGATAGAAAATGTCTCTATAGGTAGTAATCGCAGGAATGGAAACAATTTTGAGACAGGATCGAACAATTTTGACAAGCATAGCACACTTCGCCAGAGTGTGTTCATCAATCAATGACCAGCAGGTTTGTAATTCAAAGCACACTCCCCCAGTCTGTAAGGTCTGACCAAGATTGTCAAGAATAGTAGCCAAGAAACTTTTTTAGTTAGTTGACCGAAATAGAGGTATAAGATTTGGCAATACTCACTGGGACGGTTCATCAAATTGTTGATAGGTTGACAAGCCGATCGGCTCACGCTTAATCCGGAACCCTTTAACTTCTAGCTCAAACATTGAAGAATCAACACTCACGAATTGCCAAACATTTGAGCCAAGCTTTCGAAACTTATGCATGCATCGTCACCAGACACATAGACTCGCGGTAGGCTAATGTTACAATCCATGAACATGAACAGTCGTTGGACCTATTACGACATTCGACCAAGGATAGATACGCATATATCGTCCAGCATGTCTTAAATCTCAATATCGTGGAGGCTATACATGTCATTTGCACGTGATGTGTTATATGCAGTAAACTCATGTACCAAGCACGCACGCCGTGGGGCTCAGCCCTCGAGGATATCAGAGGTGCTGCTTCGTTTACGCGCCACTTTCGTCAGTTATACAAGCTCATGGCGATACTTCCACGAGATTTTGATGATGACACACGCTTCACCGATGGTGCCAGATGGGCGTTCTTTGCAATTTTCATTGTGCTTGTCCTTGGTATTCTTTTCGGCACGCTCCGAGTGAATAAGAGGCGTGCTCGCCATGGAGCGGCACCTATTTATGGGACCCGTTGGATGACTCCGCCGTCTTACCTTCAATCACAAAACCAATACGATCAACCTACCCGGCAGGAACCTGATATGCCTCTGGCATACGTCCCGAAATATACGGCCGAGGCGACAGAATACGACATGGGGTATTACGATAAAGATGGGACATTTCATGCTAACCCCAATATCAAGGCACCGATCCCTCTGGTTCATCACAGAACTACTCTGGTTCTGACGGGCCAGCCCATCCAAGCGATGAATGTGATCTCCGATGAGGACTTTTACCGGACTCACCCAACTCAAGATGCTTCTGCGGGACATTTTGCAGCTCAGACCCGGAACTCCTCTCAAGACAGTCTTGGTCCCCCCTCGGGACCCCCTCCAGAACTTTCTCCAGAAGGCTCATCGAGTGACCTTCCGCGTGGCATGATTCTGGTGGTGGCGAATGAGAGAGGAATATCATCGTCCGCAAATGACAAAAACAAAACTCACATATCTGAAACCGTGACCAGACTTTAAATGAGTTGGTAAATAATGAAGTAATGTAATCTAGATACGATATTCTAAATGTATAGGGTGAAACGGATCATAATAATTGATACGCGCCTCACAAGCCAAATTTTCAACTTGATCGTCACATAGACACATCAATGTTCCAGTATTCTCGATTGGATAAGTCCATTGCAATACCTCTGGCACCTGTGTCAGTGATTGGAGCATCAAATCCTGAAGTCTCCCAATGACTCCTTGTGCTTTGATGCTCACAGCATGAGGCCTTACGAAAGCCTGGCAAGTTCGGCCTGGTTCGACGATACAAGCGTAATCAACGCCTGTTGTATCTGTATTACTCACCGATAAGCCTAGCTTGAGATCAACGCCAGTAGTCAAGGAGACGAGACCAATCAAAGATGGGTTTACCGAGCCTTTACCGGTTAATGTAGTATCAATCTGTACTAGCCTCCCATTGGTGTATTCAACATTGAATCTACCTGCGTAGGGCAGATACATTTGCAGGTGGCAAGGCGACACGGCGATATACCCATCATCACTTGTTTTATTGGTGGTGACGTTGAAGAAGTAGTACTCGACAGAGTCCTTAAGAGGAACCAAAAAGCGGTCGCCGACTTTGAAGACGGCCTCGCTATCCGTGATATTAATTTCTGAGAGTGAGTCAATGGGAGTAATCGCTGCCCCAAGATAGCTCGTGGCTGCTACTAAACGAAGGAATATCATGAACTTGTACATTTGTAAAAAGTTTAAACGTGAAAGGGGAGCTATCCCGTATATTAACATTTCGTTACCGAGCATATTGTACAGCAGATCAAAACCGAGGGCATGCTCAGGTCCCCGTGGTCCGTTACAGAGAAATTCAGGCACGAATGGCTTCTTCATAACCGGGAGGAGGTCCGTCAAATTGGAAATTAGTCGTCCCTTCAATGAAGGAAGCGTTATCATCCACAACACTGACACCTTCCACCTTAGCTTGATTCTTTTCAATTTCCGAAAGACCCATGGGATCTTTAATAAGCCAGATCTCAGGAGGAGAATCCGTCACCGCGGGATCAGTGTACGCGTTCGCGACAAAATCAGGGTTATACTCGATGTATTGGAACAAAATATCAGGCATCAAAGATCTCAAGAACTGGAACAGTTCTCTTCTGGGGTGGAAAAATCTGGAGATCCACAGAAGACCTGCCTTGGGGGCGCTAGTAGCCAATTTTGCAGCCGCCTTTCCAGTGTTGACACCGTCCGACAAACCATATTTCGATTTAGAGTTACCCACATCGCTCACACGGTTGTCATCACCAAATGGAGAGCGCTTCTGTACATCTTCGGTATCGGTCAGTACACGAGTGGCTTTGTCGGTAGACATAGTCGAAGGTGCTTGAACGATTTCCGGGACAGGTAAAGCCTTCTCGTCGTCCATGGGGAATCTGTCGTTCAAGACTTGGCCGTGAACATGAGAGCTCATGACACCAAGTTCATTGCCGCCATCCCAATAGCTGACACCTTCAGTCTTAACCTCTTTGCGACCTTGATCTCTCATAGGGTAGACACAGTCGGGGTCGCCAGCAGCTTCCTTGATGGCACTAATAGGTACAGTATCCAAGATAGGGAAGAACATCCGTTGGAACCACAAGTGAGCCAACACCGTTGCCCCAAGAGATACACCTTCAAGCGCCACACAAGCCCAGTTAAACTTAATGGCAAACATAATGATAAGCACCACTTGAGCCAAGTACAAGCCGGTGAATAATTGAAACAATGCCTTAGGGTAGTTTCTACCACGAGCATCAACAGGGTTGGGGACTTTGACGTACGTCATAACGTAAATCTTACCAAAGTAAGTTAAAAGGTAAGCAACGGCGGCAAAGCCAAGAATCAAGGGTGCAATCATTGCGTAAGACAATGCCAAAACGCAAAGGAATTGCATAGTAGCGTACTCAACACCATAGTCAGGGGAACCAATTGAAGTCCAACGGGTCCATTTAGCGCGAGGAGTCCCATCCAAAATCTTACCCAAGAATTGGAACAAGATGAGACCAACGACTTGGGCGAGCAATGAACCAGGAACAGCTAAACCTTGAAGAGTGATGTAAGAGATGAAGAAATTGGCGGCTTGGGGTAAGTTTTTACCCAAGATATCACGAGCCAGACTGGGATTGTTGATGATATCTTGAATAACGGAGATCGATGAAGACGCAATTGTCATCATAATGAATGAGTTTACCACCAAAAACGCGTAATACCACGATTGAGTGTACCCCGAAATATCTTGTTGAGTAAGACAGCCCGATTGCTTCGCCATAAACTTGATGAATGGTACAAGAAGAGCCATCAACACTGCCAACAACACAACAGGAAGCAAACCAGTAATCACACCCTTGATAACATCAGGAACGCTATTGATAAATTTGAGGAATGGAAGAGCCGTAGTAATGAAGTTAATGTTAGAAATGGCACCAACGACAAAAATGGGAACACACCAGAATACCACCAAAAGGGTGAGAACGGTGTTTGCACCAATATACCGCAACCACCGTTCATATTTGGTAAAGGCCATGTTTGACCAGACCACATCTTCAGGGGCAACACCCGACCGGCGCCGAGAGTGCTTGAACTCCTTGAGATAAGGAATCGCCTGGTACGCCTTCGCCAACTCGATTTGAGTAGGGAATTCCAAAAACACTGAAGACAATTGTTCATTGGCCTCATGTTCGCGCTGATCTTTAGCAATTTCAGTGTTAAGCTCACCAAGTCTAATTTTCCCGTAGTCCAAAGTGTCAACCTTCTTACCAATCAAAAACTTGAGACGGTGCGTGGGTCTCTTTTTGCCGCCCTTAAGGTAAGTGTTGACATCATCAGCTGGTTCAGGAGCGGGTTCGCCCTTCTTTTCAGCTTTGAGCACCTGCTTCATTGCCTTTCTAATCACCTTGTTCGCAGAGCCCTCGTATTTTTTAGCAAGTTTAGTGCGCTCTTTGACTTTCTTTTGCAACTCCTTATATTTACGAGCGTACCAAATGTTGGTCGCCAGGGGAAAGTGCTTGCGCAATTCTTCTTCGGCCATGAATTCTTTAGGGAGTTCACTGATGAGAAGCGTGCGCGACAGGAGCAACGAGTCATAAAATGGGGTGGTTTGAGCGGCATGGCGGAAGGTTGTGTAGTACACAAGCTCCCTGTAAATCAAAAACACCACGCAACCGAAAAAGATCCATGACAAAAAGACGTGGGCAAAGAATCTCCACTTGCTGCTGACATTGGAATAGGAAAGAATCGAGAAGAAGGCTTCGTTGTTTCCCCCAGTCGCGTTGACAGGGAAAAGAATTGGCCACAAAATCACGCACCCAAGAATACACACGCACATGAACTCGAAGATGAATCGAACATGAAAGTAGCCATCGAGACCAAGGTGATGCACCATGAACAGGGTATTTTGCTTGAGCAAATAAGATAACCAGCCAAAAGCACCTCGACGGGCGGGGTCCATACGAATTTCCGGGGGCAATGTCTTCACTACCAGACGCGGTTCGTATACTCTGGGTTCACGCTTTCTGAACGTGAGGAACACGCCATAGTAGACAACGGCGAAGATGAGGGTGGGTACCAATGTCCACAACCACGCCGACACCGACGTGTTTTGGCCTCCCGCGGCCGCGGGAGCTTCCAGCAGCGACGCACTAGCGCTGGCACTAGAAGTCGAGCTCATGGATGGGATGGATTTGTGCCAGACGCGGCGATGGCTGTGTTTATTTATTGTGGGCGGCTGACATGCACGTTTCACCTGGGCAACCCGCAGCGGCTTACGCGAGGCGCAGGTTAACGGTGGTGTTCCGCCAATGGAATTGAGGCACCAACCGCGACGAGCATCTTGCGAACGTCGTGTCGTGCATGACCGTCGAACAATGCTGACGAGGGTCTAGAAGGAGGTCCTCTTTATTCTCTAAAGGCTAATGAATTCCTCTACCTCGTTCACATCGTCAGATGAGGCTGAGGTCACGTTGCAGAGTAGCTTGCTCGATATGCCGTTCGCCACGTAACCCTTCCTTTTTCGTTGTAGCTACGAGCAGTCTATCAGCACGCGTGCATATCACAGAATGTCATTTTTAAGTTGATTTGCTTTAAAGTTCGTAACCAGATATCAATCATAGTGCATGGCTCTGGTGGAGGAGTCGACGATGGAAGGGGGTTAATGGCGGTGATTTTTAGATGAGTTTAATTGCGTCGATGACGATTGTCCCTCTTACGATATAACGTCACCGCGGTGGCAATCCTGAACTCATGACTATCGATCGACTTTTTCTTGTCTCTTTTTTTTTCTCTCCTCCCTAGTCCAAAAGCGATGCTAAGCCGCAAGCGCAGTGTACTAGCATGAGACAATCGAGAAAGTGTTTCACTGCCGGTGCTGGTTTGTTTGCTTGGCTGGCTGTTTGCTTGGCCTGACGGGGAGGGATGCTTAGACGAGTCGAGGCGATGTCCTGCTCAGTGAAGGGGGTGGGGGAGCACACCTGCTTATTGTCTCGGGGCCGACAGAGCATGTGGGCTTAGAAGGTGAAACTGACACTTCTTCTCCGCTCTAAACTCGTGGTTGGCCTGCATAATGTCAAATACGCTCCCGCCACTACGTCATTTTCGCATGGTCCACGACTCAGCCGCGTGCGAGAGGAGCTATTGCTCCCAGGGGGCGGAGTCGATAGAGTGGTAATGTTGCTAACAGCCGTTGAAATCACTAATTACGTACATTTTTGCTTCATGTATTAGTTCACGATCAATTACTCAATTAAGTCATTGGACATGGACCTTGCTGGAGACCGACTCAGCAAATTCGTTGATCTGGTTCTCCCCGTGGTTGCCTTTAGTGGCGGCCAAAATGCGGTCGCCAATGGGACCAACGAAGTGGTTGTAGACAATTTGGGCCCCACCGGTCGAGGGGGTACCGATCCACAACAAGAACACAAGCTTGAACAAAAAATAGAAGGGCACCCAGTACAAGATAGCCTTCGACCAGAATTCAATCACGTTGAAAAAGGCAAATACCACCCAGTACACCAACAACTGGGTATCATCGTCTTTACGCACGGTCTTAAGAGCGATCAACGAGTAGTACGCCGGCAACACAAACCCAGCAATGTTAGTCAACAATTGACCCAAGCCACCGATGTTCAAGAACACGAGCAAAGCGTAGAGCAGGCCACCGCCAAGAACACCGACCGAACGGGGCAATCCGGTGCTCTGTTCGAACTGGTCAAACAACTTGTTGCCTTGGAATTGACGGTCAATGCCGGCAAGCGCTTGCTGAAGTTGAGGGGGGATCGACATGGTTTAGGATTTGTTCGACGGGGTCGGCGAGGAACTATTCGCACGCGCGACTTTTTTTTCTTTAAGGGTCGTGCGTCGTGTAATTATGACGTCATACACGTAATTACATGTAAGTGAACGAAACTGTAACGATACTTATGTCAGATTTGAAATTAAAGGAAAATGCTATATACTATTAAAGGAGGGTATGTAAAATCACTTTTTCTTCAGCTTCGCACTGCCTTCAAAGCCAGCCCTCTTCTTGCCGCCGGCTTTGCCCCCAGTCTTACCCCCAGCTTTGTTAACAATGCCAGTAAACTTCTTCAACCGCGGCAACTGCTTCTTCTTCTTGCCCCGAACCCCCTTAGCGTCGCGACGCGCTTGAAGATTCTCTTCGCGGCGCTTTTGACGAGCAGCCTTAGTGTCCTTCACCGTTTGTGTCCGCTCTTGCCATTCGCGTTCCAGCTTAAGCTTTTGCTTTTCTTTGCGCTTCAATGCCTTTTTCAACAACTTCTCGTCATCTTTGAGCTTCACCCCTTCCGCTTGCGTCATCACCTTCTGCCACTTCTCCTTCTCTAACTCCTTTTGTTGTTGCTCAGGCAGTAACTTGGCAAAGCGTTCTTTCTTCTTTTCGAGGATGGCGAGGTGTGCCTTGATGTCGTTGTTGGCCGGACCTTTCTTCTTTCTCTTCTCGGCTGTGTTTCGCAACTTAGTGAGATCGGAGGTGACTCTGGTACCATCGTTAAACACGATATTACCGAAAAACGTCAGATCCTTAGCGCCAACTTCGTCGGCATCGTTAACTTCGTTGTCGTTGTCGTTGTCGTTGTCGTCGTTATCACTGTCGCTGTCGTCGGCTTGCTCTTCTTCTTCTTCCCGCTTCCGCTTTTTACGCAATTCAGCTTTGCGCTTACGCTCTTCGAGTATTTGCTGCCGCGATTTGGGAGCCCCTTCGGCCTTAGAACCAACCGCTTTCCGCTTTTCTTTCATTTGGGAGATCTTCAGAGTTAACCGCTGTCGTAACGCCGCGAGTTTCTCTTCCCGTGCCTTGCGCTCTTGTTCCAGTAACTGAGCCTTAGCATTCTTAGCCTTCTCCTTCACCGAATGAGACTCATCGGTGGTAGTGGCATCGTCGTCGTTGGCGGTTTGTATTTCGACCGCCGCGTCGTCTTCGGCGGCTTCACTGGCATCTTCAACCTCATCGCCGTTGTCATCGAAAACAGTGACGGAGTCAAGCGCCATCAGCGAGTCCAGAGATTCGGACTCATCGTCGTCTTCATCATCGTTGGAAGCCTTCGCCACCGGTACCGGCCCACGTAGCGTTGCAGCCCCCGGGAGCTTCACAGGCTTACCCTTCTTCGCCTTATTATCCTTGACGTGTTTCGCCAGCGCATGGCCATTGGCGTAATCGTCGGCGGAGTCTTTAGACAGCGGGTCAAGCTTGGCCCGCTTATTCTGGCGTTGCTCTTGTTTCAGTTTCTTCTTCTGTTTCCACTGATCCTGAGTGGCATCATCGTAGTAATACTTCGCGGGGATGAGCGAAAGCAAACCATCAAACGCCGAACTGTGGTTCTTTATCAGTTCCTGGTTGGTTAGTTAAAAGTCCACTATAGCTCAACGGGGGGTTATACATACCTCAAGGGAGTTCGTCATCGCTCGCTCTCAATCCGATGCCCTCCGCACTCGATGGCTTTATTAACTGTGAATGATGTCGCATATGCAGGATGTGACGGAAACACCAGTCGATGACATATATGTGCCCTTCATATCAAAAAAACCTAAAAATTTGACTATTTTTCGTATAATGCTATGTCTATCAGTTATTCATTTACGGCAACGCTTTTAGGTCTCTTGGCGCCTTCGCCTTTGGCGACCACCCGCTTGCGTTTCGATACTCTCACCGGGCGTTCTTCTCCTTCAACGAACACATCGTTGGGAAGATCGTACACCCGGACCTTTTTGATATTGATGCCATTGATCTTAGGATCAAACTCCGTCCACGTCTTACAGATATTCATAAAGTCGCCACAAGGCTGTTGGATATCTAATTTCTTGTCTCCACCACACTTGTCAACGTCAACGTTGAGGCCGACAAAGAATTTGGTAAGGTGGACCTCGACTTGAGAATCCAGCTCGCGCTTGGTAGCGACATTGGCGGCGAGCTTCTCACCCAGAAGATCCCCGTACAGCGCCACAATCTGCGACGCCTGTTCCTTAGAGTCGCAAAAGTAGTCATTATCAAATGACTTAACGTAGGGATGAGCCAACTCCACCCCAGCCACGTTTTCCAACCTCTGCACCAATAAACGCACTTTCGACTCCACCATCCCCAGGTACAATGCATGTTGGTCACTGGTGCCATACGTCAGGGCCACCACGCAGAGGTAGAACTTATACTTGTGAAAAAACTTATGGCGTTCAAATAAATCGGCCCACGTCTTTTTGCCGGCAATAATATCCGCCATAATCTCCTTGCCTCGCTTAAATTCCTCCATGATGACCTTGAACGTCAGTTGACCAATATTATGGGTGGCACACATCAGTGGATACAGCGGCGTAATCACCGGCATTAAATGATGACGATCGCCAGCGTATAACGTTGGGTTCCACACCCGTACTTGCAACGGCCCGTCTTCAATTTTCTTGAGCACCACTGGCTGAGGCCACAGCCATTGATGATAGATATTAAACACGCGGTCGACGATCACCGCCCCCACCGCATTGGGATAAAGCTGGCAAATACGAGCCACTAGCATTGCCCATGCTACCCCACCAGGAAACCCCGACACGTTCCCGTAAATCGCCCGCTGTTGGGCCCACATCTTAATACAACGAAGCGCGTGCTTGAACACCGTAAGCTTAGGCACGAGCTTCAAGATCTCGTCGGTGACCCGGGTACCGTTGAGCAGTCGCAAATCCTTTTCATCCACATTCCGCAATAAGTTTTTATCCTCTAACGTGAGAGTAACTGGCACTCGCGATACATCGAGACGAGCGCAGATTAAATCGATGGAGATGCCCCCGTACTCAAGCTTGATAATGGGCACGAACGCATCGGGAACCGGGGTCATTTCTTCGAGCTCGGGGCGTTCATTAAGCAATTTGGGGAACTCGTCGAAGAAGTCAGCTCGAGACACATGGCGAGGCACGACGACAAGAGCATCGATATCGGAACCAGGGCCGTACACCCCCAACCGGTAGGAGCCAAACGTGAAGATCTTCCCCCCGGCGTCCCGCGCCATGCCCTCGCTCATGTTTTTGCGCTTAGAAACCCGGTAGACGAACTCCTCCGCCATCTTTTGCAAGGTGCCGAGCACTTCGGCTCGACGCCGAGTCGCCAGCTCGGGCTCAAACGAGTTGCGGAGCTTGAGCTCTTTGATGAGAGCATCGTTGATGGCGTTTTCCGCCGGCGTGGGATTGGCCACCAGGATGGGTGCAGTCACCCCAAAACTGGCGGTGTCAGTCATGGTGCGGACCGTTAGATGAACAATTTCGATAGTGCGATTCGAGACCCCTTCACAAACGTTCGCGGTCGCGACGAGGTGACAGGCGAGAGGGTTGAAAATTGTTGTGTAGACGAATTTTAGTGAGGTGAGGAGGTCAGGTGTGGTCTGTATAAGGCTTGACTTAAGTGTGTTCTTCTAGCGATGTTGTGAATTCGGATACCATTAGGTTTCTTACAACTTTACCAATACGACAGTCGAAAGGTCACAAAGCTTTCATGTGTATCAAATGAGTTTGTGATTACCCCTTACTGGCTAGTTTGTGATTGGAACACAATGCGATGTAACTGATATGTTAGGTGTCTAGGTGTCTGGCTGTGTATAAAAGCTAGTGTAAAGTAGGTGGTACTCATAGAAAATTTCAGTGGCAGAGATTCGTGTACTTCTGCGAATACGAGGTCACCGCGAAGTCGATATACTTTCAATAACACTCTTGTAAAAGAGTTGAGTCAACGTTTATGTATTTCTTACTCTTACTGGATTATATTGGTCCCATGCTTCGTCAGCTTAAATGTATTCGAAGTTCGTGCACACAGTAAGGTAATGATATTCCAGATATGGGGAATATTGACAAAATAGCACAAAATTTAGTACATGAGTTCGAAACCGCATTTATTTACCAGTTCGGTCTATCTGCCATTATCAACGCTCACAACCCTCTCTGTTGATATCCAAACTATTCGTTCAACACCAATTGAGTCTTAATGACCTAACATAAGACGAGTCGGTTAAAATACTATCCTCTGATTCAGCTACTATCAGGAACTCGCTCAATCTCTGTCAACCGTCCCGCAGTGACTGATCCACGGTGATCGTTCCCGACCGATCTGATAGTACTCAATTGGGGAATAATCTTCGGAAAAGTTGTTATATGGTTGTGGCTACCACCATCTAGGGTCAGACTCTAAGGAACTATGGCCATGAGGTCGCATCATGTAAGGAATCGTTATCCGCATGGCTGAGTTGCTCGTATGGCTCCCAAAAGGGTGCGACCAGTTGCCCTTTTACCGACTACGGTTAGCGCGCGGACTCCTCAACCAATATCATCGTCTCCAATTGCAGCCACGCCATGGCAAAGGTTCATAATCGTTAGATATCACATGGACGCAGACCACTGTCGGGTGGCAATGGCTGGGGATCGCCTGGCACCCGGGATCGCAATAATCCTTCACTATCGCGGAACCTTCGGCGCCGGGGGCTACCGCCATCGCCACTCATCAGATGGCTAATTTCGGACTTTATGTAGCCACCACTCACGCCGGAGCCTGGTAACGGTGAGAGCAGTAGACAGGAAAAAAAAAAAAGCGCCCTCTCCATGTGAATACGAAGATCCTCCCCCCCAATTCAGTCCCATGGGGTATCCCCGCCGTGGCTTACGTTAGCGTAGTTTGTCGTAATCTCCCCCTCCCGTTCCACACCGCCACCGGCGTAGCACCCCGCCCGGTCACTCGCAAGGTTGCCCCCCTAGTAACGCGCACTCTCACTAAAACGTGTTCCTCTTTCCGACCACTGCCCACACTACCGACACCAATGGGGTTAACATCGAAGTTGGACAAATTGAAGATAGTGGGGGACCACCACCACCACCCCGGCGCCGACGCCACCCGCGGCCACAGTGCCGACGTCGTCGACGGCGCCGCGGGGGCCCCGGTTGCCACCGACACCGACGACATCGATGAAGTGGATAACGAGGGCCAGCTGATCCTCATGAGCATCATCTCGCAATTGCGTCCCGGGTGTGACTTGCTGAAGATAACATTGCCCACGTTTATCCTCGAGAAGAAGCTGATGTTGGAGCGTATCACCAACTTCTTCGAGATCCCCGAATTGTTGTTGGCAGCCAATACCGAGCTGGACCCGGTGGAACGCTTTGTGCTTATCACGAGATGGTACCTTGCTCTGTGGCACATCGCCCCCAAGGCGGTTAAAAAGCCCCTCAACCCGGTGTTGGGCGAGGTGTTCACGTGTTATTGGGACGACTTGCCCGGCAAGCAACACGCCTACTACATTGCCGAGCAAACCAGCCACCACCCGCCAAAGCTGTCGTACTTCTACATCTGTCCCGAACTGAAGATCCGTGTCGACGGGGTCGTGATACCTAAGCTGAGATTCTTGGGTAACCTGCTGGCAGCGTTGATGGACGGGTGGGGCCACGTCACCTTAGGACAACATAACGAGACCTACGTCATGAACCAACCCAACGTCTACTGCCGGGGGATCTTATTCGGGAAGATGCGCACCGAATTGGGGGACCACATGGTTATCAAGTGTGAAAAAACTGGGTTGGAAGCCGATATTGAGTTCAAGACTAAAGGGTTCATATCTGGGACCTACGACGCCATTGCCGGGACGATCAAACGGTCGTCGACGGGTGAAGAGTTGTACTCGATCTCCGGGAAGTGGAATGAGGTGATGGATATCAAGAACTTGTCTACGGGCAAGAAGAAGGTGTTGTACGACACCGCGACCCTGAAGCTCGACAAGCCTAAGGTGAGACCCATCAACGAACAATGGGAGTTTGAGTCGCGCAAATTGTGGAAGCCGACGGTGGATGCGTTGGCTCAACGTAACCACGAGGTGGCGACGGAGGAGAAGTTTAAGGTAGAAGACGACCAGCGTCAACGGGCCAAGAAGCGCGTCGACGACGGCGTCGAGTGGTACCCCAAGTTGTTCCGGTCGGTCCACCAAGACGAGCCCGAGTTGCAAGACCTTGAGTACGTCATTTACAAACCTTTGGACCTCAACGACCCCCCCAAGGTGTTGGAGGAGAAAGTGCTCGAGATCGCCCCCATCTTGCCTGGCCAACACTTCGAAGACAGGTTCGAGATTCCTGCGTTCAAAAAGAGCGGCTAGTCCGTCCGTTTTGTGTTGTTGATTTTTTTTTTCTCTCTAGAGACCGGTATTTAGACAATGTAAGCTAATCTTTAGTGTCCCCTCTTTCCTATATACCAACAACACCGCGGTGTCTGCGGCGTCCGATGCCACGCGCGCGCCCACCCCGGCCTGTGTGCACACGTAGCCATAAGTAAGAGAATCGTCACTTACCGCGAGCGCCTAATGGACTACGAGAAGGTGTTGGCGGCGCTCAAGGGCCCACGGCTACTGCTGCTTGAGTGCATTGACTACTTGCGCCGATACGGTGACAACGTAGGCGTGCACCATGCCGTGGTCGAGCGCCTTCGCCAGTTCAGCTACGACGAGCTCGAGTTCTACATCCCCCAATTGATCCAGTTGCTCGTCAGCTACGAAACCGACTCGATGGCCCTCGAGGACTTCTTGCTCGACTACTGCGTACAATACCCGCACTTCTCCTTACTCGTGTTCTGGAACTTGCAAGCGTTCGTGTGGGAGCTTCGCAACGACCCCGAGCTGTATCTGTTCCAGACGGTGCGCAAGTTCATCAACCAACTACAAAACATTCTCTTTACCACCGAAGGGTTACCCCAGCAAGAATTCAAGGAGAACTTACAGCCGGCACTTGTACTTTGCGGAGCGATCGCGGCCCTGGTGGCGATGCCTGGCCTTGGCAATTACATTAATCCGATCATCCGCAGCCAGCTGCGCCAACAAAAACTGTTTGTATTCAAGCTTGCCAACTTCCAGAAGGCGTTGACAAGGAACTTAACCCTAAAGAACCAAGGACGAGTGGAGACCGACCCCCAGTTGTCAGCAAAACCCGAAAAAGTGGCCCCTCTGGGAGTACCGCTCAAGCGGCTGGTGCTGTTATCGCGCCTTTCTCACCTCGAATCCGATTCCGAAGTCACCACCGACGATGAACCCGAATCAAAGGGCTTACGTGCCGAACTCTCCCAAGCTGAAGGTGCCCGGTTGCACCGGAATGCCTACAACTCCCTCGAGGAAAACTTGAAGATAAACACGGTGATAAAACTGAAGAAAAAGCGGGCCCAGCCTGATCGCTTGAACCACTCGCTGCGACTGTTGCCCGACCTCTCTCCCGAAGCCGTCCCCGAAGCCGCCCTCACCCGTCTGTTGAGTCAAACGATACGGCCAAAGCAACCGACCTACGACGAACTTGTACGCACGCTCAGAGTAAACTACGCTCGGCAAGCGTGTGATTTTGCCATGAGTCTCCAGAACATCTCGTTGAGATTGTCGCTGGTGCCTAAAGAAGCTCGATTGTCGGCATTACGAGCCGAACTCTCCATCATCAACAACAAAATGCTCCCCGCCGAAGTTGATATCCCGCAGTTATTACCGATAACCTCTAATCGCAACAAAAAATACCATAAGATATTGCGGTTGACGGTAAACGAGGCGTGCGTGCTTAACCTGGCGGAACGGGTGCCATTTTTGTTGCTCGTCGAGTACCTTAGCGACGAGATCGACTTCAACCCGTTCTCCGAGTACAACCTGCGCATAATCGGCCACGGCCCGGCCCCGGCGGCAGCGGTCCCTCCATCAGCTCCGGGACTGCCCCTTACCGTCGCCTCCGCCACCTCTGGTGGCACTGGTGTCGACGAGATCTCCACCATGATCGACGAAACCGATCTCTCCGACCTTCCGCGCACCCCGCGGTTGCCACAAACCCCTCAAGTACTGCTGCCTCTCGCCGACGCCACTCCCGTGACACTGGCGACGCTGGCCAATACTGATACCGTGTCGACATCTGCTCCTCCCGGTGACCGTAAGCATCTAGCAGACCAGATGCGGATCGCTCTGGTAATGTTACAGCAGCTAGAGTCTCTGGGACAGCTGTCACTGGAGCACTCGGCGGCCATCCGTGGTCGTATCGTCCAACTGATGATCGCATTGCAAGACCAGTTTGATTCCATTGATTACAATAAAATTAATGAACTCACTGGTGATGCTCATGCTGGCGAGCGGAAAATGGAAAACGACGCCAAGGTCGGTGAGGATTGGGCCCGTAAACGTGCGAGAATAAAGAGCCAGTCGCCTTACGGCCACTTGCCTAACTGGGAGTTATGTCTGGTGATTGCTAAAAACGGTGATGATTTACCCCAGGAAGCCTTTGCCTGTCAGCTTATCACCCTCATCTCAAACATTTGGCGCCACGATCGCGTGGGAGCATGGACCAAGCGGATGAAAATCGTCATCACTCTGGCCACCACCGGGTTAGTCGAAACCATCATCAACGCCATGCTGATTCATTCTATCAAAAAACTGATGACCGAGGCATCGATTGCTCTGGGCGAGAACTCGCGGGGGCGCATCGCCACTTTGTCCGACTACTTTGTCCAGGAATTCGGCGACCCGCTGCTGAGACGTCATCGCAACGCTCGGGCCAACTTTGCCAAGTCGTTGGCGTCGTATCTGATCATCTGTTACGTGCTCCAAATTAAAGATCGCCACAACGGTAACATTATGGTCGACGCTGACGGTCACATCATTCACATTGACTTTGGGTTTTTGTTGCTGAACCTGCCAGGACTGGTTGGTTTCGAGGCGGCGCCGTTCAAGTTGACCCAAGAATACGTTGACGTGATGGGCGGCGTCGACAGCCCTGATTACGCCGACTTCCGCAGATTGTGTAAGATCTGCTTCCTCCTGCTCCGCAAGCAGGGCCAGCAGGTGGTGAGCATGGTGGAGTTGATGCAACGTGACCTGACGTTGCCTTGCTTCAACAATGGAGACAATACCCTGGTGTTATTGGCACAACGGTTACAGATGGATTTAAGCGACGCCGACGCCGAGTCATTTGTCGACGGTCTTATCACTAAGTCGCTCGGGTCGATGTACACACGAGTGTACGACCAATTCCAAATGATCACTCAAGGTATATATTATTAGGCGCGGCTGCACCTCTCTGTCGCCCCATGCCGAAACACCCCACCCCACGCACTTAGCTTTAAAACCCACAGCTTATGTATTTATATCATACAACCCCATATACCTTCAGCATGGATGAAGACACTCCTCTTTCCGCTCATGTGTTCCAGTTACAAAAGAAATCGGTCCAAGTGAGCCACACATTGAAAGACTTATTACTGCCCGACTCATTTCCCATGAAAGCAATAAATGCAGTATCAGAGTGGCAGGTGGAAACTCAATTTATTAATTACTTCAAACCCGAAGATTTGAACAAGAAGACAGCAGTTGAAAAGACAGAGTCAACGTTTCGAACTCCTAATCGGTATCTCTTGATGAGACTGACCATAGGAGGATTGTATAGGTTGCGGCAGAAACCACCAACTCGTTTGTTGTCCAAAATCACATCGCTGCTATGGAAGAAATCTTCCAAGAACACTCACGCTTACTATGAATACTTGGCGCAAAATCATGCAGCGTGGCATGAGCATTACATGCGTTACGAAAAAATCTCAACTCGAAAATGGAGGCCAGTTGATTTCAAAAAGCAGTGCTTAACATTCAAAATCACAATAAGGAATCTGCGTAAATTGAATCAGCTTAAGTCTGTCGAATCATAAGTCTAATTGGAATAAAGCACCGTAAATCGAAACATCTCAATCTCATATAAATCCTGGCTTGCAGAACGTTTTATATGCAGGTCAATGGTACTTTTAACAGAGATTCGAATTTTCACGATGGTAGTTCGCTTAGATCTGAAGCCAATAATGTTGGGGGGAGAGCACAAGTCAATAAAGGGTACCGCCATTTGAGTCATGTGGCTAATTCTACAGGAAAGGATTTAAATTGTACGTGAGCTTTAGCTGGGTTGGAAATTTAGATCTCTGAGTCGACTCACTTATTTTGAGACGAAACCTGAATCTCAGCTTTGATTGCCATAACTGATCTCGACCATTGAGTCGATACTCCACTCAGTCAACTTAGTGGATATCAATTTGACCTCGACACGTTACCGTATGATCGATGAATAGTATATCGTACATTACTACCAACATAGGGCTACAGAAAATGCAGGTATGCGTATTGAAATCACACTATAGTTTGTTACAAGAACTCGTACCTATCGTGAAATTCTTTCATGTTCACATCAATGCGGTTCGCAACCCCTAGCCAGAAAATCAACTTTCTGTAATCTTTGTCTTCAGAAGTGAATTTCAATTTTTCAACCTCACATTGGATTTCTGAAATCTCCTCTTCGTAAGTGTAGTAACGCAGATATTCAGGCGGGCTCAACAGACAAAGCATGGGATGATCGCTTGTGGCTTTGGGAATCAGTATGAGAATCTCAAAAATTTTGAACCAACTTTGCACCGCTTCCGGAGAGATGTTTAGACTTGCCAGACAATCAGCCATATCACAACCGTACAACCAAGATTCCCAAATTCTTGTCACTGCACGGTCCTCAAAACGAATTTCCTTCGGTTGACAGATACTGTGTGACATGGCCCAGAAGGCCTCGAAATATGGGTAGATGGCGTCCTCATTTAGTGTCAAGCATGGGTGTTGAGCCTGAAAAATTTTCAGAATCTCTTTCACCATCTCATCAATCGATTGGAGACCATGATCCTGCGCTCGGTTGCAATGTATGACGTACTGTTTAGCCATGAAGCCATACGTTGTTTCGAAATACTTTGCATCCCATTCCTGATAGCCTTCTTTGCCGGGAAACTCCAATCCTTCTTCTTTGTAGTGCTCGTAATGTTCGACCACACTGTTATTGATCCGTTTGAGCTTTTCTTCGACCTTATCTTCCATTAATCCGACCAATTGCGGATTGGATTTCTCCATGTTAGCACGCAACAACTGTAATGCCCGCAGAACATCCTTAGACAATACGGGATCCAGACAGTACATCGAAGAGAATCGCTTCCACGACAAGCACACGACACCTAGAGGCCGAGAATGGGCGTGATGCACAATTGAGCGGTTAAGACGAGCAGCGAGTTTGAACATGATTGAAGGATATATTGGTACAACCCCCAACTTTATAGTCGAGAACGGTGTGGAAGTCTCAAATTATGTAAACGTCAGACGCGTTGCCGTGACAACGAATCTGAAACATGTGTGGTGAATCATTCAAATATGATTGCACTTGATCCGCCCGTTAAGCTCCCACGCGAATACGTTAAACATCTCGGCTAGATGAAATACAATAAAGTTCTTTCGTTCCAGCAATTTCGCAAGTCAAATCCATGCAGCATTAGCTTATTTGATCTGGCGACATTATAATCGCATTAACCCAACCAATGTTGCCAAGATTATTTTAAGTGTGGTGTTCTGACGCGATTATGCGACACTTCCAGTGCAATTGGCAAAACATTTTGAGTATGGGTGTTCAAGAACATCGCATGAGTTCATCTTCATGAGAAACTTCGTTCCTACTCATAGCTTACTATATCGGTAGCATCTCATTGTAATCAATGGCGACTCAAAAACACTCACCGACTTTTCTGAGGTATCAACCGAGGTGGTCTGAAATGTGTAGACCTGAAACAACCACCATGGAAAGTGACGTTCGCTTATAATCCAGCACTTTCAATTGCATAAATACCGATCATATCTCTATCGAATCAATATGAACTCGGAACTTGCTAGCTTGAAGGAGTGTTTCGCAAAAGTGGAAAAGATTTTGGGTGAACACAACGCTACTCAGAAGTCCAAAGTTATCGACCAAACTTTATTTGATGACACGGCCTCAAATTCCTACTGCGAAGCGAGAGCCAGAATCGACATGGTAAGTAATTAGAGATATTGATTGACTTGACTAACAATAGCTTTCACAATTGGCAGGTAACAAGGAGATAAGAAATAGCGGAAGATCGTTGTTCTCTATGTACACTCTGGAGGAAGAATCCTTCAAACCTCGCTTAGCTCGCGAGGAGGGTGACTTCATAATTGAGCACGTTAAAGTGTCCGTCCACCACGAGAAAACTGGAGGAAACGGAGATATTCATGATGCTCAGAAATAATGAATCCAGTCAACAATGATGTTGACTCAGGCTGCACTTTTTTAAACATCGATCATTTTCGAGTGAACGTGCTTAATATTGTCTAAAGATCACTAGTGTAATCGTACAATACACAACTTTGAAGAATTTTCGATAACCTAGTAACAACTTTGAGGGGATCAACGACCATTAAGATTGTGAATTGTTAAAGTGTATCCTCACTACACGTGTGGTATACGCACTATAGAAATTATATACACGTGACAATAACAGTTCACGCGAAATGGGATGCCACGAGGAGGGACGTCAAGAGGGATCATGCCACGAGGCAATAAAGCACGAGTTCTATGGAATCAGGACATAGATGTGTATAACCCTGAGGTTATTCCCATGTCTATTGCCCGAGAGATCCTGCGACATTTACCAGTTCCAGATCTTCTCATTTTTTCTCAAGTACTGAAGAACACCTACCGTGCCGCCCAAGATCCTCAGCTATGGACGTCAAAATTATCAGCCATGGGCTTATGGTCGACGGCTCAGCCCCCTCAACTGAAACACATACCATTGAAACCGCTTGACAACCCATTGACTGGAGTGGACCATGTCGTCCGTGCCCCTAAAGCAGCTAAAGCTCAGGTGATCCGGTTGTATCGAGCATTGCTGCCCTACTATTACGACTTAATGACTACACAAGCCTACGAAAACCTTAAATTACTTCGACAGTTTGACACTCCTGAAGATCAAGCCAGAATTCTCAATAATTTGTTGATGATCAACAGAATCGACACGGAGCCGCTGGCGTCTGTCGTTAGAGATAAGTTGCTTTCCTTGATCGAAATTTTTGAAAGTGCCTTGCTTCGAGAGGTTGAAATCCATTTTGATGTTGAAGATTGGAAGTCGGCTCGTCGGTTTGTGACGGTGTTACTTTCGCTCCAAAATCAGCATACGCTTATAGATTTCTTCTTACAGAAAGTTGACGCCGCCGGTTTGATGTCAATCACTGATCAATTCTCTTGCGAGAAGTATTTCGACGACGAAGGCCGTCCAGTCGAAGAAGAATTCCAGCGGCTCCTCAAGACAGTCATTGATGTATTCAATCACCAAGCGGAAGTGGTAGACGCTATGTTCCCCAAGGAGGTTCCGATTATGGCTAAAGTTTGCGAGGAGATAATTGCCAACCAATTGAACCTGATTGTTTTGAGTTTGGTGGCTTATTCGAAGAAGTATCCTCAACGCTACGTTGAGACAATTCCTTACATATATCAGCTGTTTACATCGAAATTCGTGGAGCAGCTCATTCCTCTGGAGAATATTGGCAGCAGCTACAAAGAATTGGTTATTGAGCTCATGGACATGATGTTTGAGCTGGTGGTGTCCGAATATGTTCGTGACGAGATCTCAAGAGTCCGTGAGCAGTGCTCCGATAACATCAATCAGTGGATTAAAGAAGTATCCATGCGAGAGCAGGAGACACAGCAACAGATCTTGAAGCATGTTAAAGTTGAAACCAAGAATGCCTTCTTGTCGAGTTTCAAAAAGATGTTCGTTCCTACCAGCAAACTGGGGGAAGCTGACGCAGAGCCTGCTGAGCAGTACCTGGAAATTGAGGCAAAAGCAAAGATTTTGAGTGCAAACATCCAGCTGCTCACCCTGATACTTCTGCCAGAGCTTGTGCTCACGACACTTAACTATGGGAAGGAAGGCTTACATAGACTCGCGGTTTTCCGCAATTACCTGATGGCAGGATTACGTCTGGACATTCTTGCGACCATGCAAGAGATGTTTGTGGATATTATCGAAACAATTGGCACCAATCATTTGCGCCCTGGATTTGACCGGGCCATGCGCTATCTTCAGACATATAACCCTAACCTGGCAACATATACTCTGGACCATCACGAAACATTTGATCAGCCGCTTGTGCTTTTCTTTGAACTCATCAACATGGCTGATTTGATCATTCAAATGATAGACATCTTCTACAAGGAAGAGTTCATTAACAATCACTTGGTGAAGCACGAAAACTCAATTTTGAATCCTGCGCTTCAACACAAAAAGGGATTGGAAGCAATTGTTGATCATTATGTTGCAGATGGTCTCAACGTCGCGTTGGAAATTCTCGTTGACAAAATTGAGGAAGTATATCGCACTCAGTTGCGGCCGGAAGATTATGACCCTCCAGCACTGGCGGCATTGGGGCATACTGCCGCCGGATACCAAGCAGTCCAAGTTCTAGAGGAAAACATGGATCTATTGGTGGATCTGGCCGACAGACTGATTGTCGACGTCTTTCAACAAGAAATAGCCGAGAGATTCTTCCAGGTGCTTGTTAAGATTCTCAAAAAGTCCACTATTCTGGTTCAGGGCGCCACGAACTTGATCAGTGACTTGAATATGTACTGTGATTTTATCAGGAGTCATATTCGAACCAATAAGCGGTTGGTATTACCCTTGTTCGAATCCCTCAAGAAAGTTGGGAACATTTATCTCATATCAGGCGACGATTCCAAAGCTATCGCTAAGCTTGTCAGTGACTTGAGTAAGTTCAACGGGATTTTCAGTCAAGAAGAGATCTACGAATTTGTTCAGAGACGAAAAGACTGGACCCAAGTCAAGCGACATGTTGAGAAAGTTATGTATGGCTTTGGCTTCGGCGACTGCGTTATTATATAGACAATCCGCTTTGAAAGCGGTACTCATACCCTGCAAATGAATTTAACGATACAATCATTAGCCGATGTATTCTACTTGTATTGCTTTACGATACAATCACTAGCCAGTATATGAAATTTTAACATATTTGCTTTAATTCGGCTTCGACGATGTTAAGGTGTATCCCGCACCAGCTCTCCGGTCGCACTACGATTAACAGGATCATTCCGGGGAGCGCGACGGTTGATGCTTCTATCCCAGATAAAAATCAAGCCTTTGGTTCCACGAAGGTTGAAACGACTTTGCATTGACATCAACAACTTATACCAAAAGAATCCTCAGCATAATCTCATCAAAGACATCGTGGAATGCAAACGAGATCCCCAGCATCGTGCGACCGATAGCCTTCAGCGATGGCTTCTTCACACAAACTTCACCCACCCCACAGTACGCCATTTGCTATATACAAGTGCTCATCAACTTGTGCTTAGTGGTGAGGTCGAATATGTTCGAGAACTCTTCGCTGATAAGCTTTCGCCGCAAACCCTGCCTCATGATACCAGCGTGATACTCGCGATGAATGCTGGGGACGTATTACTAGCGGCCCTGTTTGCGATTGAATTGAAATTGAAAGACATTTCGGTATCGCCCGATGTCATCAATACACTATTACGAGTGATTCTGGTCGCAATAAGAGCTGATGAACTTGCTGTGGCACATGCTTTTGCGATCATGCGGATAATAGACGTTTACGGTCCTCCAAACGACGTATTGGCCAACACTTTATGTCAGAAATTGGCGGCATCGAAACCCACCGTTTTCTTTGCCAACGCTTTGGCCATAAGATACCCCACTTTATCTGACCGGACCCTTCAAGCATTGATTAAGGCTAACATCGAGTTAGGAGATCATACCAGTGCTATGCGCTGGATAAAGATAAACACCACAAACATATCTGTGGATATAGCATTGGATTTCTTGCGTGAGTTCCCCCGATATACTGACTCCATAGTGGACTTGTGCGACGCAAAAACCCTCAAACATCCAGACATGCAACTGTTCCTTTTGGAGCATTATGCTAAAACCGATCAACCGGGAAAATACCGCAGGGTGGTGAACACACTTGAAGCTCCGCTTCCCCGTGGAGTTCTTGGAGCTCTCTTTCGAGCCCTGTTAAAGCAGAATGATGAAAAAGTGGCGGATCAATGTCTCCAAGCAATCTTTGCCAACGACAAACTGATAAACGCTCGAGAGGTGGGTGCTATAGTGGCTAAGTTGTTACTACAAGATCATCGGGTTGAAGCAGCATCCGTCTTGGAGCAGTATCCTGAAATTGGGCGTTCCAAATGGGGTTGGGCTCGCCTTGCCGAATATATGGCTGATGAACCCGGCTCCAGTATATTTCACCAAGCAACCACGGTACTTCGACAACTACCTGACAACGACCCGGCGCGGGTTTTGTTCACCGAGCTGATGATACAACGCTTTATAAAACGTGATCCCAAGACGGCGATGGCAGCGTATGAGGCCATTGTTAACTACCTAGATTTTCCCAGCAAATGGCAGGCAGGCATTGTGGTGTTTGAGTTTGAGAAATACGGGTTCTCTTCCAGCATAGTACGAGCGATGTCGCTTCCGCCGGCGACACGGCGTAAAGTGGTCGACGAGATCGCCGAGATTAGTGCTCAGCATAACACCAGCTCTAATCCCGGGTGGAGACAATGGGTCCGGGTCCAGAACCTGCTTCTAGGCATGATTACCGCATAAATATTTGATTAAAAGACTATGTACATCAACGGTTCTTATCCTTCTTCTTATCAAACAACTTACCCCCCTTTTGCACTTCTTGGACGTTGTGGCCCATGAGCTCGATGAAGTCGTCAGCCACCCGTTCCTCGGTGGTGGGAGCCTTTCCGGACCCGCCGGCCTTAACACCAAAGTCGGCATATTTCTGCTGGAACTTGGAAACCTTCCCGGTAGCGTTGGGGTCGGTGGTGACCAAGTCTTGGCGGTTAGGGTTCCACAACTGGGAGTTTCTCTGATCGGAAATCATCCGGATTTCGTCCTTGGGAGCTTGAGAGCGTCTGCGGATCACCAGGCCGTCGGACAATTCGACGAGGGTGTCGAACTGGTGGTAGATGGTGGGACGCGCCCGACCCTGCTCAATCTTTCGCATCACCCGTCGGTTGGACAACTTGACCTCACCTTTCATGGCGATCCCCCGCGCCAACCGGGGAACCACTACTCGCTGACTGGTCGAGAACATCGTGGTGAAAATTTCCGATGCGCCGGTGCGAAGTGGTGATCAAATGCGATGGTCGATAATATGGGGTATAAGGCTACAACGAATATAGTAAATTAATTCTATCACATAGTTGGAGATGTGTTTTATTTTGAAGTAGTTGTATTGTGAAGATGAGTGTTAGAGTAAAAGGAAGACTATTCCAAGAGATTGAGAGCTGCAATTCAAGATGTGAGAAACTTGATAGGATACCCTGAGCATACTCCGTTGTAGAAACCAGAGTGAATGAATTGAAACCATTTCACATGGAATAATAGTTTTGATTTAGGTACTGATTGTGCTGTGAGTCGTTCAAAACGTATTCGATCGGAGTTGTCTCGATCAAGATCACAATTGTGTGCAGGATTGTCATTTGATCAATTAAGGGGAATTCTGTAAATCGATCAGACTACCCCTCAAGTCGAGATATTCATTGATAAAATTTAAAGAAATTGAATGATTCGTGAATCCAGTCGAAATTGATTGATTCAAACAATGGGGAGCTCAGACCCGTTCCACCCGAGCCCCTTAAAACCCCTATATCGAGTATACAACCCTATAGAAGTAAATTTAAAAAGCACGGTTCATCAAGGTTGGATACGCTGAGAGTAAAAGTCAAGCTATACTAGGCATTTCCCTCCCAATCGACTACCCCTGAACTATCCGAAGCTCCCTTCGGTTGCCATTTGAAAAAATAGTGCGCGCGGCGACTCATCATCACCCATGTCATTCCAGCAGACACCGACGATTGTGGTGCTCAAGGAAGGCACCGATTCCTCTCAAGGACGGGGCCAGATCATCAACAACATTAATGCTTGTCTTGCTATTCAAGATACCCTCAAGCCGACGCTTGGACCCTTTGGCAGAGACATTTTGATCGTTCTGTCCAATGGTAAAACCACCATCTCCAACGATGGCGCCACCATCCTTAAATTGTTGGACATTGTTCACCCTGCGGCTAAGATGTTGGTTGACATTTCGCGAGCCCAGGATGCCGAAGTTGGTGACGGTACTACCTCGGTTACCATCTTGGCGGGTGAATTCTTGAAGGAAGCCAAGTCGTTCATTGATGACGGCATCAATTCCCATCTCATAACTAAGGGGTTGAACAAGGCGTGTGACCTTGCCGTTGCCAAGATCAAGGAGCTTGCCGTTGACATCAAGAAGGATGATCCGAAGGAATTCAGAGAATTACTCGAGCGCTGTGCGCAAACGGCGATGCTGTCAAAGCTTATCTCGCAAAACTCGGACTTCTTCACCACCATGGTAGTGGATGCGGTGTTGTCGCTTGATCAAGACGATTTGGACGAAAAGATGATCGGTATCAAGAAGGTGCCTGGGGGTAGTATGGAAGACCTGATGTTTGTCGACGGGGTGGCGTTCCAGAAGACCTTCTCCTACGCTGGGTTTGAACAACAACCTAAGCTGTTTACCAATCCTAAGATTGTGTGTCTCAATGTGGAATTAGAGCTCAAGGCTGAACGCGATAACGCCGAAGTGAGAGTGGAACAAGTTAAGGACTACCAAGCGATTGTCGATGCCGAATGGCAAATTATCTTCAACAAGCTCGAAGCATTATACAAGCTGGGGGCCAACATTGTGCTTTCCAAGCTCCCCATTGGCGACTTGGCCACTCAATACTTTGCTGACCGCGACATCTTCTGTGCTGGGCGTGTGCTGAGCGAGGACATGGACCGGGTGATCAAGGCTGTGGGTGGTCTGATCCAATCTACGTGTTCGCTGATTCAGGCCAAGGACTTGGGCACCTGCGAGCGGTTCCAAGAAGTGCAAATCGGGTCCGAGCGTTACAATTTGTTCGAAGGGTGTCCCGAAGCCAAGACTTGTACCTTGATTTTACGGGGTGGTGCCGAGCAAGTGATTGCTGAGGTGGAAAGACTGTTACACGATGCGATTATGATTGTGAAGCGGGCACTTAAACACCACCTGGTGGTGGCTGGGGGTGGCGCCATTGAGATGGAGCTTTCGAAATACTTGCGTGAGGTGGCGAAGACGATTGCGGGCAAAGAGCAGCTTATCATTTCCGCGGTGGCGCGGGCGTTGGAGATTATCCCGCGCCAGTTGTGCGATAACGCCGGTTTCGACGGGATCGAGCTTTTGAACAAGTTACGCTCATCTCACGCCAAGGGCGAGACGTGGGCCGGGATCGACTTCAAGACGGAGTCGGTGAGCAACAACATGGACAACTTCATTTGGGAGCCGGCGTTGGTCAAGATCAACGCGATTCTGTCGGCGATTGAAGCGGCGGTGTTGCTTTTGCTGGTGGATGAAACCATTCGCAATGACGACCAAGAAGGAAAGCCTGCCGGTGGTCGCGGGCGCGGTGCATACTAAACATGAGTTTTCTCCAAAAATTAATTTTCGCTTGAATGGGGTTATCGCACCGACATCAAAGTGAGCGTGTTTACGTGGGCCAGCGGTGCATGCCATGTGGTTAGTAGCTAAACCAGTTGATCAGGGCGCGGGCGATTTAACCTTATTGGGACCGTTAGACTCAAGTGCGGCGTATTAATCAATGAAACTAAAGGTAGTGTGTATTGTATTTACCGTAGACGATCGCCGACACCGTGGCGGTGTTGAGATACGGAATGAGTGACGGGGTCGACATTTGCGACACGAAACCTAAAATCACGATTCGCCCACTGCCGCCGATCAACAGTGACACGGCGATGATTTCATACGGCCTCGGCAGTTCGTGTGCCCCGGGTCGCAGCCAGCGGCAGACCCCATCGTCTAAAACCCTACAATTCGCGTTTCACAACATTACGCGCCTGCCATCAGTTCGCGCGTGGATTGTCCTCCGGCAAGGAGGCCAGGGCGAGCGAGCGACCGCGACACCGCGAGTCACCGGCCACCACGGCGGCTAGATACACGCCAATCGGTGGTGGGATCACGCTGTTAAACATGTTAAATATAATACAAGTGATGATCGTGTATCATTTAACGAGACCACGGCCAGGTTTATCCGACAAGAGCGCAAATGGCGGTGTTTATCGGTGGTAGCCCGAGAGGGTTTTTTTTCCGGTACGTCGCTGCATACGACTCAAGCCACGCATCAGTTAACGTTTTTTTTTACGTGTATCTGACTCCTTGAGCGGACAATTATTTTTTCCTAATGTTTGGCGGGGACACCGCGCGCTCGCAACCAGGGGTCCTATCGGCATGAAGGGTTAGTTTATAACTAAGTTCCACCCCACCACATCCTCAAGCGACCCAGTGATGAACCCCGGCCAAAAGTACGGACCCTACCCCCCGCGGCTGCGGCCCTACCACCCGGCGCTCGAGGGGCTTGAGCGTCAGGCCAACAACACCTTGATCGGGGAGTACAAGCTGGAAGTGTTGCAAACGTTGGCGCAATTGGAGCTGGCTCTGGCAGTCAATCCGGCGATGATCGACTTGCAACCGGAAATCCAGTGGTTCATGAGACCGTTTTTGCTCGACTTCCTCATCGAATTACACTCGCTGTTCAAGCTCCAGCCGGCGACGTTGTTCCTCTGTCTCAATATCATCGACCGCTACTGCGCCAAGCGGATCGTGTTTAAGCGCCACTACCAGTTGGTGGGGTGCACCGCCCTCTGGATCGCCGGCAAGTACGAAGACAAGAAGCTGAGGGTGCCCACGCTCAAGGAATTGACCATCATGTGCCGCAATGCTTATGACGAAGAGATGTTCGTCCAGATGGAAATGCACATCTTGCTGACACTCGAATGGCAATTAAGCCACCCCAACCTTGAAGAGTGCCTCCAATTGGCGATCACCCACGCCGCCATCGACCATCTCGACACTCCTCAAGCACCACACACTCCTACCCGCAAACTGCAAACGACGACGCTGGCAGTCACTGCTGTGGGGCGCTTTCTCTGCGAGTTATCGCTCTACAACCGTTACTTTTTGCTGGTGCCGACGTCGCTTGTGGCCATCACCGCTAACTTATTGGCGTGCCTGATGCTTCAGATCCCGCGAGCCCTGGAGGCGGTCACCGACTTGCTTCGCCGCCAGCGGCTGCGGATGTACGCCCACCAGAACTTCTCGTTTGAAGTCGACAACACCACATTCATGGACGAAGACATTACCGACGACGACAGCGACAGCGAGTTGGCAGTGCCCACCAACACGGCGCTGGGAGATGAAAATCGCGTTCCCGAAGTTGAGGGGGCGTTCCTTTCCGGCTTTGACCTTAGTCAAATTGACACTATTAAACAAATCGCCCTCCAGTTCATCCTACAGTTGTCGAAGATCACGGAGGTGCTCACTAAAAAGTACGAACCGTTGGGTGTGATCCAGGTGATCCAAAACTTCAACCAACGCTTCGGGGCTATCCTCACTTCCATTACCGAGTCCCCACCCGCGGCTGATGCTCCTTTGAGTGATAAACACGCCTCTATCGCCGACCTCCTCCTTCAATTCCCTCTGCCTGACCTCATGCTGCTGCCATTGGCGCCGTCGTTGGCCCACCACACTCCCGCCACCCCGCCGCTGGCAACGTCACAATACCTGGTATTCAGCAACAAGCGCTCACTGACTGCACTGACACCAGTGTATTCAAGCTACAATTCGGGGCTGCTGCTAGGCCGCACCCGATCTAAAATATCTAAGCATAAGTTTGGCCACCATAGTGCCACCAACTTCGCCGAGTACCTGCCCACTACCCATAAGTTCAAGTTCTCGGCGCCTGACCGGTCGTTTGAGTGGTCGCTGCCGATCACCAACCAGTACAGTTTATGATAGCATAGAATATTTAATTAAGTCACGACCATACTTACTTCGCTTTGGCTCTATTTGATCGGATCTAGTTAAAAAGGGGTTGCATTTGCCTTCATCGCGCCCTCACGCGAACGGTCCATGTGGCGGTGACGCCATGTGTGATTTATCCCTCTTTGGTACGCCGACCGCAGTTAACCGACGCATCGTTTTTGGCTACTGATTTTCCGGAGGATGAAGTACTCCTAGACGAGTTGTTGGGCGTATTGGCATCAACGACCATGTTAAAGATCACTCCGGGTTCAGCAATTATGCACCCACACTTCTAACCTTCCCCGTTTGCAAACACTTGGGTAGGAGCCACTGCCATTGAGGACGTTCTGTCGCGCTCGTAAACCTACGCCTCGCGCATAGCAGGTATTTTACCGCATGGAGGCGCATTCATCACTAAAATCCCAATACAGATGAATGATTATTATATGTCACTGACGAACACAGTTTGACGTGCCACGGTCCCCATTAGGTAGGCCACCCGAGACACGCACACCCCACTTGAAAAATTTTGGTAGTGCCGCGACGGCCCTTACCACACGCAGCGTGCCTATCTAAAGATCGTTTCCGCCGAGGATTGTTCCTTAAGTCTTGCTCAAAGGTGTAATTTTGCTTTCGCTGACTGGCGTGATGTCGTGTCTATATTTGTTTGTCTTACAGACGTAGTCCGTCGCCGCCAACGTATCGCGGCTAAAAGTTGTGATCGGTCTCATCGTCGCGTTCAAGTTAATTTTAGTAGGTGGGTTCTCTCCATCAGCAAACAGCGCAGAAATATGCATTCGCCGTATTCTGCTGCTCCACGTCCACGCTCGTCTACACAACTGACGACTGATGAGCACATTCTCGTCGGTGGCGCGTTCACGGCACCGAGCGGGGCTGTGGGGTCGAATGAGACTTCAAGCAAGATTCCCAACCCAAAACTGGTCCATTCTTGAAGACCCTTTCAGGTTAATTATCACACCCCTGTGCTCATAGAAACAGGTTTTAGTTCACGAAAGCGACATTCATACTCACTCAATTTTTCAAACAGCATTTAATATGCTTTAAAGTACTCAGTCTTACATTTTTCTGTTCTGTGTACCAATTTTCTTTGGAGTTGTAGCTGTAAAACATACTTAGACGCCTTAAAGATGCTCGATTCTATGGAAATCATCAAGGTACAGATTCCAGTAAACACTAGTTGAACAAACCATCAACGTTCTCGTGCCGTGTCTTTGGTAGTATAACGGTTAGTATTTCCGCTTGTCACGCGGGAGATCGGGGTTCGATTCCCCGCCAAAGAGCTTTCTTTTTGGTCAAGAGAATGGTTGAACGTTGTCTTTTTCTTTTATACCCCCAAAATCATCGGCTCATTGGCTTACTCCAAATTTTGGTGTTAGACTCAGTTAGCAACAGGCTTCGCAGATCCGGTGTTTAAGGAAGAAAAAATTGAAGGGCCCGAAATTGGTTACTAGCCCTGCGTACACATTGACTTCACGCGTAAACATTGAGGTAAACAAAACCTGATCCCCATGCTGGACGATTTCAACAGCAAAAACTGGGTGTGGGTGCCCGATGAATCTGATGTCTATTGCAAGGGATATGTCACCGATTACCTAAATGACGATACTTGCAAAGTCACGGTGGTAAATGGATCGCAGGAGGTCCAACGAGTGGTACCCCAGAAGGACATCGAAAATTGTAACCCATCCAAGTTTAACAAGTGTGAGGACATGGCGCTGCTTACTCATTTGAATGAACCACTGGTGGTATACAACTTGTACTTGCGTTACAACGATGATCTCATCTACACCTACTCCGGTCTCTTTCTCGTGGCGATCAACCCCTACAAGTCCTTGAGCATCTATGACACAAAAACCCTCAACCAATATCACGACCAGGAGCATGATAAACCACCTCCACATATCTTTGGTACCACCGAAAAGACTTTCAGAAATTTGGTGACCAATCATAAGGATCAACTGATATTGGTAACGGGTGAACTGGGTGCTGGTAAAACCGAGAACACCAAGAAGATTATCCAATATTTATCCCTGATTACGCCATTCCGCCGCAAGGGCCAGGGTCATAATAAGCGCAACCTGGCGTACTCCCAGACCATTGATACAAAAATCTTACAGGCTAATCCTATTTTGGAACTGTTCGGTAATGCCAAAACGATTAAGAACAACAACTCCCTGCGTTTTGGTAAGTTTATTAAGATCTATTTCAATCGTCGAGGCCTCATTGTTGCAGCAACCATCGATTACTATCTTCTCGAAAAACTGCGTGTGGTACAACAATTAACCAACGAACGCAACTACCATATCTTCTACCAATTACTCCGGGGCCATGATGATTTAGGTCTGTTAGGATTAGCCCGTGATATTCTGGCTCATAAATACCTCGAGGGCCTGGCTCACACTATTCCAAATGTTGATGATGCCAAAGAGTTCACTATGTTGTGTGCCGCTTTCAAAATCATGGGTATTGATCTGGATCAGTTAACTCAGGTCTTCCGCGTACTTGCTGTGGTGTTGAATTTGGGGAACTTGGAGTTTACTCTGTGGAAGAGTGATCAAGCAAATTTTACGCTGGATCTGCCAATTGACACTATTGTTAAATTCCTCGGGATCAAACGGGATGATTTTGTAAGCAATATGCTTCGTCCTAAGGTCAAAGCAGGGCGTGAGTTTGTTCAAAAACTGAAAAAGCCTGCTGAAGTTAAATTTGCTATTGACGCCCTTGCTAAACACTTGTACGAGAAGTTGTTTCAATGGATCATCGCGAAAATCAACGCTAACTTGGAAGTGGATGGCCAGACCAAGGATGGGACGAACTTCATTGGGGTTTTGGATATTGCTGGGTTTGAAATCTTTGACGTCAACTCATTCGAACAATTATGCATCAATTATACCAACGAAAAACTTCAGCAGTTTTTCAATCACCATTCTTTCATTCTTGAACAAAGTGAATATCTTCGTGAGGACATTGCATGGGAATTCATTGATTTCGGTCAAGATCTACAACCCACTATTGATCTCATTGAAACAAAGCAACCTATGGGGGTTTTGAAATTGTTGGACGAGGAATGTATAATTCCGAAACTGCTGGATGCCCTGTTCATGGACAAGTTAGCCAGTAACTGGGGTGCTGGCCAACTGAATAAGTTCAAACTCAACAAATATAAGCTGGGCTTTATTATCCATCATTACGCTGGTATGGTTGAATACAATGTTGACAATTGGTTACAGAAGAATACCGACCCTGTTAATGAACATGTTTTGAAGTTGCTACCTGCGCTGGACAATGAGTTCATTCGCAAACTTGTCGAGAATGATGAACACTTAACATCAGCAACACCATCCCTGCCGCAGAAACGTGGGGCGCGGGTAAAAACGGCGTCGTTGAAGCATAAGGAACAGTTGGCGCAATTGATGGACCAGTTGGAACTGACAGAACCTCTGTTTGTGCGTTGCATTTTGCCTAACCTTGATAAAAAGCCCAACAAATTTGATAAACGATTGGTGCTCAATCAATTACGCTGCAATGGGGTCTTAGAAGGTATAAGAATTACGCGGGCAGGGTATCCTAATCGTATGACGTTTGAGGAATTCTTCCTGCGCTACTCAATTATCAACCCGAAGGAAGTTTATACTAAAGATGCCAGAACAAACTCGGAACTTATTTTGAAGTATACCGGGTTGAGCGATGAGGTCTTCAAGGTAGGTATCACGAAGATATTCTTCAAAAATGGCATTTTGGGGAAACTTGAAGAAATGCGTGATTTGACCCTCAAGCGTCTCTTTACTGATCTTCAGCTGGTTGTAAGGGGTAAGGCTGCTCGTCGTCATATGCAAGCTAAGATCAAAGAAATTCAACTGGCTCAAGTTATCGCTCGTTCTATGCAACGAGTTGACGAATCATTGAAAAACCTGATGTGGATGGAGTTGTTTGTTGCTGTGAAACCTCTATTGGAAGAACTGGTGAAAGTCTTAGATCTGAAGGAGATGAATGAGAATCTTAAAAATGTCAGCTTGAAATTGAAAGACGCCGAGAAAGTGCTGAAGGACTTGGAGGTTGAGAATGTCAAGTTGCGCGATCAGATGAAGTTGTTGGAAGACGAGATTGTTACCACTACAAATCAACTTAAAGAAAAGGACTCTACTTTGTCGAAATCTTTGCAACTGGAACGCCAAGTCAGACAAGAGCTTGCAGCGACCGAGGCAAAATTGGAAGCTCTACGTGAATCACAGCGCGAACTAAAGGGCACCATTGCAGACCTTGAAGACAAGATTGAGGAATTGGAAAAAGAACTTTCGCTGACCAAGGAGGAGAATCGCCAATTACTAGAAAATCACACTAACCACTCCTCAAAATTGACGGATATGGAAGCTGAGTTGAAGAAGACCATGGCTGCTTATGAGGAGAAGATGCTGAGATTGAAGGAGCAGCACGAGGAAAATGTCAAGTCACTCCACCAGGACAAAGAAATGCTTACTCGCCAAACTGCTGATCTGAAGCGTGAGATTGAATTGCTCAGGAAGTTGCAACCAAAACATGATGCATTGTCTCGCGAAGTGTCCACAGCAAATGACCAGGTTCGTAAGTTTAAGGCCGACGCAACTGCAAAGGAGCGTGAGATGGCACTGTTGCGTTCGCTGATGGTCCGCCATGAAACGACGACATCCAATCTTCAAAGCAAATTGACGCAGACCGAGATGGAGTTAAGTAAGCTTAAAAACGAGCTTGACAAGAAGGAGGGAGAAATTGCAAAACAGCGCGAGGCTACTCAACAAGCTGAAAGAAATCTCAAACAAGCCAAGGCCAATTTAAGTTCGATTGATTCTCTCACGAAAGAACTTCAGGAAACAAAACTTGCCCACGAAAAAGCTACTCATGAAATCCGCGACCTTCGCCACAGAGTTGAAGCTGCTGTAAAAGACCGAGAGGAAGCTGAAGCCAAATTTCAAAAAGCTAAGGTACAAACGGAACATGTTAGAAAGGTGCATGATCAAAATGTCAATCAGATTGCCAGCCTTCAGAACAAAGTTGCCAAGCTTGAAAGAGAACTCAAGGATGCCGAGCAGGAGAAGGAAAATCAACCCCCCGCGATATTGGAAGAATTTGGAGCTCTCAAACTCAAATATAATGAACTCAATGCCAACTTGCGAAAGGAAAAATTTGAGAAAAAGAAGCTTCATGAAGAGGTGTCCTTATTGCGATCAAGAAAGGTCAGTGGAGAATTCGACGGCCTGACACCTCGCCGCCAGTCCCATGAAGCTACTACACTGTCTCTCAAGCGCGAAAACGAGTCCCTTCGAACACGGTTACTGCAACAGGAAGCTGAAGCAAAGCGAGCTGAGGATTATGCCATTGAACTTCAACGGAAATTGAACAAGTTGCAACAACTGCGAGGCCTTGGTCTGAGCCAAAGTGAGGACTATGAAAAGAAATACGAGGCATCTCAAAAACGTCTTGCTGACCTTGAGTGTAAATTTGAACGGATGATTTCTAAGAATGGGGACCTGGCTCTGGTATCCCCTAATCTGCTGATGGTCAGCAAGCGACTGTCGTTGTATCTTGCGCAAGCCTCACCAGACTTTGTCGCCGTCTATCAAGATCTACACAAGACATTGAAGACAACTCGAGAAGAATTGAATCTGTCTAAGCTGGAAATTTTACGACTCAAGCTGTTGTTGCGTGAACTGGAAGATGAGTTGTATCAAACTAAGCACAGCCAGTTCAGACACCTGACCGCTGACTATGAGCAGCGCACGGCCGAATTGAAAGTGTTGAACGATAAGCTCACATCGCGTAATACCGATTTGGCCCGACAAGTGGACTTATTTGAACTGAGGCTGAAGCAGTATTTCAATCAACTCGAAGAAGCTGAGCTGGCGGTGAAAACCTCCCAGCGTAAAGAGCTCGAAGCCACGAAAGAGCTTGAGGAACTTAAGCGGGACTTCAAGATGGCTAAGGAAGAGCTTCGCCTGCATCTCGTATTGGTTAAGGAATTACGTCTGAGGGTATCTGGGTTGGAAGAGCAAGTTCAAGATCGTGATCACCAAATTGAACAATATAATAGTCAAACTGATGAGTTGAAGCAGAAACTCAACTATTACACAAATTCCTACGATAACAAGGAAGTCCAAGAACAATACCGCGATGAGATTCGTGAACTTCAAAAAGAGTTGGCGTTCAAACAAGAGACGGAAACAAGCTTGATCAAAGAACTGAAAGAATGGCAACTCCGATTCGAGGATGTCTCCCGGCACAAACGTGACCTTGAGCAAGCTGCTATTCAATGGGAAAAGAGGGAAGCTGATTTGGACAACCAAATTAGCGAACTCACGAATACCAAGCGTGAACTTGATGGTGAGAAGGTGTTGAACGAACGTAAGATCGGCAATTTGAGCAGACAGATTACTTCTCTCAAGAAGGTCGTGGATGAGATCAGTCAAAGACGTGATGAGTTATTGGATGAGACTGAACTGCTTCACAAGCAGTTGCATCAAAGTGAGAGTCAAAATGAGGACCTTCAAGGTCAACTCAAACTTGTTCAACAGGACAACGAGGTGCTCAAACGATACTTGGCCGACAAACAAAGCGAACATGAAGAGATACGTCATGAACTTAACCAGCTGAAATTAGGTGCTCCCGACGATGTCGTTGAATATCAGAGAGTCAAACGTGAATTATTGGTCACGCAAGAAGAAAATGAGTTGCTCAAGTTACGTACTTCCAAGCTTACTGACCAAGTACTGCAGCTTGAGCACAAACTCTACTCCAACGATCAGATTCGTTTCTGGGAAGAGAAGGTAAACAAGTTAACGGATGATTTAGACAAACAACAGCAAGAAAACTACGAGGTATCCAAACTGTCAAAGACATTACAACGGAGAGTGGCTGAGCTTGAGATTAAATTGGACAATGAAACTCGCGCCGCTAAGAAGTATAACGATGAAAACTTCAGCTTCCATAATCAATTGACTCAAGCGAAACTGACTATTGACATATTGCACCGCGATAACGCTGAGAAGGACCTTCAACTTAAGCGATATGAGAGAGAACAATTGGAACTTAAAGAGAAATTGTTACGTTTAGAACAGGAACAGTTGCGTTTACAACAATCTTATTAATAAATATTAAGTTAGCGTAAACCAGATATGGCATATGAGAGGACAAATGTGGAGGTTAGGTTCAACTAGAGTGCGAATGAAATTGCGACCCAAAACGAGTCCTGATATTGCCTTTCTCATTTGACGCAATGCCGCAAACTAAATATCATCGTGAATTAATATGGCATCAGTTTGACACGGATAAGAGCATGTAATCTATACAATCTTGATATATTTAAAGAAACTATATACCTGACGTGATACTGGGAATGGCGTATTCAACACCTACCCCGCTGCCTCCACTATCTTACAACTTACACTCTCCTAACCAATACTCACTTGCATTGCGCGTCCCGTAATTCGTACATCAAGAGGATCTATGAGCTTCATAATGGCTCGACACCGAGTGTTAATGGTGATAAAGCGGGGTAAATAAAAAGCCTAAGAAGTAATTCGATTCCCAAAGGATCCTGTTATATTACCATTTCCTGTAACACTGCAAAAATCTCCGGAGAAAACCTCTTGTCGGGTTACGCAGGGTGTAGCCCGACATTGCCCAAATCGGTACTAGTTAGTGATCCTATCAGGGAAGTTATCTAAATAGAGGGTTTTGTTATTGTCGTTCTTTGCCATTTACCGATGCGTAGATGCCTTCCAAATTGCACGAAGATGACATTGCTTGGTGGTTGCCAGGTTGCATTTCTTTGTGGGAATGTGTTACCACACTCGTATGAATTATAAAACACTCGTATCACCGCACCCACCTCGTGATCACGCAGCGGTGTTACCGAGAGCTAAATTGGGGAATGCGCATCCTGAATACGTCGAGTCCCCTGCATTATTTTTTCGCGAAACGAATTAGCACAATTTATATACTTTAAGGCAGCCCCCCTCCATAAACACCATCACAAAGGCACTCCCTGCTATGATGAACTCGTTCGAGTACATCCGGACCACGGAAAACGATAAGTTTGCCACCAACAAGTACAAGGTGCGTAATGAGGACGGCTATCTGGTGGGGATGAACGTGTACCCTCTGGCAGCAGAAGCTCTCGCTCATCTCAAGTTGCTCAGAGCATTCGAAGTAATGAAGACAAAGGTGTTGCTGAAGTCTGAAGGGAACCCTGAAGACGTCTGGCGCGTGTACATCAACAACGCGTGTCGACGTTACGTCATGTTCGTGTCACTGATGCTTGCCGTCCACCAGCAGCCAACATCGTTCAACGAGTTCTCCCTGATAGACCGGGCATTAGTTGTCGACCCTCGCTTCATCAAACAATACGATGCATTATTGCCGCCGTTGGATGTTGTGTATGTGTGGTATTCATTCATGCAGTTTCCGGGTCGTTATTACGATACTTTTATCAATACTTGGGTCATGGCCTTCGCGTATTTTCCATTGCCTCTAAAGCGCTTGGCTCGTGCCATTGACGACTTTTCGTTCGAGTATCGTCCCTCCCCTGAGGAGCGCAGTCGGTACTTCAAATTCATGGGCCGTTTAAGCGAGGATCCCGCAGATCATGTGTTTGACGTGTATGAGATGCTGGTGTTTGAAAGTGTGGTTCTGCTTAGATGCCCTTACTGTCGGCAAACTTTGGCTACCGACATCCCTTTAACAACTCGCAAGCGCACTGGTTTCTCTGATCCCGGATTTTGCTACGCAAAACCTGCAGCATCTAAGTGCCGTTGTCCATACTCGACTATCACCCATGATGAGTTGAGAAAGTGGCAATTGCTTTGGGGTCTCACCCATCCTTCGCCACTCAAGGGGATATTCAAGCATTATACTGAGGTCTTTCATGCCTCCAAGGACGCGTTGCTGATTGACGACCAAATTAAGGAAGTAGCTAATGACCTGGGGGTTATTGAATTAACCAACTTCCAAGCAATGACCCCTAACCAACTCATCCTGCGTATGATCAACTACGCGAAGAATCAAGGTGACCTACAACTAGCCGAACGCATCCACAAAGTATTGCTGGTGTACGCAAAAACTCACTTGGTGTATCTCACCGCTGACAAGTGTATCCTGGAAATAGTGGTCGATCTTGTCAAAATGTGCTACCAAGTAGAGCCGTTCATCGACCGCATGAATAAATTGGACTGGCTTCATCTGAAGTACTACAAAGGTATTATGCATGACGCTCGGAAACGCTACACGAACTTCGTTTCCCTTGCGAAAAAGCTGGGAGGATTTGTGCTAGCTCCTACGCTTGACATCGATCTTTTCTGGCGTACACACCAAATAACGGGATATTTCTACATGTTGTTATCGATAAACCCTCTCAATTTTATCTTTGACATTATGGAGGATGTCACTGAGCAAGATATTCCCAACGTTTTTGAGGGCACCGCTAGCCTTTACGAACGGTTTACCCGCCACGAATATACCACATGTTACTGTGATCATTGTTGTGCCTCAAAATTCCCTGCTAGTTCCCTGCCATCCTCGCATACCCCTAAACGTTCGTGTATCATGCCGCCCGAGTCGCTGACAGACTGTGGATGCTATGGACAGTATGAATGCGGTGGTGGTCCTAGTGTAAGATGCGGCGCGTTGAACATTGGCGATAAATACGATATGGAATAAGAGGATGTCATGCAGAGACGCGGTATGAAAGGACAACAAACAAGACATGGAATGAGAAACGAAATTGATCAAGACTTATTATAAACTAGAGCGTAATTCCCTAATAACATTCAAGAGAATAATTATGACGTATGACCGAAAATCGTCCCATCATTTTGCAACTTTACGAGACTCGTCAATCTTAACCAGGGCCTAAAGATGTTCACACATATGATCAAGACGTGCCAAATGATAAAATCCGATGTTGAACTACACGGGAACCTATTACTGTTAACAACTGTTTATATGATTGACTATATTTTTCTTGATCAACAATGAAAGAAGAGAATGCGACATTGAAATACGAGGCCGTATTCTTCATCACTCTCATCGTCAATGGACATGCAAACAGAGCCGTAGGCATCGTGTAAGGTACTGACTAACTACAATGCCACTTCACGTGAATCCCTATTACATGAGTAACCATCAAAATTCACCGACTGCAACGCGTCTCGAACTTTTGTGAGGTGGTTTAGAGTGACTAAACTTGACTTTTCCTATAACCTCTCAATTCATTCGACGTATGAACAATTGTTGTTGGAGTCGTGTTTGCACATCTCAAAATAGCGCTGTACATTTCGATGGTATCCAACTCCAACTACCGATTTGCCCTGTGGCCCCACGTGACACACTAGAACGCATCTCACTCATTGCTATTGCCTCCAAGGAAGTTGATCATGTTTAAGTTAGCCTTCAGAAGGATCCCCACCATTGCCTACAGAGCTCCCTTGGTACAAAATGTCCATGCCACTCCCGTGCGGACGTTTTTCGGTGGTTCTAAGGATGCCGCCAACAACGAAACTGTTGAAAAGTTTGCCACGGCCTTGCAAGAAAACCCCCGGTTGGGCGAATTGTTGACGGGATTCTCCACTATGTTGGCCGACAAGGGGATCCCTGTTGGCAAACCTCCGTCCATGATTCAAATGATGTCGATTCTCAAGGATAAAGATATTCGCGATCACCTTGTTGAACTTCAAGAAGAATTGGTCAGAGCCGATATCAAAATCACTCAAGCTGATTTATCTGCCTTGACTGACATGTTTACCAAGCAAATGCAAGGCAAACAGTAGTTGTATATAGCTGAATTCACACGATTTACGATTGACAAACATCTTTGCTGAGACCATGATTACTTAATTTTGGGTACACACAGCTCTAATTACTTCTTCTTAGAGAAAGACTTGGAAATAATGGCAGCCTCTTCAACGCCGCGAGCAATGCCGGCTCTGACGTTGCCATCCTCCATCTTTAAAAGCCCACCAATAGTAGTGCCACCAGGGGTGCACACTAACGACCGCAACACGGCAGGGTGTTCACCAGTTTCGAGTACCATCTTGGCGGTACCTTCCATGACCTTAGCAGCCAGCTTTCTGGCGGTTTCGAAAGGCATGCCCATACGCACACCCCCATCGATTAAGGCCTCCATCATCAACATGCAGAAAGCGGGACCCGAGCCTATGAGCGAGGTAGCAATGTCCATTTGCTTTTCAGGGATCTTGAAAGCCATGCCAACGGTGTCGATGAGCTTCAACACAAATTCTTCGTGGTTCTTCTCGGCTTCAGGCGAGAAGGCGATACCAGCAGTACCGCAACCGAATCTAGCGGGGGTGTTGGTCATGACCTTGGCAATGTTCTTGGAGAAAATCATCAACTCTTCAATGGTGACACCGGCAAGTAACGAGATGACAAGCTGGTCGCCGGTCAACGAGTCCTTAACTTCATCGTGAATCTTTTCGTACATGTCAGGCTTGCAGGCGAGCAAGATCACGTCAGCGCCCTTGACGGCTTTGGCATTGTTTTCAGGGCCGTAGCAGTACAGCACAATTTCGTGGCTCAACTTGGTCTTAGCCAATTCCATCGACGTCTCATCATGGGTGCAGGCTCTAATTTCACCGGGGAAAGGTTCAGGGTGGCCCTTGAGAACGGCGTTGGCCACCGCGGTCCCCATGACCCCAGCTCCAAGAATGGTAAATGTGTAGTTGTCTCTCATTATATTGGTATGAAGATTCAAGGTGAAAAATGCGCGTTTTGGTTATTTGACGAGACCTGCTGCTGCTGCGACAACATACATGGACCTAGGCGATGATATAAGTATGATTTGACGTGGGGAAGGTCAGGTCGGGGTTGATTGCCGCAGACATGAATCCTCGCCAACAGCTTCCGTTAACGGGTAAGGCAATAAGTTCCGCGCGACTGCCATGAAAATTCCGTCGCCGTACAGCAGTGGAGTATATTAGGGTTCTCGCATGTATGTGGACTATATATCAAAATCGTTCTCATCAGAGAGGCACTGCTACTACTCCCTAAAGTATATGAATATCGATCATGTAAGCGTCGGTGGTTAATTACCATATTGCATAATCGCTGCATACACTGAATGGGTGACTCAAGCGCGAAGTTGATTAGTATGTAGTACATATCTTACAATCCAATGGCTGGACTTTCAACTGAAGGTGTTCATGGCGCTGACGATTTGAGCAGAGTCCCCGACGTGGTCCCCCCGATCAACGTTGCTACGACATACAAGTACTCTAAGGATCCATCTACATGGATCAAGGCTGCGGACGGTCCTCCTTTACTTGACAATCCCGTTTACTCCAGATTATCGCACCCCAACTCGGAACAAGTGGAGGCTATCGTGGAGCACATCACTGGCTACAAGTGTGTGGTATACCTGAGTGGTTTGGCAGCATTCAATGCCGCCATGTGCCACTTAAACCCGAAGACGCTTGCCATTGGCCAAGCATACCATGGTTGCCATGGTATTGCTGACATCTTGACTAGAAATTACGGCGTGAAACAGATTGGTTTGGATGACGAGTTTGATCGTGTGGTGAAGCTGGGTGATGTCGTTCATCTTGAAACACCGGTCAATCCAGAAGGGGTATGCATTGACATTCAAAAGTATGCCGACAAAGCGCACAAGTATGGTGCCAAAGTTGTGGTCGATTCCACTTTTGCTCCTCCCCCCATTCAAGATCCTTTCCAACAGGGAGCTGACATTGTCATGCACTCAGCCACAAAGTTCTTTGGTGGTCACTCGGATCTCCTTGCGGGCTTGTTGCTTGTGAAGGACGATGAAACTAAGGACAAGTTGTTGAAGGACCGCTTGTTGTTGGGTACCAACATCGCCAACCTTGAAGCTTCTCTTTTGATACGGTCTTTGCGCACTTTCGAAATGAGAGTTGACCGTCAATGGAAGCTGGCCACGGCAATTGTCAAGCGTCTCCATGATGACATTGATAAGCTTCCTAAGTTGGCGAAGATCTACCACTCTCTGTTGCAAACAGAACCGTTTGTCGCTAAACAAATGCCCAACGGTCACTCGCCCGTATTCTCCATTGAGTGTCCCGACGAACAAACGGCCAAGGAACTCCCTCTTAAATTGAAGTACTTCGTTCACGCCACTTCTTTGGGTGGGGTGGAATCCTTGATCGAATGGAGAGCTTTGTCTGATGCTACCTGCTCCCCTAAGTTGTTGAGAGTCTCCGTTGGGGTTGAAAATGTCGAGGATCTTATTGAAGATTTAGTACAAGCTTTACAATAAATTCCATAGATCATGCAAGTCTATTATGCAAATAAATATGCTTCAGCAGCTTCGTTGTAACGCAACCCCTTGACTGGAATTTCATTGCAAATTCTGTCAATCTCATTCAAGTCATCGGAGCTCAAGGTGACGAGTGCTGACAAGTTATTCTCAATTCTCTGAGGAGTAGAGCCACCGGGAATTGGTAAGATCTTCGTGATCTTACGACCTTTATAGTTTGGGTTTTCCGACAATGACAAAATCCACGACAACGCAAGTGTCTCCAAAGAGCAATTCTTTTTAGAGTGGGCATAATTGTATAGTTTTTCCACAAGAACAATATTGTGTTTGTAGTTTTCGGGAGCGAATTTGCCACACATCCGTCGAATGTCTCCGTCTTTCATTTCATTCAAGAATGTATCCTTGTGTTCGACAGTGTAATCAGTCAAGTAACCACGACCTAAGGGAGAGTAAGCAATCACAGACACGTTGTTCTTAGTGAGCTCTTCAATAATGCCGTTGTGAAGAATGTCTTGACATGTAAGTGACAATTCAAGTTCGACAAACAGAATGGCGCAGACCGACAATGCTTTCTGGATTGAGCCAATACCAACTTCAGAAAGTGACACACCGTCAATTTTCCCCGCTTTGACGTATTCAGCAATGTAACTAATGGTTTTATCGTAGGGGTGAGTTATATCCACCCGTGCTGGTTCAAACAAAATCTTGGGTCGACCTTTGGCACCCGGGCTTGGGAAAAATGACAATATGTTATCGATCGATCTGGCAACGCCTTCTTTGCTTCCATCAGGGACAAATTTCTCATTAAGGCAGCCCTTGATCGAAATAATCAACTTTTCATTATCTTCGGAAGAGTTGGATTCCAAAAACTTTTGAAGGAGCTTCAAGTTGGCATTGTCAGATCCGTAAAACTCACCACCGTTCAATAGCTTTGTACCAAATTTTTCATTCATGGTAACGAATTGAAGCACTTCAATGGCTTGGCTAGTGGGGGGAGGGTGAGGATTCCACGTCAAATTCATTGTACCATAGCCAAAGCGACCGGGGATTGGAACAGCTGGAAATGAAAACGAGGGCATGATTGGCTCTTCTTTAGTATGGGCGGCGACGATTTCAAATTGCTTAGAAGTTTTGAAGTGGGGCCCAACGCAAGTTGCGCAAGCACATAACGCCGCATACCATCAATGTTCCCAGACCACCATACTTCCGATTCAGAAGATAGAGTGCATTAAATTTCGGAAATTGGTTTAATATGATTTTATTTAGTGGTGAACTGATCGAGAATACAGTAGTTTCCCATGAAATTTGCTTTCCGCATATTGACTTACGAAAAAGCTAATAGCAGGCTGCAATTAGTATCAAAAAAATGGTCTACTATCGATCTTAATTCCAATTCAAGAAGGTGTATTAAAACTTTTTACGATGCACTTACAGTTTGGTATTGAAGCCGAGCATGCTCAGAAGCAGAACACATTGTTTGAATTCCACCCGAGTTCCAGGGCGAACTCCTTAACCGATTTCTTCATTTCCGGGGGACCACAAATGAACAATTGGTTTTCATCATCAGCAGCAGGCAAATGTTCCTCCATCATGTCTCTGGACACGTACCCAACGCCGCCATTCCAATCAGCAGGAGGTTTGGTGAGGGTGTAGAATACCCGCAATCTGTCTCCAGGCCAGCGTTCAGCGATTTGGTCGATCTCGTTTTTAAGCAAAATATCGTTTTCCGTGTCGTTGGCGTAAATCAAGTCCACGTCAGTGTGGTCTTTGGGATTAGTAATGATCGCGGTGAGAACTTGAAGAATGGGGGTGATACCAGAACCACCAGCGACAAGACCCAAGCGTTTGGCCATGTTCGGAACGTAGTCCAACTTGCCCACGGGACCTCTAAACTTGACGGTTTGTCCTTCCTTCAATTGAGCAAATCGCGACAGCACCAAGCCTCTGGGGTACAGCTTAACAAGAATATCGAAGAAACCGGCATCAAACTCATTCGAGATGGGCGAGTAGTAGCGGATTTCGTCCTTACCATCAATGTCGAAGCAACACGCAACGTTGTGGCCAGGGGGGATGTCAAGGACCTCATCATCCCGTCTCAACTTGAACCGGTAGATAGCGGAGTTCCTCGAAACAATTGTCTTGTCGATAAGTTCAAAGTCCCGCCACACTTTAGGGTGTAACAGCGACCGCTTTCCCCACACCCGGGCAAATTGAATTGAGCAAACCACCACGATGAAGGCCACCGCGTATGGGATGTACTGGACTCCAAAGATTAGTGTACCCCCCAAAATAAGCATGATGGGAATATATATGTTATGAAGCGGTTGCTTCAACAAATCCCGCTTGTCAGTGGGCTGCAGGGTTGTCGTGGCCATGATGGTGAGGGATTATGCTGATGAGATTTTTCAATAGAGCGCGAATTGTTACTGTGAGGGCGATGGCCACTGTGAAGTTAGGGGTAGAAACTGGTTCATGTGCTTCATAGATTAAACATATCAATGGGTATTCCCGGAGTTTACATAAAACTGCCTAGTATTCTTCTTCGCCTTCGGGGTACGAGTCAGTGCCTACTTCGACGTAATCGCGCTCAAGCGCAGCCAAGTCTTCTCTGGCCTCAGTAAATTCACCTTCTTCCATACCTTCACCGACGTAGTGGTGAACGAACGCCCGCTTCGAGTACATCAAGTCGAATTTCTTGTCAATGCGTCTCCAAGCTTCGGAGATAGCCGTAGTGTTCAGCAACATGCACACGGCTCTCGATGCCGCAGCTAATTCCGAGCCTTCAATGGCAGTGGGTTTCTGGTAACAGATACCAATCTTGAACCCAGTGGGGCACCAGTCAACCATTTGCACAGTCTTCTTAGTCTTCACCGAGGCCACTGCGTTTTGAACATCGCGAGTGACGACATCACCTCTATAGAGCAAACAAGTGGCCATGTACTTACCAGAACGAGGGTCACACTTCACCATTTGGTTACCAGGTTCGAAACACGAGGCAGTGATTTCAGCCACCGAGTTGGATTCGTGGTTAGCACGGCTCTTCGAAAACACAGGAGCATACGATACCAAGGGGAAGTGGATTCGAGGGTAAGGGACCAAGTTAGTTTGGAATTCGTTCAAGTCAACGTTAAGCGACCCATCGAAACGAAGCGAAGCAGTAACCGAGGACACCACCTGGGCGATCAACGAGTTCAACGAGTTAAAGTTAGGACGAGCGATGTCCAAATTACGGCGGCACATGTCGTAAATGGCTTCGTTGTCAACCATAAAGGTACAGTCGGCATGTTCCAAAGTAGTGTGGGTGGTCAACACAGTGTTGTAGGGCTCGACAACGGAAGTGGAGACTTGCGGCGCCGGGTAAACAGCGAACTCAAGCTTCGACTTCTTACCGTAGTCAATAGACAATTGCTCAAGCAACAACGACCCGAGACCGGAACCGGTACCACCACCAAGAGAATGGGTGAACAAAAACCCTTGCAAACCATCACATTGGTCAGCCATGCGACGGACCCGGTCCATCACATCGTCAAGGATTTCCCGGCCCACCGTGTAGTGACCACGAGCATAGTTGTTAGCCGCGTCTTCCTTGCCGGCAATCAACTGTTCGGGGTGGAACATGTCCCGGTAGGGACCGTTTCTGACTTCATCAATCACATTAGGTTCAAGATCGACGTAAAGAGCACGGGGAACGTATTTACGGTTGGAGGTTTCCGAGAAGAAGGTTGAGAAACCTTCTTCGCCACCCTTGGGGCGCTCAAGACCTTCCTTGAGGTAACCATCGGCCCCGATACCGTGTTCTTGCGAGTACAACTCCCAGCACAGGTTACCGATTTGACAACCAGCTTGACCGACTATTTGTTAGTATCACAATTTGGGGGGCGTCGCGGGTCTGTGTCCCACACCATCAGGGTACGAGGACCTGGGCTCTCCGTGTCGTACGATATGAGCAGGTTCGTATCCATAGAGACTTTGGTACTTACCGTTGATACTAATAACTTCTCTCATTGTGTGGGCGTGGAGCTAATCAACAACAAAAAAAGCCCTCGTCTTGTTGAGATTTTTGTTTACCTGTTCGCAATGTTATGGTAGCGCCACGTCGCGAATCAACCAAAATCCTTAATTACGCGTATTTCGAGGCCACACAGTATCCGTATCACAATCTAAAGAAGGAAGGTCCAATACATGTCTACATAGCTGTATTCATTCTTTGGTGGGCTTTGTACTGAGCAATGCCCGGGTGTTGGGGTAGTGTAATCTCAACATCCGCGGACGTTATGATTATCATCTCCATGGTGCATTGACGACGCGCGGCATAGTCCCAATTAGTCAAAAATGTTTTGCGTGGCCTGAGGGTGGGCGACATTTTCAACCACGGCTGACGCATACACCCACTACAAATCATGCTTAAAAAGGCATGATCCGCTAATAATGGAGACGAAATACAGAGATACTTCTGTTTTCCATTCATTTACGGTTATGATCACAAGTAAGTAGTCATTAACTAAACAAAACACTAACAAACACGTTCGCTTACCACAACTTCACCAGGTCCCACCACGTTTCGTGCTTGATCCCCAACTTCTTCATCAACAGGTCTTCGGCACCAGAGATCGCCTTTCTGATCAGAAGATCCCAGCTGTCTTTCGTTTGGCCGTAGAAGACGTCCAGTTGGTATTTCGCCAATCTCTTGAGGTGGCGACGGTCCAACTTCTTCAAGAACAGGTAGTTGTAACCGAACGATTGCAAGTAGGTAATGAGATCAGCGTTTTCGAGGGAGTCGGTGAGCGATTCCCAGCTGGATTGGAGATATTGGTACCCCTTCTCACCAGCATCCAGGATAATCGAGCCGATGTCATCGGCGGCGGTTTCAGCGGCAGCCTTGGCATCTTCGTAGATCTTGTTACCAGCCTTCAAGGCTTCCGAAGCAGCAGCTTCACCATCCCTCGAGGCAACCGAGAAGAAGGCAGAAGCGTACCATTCACCCAGCTTCGAGGCAACCAGGGCGTACGACTTGCCTGACTTAGAAGCCACCAGAGCCCAGTAATCAGCGTCCTTGCTCAACTTACTCTTGGCTTCCTCATTCTTGGCAGAGACGTGGCTCAAAGCCTTATCGGCCTTCAGTTTAGCATCCTCGTAAATGCTGTGACCGGTCTTCATGGCTTCCGAAGCGAACGATTCACCCGATTCGCTAGCAGCCGAGTAGAAGGCTCTGGCGTACCATTCACCCGATTTCGAGGCCAACAGAGCAAACTGTTCCCCTTCTTGCGAGGCCAACGAAGCGAACGAGTGACCCGACTTTGACGCTACAGACTTCCAGTATTCGGCGTCGTCAGACAAGCGGCTCAAAACTTCTTCGCCCGACTTCTTGGCTTGCTCGTAAATCTTTTGACCAGTTTGCAAAGCTTGAGAAGCAGCCAGCTCACCCGATTCGGAAGCCACCAGGTAGAAAGCATCGGCATACCAAGCACCTGACTTCGAAGCCAACAGAGCGAACAGTTCTCCGCTCTTCTTGGCATCCTTGTAGTACTTGTTACCAGTCTTCATCGCTTCATTAGCAGCCAGATGACCCGACTTGGAAAGAGCCGAGAAGTAAGCGTCAGCGTACCATTCGCCCAGCTTCGAAGCCACCAGGGCAAACGAGGAACCCGACTTCTTAGCAATCAGCGACCAGTACTTTCTGTCTCTTTCCACACGGTACAAGTCGTGGTGAGCCAAGCCAAGGAATTGGTACACTCTGCCCAAAAGCCAGTTATACAATTGAGTCAAGTACAGGTCGGCCTGGTGGGCGTGGTGTTGGGCTTTAACCTTAGTTTCATCCCAGGCATCTTGAGCATTGTTCTTTACATCCTTAGCGTGTTGGCGAGCCTTAGAGTCCGCAAGTTTGATGTTGTGTTCACCGTCGTACTTGGCGTCGTACCACTTCTCCTTAGCGTCTTCTCTGAGTTCAATCAAGTAGTCCGATAATTGGGTACCAAAGTCCTTAACTGCCTGGTGGATGTCGTTGATAGTATCACCAACCTCCTTGGCGCCCAGGGCCAACGAATCGTACACCTTGTAGGAGTAGTGAACCGCCAGGTCTTGGATGTCTTGGAGAACCTCATCAATGTCATCTTCGGCTTCGTCGATCTTAGATTCAATATCCTTAACAGTTTCGTCGTAGTATCTAACGGCAGCTTCATAAGCACGCTTCACATCCAGCTCAACCACATCCTTTTCGTGTTCAACGTGGTACTCGATCTTGTGGTGGAACAGTTCGTAGTCGGGTCTGTAATACTTAATTTGTTCCTTGAACGATTCCTTTTGAGAGTTCCCGCCCAGTAAGTAGTCAGAGAGTTTTTGCAAGATGTCAGGGCGGCTGTTACCGGAGGCGCCAGTCTTTTGCTTTACCCAGTTACCGAGGAAAGGGGTGTCGACAGAGCCAACCAACCATTCAAAGTTGTTCTTGGCCTTTTCCGTCAAAGGCAAGTTGCGGTTCTTCTTCACCGCATCCAAGAGTTGTGCCTTGGAAGCGAAAGGAGACGTCTTGACTCCACGCAGAGACAAGAATTGACGCAAGCGCTTCTTCGACCACTTGTCGACACCAACAAGGAAAGTGTCGTTGATAGCGTCAGTTACAGTTTCCTTACCCTTTTGGAGGTATGGGTCAACCTTGTCCTTGGTAGAGTTGACCCACAGTTCGATGTCCAGTTTCATTTCATCACCGTATTGAGCCGCTTGCTTCTTGAGCTTGTTCAAGTTGGTGGTGTCGTCGTAGCCAGAGGAGCCGAGGTAGCCATGGTACCACAACCAGTCACGCAATTGGTCTACCGACCACGAGTCCCAGAAAGTGGCCTTAATGTTGCCAGATGAGTCGAAAATATCGGCGTCAGCAAGACCAATTGAGTCGAACAACAGCTGCTTGGAGTCATCCACTTCCTTAGCAGCATAGTAACTGATGGAGTTGATCTTGTCAATCAACGCGTCCTTATTGTCATCCTTGGAGTATTCAACTTCAAAATTGTCCAACCAACGACGCAAGTCACCGATCAGCCACCCCTTGTAAATCCATCTACCGGGGTATTTGCCACTGCTTTGGTGCTTGGCCACAATTTTGCTCCAGTTGTCTTGAATGGCTTTGATCAAATCCTTCTTGTTGGACGCGTTGGTTTTGACATGGTTTTCCTTCAAAAACCGCTTAAGCTCAGCATTTGACCATGTGTCAAACAACCAGTCAGCCACTGATCCGTCGCCCTTTTCGTAGACAAGGAATTGCCAGTTTTGGTAAGGCAAATCGTTCAAATCGACATGAGGGTCGGTAGCCAAGTCAAGCACATGTTGTTGGTTTTCGTCGTTAACGTCAACCTCCACCCGGTGCAGTTGACGAAGCTTGTTCAATTCTTCTTCGGCAAGTTGCACAAGGTCGTCGCCCTTTTGCACGGTGACATTACGATCCTCAAGGAATTGCGTAAGGTCGGCTTTGCTCCAATCATCAAAATTGGCGGCTACAATGGGAAGAATCCCGAGTAACCAGTTCAACTTCATGATAGTAGTTAATTAGGGGCCACAGTAGCAATCTCCTTGGTTATAAACGACTAGGGTCCCCGTCAATCACGTGTTTTCGGTTGCTACGGTTAGCAGTTGCTCAAAGCAACCGAGCCCAAAACGGAATATTATGGCGTATCGAAGCCTGTAATTGACGCCTCACTTGATTATTTAATTATTGTGGGTCAATGGAACTCGATAGTCGCTGTAATACTAAATTATCATGGTCAATTACTTAGGTTCATCTCAATTATCGGTCAATTCCTAATTTAAGGCACCAGATCACCCTTCCACCCAGAAGATCCTCGATATTCCGCATCCCCATGCAGGTCGTGAATTTGAGGATCATCGCAATATCAGATGCGTTCATATGGACTTCGAAATCGTTGAACATGAGACTGAGGCTCCCCAAGAGCCTGTGATTCCTAAGGAACCGTCGGCACACACCACGGGATTCCCGTCAGCAGCGAATTTCAACCTGAAGCGGTCGAGATGGTCGCGAGCTCAATCACAGGCACTCAAGCCACAGCTGGCGGCTAAACCCCAACTGGAAGCGGAGAAGATTCATCAAGAGAACATCGATCGTATTTCCAACATGACCCAAGAGGAAGTTACCAAAGAGAAGGAAGATCTTCTACGTGAACTTGATCCGAAGTTAATTCAGGCCCTTTTGAAGCGTACTGAAAACCGCGTGAATGAACTAGCTGAGAAGCCCGAAACCGCTTGGAATGGGAGTGTCCGTACCAACAATGGTCTTCAAGAATTGAGTTCGCTCGATGCTAAGGACGTTGATCGTGCCTTGGGGGTGAAAGAGCTCCCTGCTGAATTACAATCAGGTTCATCAGCATCGAACCAGTCGTCTTCACAAAAAAAAGTGAAGTTTGACGATGTCGCCACTGTCAATTACGAAGACCTTGATGAAGATATTGAGTTACCAGAGGATGGCTGGGAAGATGTTGAAGACCTACATGAAATGGTACCCAATCTGGTCGCGCCAAAGGACTATCAGCTTGTCGATGAGGATCAGGGGAAGACCACTGTTCACTTCCCACAACCTAAACAAGATGATGATCTTGACATTAATGACCCTGAGTTTTACGACAAACTCCATGAAAAGTACTATCCCAACCTCCCAAAGGAAACGGAAAAGCTTTCGTGGATGACTACGCCCATGCCAGAGAAAATCGCTTCCTCATATGAACTGATTAGTGATATGAGATTCGATTTTAATGGGGATCTTGTCGATTTGGAACAAAGTGGCGAAATCCCTACATACAAAGGTCTTCACCACCACTCAGAAAACCCCCATATGGCGGGCTATACCCTAGGAGAATTGGCTCACTTGGCACGCTCGGTGGTTCCGAGTCAACGAGCTATTGCCATTCGAACTCTAGGACGGATATTGCATAAGTTGGGAAAACACAAGTATAATTTCTTGCCAGTCGAAGATGATAGCAATAATCCTATTCAGCAAGAGATGGTATCGACTTTCGAAGATATGGTTTGGCAAGTGATTGATGAGCTTAGAATCATTGAGTCGTTGACGGAAGCGCTGAAGCTGCCAAACTTGACTGTGAGCAATTACGCCATTGAAGCTCTTTGGCTCTGGAAGGAAGGGCGCCAAGATGAGAAAGAGAATACCGAGAAGAAGGAAACATCATAGATATAAGCACCGTTTCTTCTCTCAGTCAGGGTAAGTTTTAGATTAGCAATCATTTAAGGCGAATAACACATGCATCAACGTTTGAACGATAGCCTAGGCGATTGAGGTCGGAGTTAAAGTCGGACTACAAGATGATAGATGTGCCAAAGACCTCGGTTACGTAGACGGCTGAGTAAGCAAAGCAGTAAAGCAGCTCAACACTCTGATTCATGAAGTCGTGGATCTTGAACTCAAAACGAGCAAAAACAGAACCAAAATGACTTCGAGGCAGTGGCAAGAATCATTCTCCGCATAGAGACACATTGTTCCGTGAATTTGAGAAGCGCTCTCTCGAGGAAAGCTCACGGTCAACTTAAGTTTATGCGTACCAAAAAATTTACTAGTTCATCATCGCGTATATTAGGGGAGTGAGCAGAATACTGGTCACGTGATAGAGTGTATGGGGTGTGCAGGACAACCTACTAAGTAGCACCGTAGGATTCCTCTCTGATTTCAATATAAGGACGCTCCTCGTAGGGATAAGTGGCGATGATGTAGTAGGCGTAGATCACACCGGGGAACCAACCGAGCAAGCACAAGAGAATGGCGATGATGGTTTCGGAACTGCAAAGCCCCCGCTTGATGATGACGGGAATTGGAGGCACTATCGTTAGCATGGAAGACGTGACGATACTGATTAGTACTTACCGAAAAAGCCAATGAATGCGAGGAACCAGTCTTTAGCGTTCATTGGGCTCTAGTTAGGATGAGTTAAATTCTTGAAGGGGGGCCGTTTAGCTTTATATCGAGGGTCGACATTGTGCAGTTTTCATGCGAAGAATACCAGATCACGCATATCGAGAATTGCTATAGTGGCAAAACGGGAACTCCGGACACAATTGCAAAAACCGACGGGTGCCATTGCTTTGGGGTGATTTGGGTAGGTCACGTGTCGTGATATTGAAGTTCTCCGAGGATTTCGTTGAATTCTTAAGTCAGATCTGTACCTGGACGATTTTGGCAATAACCGTGAATTTATCTGGTTGAGGCAGGTGTGCGTAAATTTTTAAAAGTTTGCTTTATGACATGTAACATAGATTATGAATTCTAGTTTCACCCAAATTATAAACTCTCTCAGTCATACTGTTCATTCTATTTGGTACTTTCACGTTGGCGTACACAGTACTACTACGCGCTGCGACTCTCACTCATTGGTACTATCAGCGCCACCTCCCACAATGGCCTCCGTTACTGTCAATGTGACATACGGATACCAATCAAAGAAAATCAGCATACCCAAGAGTTCTACGGTAGGACAATTGGCGTCGCAAGCAGCAACTGCCTTCAATATCAATGGCGATCCATCGTTGGAACATAAAGGCAAACGCCTTGATCCATCACTCCCCCTCAGATTTACCCAGTTAGTGCAGAACTCTACCGTCAAACTCAATGTTGAAGCGACTACTACGCTGACCCCTTCGGCAATTGCTATAAAAATTGCTACACCAGAGTCATCGACTGTCGTCAAAACAACGAATGATGTTACAATTGAAGCAGCGCTTAAGCTCGCTGAAGCCAATCTTCAAACTAGCATCATCAAACCAGGTATCGAGGTGCTGTTAATGAACACAGTTTATCAAGATTTGTCTTTACCATTGAAGCAAGTTTCGGGCTCAGCGACTAATACGGTGATGCGAGTAAGATACCCAGTCTCAAACGTCGATCGTCAAAAGGAGCAACAAGAAGTTGTAGCCAAACAACTAGCGGAACAGCGGGCACGAAACGAAGCTCAGCGAGTGGAAAGAGAACGGCTAGAGGCCGAACGCCAGCGACGGATTTATGAATTGAAGAAGGAGATTCACGAACAACAGACTGAATTACTTGAAAATGATGACGAGATGATGGAGGCGAGAGAAGAGGAGCAGATTGAAAACTACGAAAGCCAACACCCTGTTGAGTCCCGGAAAGATTCTCAGACCAAATCTAAACCTACTACTGCTGACGAGAGCATATCACCACTGGCGCCGATGAAGGACGGCGACCAATTGTACGTCCCTACCAACCAACCCATGCCGATATACGAGAACCCGGAAGAAGACTATACCCTTACTGTGGACAAGGCCAAACTCTACCACAAACTTGTGCAGCAGCTGGGGAAACGTACGCGCCCCACTCAGCACGAGCCAATCCACCCTCGACAGTACTTGATCCGAATTAAATTCCCCGACCGGAATCTCCTTCAGCTCAATTTCGTATCTGATGCTGATAGTGTCAAGTTGGGCCAAATCGTCAAGCGCATAGATGAAGTTATTTTAGATAAGTGGATTGGCAAGTATCATTTGAAGCTCGGCTACCCACCATTCCAGCAAGTACCACTCTCGTTCGACACTAATGGAAGCAGGCTCCACGATCTCCCGCAATTTTTTAGTGGTGAGAGAATTGCTCTTATCTGGGAACCTGCACTGGTAACTATTGGCGTGGCATCCAGCGGGCCATTCTTAAAGGAAGGTGCGATCTCAGATCAACTTTCCACACGAGACCTTCCCGAGGTGAAATCGGAATCCCAAAGAGGAAACTTTGCCGATTCCCAAGAACCACGAGAAACTAAGAGTTCAACCACTCCCACTAGCACTACCAAGTCGAACTCGGGGAAACTGGTGCCTAAGTGGCTTCAAATTGGGAAGAAGTAAGCGGGTAACCCCTTCCGTTTCCAAGGAAAAAGCGTGACGCTCACTGCTTGAGAGCATACACATCCGCTTATCCGAACTGGTCGCAGCTATGTAGTTCTTCAGTATAATTAGTTTAAAGAAGGTACGAAAATGGTACAAGCATGGTCAATTTGATTACAATAGTTCCCACCGGTTGAGCTTTGTTATTGACGATATTGTAACGGATTTCTTCCCTCCTAACCATATCGGTAGTCCGATTCCGGCGCTTATATACACAACCGGCAGCTACGAAGCGCGTGCGGCTAGCCAATTACTGGATTATGATAACCAAATTTGGCCTAGAATCCTCGGCCGGCATTAGGAGCACTGGACGGCAACCAGTGGCGAGTAAATTAAGACTATAAGAATAGCCTCAGTAACCAGGAAACGAAGCCCCGATCAATCGCAAAGGTAGGCAGCAGCCCTTAATCCCTTTAAAAACTAGAATTGTCCTAGATTACACCGCTGTCAATTAGCGGAGCGACACCCACCTTCCCTTCCAGGCGGGGTCCCCTACGTCTGCAGAAGTAATGATTGCCAATAATACCGCAGTCAATAAGTGTAGACCAGCTAAGTTAACAGTGCTTCAGGTATATCTACGGACTTTCATCTCAGATTTAGCTTTAATCGCTATGTATATGAGCGTGTGCAAATTTTTCTGACAAATGTAACTAGGTATGAGTCATTCAAGCTAGTGGTTGCCCCTCACCAACATCTCCTAATCCGTGCAAACTCATGCACTCCGAAAATTTTTTTCACCCGCGCGGGTGCAGTACAAGCCTTCCTTCATTATAAAGTTCTGTAGTCGCGCCGAAAAGTTTTTTTCTTTCTTTTCACTAAGCATCTTTTAATCCTTCAATCTTTCAAAACAAGTTTACCCCAGGTTTACTTCCCGCTGCGTTATATTTTCCCTTCCCCCGCTGGTTTTATTTTGATTGACATTGTCACCATGTGTGCTTAAATCACCTACCCCCCTAAGGTTATAAGATTTAATTTTTTTCCAAAGAAAAAGATTAACAAAGGATTAAAAAGTTTTGTTTACCCCCTCCCCGAAAAGATGCTACTGTAAGATTACCCCCCATTATGATGGACCGGATACGACTCCCCTGAATTTCCCCGTTACTTCCAAAACGACAAAGACTACTACTATTGCTACAATTATTGAAAAGATTGAACCTGAACTTACCCTTACTACAAGAGATACTATTACTACCAAAATGTCTGCCCCTATGTTAGATCCCGTGGCTGAATTTACCACTATCATTGAAACCTTGCCCCAAAAGGACGAATTCAACTTGCCTTTGAACGCTTCGCTCCCGGGTATCAAGTCGGAGCCGGCCGCGTGCCCTCCTTCGACTTCCAGCGAATACACTGTGCCCTCGTCTGTGCTTGAACTGGTTTTCAGCACCACTCTCGATGAGTTTGGCCTGATGCAAGACCACACCCCGATGTTCGACGACCTTGACTTAGCGCTTGACGGTGCCAAGGTCAACGACCAGGAGTGGGTGTCGCTCTTCTCCGACCAACAACAACAACAACCGATCACTGAAGAAGACGTTGACCTGTTGGAAAAGGAAATTGATTTCGCTATCCGTGAGAACGAAATCAAGTTGACTCACGCCGCGGTGGTTGCCCAGCAACCGTCGAAGAGATCTTACTCGTCGGCGTTTGAGTTGACTCCTCAGCCGACCCCGGTGCTTGATTGCCCTAAGAAGGCGCGCACTACGAAGAAGGCTCGTCAAGCTTCGCTTCCTCCGATCGACGTTGACGTCTCGGACCCTGCAGCGTTGAAGCGTGCTAAGAACACCGAAGCTGCTAGACGTTCGCGGGCGAGAAAGTTGGAGAAGATGAATATTCTTGAGAACAAGGTCGACGCCTTAACTAAGGAAAAGACCGTTCTCGAGAACGAAGTCCACCGTCTTCAACAATTGTTGAAGCAAAACGGCATCGGCTTTTAATCACCATTATATGTGAAATCTGAAAAATCTTTTTGTATATTCCTATTAATTGAATGTGTTCCTGAAATATAACTTTAGGCAAAATGTCTCGGAGTAGCGATGGATTTCCATGCCTGACCCGCGGTAAAATGTAATTACCCGATTCTCATTGATCTAACCATCGTATATATCCGTTCTTGTCGAATTATTTTGATTAAACGTCAGTGACAAGGCACGGAACGTACAAAACAATAGCACCTACAAGACCATCTGATGCCGGGTTGGTTTCGATGGCCTCAAGTAAACGGCGTGGCGCCGTTTTTAGACGTTATCAACAGATAAGTGGTGTGCGTTTCATTACGACTAATTTCGCACGAGTCAAATTTCACTCTCCACCTGAACACGGGGGGTCGCACTATGAGCCCCTCTCAACCACCTGTGATTGGCCTAATAAAGCATGTGGGTCGCAGAGAACAAAGGGCTGATTACGCGATAGCCCCATATCGGTGGTAGTGGCAGCAAGCGTCGTGGTATCTACCCCGACAATCGCAAACCTTATGGTCGACGACTTGACTCGTGCCTCCCCACGATTAATTAAGGGGAAGCCCCAGCATGCGGGACCGTCGTGGAGCCGTTTTTTCGGTGGGTCTCGCGCGTGCTGGCGTGACGTGCACCGCCAGCTGGGCATCTCAGTCATCGTGGGTGCGTGGGCCGTGCTGAAAAAGAAATAATTGTTCATTGACAACGCCCTAACGGTTGCTAGCCCTGTCTATTGATAGATAGGGCTCCTTATCATCGGAGTGAAAAAACGATAGACGATTGATGGCGGATGCCATCCAATTGAGTTACGTCGTTTAATCATCGTAGTCGTCTATCGGTAGATATAAACCGGAGGCCCGACGGAGTGCTCGCCCCTGGCTCGCTTTTTCCCGCATACCACAGGCTTCACGGCATTTTCGATAAGTCGAGAGGCAGCCATGCACGATGAGGGAAATTTTTTCTGGAGAAGTTTAAAACCATAGTTTGTGCCGGGTCGACGCTCCATCGATGAATCATTCGGATCTTGAGGGGCTGCTGAAAAAGGTGGAGGAGGACTATGCTGTCACCACCAAGAAAGCTCTGTCAGATGACTCCTACGATCTAGAAGAAAAGGGCATCGATGACCTCCACGAAACCACGGTCAAGGAACTGAAACTCAATATCATCGACCGGATCGCCGCCAAATTGAATGCCGAAACTAAAGGTATCGACCTTATCACCGATGAAGAGAAAACCGACAATTCGCTCTGGGGGGCGGCCCTGATGTGGCTTTCCGCTAACCTCGTCATCGCCACCTACGCCTTGGGGGCATTGGGTATCACCGTGTTTGGCCTTTCCTTCTGGCAATCGGTGCTTGTCATCATCTTCTTCTCGTTCATGGGGGTGGTCCCCGTCGCCTGGTTGTCGATCTTCGGGCCTAAGATGGGGTTGCGGCAAATGGTGCTTTCGAAATTCTTGTTTGGTGACATCACCATGAGAATCTTCCTGGTGATCAATTTGGTCGCCTGTGTCGGGTGGGGTGCGGTGAACATTATGTCGTCGGCGCAATTGTTGAATATGGTGAACAACGGGGCCGTGCCTCCTTGGGCGGCGTGTCTCGTGTTCATTGGGGGTACCATCATGGTGACGTTCTTCGGTTACCACGTGATTCACTTGTACGAAAAGTGGTCATTCATCCCTAATGCCGCCGTGTTCATCGCCATCATCTGTCGTATGGCGATGCTGGGCAACTTCACCTGGGGTGACATGAAAGGTGGTCCCACCACTGCCGGGAACGTGCTTTCTTTCGGTGGTGCCGTGTATGGTTTCGCCACTGGGTGGACCACATACGCCTCTGACTACACCGTCTACCAGCCCCGTAACGCCAATTCCACAAAGATTTTCTTTGCCATTCTCGCCGGTTTGTGGACTCCCATTTTGTTCACGATGATTTTGGGTACCGCCTGTGCCACCGGTACTTTATCCAACACTCGTTGGGCCGAACTTTACAAAACCAAGTCCGTCGGTGGTTTGGTGTATGCTGTTTTGGTTGAGGACTCGTTGCATGGTTTCGGTCAGTTCTTGATGGTGGTGTTGTCGCTTTCGACCATTGCCAACAACATTCCTAACATGTACTCGATTGCCCTTTCGGCGCAAGCCATCCACCCCATTTTCGAAAAAGTCCCCCGTATTTTCTGGACGATTTTCGCGAACTTCGTCACCTTGGCCATTGCCATCCCCGGGTACTACTCGTTCGAAGAGGTAATGGACAATTTTATGAACTTGATTGGTTACTACTTGGCTATCTACCAATCGCTATTTGCTCTGGAACATTTTGTGTGGAACCACAACAAATTCAACTACGAATACTGGCGCTACAAGGACCGCAAGGCGTACCCGTTGGGGCTTGCCGGTACCTTTGGCTTTTGCTGCGGTATTGCCGGTGTCGTCATTGGTATGAACCAAGTGTGGTTCTCCGGCCCGGTTGGTCGCCTCATTGGTGATAACGGGGGTGACGTTGGTTTTGAACTTGGGTTCGCTTTTGCATTTGTCGGGTACAACGCTACCCGCGGGTTCGAAAAGAAATACATTGGTCGTTAACACCATGTTTCTTCGAGCATTTTATTTTGTATATTAGTGTACTATAGCATAATTTAAGGTTGGGTTTATGGAATCAATATTTAGAAATCTGATAACGGCCTGTAGTAAACTTTGGCGACAATCCTCGAGAGTCACCTTCGCTCTCAAGTTGATACGTGAACAAATCCACTAGACTGGATTTTGGTGGCGTTTTATTTACAGTCATTTTGTGCTACGTGGAGTATACAGACTATCTAGTCCAAGTATACCACTAAGTGATCCGTGCCTGATAACCAATAATTCAAGAGAACGCGAATGTCCACTATATAATCTCATCAACCGATGTGTAATTACTATTTACAAGATTGGAGAGCAGTTATTCAAGTTGGGCGAATAACTGGCGGTAGCGGTGGAGTTTGCCTTCGAGACCAAAGTGGAGAAGAGCTTTTCGAAGCTGAGCCACCAACTTCGGATCCAAGCGGTCGTGACTAGTGAAAACGTTTTCACTAGCAATGCCCACAAGTCCTCGCTCTATGTAGTCGTCCACATGCGGCATCAACCACATCAACCGACCTAGATCATTAGAGGCAACGGCTGCGGAAATCATCACTTCGATAATCGGCTGGGTGAAGTAGCGGCGACTAAGCTCGGTGACTGGGTACTTTTTGAGAAGTATAAGATCGTTTTCCAGTTTATGGTTTTCGCCAAAAGCTAATGCAACTTTCCCCAGGTTAGTCATATGCATAACCATTTTGTTGAAAAGAGAGTCAACAAAGCCAAATTCATTCATTTCAATACAGGCCTCCATCGCTTCAACGACGACCTGAGGCTTAACAGCTAACGGTTCGGCATGCTTGAAAAGAATCAGGTCCATGTCAAGTTTACGGTACTCTTTGAACCTCAGGAATCGCAGCTTGGCAATTATCGGACTCAAGTAGGATTTGTCGAGAACACTTTCATGAGCCATGACTTCGTCAAGTCCGAAGAACAGAAGCAATTGCCGAAACGTCAGGGTTTGTTGGCGACGAGCACAGTATTTGATCAATTTTCCCAAACAATCAGGCGACTCAGTCACGATTGGTAGAAATTGACGAGCAGAGACCTGTGAGAACAATTGGATATCATCGGTACTCGCTGCCAAAACGCTAGCATTATCACCGTACGAAAAAAGACATTGATAGGCCATGGTGGCATAGTTTTTCATACCATGTTTGTCAAACTTGCCAATGAGATAGGTGAAAAGTTCGGAAGTAGGGGTGAACTGATGACACTCAACAAGAGCTTTGATAACCTCAGCCAAAAGCGAGAGATGCTGGTGATTTTTTGGGTGGGTTTTGGCGTACTCCTGGTATATTTCGTCAAGTTCGGCGAACTTCGCCGCGGTGGGGGTGGAACAGAAGTCACGGTAGGCTTTACTGTTAGCCTCCATCACTCGTTGACGTTCCATGTTATTGGTGAATGTCGCAAATGCTAGATCGATTTTGGCAAAGTACTCTTGATTGCTCCGTTGGGGCAGACAGAAGTAGATGCCATGACGACTCTGTCGGGGTCCCCGGTGGTCGCTGTCGTCGTAGTTGAGAGCCTGAGCCAGTTTAAAATGGGTGAAATAGGTTCGATAGCTCTTTAGTGAGTTAAAGTACTCTGATGATGCAAACTGGTCCACAAGTGCTTGAGTGGTGATATTCTCTCGAGACATCGTCGATAACTCTTCTCGTATATCACTTTTGAGCAGGGGTAGCTTAAGATGAGCCATGACATCACGATAAAGACCTTCGTCCTTCACTTTGCCCAATAGTATGGCCTGAACATTGAGATCACAGACGAGGGTGGTGATGTACCAGGTGACGAGCATCTCCACCGAGTAGCGAATATCGTGGTGGTAGCAATAATCTTCACCTTCAACGTCGTCAAATGACCGTTCAAGCACATCGCCAAAAAGAGCCTTGCGGTTGTCGTAGTTATCAAGGATCTTGAGCATCGCTTGATGGTGATGGGTATAGTTCTCGGTGAGTTGTTGGTGGAGATCGAGGTCTTTCTGGCGCCGATCGACCTGGGCCTGCCATCTTCGTCGGGTAATGGCCTTGGTTGCCTCCTTCGTCGGAGCGTGCCGAAGCTGCACTCGTCGCACGGCGTGCCTTAGCATCGATGGCTCGCACTCTTGTGGTAGGGTTTGGTGGTGGTGCGACAAACGGCTCTGGTAGTGTGATCACAGTTGGTAGGCATTCACGCCACTGACACAGTAATCAATTATTTAGAAATAGTATGTAGCCTAGAGATTGATTTATGATACCTGGGATGGGTCTCACTTTCGAATACGGCCGCCCACAGTCGCTGAGGGGAAGAGAGAGTTCCCCAGGATCGAGCACTGCGAGCGGGGGGTAATTTTTCGCCCACGAAAAACTTGCGCCTACGTGTATCCATGAAGTTCACTAGCGTGTTGGCCAGTTTGTTGGCGGTGGCGTGTGCCGCCCAGCCCGAAGCGGAAAACGCTCCCCAGGACGTCGGCGAGACCATTGACCTCGACATTTCCTACTCGATCGCCGCCTACCCCACCGCGCAGCCGCAAGAGTTGTTGACGGTGTACAACGGCGACGACCACTACTTGACCTATAAGGTCGTCAACGAAGACGACCGTGACATCACCATCATCGGTGTCGGCGGGGTGTTGTTGGACCCCATGACCGGCAAGGCTAAGGTCAACTTGACCTCGGGCGAAGTTGGTCCTCACGCCCTCTCCAGAGGCGACAACGTCACCTTCACTCAACACATCCCCTTCAACGTGCTCACCGACAACTACGCGTTGACTCCCCAGCTTTTCCTCGTGGTAGGCGACGAAATTAAGATGTTGCCGTTGCGTCCTCAATTGATCACCGTGGTCGACGAGCCGATCTCGTTGTTCAACCCTAAGTTGCTTTTCCTTGAATTTGTGTTGGGCTTGACTTTGGCGGGTGTTGGCTACGTCATCTGGGACTTGTGGGGCCGCGCCTACTTCCGTGGTACCCCTACTGTCACCAAGAAGCAGGCGAGATCGGCGGCTAAGCAAGGTGCTGCTGCTCACACCACCGGTGCGCAAAAGTACGACGAGTCGTGGTTGCCTGACTCCTACAAGAAGAAGTCGAAGAAGGCGTAATTGGCGTGTAGATTTAATTGACATAACAATGATAATTGAAATTTTGAAGTGTTGATGAGGAGAGGTCAATTTCTAGAATTTGCCCATCCATGACGCAATTGGCAACCAAGTAGTCTGACTATGGCAATTAGTTATAGTTAGCCATGTTTGTGGCATTGGTTAGCGCGGCTGATTACGAGCACTCACGCGATGGAACCTTAGCCAACTCCGCGAATAGATAAGCGGGCTCGTAACTGACACAAACATGGGGCACCCTTGTCGAGATATTTAGCTATAATGTCCATCAAATTAGTCAGGTAGCAAGAGGAATTTGTGATTCACGAGAATATTGGAACTCGATAATTTTGGGGTAATTCTATAATCGATTTTCGTTGTGACATCATAGCTCGTTCACTGAGCCTTAGTCTCGATCAAATCAAAGCAAGTTCAATTTCTTTGGTAGAATGTCTTCATACGCTAGGCTAAATTTTAATACTTCCCATTAAACTGCTTTTATCACTAGCCTAGAGGTGATCAAATCGCGTGGTTCGTGTAACCGCCTGCAGGACGTCAACTTGTGGAGGCTTGACATAACCGCGTACCCCCCGTCTAACCAAACGCACGCTCCATGGCTCGTGATACGATCGGCCTGCGGGCAAAGGGACAGACGTCGTTGTTTAAGAAACGGCGGAAAGCCCAGGATACCCAGCTGAAGCTATTCTCCGCATCTCAGGAGCTGGAAACCCCGCCGCAGAAACAACAATCCCCGAGATCAACTCAGCCAATTCACCAGAGTTTACTTCAACCAACACCGAAGCTATCTCCCGATAGCGATATCAACCTGCTGGACTTGTTCCGGCCTCATTCGGCTCCGTTGGACACCCCATCAAAGGCGACCAACGTAAAGCCGCCACGAGTGGTTACACTGTTCGAGGATATCACACCAAAGAAAACTACTGCCACTAAGGATGACCGAGCCGAGTCGGAGCCGGCTGTAACAAATGATATTGATGAGTCATTCAATGAAGAACCATTGCCTAAAGCGAAGCCCACCATCAGTTTGAAATCGATCGCTCAGCAGAGAGCGAAAGCAACCAAACGACGGACATTGAGGGTGACATCATCGCTGACCAGTACAGCTAATGACCGAGCATTTATTGAGAGGCTATCACACTCATCAAACAATCCCTCTGTCGAGGAAAATATGCGATTACTTGATATCGCTACTGACACCCTGAGGCTGATATCTAATTCCCTACGAACTAGAGCCCTTTCGCTTGCACAGACTCGAGAGGAACTTAACGATAGCTATGTGCTCAAGTTGATTGGCGTGGTACGATCTGAACGTGATTTACCGGGGCTGGACCCTAGTTCACCGTTCATCCCATATGAAGTACAAATCACCTGTTTAGAGTGGTTGCTTGACAATCTTAACGTGTTTCCCAACAATGGCATTCCCGCACTCACACGGTGTATCCCGATCTTATTTCAATTGATGAATTTTGAATACCCCCGTCACCTCATCGCAGAGCTCATCGTTGTTGCTCTTGTAGGGGGGAAATCATACCAAAAATGGTACTATACGTTTTTCCGTCGCCAATTTGAGGCTCATGCTGAGGATTTCTACATTGGCGCCGTGTTCAACATCGTGAGAGGCTTAGCTGAAGAAACCCCACCGGGGTTACCCTACCCGTCTCCAAAGATAACCTGGCGGGCTACCACCATCCAATTAGATCAAGTTTACGAGGAGATTGACGATATCCACGCTCGTGGGCGAAAAGGTGCCCTGGCGGGTCTCAATGGCACCGACTTAATTTCTCGATGGTTCACTGCTGATGCCGATGCGGTAGTACATCGGCTTATGGACCCCGCGTCCTACACTGATGCCACCCCGGCGTACGTTGCGTTGAAGCTTGCGCTGAGTCCCTCATTCGTCAATGTGTTTGACTACATCGTGTCGCTTCATTTGGCTAATCCCGCCACCAAACCAGCGACACTCTGTATGATTGAGTACGTGATTCGGGCTAGTGGCATCTCTCCGAGTAAGCCTATCGTCAAAGCCATCACTACCAATCGGCACTGGAGCATGTTTACGATTTTGAGTGAAACTGATGTGGTTAGTGTGAATTGCGATCAGCAGCCGCAACGGTACGCTGCCGCTCTTATGCGGTGGCTCGTGGTCAACGGCGACAACGCTACGGTGGCGACGCGGCTTGTGGAAGTGTGCCAGCACGACGGAGAGGCGGAACTTACGATGATGCGGCTTATATCCGGAGTGTCCAGTCCCCAGATTGCCCTGCACTTGACACTTCCAAAACTTGCGTGCTACTTAGTCAGCACCGACCCGTTGGTAGTGTCGCTGGTGTGCCACTTTCTCCAGCAGTTTAAAAGAGACCCTAATCAACGAGGCCATGTGGAGACGGCGGTTAAATGGCTCTGGCGTAACCAGTCTAACTCGATTTCCTTTTTGAGCAGTAAGCTCCTCGATCAGCTCGATAAGCTCCACGTCTTCGACGAGGTCGAGGGACTCACCCCGACGACGATGGGCCACTTCTACTTCCACCCGGGGTTTCTGCTGCTTATTTCCAGTGCGTTTCTGGCGTCGACGCAGGGTCCTTCGACGGTGCCCGAGGCATTAACGGCGCCGCAATCCTGCGGGTGTGAGCGAAGCGACCAGCTTTGCGCCCACTGGCTTGCCGGCATCGACAAGGAAGGGTTTCACGGCATCGCGGGCTTTTTGTTCAGCCTGCTGAAACTGCTCAATCGAGAAGAGCGGGCGGCGTATGCCAAGACTTGAAGCAAGCGCCGAACAATAGGTCCGGTGCGGCCGAAGCCTCGCCAGCCTTCAATATCCGCGAAAGCCCGTGGCTTTTTTCGCAGGCTTTTGTGAGGCGTAACTTAACCTTTCGCCAGGGCTGCTTAACCAAGGCATAGTCGCGGCGTCGTTCCAAACAGTTAGTTTTGCGCTTGATCACCAGTGTGATCACAGCGGCCCCATCTGTATGATATTGGATGTTACCGCCTCCCGACGTTGAGAACGAGGCCACCGAACAGGCCCAGGAGCGAACAACGCGGCTCACTCATGGCCAGGTGGCGGGGCTCAACCGCCAGCTCGCCCCCGTGGTCTTCCACATGAAGACGCCCCATCTGGCGGAATTGGCGCCGTTGATGTTGACCCACACCATCGCCGCCCCGGTGGTCGCCATTTCCAACATCCGAAAGCATCCGGGCGACCGTTTCTTCTACACCTGGTTCTGCATCCTGACCTACATCCCTATCTTGGCCGCGTGCATCGGACCAGTGGCTAACATGCTCTCGATCGTCGCCCTTATCGAACGGTGGCGCTCGGTGACCGCCGAGTCATCGGACGAGCACGACCATCCCAGCGAAATCTCCGATGAGTGGCGGGTGATGGTGCTTAATGCGGTGCTGTTGGCCTCGGGGGTCGTCGGCAATATCGCCTTCTTTGGGAACTTTACCGGCCGGTTGCGCTACTCCATCGCCATCTTGACGTCAATCTTCTGTTGGTACGCGTCTAGCGGGTTGCTTTTAGCGGCGATCTTCGTTACTCGCGGCACGTTCACCCCGCAACTTGTGCCTCTGGAAGGATTCTACACTGCCTGTTTCACCTGCGGGTTCTACTTTTTGAACGGGGTGTTGTTGCTGGTCAACTACTTCGGGGCAGTGATCAAAATGTATCCCTTTGGTCTCAATCTCAACAGCAAGCAGCGCACGCTTATGGTGTTCACAATTTCGTTCTGTGTGTGGTGTATGGTGGGGTGTCTATCGATGCGAAAGCTTATAGGCGATATCACTTACTCACTGGCGTTGTACTACTGCCTTGTACTGTACTTCACCATCGGGCTTGGTGACATCACTGCCCACAACGATGGCGGTAAGGCGGTGGCGTTACTCCTTCTGTTAGGCGGTACGTTGCTTTTAGCGTTGATCGTCACCAATATCCGCCTGGTGGTAATGCTGATTGCTGGCCCTACCCTCTCGTGGGACGGAGCCGAGCGGCGGCGACGGCGTACTGTGAAGAAGTACGAGGAAAAGCACATCGAGGTGACGTTTGACTCATCGTACCACAAGATGCGGCGCATCCAACGGAAGCTGGACTTGAGTCTGCTTCGCCAAACGTTGATCACCGAACTATGCGTGTTCTGTGTGTTTTGGTTTGTCGGGGCTACCGTGTTCTATACCGTGGAAGACTGGGACTACTTCACCGGTATATACTTCTGCTTCTTGTGTCTTTTGACCATTGGCTACGGTGACTACGCCCCCAAATCTAACCTTGGCCGCGTGTTTTTCTGTGTATGGACCATAGCGGCGGTGCCGATGATGACGATCATTATCAGTAATATGGGCGACAAGCTCTACCTGTGGCTGGACTTCTTCACCCAGGCGTTCCGCCGGGTGTGGTGGGGGAAGATGCAGCGGAAGAAACCCAAGGTTCAGGGAGAGCAGCCGGTGTGGGAACTGGCGCTGGAACTGGACCTGGACCTGGACCTGGACCTGGACCTGGAGCAGGAGATGGCCCTGCACCGGGGTCAGGAGGTCGGCGCCGACGACGAAATGAGACGCAATTCCAGTGATACCATCTCGGTCCACCTGCCGGAACCGGAGCCGGACAAACCGTTGTGGCCGTTGGAAAACCCCCCTAGCTCTGGTGATAGCGCGGGAAGCGTTGAGGAATCCAAGGAAACTCACCTGTTGGAAACGCCGAAGAAGTTGAGCTATACGAAAGAATGGCGCCGGATCTGCGAGGTGTTGCAAAAGCGTATTCGCCAACAGCTGGAGCAGCAGCGACAATTGCTTGAGTACATTGCCGCGTTGACGCCCCTTATTCGTGACCTGGCGGACCACCCCGATAAACGCTACAGTCTTGAAGCGTGGCATAAGCTTTTCCGAGCCGTGCAACTGCCGGGGTTTCTCGCTGATGAGGTGAAGGACATTCCGGTGTACGAAGAGGATCCCTGGATGTGGCTTGGCGAGCGGTCACCGCTCCGGGTGCCTATCAGAGAACCCAACTTCATGATGATGAAGCTTTACTCGAAGATCGAGCTCGACTTAGTGGCAATGCAAAGATTCTGGCTGCACGAAGATCAGAAGCTTACGGACTATCTCAACCGTATTCAGGATATGGCCGATGAACAAGATGCTAAGCGGATTCATCGCATGCAGAGACGGCATCGCAGAGGTCACAATCGTCGGGTACGTCGTCGTCCCGGCATACTGCCTCGTCCTAGCAGATCGCGGTCGAAATCACAGTTACTGTCATCATCAGAGTCAAATATATCACCATTCTCACCGAAGACGTGGCCGAAGCCGCCGTTGTTCAAATTGATTACTCGCACCTTAACTGAGAAGAAAGAAATGGAGAATGAGAAGGAAGGAGAGAAAAGATTATAGCGTCAGACAAACGATACCCCAGTGGCGCAATCTCCAAACACATGATTATCTATTTAATAGACTCTTCAATATATCCTTCCTACTATATTGACGTAGTGCCCTTGCCGTAGACTAGGCATAATAGGTCAATATTGTTCATACACTATCTTTAGTTATCTTTCCTACTTCAAAACCGGTTAGAGTATATTTTTGGCCTTAAAACGCCGAGTGCACAATTCGTCAGCGGGGGGTACCAGTCATACCGCAAAGTTTAATATAGAACACTTGTGCACATTGATAACAATATATCAACCATCACTGATAGCATTGTTTATCGTACTTCGCACGTGACCCACGTTGTCTAAGATCGTCACTCGCATATTCACAATCTCCCCATAATCACCAAACCATGTCCGATCCCATCGTCGTCGACGTAGGGCCGGTACAGGTTCGTCTTTCGCAGTTAAGATACTTCACCTACACCATAATCGGGGTGGGTCTCCTTTGGCCCTGGAACTGCTTCCTTTCCGCCGCGGGCTTCTACGGCCACCGCCTCGACGACGCGCCGTTTTTGGCCAAGATATACTCGAGCACGATGATGCTGGTGCTGACGGTGACGCTGACGATTGCCAACGTGGTGTTAGCCCGCAAGCAGCGCGGAGCCAACTACGATAAGCGGATTAAAGTGGGGTTCGCCATTACTACTGTTGTATTTGTGATAATGGCCCTCACGTGTGTGATTCCTGCCGCAATCAGAATGGCCAGTCCTCTCTTTTTTGTCGGGCTTATGGTGATGGTGTGGTTGCTGGCAGTGGCCACGGCGATGTCGCAGAACGGGACGATGGCCACCGCTAATGTACTCGGTCCCATTTACGCCAATGCGGTGATGGTGGGTCAGGCAGTGGCCGGTGTATTACCGGCTACGGCTCTCATTTTGTCCATTTTCATTACGGGAGCGCATAAACAACCCGCTGGTGGTGACGACCGTGATTTTGGAGTGTTCCTCTACTATTTGACGGCGCTGGTGATTGCGGTGGCGGCGGTGGCGCTTTTAGTGTACTGCCAACGCCATGGCGACCACGAGATGTACCAGAGACTTACGGCGATGGTAGAAGGCGACGATATTGAGGACTCTACCGTGGTGGAAGAGCCCCAGGTGGAAGTACCATTCTCAGTACTTTGGGCGAGACTCCACTACATCGTATTGGCAATTTTCTTTACGTTTGCCGTGACCTTAGCATTCCCCGTGTTTGCCCTGTCAGTCACGCTGGTTCGCCCGGAGCCACGTCTGTTTTTATATACCGACCAAGTGTTTATTCCCTTTGTGTTTTTCATGTGGAACATTGGCGATTTGGCCGGGAGAGTGCTCTGTGGCTACCCGCGCGCCCGTATGCTTATCACCGATCCCAAGTTGCTCTTCTGGTACTCTTTAGCCCGGTTTGGCTTTATCCCGTTGTTCTTCACTGCCAACTTGAACGGTGCCGGCGCCGTGATCAAACTGGACTGGTGGTATTTGTTGCTCCAATTTCTTTTCGGGTTGAGTAATGGTCAATTGGCCACGCTGAGTTTCATGGTGGTGGGTGATCACTGTAAGAGTGAAGAGGAAAAGGAAGCTGCGGGTGGTTTCACGACGATTTTCTTGAGTGTGGGGTTAATGGTGGGTTCCCTTCTCTCCTACTTGTTGGTGTGGATGATCCAATGAATCGTGGCATGATGAAAGTTAATATAGCATGAAATAGACACATCAATACATAATAACCGGTGAAGAAAGTGATTTCTGAGAATGATTGTCTAGATTTAACAAATAACCATACGTTTGTTTCTAAACCTGAACACCACGTGTTGATTGCTTGAATCTGAAAATGGAACGGCAGCACCGCTTCTCAGCCTCACCGCCACTGTGTCATGACCTTTCTCGTATTCATTCGTTAATTCCAGGGGCCCATTTCCGACCTCTCACTACGGCCCTCCCTCACCCCCTCCAAGGGGAACCAATTCACAGATCAGCAATACTGGGAATAATTCAACATATTGTTCTATGGTAGTACACCTCTACATCACAATATTCCAACCTCCACTCAAACCGCCCCATATTTGATCCATGATCACAGAACGGGGCTGTGGTCTAGAACCAGGCGCCGCACTCCGAGGTAGGGCCATGACCCATATCGGTTGCGCGCGGTAGTGTCTAAGCCCTCCACCACACCCCACTTTATTAACCCACTGACCGCTCCCCAATGCCGTTGGACATGGACTCGGTGCTCAGTGCCGGCAAGAAGGCCGGCAAGGGAACCATCAGCTTGCTGAAGAAAGGGTACAACCACGTCCAGGACCGGCGGCGCGGCTACCCTGTGGCGAAGCTGAACATGACCGTCGACACTTCCAGTCCCGGCGCCACTGCTACCACGTCGCTGTACACTCCGACGCCGTTGCCTCAGTCCCAGGCGGTGCCCAGTAACTCCAATTTCGGCATTGTTGACGAGGAACGCAAGCAACAGCTTGCGGCGTTGCCGCCGCCTCCGAGACGGACGGTGGGGGCGTCGGTACCCGACCGTAACGCTCTGGCCAGTCGACCAATTCCTCAGCCAGCAGCTCAGCCAGCAGCGCAACCCGCAGCGCAGCCAGTGGCGGCGCAGCCAGTGGCACAACCGGCGGCTTATGGCCAACCGGCGGCAGAACCGGCTCCCCCCGGCTACGAACAGCACGCTCCTCCGCAGCCGGCTTATCAACAACCAGCGCAGCCTGCTTACCAGCAACCCCCTCAACAGCCAGCGCAACCGGCTTATCAGCAACCACCGCCTCAACCACCGGCCCAACCAGCGTACCAACCACCTCCGCAAGCGCAGCCAGCGTACCAACCACCGCCTCCTCCCCACCGCACGGC